AAATATATTCGGTCTGTTAATGGGACCTCGCATTTGTGAAAAAAAAATTGTTGCGTTTTTTCGAAGTTATGACATGTTTTGAACTCGTCAGGATCATTTGTGTCATTTCTTGTATTGTAAAGAAAATTCTTGCCGTTTTTTGATTTGTAAAGAAAGTTATTGCCCTTTTTTGCTTTGTAAAGAAAGTTCTTGTCATTTTTTGTTTCGTAAAGAAAGTTTTATCAAGAGTATGAAGGATTCTCTCTACTTTGTTTCTTTATGCTTGCCACCCGTCATCTCATTGGCGGGAATAGTAAGCAGAAGGTTACTAAAACACATTCCTGTCACATGTTATACTTAACTTATATGTACTGTATAAGCTAAGAACGATGTTTTAAAAAATGGTGAAATGTTGTATCTTGCTGTTACAAAAATATCGCTTTAATAACTACAAAATAACAGTTGAAAGTCATAAGATACGCTGATATTTAAGCAGTACAATAAAATTCGTAATGTAACTGTTTGTATCGTATGTTTGGTAACACCCTTTTGCCGCTTTCTATTGAATTTTAACAAATTTCAAGTAGCAAGTACAAATTGTATCTTACATCAAATTTGATGTCAATTTGTACCCAAACACTACCAGTTTTGGTACGACTTAAACAGCTTATGCTACCTAAATACAAATGTCTTTTTGTGCCACTATCATTGCTATTTGTAACTCAACACAATCACTACAATTCGAATTGTAATGCCAGTGTGTGCGAGGCGAGTGTCAGCAAATTGTAATACCTGTTTAATCGTGCAAGGCCAACGGTTAGGTGGGGCATACGGTAGCACGCGAAATATTATGGTATGACAAACATTACTATGGTAATTCGAGCCACGCCTCTATGATTACTATAGTATATAATTGACTGCGGTTGGGTTGATAATGGAGTTGGAATTGTTTTTCATAATCTTTGAAGTTTTTTGAAAAAAGTTTGAAATTTTGAAAATTTGGTACGGTAGCGCAGTCGAGGATGAGGTACAGTAGGGTAAGGTAGGGCTGGTTTGGGTAAAGTATGGTAGATAAGGGTAGAATAGGACAGAGTAAAGTTATGATGGGGTGGGGTATGGTACGGTAGGTAGGGTGTGGTAGTGTAGGATACGGTACCTTAACCTTAAGGATATGACAAACATTGGTGTTGTAGTGACAATTCTTAATTTCATCGCGTAAAGCGTTAGTACCGTGTCTTCTATCTAAAAACTGCTTCCATACTTTGTACACTTGTATTTCGATTTAGCATTGTAGCAGAATGTGTTATCAATTCGTCATTATGAGCCGCTTAAGCATTCTTTTCAAGTTACTCTTAAGGTTTTGGGGGTGAAAATTATCCGGTCGAGCGGTCAGAAAATACAAAATACGGCTGGTTCGGGTTGTTACATTCGACCGGCGTCGAATGACGAATCTTGTTTTTGGCTTGGAATCGATGTTTTTGGCTTCGAATCAATGTTTTTCACCTTTTTTTGTAAAGAAAGTTTTTTTGTGACTTTAAAGGTAATCGAAAGGTCATATTTTGTTTGTTTTAGAGTCGTCGGTTTTGTCTGTAGCGATTTTTCCTTAACTTTTGACCATTGTTTTGCTTTAAACCAGTGACTTCTAGATTACAGTAGGCTATACTGTAAAGGCTATATCTCCATTTTAACAGTACAAAAACGTCTGTCAACCTACCGTAGGAACACAAAAAACATGTTGATCATAATGTATATGTTTCTGGTTAGGTTTTTTTTCGAATTCCGAGCAAATTTCGAATTCAAATGGGGCGGAGTCAGGGCCGTAGGGGTGGTTTTAATATGAAAAAAAAGTCAAAACCGTGCTCTTTTTTAAAACATGTGACAGGATTTATTTATGGTGTCATCGACGGGGCTTTACGTTATTTTTGGAGCTTATAAAATTAGTTTTGGCAACATAATTTGGTTGGATGAATTCGTTTATTAGGGTTGATTGGGTGAGGTTTAACGGTAGGTGAGGTGTGTAAGAGTTGTAACTTAAGGTTGATAAGACTTGTAATTTATGGTTCTTTTGTTGTATCTCGGTTGATTTAAGTGATTTCAATGAGATAGTTGTCGCTTTGTCCGCGAAGTAATTGTAATAGCTTAAAAACGATTAGCACTATCATTATATAACTTTATGTGTTCATTAAGTTTGATTACCTTCAGGCTATTGAGCTATTAAAGCTATTAAGAATTATGTGAACAACCTAATAGTTAAAGCATAAGCTACACAGATCTAATGACGAAGATTCTAATGAGGAAGGATTAGTGTATTGACCGCGTATTGTAGCTTATACTACCTGGTTGTAATTGGGTAGTATTAACTAGGCTTTTTGTAAAGTGCAATTGGTAGTATTCACTAGGTTTGACTGTAAAATGTGATTTCCTGGCGTATTTTACAAAATTTTTTTTTGTTTTTGAAGCGATACGGCTTGGTTTAATCATTGTTTTCCCAAGCTTAGTTAATACGATTGATCGGTATGATTTAGATGTAGTTTGACTGAATGTTCTGGTAGCCTATTCATGAGGTAAACCATAATATATATGTTGAAAACTTGTTTTATATATTCAGATATAGCAATTTCTACCATAAAGTCAATCCGTACGCTGAACTTTTAGGATTTTGGCTGTAGCTCCAAAAAACGGCTGTTACATTCAGCAAAAAAACTTAATCTTGTCCTTGATTAATCCTTTATACTCTTTTTTTATCTTGTGTAATATACGGAAAGTGCTGTATACGCTACGTACTGAGAAAATGAGATATGTAGTACATACTGAGACAGTGAGATATAGACTAAATACTGAGACAGTGAGATAGACGTGGCATATTGAAATAGGGTTATAAACATTACATATTTTGACAGTGAGATATACACTACAAACTGAGATAATGAGATATACAAAGATTTATACTTTGAGATATAAGTTAGGCACATTAACAGTCTGATAAACACTACATAATAAGACAGCGAGGCATTCACCAAATATACTGATAGCGTGATATACAGCCACATACACCGACAGTGTGAGATACACTGGCATAATGTGAGATCTACTTACATAATGTGAAATACACTTACATAGTGTGAAGTCTACTCTCATAATGTGAAGTCTATTCTCATAGTGTGAGCTACATTTACATAGTGTGAAATCTGCTTCTTTTTTTTCACCATTAAACATTTGTGTGAAGAAAAAGCGGATTTGGGAATTACGTGGCCCGAAAGAAATGGGAGGAGGCATAAACACCGTCCCAGGGGACATAAGTGATGTAATGAGAGTTTTACACTTTCAAGTATATGACTAGATGCAATTTTTTGTTTGTTATTTCGCGATTATTGGCCGTTTTTGTCAATTTGCGAAATACTTCGAGGGTGGATTCTGAAAGTAGTGGATGGTTTTGGGTTCTGGCTTGTAGGTATAGTGTTGTTAGACGATGTATTTGATTTTAGTCGATTTGATTATAGGTATGGTTGCTTCTGGGCGATTCTTTACTCTAGTAGCAAGCGCTAGGTACTATTGTGTATGTCGTATTGAAAGTTGACGTACTGTTCCGTCTACCTCTTGTTTATAGTATCGAATTTAGTGTACGAAACTTGTAGGTTGGTGTGTGTACGTGACGTTTTTTGTATTCCACTTGCACATATTGGCTTATATGACGTATTCACTTGAGATTTGTAAGAAGAGGAAGTTGTGAAATTTGGTTTAAACATAGACTTTTAAGTTTATTTTTTGCAAAAACTTTGTTTACACTCAAAAAAGGGTTATTTTTGGAGAATCAATTTGATTTTACATCAAGAATATGAGAGTTACGTTTCATTTTCAGAGTGTAAGATCAATGTGATCGTGAAGAAAAATGACTTTTTTGACTGTAAACAAAGTTTTTGATGAATAATGTTTCAAAAAATATGTTTAAACAACATTTTCACAACTTTTTCTTCTCACAAGTCTCAAGTTTATACGTCACATAAGCCAATATGTCCAAGTGGAATACAAAAAAACGTCATCTACACTAACAAACATGTTGTTTTGCCTAGAGTAATATGTTATATTAGCTTATAGTTAGTGCCATGCTAGTAATGTGGGCTTGAAGGAGGGGTAACAACATTTTTAGTTAAGGTAAACGTTTGGCTTTATGTCAAAGTAAAGTCTTCAAGTTATCAGGGGGGGGGGACGTGAAATTTTTTAATTTTCTGCTACAATTTTACATTAGAAGTGGTGCACTTTTCGAAATTTTTTGGGGCTTCAGGCTTATGAGCTAATCTTTTGTTTTTGAGATGGTACTGCAAGGTGTTTTAATTGTCTGTACAAGCACTTGTACTAACTGTAATGGGAAGCTTTTCTCTTGTTAAATCATCTAAGTACTTGGTCGAAAGGTACATAGAAAGTAAATTGTTTAGTCAAGAAAGACATATAATGTAAATTATTTGGTCGAAAAGTACGAAAAACTTAAAATTTTTGGTCAAAAGCGGGGGTGCTTATGATAATAACATAGGACGTAACGCGATGACAAGTTAATTTTACAACGTATTTACGGAATTATAAGGCAGATTGAGAGTTGTTATGCACGGAGTGGACAAATTAAGAAGATAGATTGAGGATTTACATAGTAAAAGTGGCGTTTGTATCCATCAAGATTATTAATGTCATAGGTAATATAAATTTGGATTTTTGTGAGTTGTCGTGAAAATATTGGGCTAATGACTTGCAAGTGGATGTAAAATGATTTTGTGTGCATTGTGAGTTGAGGTTGGGATAACTGAAATGAAAATTGACCGGTAGGAACAATTTTTTGTTTATCTGGAATACTGATGACATAGGTAATATAAATTTGATTTTTTGTTACTTATAGTGAACGGATGGAGCTTATACATTATAAATAGTTGTAAAACAATATTGTATGCATTGTCCGGTAATTTTAAAATTTTCCCCTTAAAAATCGACCGGTAAATCAATAAAACCATTGAATTTCAGCTTCCTCATCCTCAATGAAACGGGCCCTCAATTCGACGGCCTCGACGGCGTCGCTAAGCTCAATGAACTCATCTACACTCAACGTCACAGTACCACGCGAACATCTACTATTGTCAGACGTGTCCGTGGAGTCTTCATCATCGTTCACCTCAACACAATCGCCTCACATTCGCCTACAGATCGACGACGTTCAGGAAACGCGAAAGAAACCGTCGCTAAAAGAAACCAAGTCAGCGTGGACGACGATTGATGCTACGAATCAGAGGCTACGGTAAGGGTGGGGTGGTTTGGATTTTTTTGGGGGGGGGGGGGGGGTGGTTTGGAAAAATTTTGAAATTTACACATTTATAAAAATTTTTTAAACGTGGAAGGGAAGTTCTTGCGGTTTTTTGAAAAATGAGTTTTGTAAAGAAAGTTCTTGCGGTTTTTCGAAAAATTAGTTTTGTAAAGAAAATTTTAACAACTTTTTCAAAAACCCTAATTTTAGAGCTTGGCTCGACGTGGCCAGCCACCCCTGGTCCTTTAGCCGCTCAGCCTCAACGGATCGACCCCTCGAGCCACGCCTAACACCCTCACCTCCCGAACTCCTCTACGACGTCTTCCTCGGCGGATCCTGTGGCAACACGGTCTGGCGACGCGAACTCGTTATTCCATACCTACGAAAACGCTGCATATCCTACTACAACCCCCAACGACCAGCATGGAAAGAGAGCATGATACACGAAGAGCAGATTGCCAAAGAGAATTCACGTTTGTTTTTGTTTGTACTAGATCCCGGCACAATTAATGCCACTTCGTTCATTGAAATCGCTTACTTCGCGGCCAGAAAAGCACCAAAACTGGTGGTGGTCTTCTTGGGGCCAAGGGAATGGAGCGACAAAGCACATCCAATGGATCTACCGGACAGAATTAGGACGGTGAATTTGGTGGAAGCAATTCTGAAGAGGCATAATGTCCCTATGTTGACTTCGATCACGGTAAGAAGAGGTTTTGAATAATTTTTGTCTTTAACTTGAGTTTCACCACGAAAACTTGATTTTGTTGGCATTGTGTTTAAGGAAAATATTTTGAGCAAAGATTGATGAAGGATTCCAATTATAGTATTTTTAAGAACATTTTTGGCTATTTTTACTGTATTTGAAGATTTAAAAAAAGGTCCCAGCACGAAAACATTATTTTCTTGGCACTGTGTTTAAAGCGGAAGTTTTGGAAAAATAATGTTTTAAAATTGTAAAAAAGGGGATTTTGGCCTTAAAGTTAAAAATTTTTTGAAAAATTGCAAAAAATTTTTTTACAAATTAAATTTTTTTCCAAATTTTAAAATTGCCATTTTCAGGAAGCCCTCGACTACGTGGACGAAATCATCATTGGCGAAAAACCCTGGCGACAAGCATTGTCCAACTCGCGACAACGATTACCCTACATTCAGGTGAAAGCCAAGAACGCCATCAAATCGACCGCCGCTCAAATCAAACAAACGGTCGAATCGGTCCAAGCCTCGGCTACAGTCTGGACGAAACGGATCGCTGCTGTAGTGGGAATGGAAATCATCTTAATACTGGTTCTACTCGTCTTTCTACCTCACAAAATACCATTGTATCTGTTGGTGGTACCAATAGTCGGAGTCGACTATATTATACTAGCCTTGTTGGTATTGTACTTGAAAATTAAGGTAAGCGGGGAATTTTTTGGGAGTTTTGGGGATGATTTTGATTTTAGTTGAGGTTTGTGTAGCGTTTGGAATATATTTTTGAGCTTAAAACGGAATGCCAAGAAATTCAGGGTTTTCTTGGTGGGACCAAAATTGTCTTTAATTTCATCAATTTTACGTGTTTTCAACGTAACTATGGTTTGTGACATTCTTAATTAGACCAAAATAGTTGCAAAATACTCTTTTTAACATTTTCTTTAAGCACTTTTTTTGAACTTTGCTATGTTCACTATCAAATTATAAACATTTGCGTAAATGAACGTCAAACCCCATTCAACTTTGAAGTTTGAATAGGTCGTTCGCTTATAAAATGTTGATTAAAATCTCGAAATGACGAACACGCACCCTCAAACACTTCGGACCTCATTAAGCATATTGAATCTCGAGTTTATAAATATTTAAAAAGAGTGCGACATTCGATGTCATGTGGCTTTATAAATAACATAAAACGTCATGAAGGGCTGCAAATGGTAATAAAAAGGGTTTGGGGTTACTGTAAGGTGGTTTGGAAGAGTTTTGGAGGCTTTTGGGCGTTTTTAAAATTTTGATTTTGGGTCTTATCACGAAAGATTGATTTTTTTTAGCATTGTGTTTCAAGTGATTTAGTTGATGATTTCTTAGTTTGACATTGTTTTTTGTGGGTATTTAAGTCATCGTTGGCATTGTTTTGCTTTTTTGTTATTACGAGTTTGGGTCCCAACACAAAAACCCTGAATTTCTTGACATTGAGTTTAAATTGTTCAATATCAAAAAACTTTGCATACCGTTTAATTTAAAGCATTATGAAGCCACTTTTAAACCAATTTTAATTTCAGGCAAACCGAAAACGAGCCCAATACAAGCGAAAACTGGTTATCAACCCACCAAGCCTGCCAAGAACAACCCCATCCTCAATAACTGCCGCCTCAAGTGACGTATCATCACCATCAACCAACTCGGTTGACGTGGGGCCTATTCAGTCCGAATCTATGTGTTGTAAGTCGGGTTTTTGAATGGGATATAGAGATATAGACTATATTGTTATAGATGTTTTTGTTATAATTGATGATTTTTGAGCTGTATTGGTCATTTATTTGTGTTTTTTGTTTTCAAATGACATTTTATTTGTGTGAGGGATATAAAAGAATATTTTTGTTGTTAAATGATGTTATGGTGTTGGTTAAAAATGGCAGGAAACGTCATTTTTCGATGGGGCAAAAGTATGCAAAAAAGGAAAAAAATGTTGTTTTAGGTAACAAGTTAGTCGAAAATAATAAAGAATGGCATTTTTCAGTAAAAACCGTCCAACCAAACCAACAACGACCGGTCGAACCCTTCTTCTACGACTCGATCGAGATGGTCGATCAGCAGGTCCGACAACATTACCAAGTCGAAAAACCAAAGAAACTAAAGGTGGATATGAAGGAACGACTGAAGCAGAATGGATGCATGACTTCTCCAGTTGGCTACGATGTGTTCTTGAGCTGTTCGTCCGGGTCCGAGCTGGACTGGATCACGCAGAAGGCTGTGCCTCAGTTACAGTAAGCTTTCTTTATGTTGTTGGATTTTTTGAAAGGGGAGGGGGTGAAAATTGTGATTTTTGGGGTTTTGGAGGTATTGAAGTCTGGAATTTTGGAAAATTTGATTTTTAAACTTTTTTTCATTTTAGGTAACAAATTTCGAAATTTTTGATTTTTTTGTGTATTTAGGTAACAATTTTTAAAATTTGTTATTGTTTTTTGAATTTTAGGTAACAAAAATTAAATTTTTTGATTTTTTAGAAGTTTAGGTAACAGTTTTTGAAAATTTAAATTTTTTTAGGATTTTAAAAAAGTTGAAAATTTTTGATTTTTTTGTAAATTTTAGGTAACAATTTTTAAAATTTTGGATTTTTTTTAATTTTAGGTAACAAAATTGAAAATTTTACATTTTTGTGATATTTAGGTAACAAATCTTTAAATTTTAGATTTTTGTTAAATTTTAGGTAATAACTTTCAAATTTCAGTAAATCCACCCTCAGCTACACCTCAGCCATAATGTGTGACAAGGAGATGCGAATCCCCCTTCTTCACACCGCCTCTCACATCCTCTACTACATTCCATCGTACCGTACCTTCCTGTCAGGCATGATCGAGATCGCCTACTTCATTGGGCACTCGGATTGGCAAGTGACGGTTTGTGTACCAACTGAAGCCGAATGTCTGGTACTGATGAACGAGAACGACTACGATGAGGAGACCAGACAAGCAGTGGAACGACGAAACCAATGTTATCAAATGGCATTTTGTTACCTAAAAGACATGGCTCATCGACGGGAATGCAGGGTTTTCACCAAGTAAGTGAAGGAACTTTGTTTACAAGGGAAAGGAAGGGAGAACTTGTGGGTAGGGGAAGTAATGGCAAGAACTTTATTTACAAAGCCAAAAATGGCAAGAACTTTCTTTACAAAAGATAACATGGCAAGAACTTTCTTTACAAAACAAAAATGGCAAGAACATTTTTTACAACGCAAAAAATGGCAAGAACTTTCTTTACAAAACAAGAAATGGCAAAAATTTTCTTTACTGTTTAAAAAATGGCACGTTTTTAAGAATGGAAGTCAATTGGAAGATTTCTAATGTAATTTGCACTGAAAATCTTCCACTCAAATTTCATTTTTTGAAAAATTGAAAGTTGGTATTTTTGAATAAAAATTGATGTATATTTCAATTTTAAGATTGTTTTACAGTTTTAAACTAAGAAATGGCATTGAATGTAGGTATGAAAAAGTGTTTCACTTCCTTATTTTGTCATAAATCCTCGGATTAGCGGGGATTTTTACGGTTTCTACGGAATTTATTATCAGTTGTGATTAGGATTAACATCACGGGACTATTTTTTTTCGTTTTTAAAATAATTTTGAAATTTTTGAAAAAAAAATTTTTTTTGTAATTTTAATTTTTTAATTTTTTTGAAAATTTTTCTAATTTAAAAAAAATTGAGCTCTATCCAACAACATTTGAAAAGGTCGTATTTTACAATAACTCCCCTATTTTTAGTGTGGAAGAAGCAGTCAAGCACATTGCTGCCGTCTCCCAGCTGGAACGTCAAGAACAACAAGAACAGACATCAGAACAACCAAACAAGAAGCGTGCCGTGCTTCGAACTTTGATGGAAAAACAACATTTGGTCAAGGAGAAGACCCAAGCCAATCTATTGGCTCATCGTTCAGCCGTAATCGCTGCTGCCACCGCCGCGGCGAACGCTTCGCCGAAGAATAGGAGTTGAGTTGATGGATAAGATTGTGAGATGATGGATGTTTTAATGACTATTTGGGTTGTTCCACTGGTTATGGATGTGGAAAGAGATTTAAAAGACTTGTTATGGACGTGGAATGTAGTATAAGGTACTGGTTATGGATGTATAAAGAAGCAGAAGATACTGATATGGACGTGGAAAGACGTTGAAGGGCCTTGTTATGGATATAGAAAGAAGAAAACTACAAATCTAAGGCTGTGAACGGTCAAAAACAAGAAGATATTGATACATACAGCAAAGAAAATGGCAGAAAAAGGCAAAAAATGAGGAAGAATATAGATTTAAGGCTCAAAATGACAGATTTATGGTTGGATGTCTATGAAAACAAGGTAGTAAAGCCTGTAGAAAATGAAGAACAACCTGAATAAGCTATAAAGTTTTACAAAAATGAAGTTTATGGCATTTAAAATGGAAAAACATGATGTTGAAGTCAGAAAAATGGTAAAATACGGACAATTCGATCCAGCTCGTTGGCTTTCGTGCCATTTTAAAGCTTTTCTTGGTCAGTTAAACTCAAAAATCTTTTGTTAGATCACTTCAGAAGCTCAGAAACTTCTTTCTATATCATCTATGTTTCTTATATCTTATGTTGTAGCAATTCAAAGGCAATATTTGTCTATTAGAATGTGGTTGTACACTAATCAAGTCGGTAACGAGTAGTTGTACACTGCCTGTTCATCACAATTTGTATCAAATTTTATAACGTCTGGCTTGGATAGTTGATGATTATAGTGTGCTTTTGATGTCTATGATTGAAAAATGGGTTTTAAATTTGAGTGTACGGTTGAAAATGGCATTTAAAGCTGATTTTTAGAGAGAAAATGGAGCTTAAACGCTGATTTTGTTGGGTTTTTTGGCCATTTTTGACCGTTTTTTCAATATTTCAGCCCATTTTTTAATGTTTTATGGCTGTTACATGTAGCCAATGATCTGCTTAGTTATCTACATTAGGTATCAATCTTCCACTTTCATTTTAAAACCTAAAATTTCAAAAGTTTGTGAGCAAAACACGTCTCAAAACATGATTGTCGTCTCCGAATACCTTAAACTCTCCCATTTCCTGCTCAATTCAAGTACAAAGAGTATTGTATAGGTGATATTTTCTACTATAACATAATTGTACACTTGTTCATGGTATGTATTTTAGATTGTCTTTGAGTTTTTTGAAATTTGAAATTTTTAAAAATTTTGAATTTTTTAAAAATTTGAGTTTTAAAGTTATGGTAAATAGTGTTGTAAAACGGGTAGAAATGAACGTTTTTGGTCGATTTTTTAGGTTTTCGCTCGATTTTGAAAATTTCGAAAAATTTTGAAAAAAAAAATTTTTTTTGAAATTTAAAAAATTTTTGAGAGTTCAGATGATTTTTTGGAATTACTAGGCTAAAGAAAAATTTTAAGTGTCAAAAATTGATCAAATCCTCAAAAAATCAACCAAAAACGTTTATTTTTCACATATTTTTCGTATTTTAAAACCTCCATGGTATACCCAGAAGATATTTGTGTAATGTAAACCCGCGTCTTCGTCCCCCCAACGAGGCGTGCCCCAATTGCCCACCATTGTATTGTACAAAAACATATCATTCGTTTGTTTTTTTAACGTTTTTCTCTTAATTTTTAACATTTTTCTCATTGACTTTTTTCTACTTTTTTTGTTTTTTCTTATTGTTTTGTTGATTTGTGTTCGTAATAAACAGAGTTTTATTGAAAATTTGTTGGAATATTGTTTGGGCATGTGTTTGAATATCAAAATATCTTTGACTTTTTTTTAAATTTGGCAATTTTTTAGATTTTTAAAATTTAGAATCGGGCTGTTCAGGTAACTTTGTGTCTTCTAAGGTTGTTCAAATAATTCTGAGCTCCTTTTCAACGCAAATTTTAGAAGTTAAGGCGCCAGGTTATGTGAACGCACTTAGAGGGCTCAGAATTATTTTAACGTTCTTAGAAGGCACAGAATTATTTTAATGAACGTTAAGGGGCACAAAATTAGTTAAACAATCTTTAAGGGGTACAGAATTATTTGAACAGCCTTAAAAAGCACAGAATTATTTGAACAATCTTAGGGGACACAGAATCATTTGAAAAACATTAGGGGGCACATAATTACTTGAAAGATCTTTAAGGGGCACGTAATTATTTGAACAACCTTAGGGGGCTCACAATTATTTGAAAAGCCTTAGAAGGCACGGAATTATTTGAACGGTTTTTAAAGCGCACAGAATTATTTGAACAAACTGACAATTTTTATGGAATGGTATACTGATTTTTTAAAAATTATCTATTATTTAATGCTTCTTTACTCAGTAACTGCCGGCTAGGTTAAATACTGGTCAAAAATTGATCAAAAACAAGCAGAAAACGAAATGCCAAAATTGGCGGGAAATTTAAATTTGAATTCTTAACAGTGCAAATTCAAAGATGATATTTGGGACGCTTATTGTGCATGGTACTGTTAAAGCTTGTGCCAAATTTTAGTTTAATTGGATCAGTTTTTGCAACGTTATGCCAATTGGTCGAAAATTTTAAATTTGAATTTTTAAAAGTGCAAGTTCAAAGTTGAAAAAATATAGGCATAGAAATCTATTGTTTATTTTCAAACATAAATATTTACAGACGTACTGTAACTAGACAGCTATCACATTTCTATATACTTTAAAAATAAAAAAAATAATATTTAAAGTACAATAAGAATGACAGATCTTAAGACTCTTTAGACTAGACCGGGCAAAAAGACTTTTCAGCCAGGCCCGGCTTGGCTGTCAGATCTATGCTAGACTTAATAATTCGTTAATACCTGGTTACTTTAGTTATAGGAATGTATATAATACAAAGGTTTGTATTAGTACTTGAATAGTTACAATATGCAGCTTACTTTACTGTATTGTAATAGCGCCTATTGATCATTATGTTGTTACTACATACAGTAAATTGAATATTGTACATCAATAGTAGACGATGTAGAGTAATATATATCAAAGTTTAAAGTTTTACGCGTTTTCCAATAATTTAAGCTCTTTTTTGGATCGATTTGGCATACTTTCTGGTAGTTCATCGGCCGATTTGCTGGGCATAAATAGGGCCAATACTAACCATTGTAAGGTTAATAGTACGGCGAATAACCAGTACGGTAGAGATGGGTTTACTGACCTCATTAGGATTATCTAAAAAATAAATTGTTTAGGCCGTACTGTACTTTACTCTATCTTGCTCTCCCTACCTTACTCTGCTCCAGCCTTATCCCAAGCCCTACTCTACAATTTCCGTACCGTACCCTACTGTGGATTGCCCTTTCCTATCTGGTCATAATCTACCCTGCCTTGCTCTACCGTACCCTACACTACTTTACCTTACCCTATTCTGCTTTACCTTGCCTTACCTACCCTGCCATACCTTAATCTACCCTGCTTTTCTATTTTAAAAACCTTACCAATGGCCCACTCATACTGCCAAGCCTAGCAGTGACATTACAAGCCCCTCTGGCCATGTTTCTCACAGCAGTTGGAAACAACTCTACCGAGTATAAATGACTAATCTTCCAAGTCGGATCCATTGAAGCTGTCACCATTAAACCCATTACAGTAACCACAATGCTGTCGTTAAGCGACAGTATTGTTGTAGCTGCTATTAGCGACCAGCAACAGGCACAGGCCGTTCCTGGAAATGAAAGTTTGACTTTAAGGAGGACAGGGCAAATTTAGGGGTTGGGAGGCCTAGGGTAAAGTAAAGGCGGTCAGCGTAGGGTAGAGAAAAGTAACGTGAAACTGTAACAAAAGGCAGGGAAGGGCAGAAGTTGACAGGGCGTAGAACCCGGTTAAGGCAGGCAGGGCGTGGGGTACGGTTAGGGTAAAGTAAGGCAGAGTGAGGTGGGGGAAAAAGGGCAAAATCTAGGGTAGGGTAGGACAAAGTATACTGTAGGAAGAGGTATATTATAAAATAAAGCGTACTGTAGGTTAAAGCATACTGTAAGATAGGGTTTACTGTATGGAAGAACATACTGTAAAGTAGGGTAGGGTAGGATAGTGTAGGGTACTCAATAATATTTACTTACCAACTGAAAGCAGAATGATCAGTTTCTTTGAGATCAGATAAGAGAAAAAGAAAGGAATTAAGCCTAAAGTGAACTTCAAAAGGCCCATTAGCCCTAAGTTCAAATATCGATTGCCAGGTAAGTAATCCGTATTAAAGTAAAAACCAAATGACACCACCGATGATGACAAAAAGCAATACAGTAACGCAATTAGTGGCCGTCTTATAGTCGAATATTTGAAAAGATCAAGGTATGTCATTGTTGACTGTTTCTTCATCTCTAACTCTAGAATTTGATCTTCATCTGTCATGTTTGTCGGTGTTATAGTTGTAGCTTGGTATATATCATCAGATGAGTCGTTTTGAGAGTCGAGGGTTACTGTATTTTGAAGTAATTTGTCTTTTTGTGAATCTTGTCGTAGGTCTGACTGGTCTTGTTGTAGTTCATTTTGTAGGGTATTTTGGTCTGTCGTTTTGGGTTTACTGCGTAATAAATGGCCATACATATCGTCTACATCATCATCTTTATCATTACAGCCAACTACATTACCTTTGCAATCATTTCCATCAACTTTTCTATCTTCACCATGATCAACATCACTGTAGTTGATGTTAAAACATGAATTGTTATGTTCTTCATCTCTAACCTGACATTCTAAGCATTGAGTACCATTTAACACACTCTTATCATCATTTTTACATACAACATCGTGTGATGTAATAGCTTCATTAACTATATTTTGACAAATTTTGGTCGAAAAGTCATCAAAATTGGGCTGAAAATCTGCTTGGTCGAGTAGAATATTGGTCTTGCTTCCGTTATCCAGTAAAATGTTGTTGTCCTTTAAATTAATAGTACCTTTAGAAGTCTTTGCAGTATTGTTGACATCAATTTTCAGTTGATTTTCATCATTGTCCGTTAAGTTACGGCAACTTTTAGAGCAAATTTCTTCATTTTGACCGTTCACAGAATCATTTGAAAAACATTAGGGGGCACATAATTACTTGAAAGATCTTTAAGGGGCACGTAATTATTTGAACAACCTTAGGGGGCTCACAATTATTTGAAAAGCCTTAGAAGGCACGGAATTATTTGAACGGTTTTTAAAGCGCACAGAATTATTTGAACAAACTGACAATTTTTATGGAATGGTATACTGATTTTTTAAAAATTATCTATTATTTAATGCTTCTTTACTCAGTAACTGCCGGCTAGGTTAAATACTGGTCAAAAATTGATCAAAAACAAGCAGAAAACGAAATGCCAAAATTGGCGGGAAATTTAAATTTGAATTCTTAACAGTGCAAATTCAAAGATGATATTTGGGACGCTTATTGTGCATGGTACTGTTAAAGCTTGTGCCAAATTTTAGTTTAATTGGATCAGTTTTTGCAACGTTATGCCAATTGGTCGAAAATTTTAAATTTGAATTTTTAAAAGTGCAAGTTCAAAGTTGAAAAAATATAGGCATAGAAATCTATTGTTTATTTTCAAACATAAATATTTACAGACGTACTGTAACTAGACAGCTATCACATTTCTATATACTTTAAAAATAAAAAAAATAATATTTAAAGTACAATAAGAATGACAGATCTTAAGACTCTTTAGACTAGACCGGGCAAAAAGACTTTTCAGCCAGGCCCGGCTTGGCTGTCAGATCTATGCTAGACTTAATAATTCGTTAATACCTGGTTACTTTAGTTATAGGAATGTATATAATACAAAGGTTTGTATTAGTACTTGAATAGTTACAATATGCAGCTTACTTTACTGTATTGTAATAGCGCCTATTGATCATTATGTTGTTACTACATACAGTAAATTGAATATTGTACATCAATAGTAGACGATGTAGAGTAATATATATCAAAGTTTAAAGTTTTACGCGTTTTCCAATAATTTAAGCTCTTTTTTGGATCGATTTGGCATACTTTCTGGTAGTTCATCGGCCGATTTGCTGGGCATAAATAGGGCCAATACTAACCATTGTAAGGTTAATAGTACGGCGAATAACCAGTACGGTAGAGATGGGTTTACTGACCTCATTAGGATTATCTAAAAAATAAATTGTTTAGGCCGTACTGTACTTTACTCTATCTTGCTCTCCCTACCTTACTCTGCTCCAGCCTTATCCCAAGCCCTACTCTACAATTTCCGTACCGTACCCTACTGTGGATTGCCCTTTCCTATCTGGTCATAATCTACCCTGCCTTGCTCTACCGTACCCTACACTACTTTACCTTACCCTATTCTGCTTTACCTTGCCTTACCTACCCTGCCATACCTTAATCTACCCTGCTTTTCTATTTTAAAAACCTTACCAATGGCCCACTCATACTGCCAAGCCTAGCAGTGACATTACAAGCCCCTCTGGCCATGTTTCTCACAGCAGTTGGAAACAACTCTACCGAGTATAAATGACTAATCTTCCAAGTCGGATCCATTGAAGCTGTCACCATTAAACCCATTACAGTAACCACAATGCTGTCGTTAAGCGACAGTATTGTTGTAGCTGCTATTAGCGACCAGCAACAGGCACAGGCCGTTCCTGGAAATGAAAGTTTGACTTTAAGGAGGACAGGGCAAATTTAGGGGTTGGGAGGCCTAGGGTAAAGTAAAGGCGGTCAGCGTAGGGTAGAGAAAAGTAACGTGAAACTGTAACAAAAGGCAGGGAAGGGCAGAAGTTGACAGGGCGTAGAACCCGGTTAAGGCAGGCAGGGCGTGGGGTACGGTTAGGGTAAAGTAAGGCAGAGTGAGGTGGGGGGAAAAAAGGGCAAAATCTAGGGTAGGGTAGGACAAAGTATACTGTAGGAAGAGGTATATTATAAAATAAAGCGTACTGTAGGTTAAAGCATACTGTAAGATAGGGTTTACTGTATGGAAGAACATACTGTAAAGTAGGGTAGGGTAGGATAGTGTAGGGTACTCAATAATATTTACTTACCAACTGAAAGCAGAATGATCAGTTTCTTTGAGATCAGATAAGAGAAAAAGAAAGGAATTAAGCCTAAAGTGAACTTCAAAAGGCCCATTAGCCCTAAGTTCAAATATCGATTGCCAGGTAAGTAATCCGTATTAAAGTAAAAACCAAATGACACCACCGATGATGACAAAAAGCAATACAGTAACGCAATTAGTGGCCGTCTTATAGTCGAATATTTGAAAAGATCAAGGTATGTCATTGTTGACTGTTTCTTCATCTCTAACTCTAGAATTTGATCTTCATCTGTCATGTTTGTCGGTGTTATAGTTGTAGCTTGGTATATATCATCAGATGAGTCGTTTTGAGAGTCGAGGGTTACTGTATTTTGAAGTAATTTGTCTTTTTGTGAATCTTGTCGTAGGTCTGACTGGTCTTGTTGTAGTTCATTTTGTAGGGTATTTTGGTCTGTCGTTTTGGGTTTACTGCGTAATAAATGGCCATACATATCGTCTACATCATCATCTTTATCATTACAGCCAACTACATTACCTTTGCAATCATTTCCATCAACTTTTCTATCTTCACCATGATCAACATCACTGTAGTTGATGTTAAAACATGAATTGTTATGTTCTTCATCTCTAACCTGACATTCTAAGCATTGAGTACCATTTAACACACTCTTATCATCATTTTTACATACAACATCGTGTGATGTAATAGCTTCATTAACTATATTTTGACAAATTTTGGTCGAAAAGTCATCAAAATTGGGCTGAAAATCTGCTTGGTCGAGTAGAATATTGGTCTTGCTTCCGTTATCCAGTAAAATGTTGTTGTCCTTTAAATTAATAGTACCTTTAGAAGTCTTTGCAGTATTGTTGACATCAATTTTCAGTTGATTTTCATCATTGTCCGTTAAGTTACGGCAACTTTTAGAGCAAATTTCTTCATTTTGACCGTTTTCAGAGCAAAATTTTCTGCTTTTCTCGGTTTTAAGTTCGTTTTCCTTATCGACCGGTCGAGTTATGCCATTTTGAACATTGTCAGTGTGTTCTCCATAGTTTTTCACATTATCGACCACTTTATCGACCGGAACTTTTCCTTCGCATTTCGAGCATTTCAAGCTCAATTCTGGTGATTTGAAGGGCAATTGAGGGTCGCTTTCGGCGTTTCGAATGATTCCACTACACGTTGTGCCATTTTTGAATGATCTCAAGCTTAAATTGTGCCAATTCCCTCGGTTATTGCGAATTTTGATCTGCCGTCGGACACAGGCGGCCTTGGCTGACTCGTTTTGGTTTGTTAGCCAGCCCACTGATTCGAAGGAGGAAAGTTGCTAAAATTTTTATTTTGAAAATTGTGATGAATCAAAATAAAATAAAAATGAAAAAATTTAAATTTGGAAAAAATTTTTAAATTTTGAGAAAAAAATTTTTAAATTTTGGTTTTTTAAGTATAGTATTAGGTTGTTCAAATAATTCTGCGCCCTCTAATTCTAAAAATTTGCTTTGAGTGGGGTTCAGAATTATTTGAGCAACCTTAAAGGGGCACAGAATTATTTGAACAACATTAAGTGGCTCAAAATTATTTGAAAAACTTAGAGAGCACAGAATCATTTGAACAAAATTAAGGGGCTCAGAATTATTTGAACAATCTTAGGGGGCTCAAAATTATTTGAACAACTTCAGAGGGCTCGGAATTATGTGAACAACTTAATATCTTACCAACAAAGCAGCGATGACTAAAGACGTCCCAGCGGTTATTAGGTAATAAAGTTTTTGCTGTTTGGCCAAGTAACTGACAATTGCAGTGAATAGCATTCCAATAGGCCATCCGTTTAGTGATGCTACTACTAGTCGTTCTCGTTCACTCTGAAAACATTTTTTAAATAAATTGTAAAAGGTATACGGTACTACTAAGAAAGGCCATCATACCTATCGCTAGGCCACATCTTTAGCCCAGAGCATTAGCCCAGAGCATTAGCCCATAGCCCTAGCCCAGAGCCCTAGTCCAGAGCCCTAGCCCTAGCCCAGAGCCCTAGCCCAGAGCCCTAGTCCAGAGCCCTAGTCCAGAGTTCCAGCCCAGAGCCCTAGCTCAGAGCCCTCGCCCAGAGCCCTAGCTCTAGTTGTAGCCCTACTTGTAGTCGTAGCTCTGGCCTTAGTCCATGCTCTAGTCCATGCCGTATCCCATGACCAAGCCCCACCTAGCCCTCCCTTTATAGCCCTTGGCTATGAACATGCATTTGCTCATGCTTATGACCATGTTCATGTGCATGTTCATGCCTTAGCCTATGTCAGATTCCATGCCCGAGCCCTAGCCTAAGACCTAACCCTTGTCATAAACCTTGTCCTAGTACATGCTTATGACTATGTTGTGCATGCCCATGCCTTACCCCATGTCTTAGCTCATATCCTAGCCCATGCCCTAGTTCCTAATCATAGTCCTGACTCTAGCCTTAACCCATGTATGTAACCATGCTTTTGCGTATGGCAATGCCCATCTACATACCATACCCATTGTCATTCTACTCTATATCTACCCCCTTTATAGAAATATATTATACTACAACCTACCTTAACAGCCTCGATGATAAAGACCACATTAGTAACCATATATCCGCCCGAAGCACAGCCCATCCAGAAAAATATGAACAATGCCAATACAGGTGATACACTACCAACCATTACTAATGTAATGTTCGCTAATGTCAAGCATAACAATGAACAAACGACCACCGGCTTTCGGCCAAAAAAGTCAGCCAAAAATCCGGCTGAAAATGCTCCCAAGACAGCTCCGACCATCACGGCGGTCGATATTCGCACCATCCATGATGAATTTATGCAAATTTCTTGCCATTCGAAAAGCAATGAGTAGAATTCACCGCTTTCGAAGGCTTTGAACTGTAGGGCAGGTAAATCGTAGGTTCGGTTGATTATTAAATGGCAAAAGTGCTGAAAGTTCCATTTAAACGTACTGTAATATATGTGAGCATTATAGACAAGTATCGTCACAAGCTTGGGCTAGGTAAATACAAAAGCATGGACTAGAGTCACGGCATGGCCATAAGCATGTTTTAGGGCAAGTAATATAGTAAAGGCTAAGTCATGGGCCAAGGTTTGAACTAGAGCATGAACTAGGGCTAAGGCATGGTCATGTTCATAAGCATGAGCTAGACAAAAACTAGGGATAGAGCCTAGGCTCTGGGCTATGGCTTTGGCCTAGGGCTCAGGGTTATGGCTCTGGGCTATGGCTTTGGCCTAGGGCTCAGGGTCATGGCTCTGGGCCAGGGCTAGATTTGGGCTTGGGCTAGCGCAAAGGTTTGAGCTGAACTGGACTGGGCATAGCTAAACTTTTCTGGGCTGAGCTAAGTCGAGCTGGTCTAAACTGGGTTGGGATAGGGTAATCTGGGCTAAACTGAGCTAAGTTGGGTTGTGCTTGCCGTGCTAGGCTGAACTAGTTTAGGCAGGGCCGATTTAGGCTGGACTCGGCAGCGCAAGGCAAGACGAGGCATGGCATGGCATGGTAGGGTTATGGCTAGGGCTCAGGACTAGGACTAAAAGCTAGGGCTTTGGGCTAAGGCTCTGGGCTAGAGCTCTGGGCTAGGGCTCTGAGCTAGGGCTCTTGGCTAGGGCTCTGGACTAGGGCTAAGGCTATAAAATTCATTTCAAGCTTAACTCACCTTAGAAGGTTCAAAGAAAGTAGTAGATAACATAGAAGCAGCCACAGGCAGATATCCTACTTGAGTCAGCAACAACAACATCCTTTCATATCGTTCCAAATCGACCGCTTTCTTGGTCGATTTGTCATTGTTTGGGGATTCAATAGAGTCTTTGATGTACTTTGCCAGCTTCTTTGCTTTTTTCGGTGACAAAAGTTGACAATCTTCTTTGCTTACTGTAGTTTTAGGGCTGTTCAGGCTTAATGGAACTGTTTTCGCCGAATCTTGAAAGTCAAGCGAAACATCGGCGGAGAGCGGCGGAGCCTTCGCTGAGCTCATTCAATGCCGTCTGAAATTGAATATTAGTTACTTTAAAAGTGTATATATGACAATATGCCTCGAATTTGAAGGTATTGTATAACAAAAAAACCCTAGTCCAGAGCCCTAGCCGAGAGCCATAGCCCACAAACCTAGTCCAGAGCCCTAGCCCAGAGCTCTAGTCCAGAGCCTTATTCTAGCCTAAACCGTAGCTTAAACCCTAGCCCAAGCCTAATTTTATCTCTAGGCTAATTCTCACCTTACCATAAATTACAGGTGGCTATCGGTCCACTTCGCTCTTAAAGTCAAGGCCCAAACCTTAAACATTTTTAGCCTGAACGGACTGATTTTGAAAAAGCATTTGACTTGCCCGGACCGATAAATAAAAAAATAATAGAAGTAGCCCTAGCCCTGTATTATGTTACAGTATGTTGGTCATTTTTTCCCTACTTCACCAACACTTACTCTACCGTAATCTACCACTCCTTGCCCTACCATTTTTACTCTATCCCCCTCCCCCCCCCCCCCCCCTTTTTCCACTTTACCCTACCCTCTACCCAACTTATCACTCTTTATCATATCCCACCCCAACCCAATCACAGACCACTTCAGACATGTCCAAAAAGCAGAAAATGATACCAGGGCATGGTGAAAAGGCGTGGAACGGCAAACAACTTTAGAAAACAACCGTCTCTCTGTTCCTTGCCCGAGGCATTTAATTTCCACGACATGTTTATTCGAATATGCCAAAAACACAAACACGAAAAAGGGCTGGTGCTAATGACACAAAGCTGGTATTTTCGGATTCTTAATTGGTTCTTCACGAATTTTAAATCGTTTTTGGTCCTAGGGCATCATAGGAATACAGTATGAGTACAATGGGACCAGACAGTTATAAGTGTCAATTGAGAGAATATACTTTTGTTGACGAACTGCTAAAACTTTGTTTACAAAACTTTTCTTATGAAAAAATAGGTAAGATGGAGTAGAACAGACAAAGGAAAGGCAGCATAGACTAAGATAGTGTAAGGTAGGTAGGGTACGGTTAGGTCGGGTAAGATAAGGTAGGTTAGGGTAACGTTGTGTAAGGTAAAGGGTGGATAGAGTAGAATAAGGTAGGGTACGGTAGAGTAGCAAGACAAGCCACAGGCAAGGCACAGGCCAAGGCAAGGCAAAGCACAGGCAAGGCACAGGCAAGGCACAGGCCAAAGCACAGGCCAAGGCACAGGCCAAGGCACAGTAGGAAATGCTTCTACTGTACCTAATACCCGTAAAACCTTTCCCACCTCTAGTGCCGTACCTCTATTATTACCATACCCGTGACTCCTTTCATACCGTAACCCTACTACCCTCTTCTTACTACACTACTTACCACCTCCCTTCCTTCACCTTTTTGATCTTCTTGTACTACCCTTGCCTTTACAGCACGAACTATCTGCACCTGTTATATATGTAAATACATTACCCCACCTGTCTCTGAGTTCATTCATTAATAATACCTTACTAAGGCTCACAACTAACAATCAACAAGAAAAAAATACCATGCCATAGGCACATACTGTAAAAATATCATAGTGGTATAGCATACACGTAGTGAAACTTAATAGTGAAACCTTTGATCGCTTAAACTTTGTTTCCAAAAAATTTTTAACGTAAAAAAATACACAGGAAGCAATTTGGATTCAATAGCCTCGAGCAATGTAAAGGTATCAATAAATGGCTATTCAAAGGAGTATTTACGGCATAAACATGTGATAACAGAGTTGTTATGACAATATATATATTCAATAGTAACTTTCATCGTAATAACTGTCAAAATATAAAATAAACAATTACTTTCTTTACAAAACACAAAATTTTTTTGAAAATTCAAAAAAATTTAAAATGCCATTCTTTATGTAATCTATATGTTCAACTTGAGAAAACAAAGAAACAAACCACTGCCATTTTGAATTCAGTGCCTTTTCCCAAGAAAACCAGACAAAAAAAATACTCGAAATGTAAACTTTTTTACTGTTTACATGTCCTTTCAGTCTTCGAGTGCCAATAAGGGTTATAGTAATTTAGTTACTATGTCTAAAACTTAATTGTTAAAGCTAATATGACAAATTAGATTTTGTCACAAAATGGAAAAAAAGTTTAAAAACAAAGCCTGCCCTACCCTACCCTATTCTACCCTACCATACCCTACCCTACCCTACCCTACCCTACCCAACCCTAACCTACCCTAATTTACTAGCCCTATCCTCCTATCCGAATCTCTACCAGCGTTGCCCAAGCCTCACCCTAGAATTACCTTGCCAAGTTCTGTCCTTCCCATTGTTATGTTAGCATCACTACCCTACCCTTCCTTAATGTAGGTTGCCCTGCCACTTGACATGTCCTATCCTGCCTTATATTTTCATGACCTGCCCTACCCAACTCAAATGTTCCCTACCCTACCTGCTGCGTGTTGCTCTATAAGCTGTTCTATCCTGCCTTGTTATTACCTGCCCTACATTATCCTGCCTTAAAATTCCATCTCCTACCCTGCCCTGCTACAAGTTGCTCTATAACCTAATCTAACAAGCCTTGTTCTTACTTTTCCTACCTTATCCTACCCTACATTTCCATGTCTGCCATAGCTCACTCTAATTTTACACTGCCTTGTCCTCTACGACAGTCCCTCAAATTTTCAAAAAAAAACGCTGTAAATACCAATTAACCTGCCCTTATAAGCCTGAACCCTAACAATCATAATCCAACGTTACCTCTATTAAACCCTATGCTAAAAAGACAAAAGTTAAGCTACTTATACCAGAATTACCCGCATTTCTCCTGGTTAAAGTACTTCCTTTCCAGACCCACGAAAGAGGAAGGCGAACCAAAGATCCCAACGTTTTCAGCCGTTTTTTCCCTTTTCTGCCTTTTATGTGTGGCATATGGATATGTCACATACTACAGAAAAAAATTTAAAAATGTATCAAAAAAAAATGTGAAAAATGGCAAGAATTTTCTTTACAAAATCCTTTTTTTTTAAACTGCAAGAACTTTCTTTACAAACCTTCAGGATTGCTTATTAAGAAAAAACTGCAGCATGCGGAAGACATGTTGTATGATTGTTCTAAAAAACTTTGTAAAATTGCAAGGACTTTCTTTACAAAAATTATTTTTTCGAAAAGCCGCGATAACTTTCTTTACAAAACATATTTTTTCAAAAACCGCAAGAACTTTCTTTACAAAACTCGTTTTTCCAAAAACCGCAAGAACTTTCTTTACAAAACTCATTTTACAAAAAACTGCAAGGACTTTCTTTACAAAACACATCTTATGTGATACCACAAGAACTTTCTTTACAAAACCTATTTTTCTAAAAAACCGCAAAAACTTTCTTTACAAAACATATTTTTTGAAAAACCGCAAGAACTTTCTTTACAAAACATATTTTTTTAAAAACCGCAAAAACTTTCTTTACAAAACTCATTTTTTCAAAAATCGCAAGAACTTTCTTTACAAGAATATTCCAAAATTCAAAAGCAAGCCATTAAATTAATATGAAAAAGACAGATTTCTCCCAACTTCGCGGCCTAAAAATAAAACGAAAAAAGCGTGGTGGCCAGTGAGTTTTTTTTCATTACGACTAAAGGAAAGCCGAAAAAGACGTCGTTCGGAGCTATTTGGGTAACAATTTATTCAAAAAAAACCGTTTTTTTTGTTTTGTAAAGAAAGTTCTTGCCATTTTCTGTTTTGTAAAGAAAGTTCTTGCCATTTTCTGTTTTGTAAAGAAAGTTCTTGCCATTTTTTATTCTGTAAAAGAAGTTCTTGCCATTTTTCGTTTTGTAAATAAAGTTTTTGCCAATTTTTGTATTGTAAAGAAAGTGCTTGCCATTTTTTATAAAAATACAATTTGTAAACAAAGTATCTTCAAGTCTTTTGAAAATTAATTTTGAAATATGAAATTCCCATAGAAAAGCGAACTGTAAACAAAGTTTGCGTAAACACTCGTGATAAATAATATTATTGATGTTCTAACATAGAAAATGGCAAGAACTTTCTTTACAAACCTCATTTTACAATAATCCGCAATAACTTTCTTTCCAGATGCCAGACCCAAATTCTGAACCCAAGAGTTTCGAAAATTCCATTTCTGAAGCCAAAGATCCATCTAAACCGGCGGCCGAAACTGAAAAAGGTGGTTACTTGGACTTTTTCGAGGAAAAAGTAAGTGTTCGTTTACTTTGTAATACTATACTATTGCATGTTCTCCTACGTATATGGTAGAGATTATTTACATTTGAATTTAAAAGTTCATTTTTATTTACCCTACTTTACCCTACCCTACCTTACCCTGCCTTACCTTGCCCTATTTTACATTATCCCAGGCCCGGTCTGCTTTGCCCAAGCCTAGAATTACCGTGCCAAGTTATGCTTTTCCCTGCATTGCTTTGTCTTGCATGCTTGGACCCTACCTTAACCCTAGCCCTTCGTTACTTTACCCTAGCCACGTCTTTTCCTACCAGGTTTGTGCCTATATATACCATATATATTTGGTGCCCTCAACCTATTGTAGTCTAACCTACTTTATATTACTCTGTCCACCCCTACCTTAGTTTACTTTACTGTATACTGCCCTGCTCTAACTTGTTCTACTGCACTCTACCCATATTTACAAAAACATAGTTCACCCAACTCTACGTGATATAAACGTCCGTGCTCAATTTGATCATGCCCTACTACAACTTTTTGTGTTTTTAACAAAATGTCTGCCCAGAACATGAAAATTAACTTCTAATCTTAACAATGAGTATGTATAAAATTAATATTAACATTTGTATTACTGTATAACATACATCCATAATAATTCCTACCTGTGTTCAGAACCAGCGGCCTGAGGTGTTCATCGCGTGTACACAATGGATTTAACATTCCCTTAAACCTACTACAATATAAATGATGACTTCATACCAACAAACTCCATAAAATAATTCTGATTTGAAGATACCATGGTATATTACCAATGAAAATACCATAGTATGTTACTAGGTCATTACAATCAACCTCAACATATGTTTCAATCATCATGTGAAAGGTCTTTACTCATATCATATTTTACGTCATAATATATACAAACAAACATTATTTTACAAAGTTACAGTATACGTAAATTCTTTACATGGCAAGCTAAAGTACACCCATAGACTCAATACTAGGCAAACCTCTAACTCAATATCCAGGAGCAGTTCTAGGGTTATGACAATGTGAACATCCGCCCTTTTCTCCCTCAGGACCAGGATATCCTTGTTGACCAGTCTCACCATCCCGGCCTGGTGCACCTGGAGCACCAACATCTCCAGGTGGACCTTGAGTAGTACCACCAGGCTGTCCGTCAGTACCAGATGGACCTGGATGTCCTGGCAAACCAATTGGTCCCACTGGTCCTGGTGGTCCGATTCTAGTTGGTAGGTCTTGTAGTCGACCATCATTACCAGGACGACCAGCCTGGCCTGGTGCACCTGGCTCACCTCGAGGTCCTTGATGACCTGGATGCCCCGGACGACCTGGATAAGATGGCTGAGATGGTCTGCCTGGGTAGCCGTTCTGGCCTGGTCTTCCTGGCTGACCTGATTGACCAGGTGCTCCAGCTGGACCAGGTTGGCAGTCAAAACAGAAGGTTGGTGGTGGTTGGTAAGGTCGGTTCGGTCCTGGTAGTCCATCATTACCCGGCTGACCTGGTAAACCATCGTGACCGTCGTAGCCGGGTGGTCCTGGGGGTCCAGGTAGGCCCGGTGGTGATACGCCACATCCACAACATCCGGATGATGGTGAAGATTGAGAGTAGTCTTGGTTAAAAGCAGCTGGAATTAAGGTGGAGTAGGCGGGTGAAGCAGTTGGAGAGGCTTCGGGAGCTGGGTAGGATTCTGGAGGCGGTGCTATGGTATCGTAGGCAACGGCTACTGGAGCCCTGTTGGCTGGAGCTGAGGTTGTTTGAGGCTCTTGGTACGATGGAGCTGGGGTACCATAAGCTGGGGCTGGATTACCATAGTTAGCGGCATCTGGAGAGCTCAAAGCATCGTATGGATTCTCAGAAGGAGGATACGCGTCCCTATAAGCCCTTGGAGCCTTCCGTGAGGTCACAGAGGACACTACATGAGGTCGGAAGCTTCGTTTTCGACGATGGAGATCATTTGCTATCTAAAATCACAAAAAATCGTTTAAAAATGGCTTTAAACTACATAAAATAAGACATAATAAGTTTTCATTAAAGTATATCAAAAACAATATAGTTTTGACGAAAAAACAACATTTTAATCAAAATACGACAAAAACCGACTAAAGCAAGGTAAAATACGTCAAAGCGCCTCATTAGTTCTAACATAAACCAACCTTGGTAACTCGAATTTCGCTGAAAACATTGGCCGCGCGAAGCCGACAAAACTCCAGTTCATGTTGCATATTCGCCTGAACTTGCTGAATATGCTCATAGATCATGGGAACCGACACAATAGCCATCAACGTTCCAAATGTGGCCAATGTTGATCCGAAAATGGCCCAAAATCGAAGCTCATTGGCTTCGGCCGCCTTTGACTCGGTCATAATAACCTGAAAGAAGGTGGTGGTTAGGTTTGAGGGAAGATTTTGCAAGGTTGTTGAAAGGTAAATGAATGGTGTTTAGGCTTATAAGACAGCTGAAGGGCTAATTTATATCATAGAAACAATAAAATGTCATTTTTGAAACAGTAAAATACCAAAAAATTAATTTTTCTCCGACCCGACATCAAATCTTCTAACATAACATCACTGCACGGTAATATCTCATAAACTTTAAAATTTATCCTAACAAATTTAAACTTCAAAAATAGCCCAGAATGTCTTCTAAATTATACAACAACATCCGTTATGAAATTCAACCAATAAAACACCAAACAATTCATTTATCTTCACCATCCCTAAAAATTTGACGTTGCCCTCATTGTTTGAAGCAAAATAAACAAACCCTTACCTTTTATACTCCATCCATACAACAATACCATGCTGGTAACAAAGCTCGACCTGTCAACCTTCATTTTCCGTTGTTTTTTCACGCCTTCGCTGCAAACGACATCCTTATCTCCACCATCTATATTGTTCTGAAAGTGAAAGCTCAACGAATATGTCGGAAACGTGCGCGAAACGATTTTGTTCTGAAAAATAACAGTTAAGAATAGATTTATAGACTGTTTACAACAGTATTTGTGAAAGTAGTTTGGTATACCGTGACTATCTTGATCAAAACGTGTCTATGTTTATGTTGATCATGATTAAGATCAATGAATCATAGAAAATTTGGTTTTTAGTAATAAAATTAATAAAATAAAATAGTTTGACAAGATACATACCGTAAAAGTGCATTTCAAATTCATTTTCAACGTTTGAATCAAAAGTTTTCTCGGAGAGAGAAACATTTGACCCAAACTCTAATTTTGCGCCAACAGTTTCTTTTTTTCGAAAAATAATTATTTTTTCATGAAAATTCTGATGTAATTCTATTTTTCTGCCAATATTTAGTCCATAATCACTATAAAAACTTCTATTTTTTCTAAAGTACGAATGAAATGTTACGTAACGCCTTACAACTAAGAATATTTACTGGTATTTCGACGAATTTTAGCTCTAGTATAAGATGTTTTAATCAAAATTCAACATTATTGTCGAGATATCGGCCGAGGACGAGAAGACCGTTGGCTGAACCTAAACCAAAGGATTTTAAACTGGTTACAGATGAGTTACAACAGTTCCATGCAGATTCTATTGGCCTCCGACCGCCATCGCATTTGTGGAGAGCTGTAGGGTTTACCGCTGGTGTAAGTTAATATTTTTGTGTTGTGTTTGTGTTTTTAGGTTTGAAATTGTTACTATAAGTTGGATATACGTTTTTTGAAGATATTCACAAAGTTTTATTGAGGAGTATATCTTTCAATTTGAGATACATTTTAATTTGTAAAGCGCATCAGCTGATGTTTAGTGTAATATAGGATTTGATGTTTTCATGGTCGACATAGGTTGTAAATGCCTATGAAGTTAATTTTATAAGAAAAAGTAGAGTGTTGTAAAGGCTGCTGCAAAGTTTCATAAAAAATTGAGACTTTGCTTTTGATCTGCAACCAAATTTGTGAACATGAGTAGTGTAATATTCAACTTGGCTTCAAAAAATCTTTGTTTTACCAACTTTTTATAACGCCATGTTCACAATATTTAAAGTATAGAGAACGAAGGTTTTAATTAACGTATTTTACAGTTAGCAGCAGTCTCCTACACTGTCGCAGCGTACAATGACTTTCAACGACAAAAGGATCTGTTGAAGAAGTCTGTATCCTCGTTTTTCTCTGATTTTTCGTTTGAATCTTTTTTTGCTGATTCAGAAGGTCACACCAGTCATCAGGAATTTAAATTGACACCGGGACAAAAGCTGGTGTTTGGATTAATAGCAGCAAATGTTGTGGTAACATTGCTATGGAGAATACCAGCCATGAGGAACTTCATGATGCAATATTTTACGAATTCCTTTGCTCAGAGTAAGATTTTTGTTGTGTCTGTTATTTTTTAGGTGTGATTGTTGCTGTGGTTGTTTATTTTTTATAAGTGTCAAGAACTTTGTTTACAAATTTTGGTTTTTAGAAAGCTTGTGCATTCCCATGGTATCTTCAGTATTTTCCCATAGTAGTTTCATTCATTTGGGGTTGAATATGTATGTTCTACATAGTTTTGCATCAGTTTCAGTGGATCGATTCTTTGGCGTGGATCAGGTAATAATTTTTTTGATTTTTTGAAATTTTAAATAATAGAAGTCTAAAGAGGCATAATCTTGGTATAGTATGGCTTTTGTACTAAAATTTTTGATGCTGGTACTAAGGTTTTATTTTCAGTTTTTGGCATTTTACCTTACAGCTGGTGCTTTTTCTTCACTGACTAGTTTAATTCACAAATCAGCCGTTGCTTCGCCGGTGAGAGCACTTGGAGCGGTAGGTTGGACATTCTTTTTATAACATTTGTATCTTTTTATAAAAATGCAAGAACTTTCTTTACAAAACATAAAATGGCAAGAAATTTCTTTAAAATCAAAAAATGGCAAAAACTTTTTTTACAAATCAAAAATTTTTAAATTTCCATTAAAATTCATTTTCAGTCCGGAGCGATCTGCGCCCTACTAGTCTACACCTGCATGAAGATACCAGACTCACGTCTCTCCATCGTCTTCCTTCCAATGTTCACGTTCAGTGCGGAGAACGCTGCATTCGGATTAATGGCATTCGATCTCATCGGCCTAATATTCAAATTCAAACTCTTTGATCATGCCGCCCACCTGGGTGGCAGTATATTTGGGTTATGGTACGCGTGGTACGGTCAACAATTTGTGGAAAGAAAGTTCTTTCCTTTCATTCAGGGATTCTTGAAATGAATAAAGATTTTAGGTAGATTTTGGCATTTTTGGGAAGAAACTTTGTTTACAAAATTTTTTTTTGAAAAACCGCAAGAACTTTCTTTACAAACCTCATTTTTCTAAAACCGCAAGAACTTTCTTTACAAAACTCATTTTTAAAAAACCGCAAGAACTTTGTTTACAGCTTCATAAGTTTGTAAAATACGTTTATTTAACTTTAGACAATTTTAAAATTCAACAATGTTCGAAGCGGAACTCCAGTCTGGGTAACACATTTGAAGGCAGTCTGGCTCACGACAACAAACGTTATCAGCCGCATCGTTTACATTGGTGTTGTACTTGCACAAGGTTTTACTCTTCACAAACATGTTCATCTTGTGCTCGATTTTACGGGTCGCTGAAATTTTAAAAACGTTAATAATGGTAGGGTACGGTAGGTTAGGGTGGATTGGGTAGGTTAATGCAGAGTAGGGTAGGGTAAGACAAGGTAAGATACCGTAAAGTAGGGTAGGGAACGTATCGTACGGTGGAGAATGATAGGAATGAACAGTAAGGTAAGATGTGTCAGGACTAGTGTTAGGGGTAGGGTAGGATATATTTATTATTATAAGAAAGTACTGTATGGTTGAATATGATAGGATATGTCAAATCTTTGTGTTGTAATAAGAGTACGTGTAAAATAAAGTAGACTCGGGTTATTGTTATAGTACTATAAGATAGGGTATGGTAGGGTAGTCCTAAGGCAGGGTGGATTAAAAATAGGGTAAGGTAAGGCAGAGTAGGGTCAGGCAGGGTAGAGTAGCGTAAAGTAGAGTAGGGTAGTGTAGGGTAGGGTAAAGAAGGGTGGGTAGTAAAATGTAAAATACGATAATATGTCCCATACCTGTACTATAATACGATCCCAAGTAGCACGGTTCCTGATGGTACTTAAACGTGCACCTTTTTTCAAGTTGTCGTATCATATTGAGAACACAATTGCCACTTCTCTCAACCTTGTTTTGCTCAAGAAGAACGTTGTGTTCACGTTCGTCTAGAGCGTGCAAGAGCTGGATAAATGGCACCAAGTTTTGAGCTTTTGATTGATGACAAAGTAATGTAACTAAGATGACAGTTGATATTAAGGTAGGTAGGAGCTTCATATAGGTAGGAGATGATGGTGATTGTTGTAGTAAAAGCTGTAAAATAGAAAGGCTATGACATTATAATATTAGTTTATATACTTTTTATGAATAATACTTTTTTAGGTATTACTTTCAAAATAGCACGTCAATAAGCATGAGTAACAGCTTATAGTAAAGTGTTTAACCTATAAAGTTAATTATGATAATATAATGACGCGTGATATTAATATAAGTATCGTTAACGTCACAAATGTCAAAATATTTACTTTCAAAACAAAATAATAATTAAAGTTATTGTTACTGTGTTATTTTAATTAACTTTGGCTCACAGTCTCAGTATTATATTTTCTCAATAAGTAATAAGTTTATGCTCTTATATGTAATTAAGATATACAGTATTATAAGTTGGGGTAAAGGACATTTTGACCTTCTCGGACCCACATGTGCCGCCCCCTCCTCTCAATTTTTGCTTCTAGCCTAGCCCAGCCCGGTGACCTAAAAGGAGGCTCACTAGCCGTGCTTAGTGAGCCTCCTTTCAGGTCTATTGCCTTGCCGTCATACAAGTTTTGTAACAGAACTTTTCGCGCACCCTCTATATTATAACATTTTTACCCTTCTTTCCTGCCTCCCCTCCTCTTGCAAACTCACCCAATTTTTTAAAGTAGAAAATTCTCTCCCTGTTATTAAAAAACTTTTAAAAAAGTTTTGCCATCCCCCCTTTAAAACACGTTTTTTATAACAGTCGAACCCAAGCGGCATTGAGAATTTCAAAGTGGTTTAAAACGGCTCAAATTTTGTGATTAACTTTCTAGGTACTCAGTAATACTAAAAATCAAGAAAAAACTTTTTTTTGTTACTGTACCTGGGAGTACTGTAATTGGGGTCGACTTTTCATATCTCGGGAACCCGTTGTTGTAGAAAGATGCGGTCTTTGCCATCGTGTTCTGCGTTCCAAATGACGATTATTTGCTGTTGACATTAAAGTTCTGTAACTTCGGAAACAAACTCAAAAACATAAAAAACCTAAGGCAGTTTCGAAAATTTCGAAATTTCTCGAAAAAAAATATAAACCGGTACACTTTTTTACTTGCGAAAACAGCAAATCGTCATTTTGAACGTAGAACACGATCGCAAAGACCGCATCTTTCTACAACAACTGGTTCTCGAGATATGAAAAGTCGACCCCAATTACAGTACTCCCAGGTACAGTAACAAAAAAAAAGTTTTTTTCTTGATTTTTAGTATTACTGAGTACCTAGAAAGTTAATCACAAAATTTGAGCCGTTTTAAACCACTTTGAAATTCTCAATGCCGCTTGGGTTCGATATAGCTCGACTGTTACAAAAAACGAGTTTTAAACAAAATTGCATTCTCCGAACTAACGACAGCACTGCTAGTAAAAACTGAAAATGAAAACGTTCTGTCTGTTTTTTGTCGGTATTGAGAAGATAATAAAGAAGGATGTTTACCTTCAAAAATACCTTAATACCCTATTGGGTATTATCTTATTGAAACCAGGTAATCCTGAAAAGTAATCCTTTGAAAAACGTCTTTCACAACTGCTCAGTAGTATTAAATAGGGGTTAGAAACGGGCCGGCCTTGAGCTAAAATTGAAACGGGCCGGGCCCAAAGGTTAGGCCCGGCCCGCGGGCCGGGCTTGAAAATTGGGATAAGGCCCAAAAAAAAATTTTTTTATTTTAATCCCCGTTGATGTTTTTTTATTTTATTGGGTACCATGATACATAAATGACCTAAAAGAACAATGGAAAGCCAAATTTCTGTTTATTTTTTAAGTTTTAAAATTTTTTAAAACGGGCCGGGCCTAGAAATTTTCTGACCGGGCCGGGCCGGCCTGAGAGAAAATTGAAAACGGGCCGGGCCTGGGCCGGGCCTAAAAAGTGGGCCCGGCCCGGCTCTTTTCTCACCCCTAGTATTAAAGAACTGAAAAAATCTAGACAGTACGGTTTCCAATATACTGAAAAACATGATAGAAGCAAGATTAAGGTGATTCTATTATATTTCGATTACATCCGAGATAAAGATAGATAATGCAAGGTTTATGCAACTTATATTTTGAGTGATAGGTTAAAAACTTTCTTTACAAAATAGAAAATGGCTAGGGTACAACAAGTGTGAGAATAGACAACGGATAGGGTTCGGGCTAGGGCTCAGGTCTAGAGCTCTGGGCTAGGGCAGATGTGAACATAAAAATCTAACTCACGGTGCATGTTTTTACGCAAAAACATTTTCGGCCGAGCATCAGCAAAATGAACAACGGCCCGGGCTTGAAAACTAGGCCCGTCCCGATCTCATGCCTAGATGAATGGCTCTCTTTGCGCTAAGGAACTGGGCTAAGGGTCTGGGCTGGGGCTCTAGGCTAGGATTCTAGGCTAGGGACCTGGGCTAGGGCTCTAGGCTAAGGCTCTGGTTTAGGGCTCTCAAGCTAAGACTCTGGGATAGGGCTCTGAGCTAGGACTTTGGGCTAGTGCTCTGGGCTAGGGCTTTGGATTAGGACTTTGGGCTAGGGCTAGGGCTCTGGGCTAGGGCTCTGGGCCAGGGATCTGGGCTAGGGCGTGGGCTAGGGCTCTGGTCTAGGGCTCTGGAATAGGGCGTGGGCTAGGGCTCTGAGCTAGGGCTCTGGGCTAAAGCTTTTGGGCTAGGGCTTTTGGGCTGTGGTTAAGGTAAAAGCTAACTCAAAACGTACGTTTACATAAAGACATTTTTTAGTATGTTTCAAAGCTCCTATTTATGTTACAGACTACACAATTTATCACGCAGTTTACTTTATTTACCATTTCCTTTTGAATAGTAATGCCATTTCAATAGTCAAACATTAATGGCATTTGAAAACAAATCTGAATTAACAAGTATTCAAATTAGAATTCGAATACTTGGAAATGGTGAAAAAGAGCAGTTTTGGTGTCTACATCACCATGTTTACGAATTGTCATCGGACAAATATGACTATGTAATGTAAAAACATATTGTAGTAGACATACGACATCAAAAACATGGTAATTGTACCTTTATGTAAGTGGAAAACTATAAAATGTACCATGATAATACCTATATGTAAGTGGGAAACTATGAAATATGCTATGGTAAACATACTACTTGATAGTAAGTAGTATTGACGTATAACGGCCTTTATCGTATAGTTGGTTACTGTTTGTATCTATTAGGTTGTTCAAACAATCCTAAGCCTCCTCTTACAGCACATTTTTAGGGTCAGGGAGCACAGAATTATCTGAACGTTCTTAGGGAGCACAGGACTATTTGAAAAATCTTAGGAGGCTCAGAATTATTTGAACAACCTTAGGGGCACACTATTAGTTGAACAATCCGAAGAGCTCAGAATTAATTGAACAACATTAGGGGGCACTGAATTATCTGAACGTTTTTAGGAAGCACAGAAATATTTGTACAACCTTGGGGAGCACATCATTACGTAGACAACCTTAGGAGCACAAAACTAATTGAACAACCTTAGGAAGCACAGAGTTATTTGAACAACTTTAGGGGGTACAGAATTATTTGAACAATCTTAGGGAGCACAGAATTATTTGGACAACCTCAAGAAGCACAGAATTATCTGAACAGCCTTAAGGAGCACACAATTAGTTGAACAACTTTACAAGGCTCAGAATTATTTGAACAATCTTAGAGGGCACGCAACTTACTGAACAACATAGCTAGTTCAGAATTTTATGAACAACATTAAGGGGCTCAGAATTATTTGAACAACCCAACACACCCATAGATGACTGCAAAATGTACATACATATCATAGTAAACATATATATGTATACCTACATAACATTATGATTACATACACCCATACACCTACATACCATAGTAATTACACGCCTTTGTAAATGTAATCCAACCCAAATAACACAGTAAAAAATTAATTTTAATTGCAGTCTATACAAATACTGGCTGGTTTGGAGAGTATAATAACATATTACACTTGTACATGAATGTGATCATTCATTAAGCTTTACTGTCTGTTTTCATATTAAGATGAAGAGTATGGTTGATTAGACGGATTCTAGTGCAATACTATATATAGCATGGTGCAAACAAAATTTAAAGAGTTGCTTTGTAAAGAAAGTTTTTGCCACTTTGAGTTTTGTAAAGAAAGTATTGAGTTTTTAAAATAAGTGTGTTTTGTAAAGAAAGTTCATGCGGTTTTTCGAAAAATTGAGTTTTGTAAAGAAAGTTCTTGCGGTTTTTCGAATGAATGAGTTTTGTAATTGCAAAAACTTTCTTTCCAATATTTGTTGCCACTTTCAAAGTTCAACCGGTTTTCCATCAACTTTTCGATTAGGTTTGTTGTTATTACACAAGTTTATTTCCAAATTGAAATGAATCAACAAGAGAGGGAACAGGTAAAAGGCTGTCTAATGAGCTGAAAGCCTTCGAAAAGAATCAGTTTTTGATCAAAAATAATATGAAAAAGGCTCTCTCAGTCTTCAGTCTGTGGTTTCTGCTGGTTCTGGATGTCAATTGTTATCATTTTAGAAAGTTGTACCCGGAATTGACCAGTAAGTTAAGAATTTATTGTTATATTGGGAAGAACTTTCTTTACAAAATTTAGAATTGCAAGAACTTGTGTACGGCCGAATTATTCGCGCGTTCTTTACAAAACAAAAAAAGGCAAGAACTTTTTTTACAAAACAAGACATAGCCAAAACTTTCTTTAAAAAACAAAAAAAGGCAAGAACTTTCCTTACAAAACAAAAAATTGCAAGAACTTTCTTTACAAAACAAGACATAGCCAAAACTTTCTTTAAAAAACAAAAAAAGGCAAGAACTTTCTTTACAAAACAAGACATAGCCAAAACTTTCTTTAAAAAACAAAAAATGGCAAGAACTTTCTTTACAAAACAAGACATAGCCAAAACTTTCTTTAAAAAACAAAAAAAGGCAAGAACTTTCCTTACAAAACAAAAAATTGCAAGAACTTTCTTTACAAAACAAGACATAGCCAAAACTTTCTTTAAAAAACAAAAAAAGGCAAGAACTTTCTTTACAGAAAATAAAATGGCAAAAACTTGCGTACGGCTGAATTATTCGCGCGTACATAAGTTTGTTTAACTAATGTAAAAACAAAAAATTGCAAGAATTTTGTTTACAAAACATGAAATTGCAAGAACTTTCTTTACAAAACAAAAAATGTCAAGAACTTTCTTTACAGCCCTACTCCAAAGTGATGTAAGTGGAAATGCGGATGGATTGAACCGAGCTCAACGTAAATTATTATTAGTATTAGTTAATAATGACGAAGGTGAAGAAGATCACTTTTTTGAAGCTATTAGAGATCATAAAGTGGCCAAAAGATTCGTAGATGTATTTGAAACCGCGTTGGCTGAGTCGAATCTCAGCGAAAGTATGAGGAAATATCTTCTAGAGGTAAGTTGTTATAGTCTAGCCCTAGCCCAGAGCCCTGGCTCAGAGCCCTAGCCCAGAGCCCCAGCCCAGAGCCCCAGCCCAGAGCCCTAGTCCAGAGCCCTAGCCCAGAGCCCTAGCCCAGAGCCCTAGCCCAAAGCGCTAGCCCAAAGCGCTAGCCCAGAACCCTAGCTCAGAGCCCAGCCTAGAGCCCCAGCCCAGAGCCCCAGCCCAGAGCCCCAGCCCAGAGCCCTAGTCCAGAGTCTTAGCCCAGAGCCCCGGCCCAGAGCCCTAGTCCAGAGTCCTAGCCCAGAGCCCTAGTCCAGAGCCCTAGCCCAGAGCCCTAGCCCAGAGCCCTAGCCCCGAGCCCTAGCCCAGAGCCCTAGTCCAGAGTCCTAGCCCTAGACTATAATCTAGTCCCGGCCCTATCCTTAGCTCTAGCCTGTGACCATTATTTTCATGCACATGCCCATACCCCACTCTATGATCTAATCTATCTGTGAGCTCTAGTTATAGCTCATGATCTAGTCTTAGCCATAGGTCTTGTTCTAGCCCAGCTCTGTCATCATGCCATTGGCAATGATTATGACGATGGTCATGTGCATGCCCATGCCCTAGCTCTTGCTTACTTCTGACTTACTCTACTCTACTGTAGCCCTACTCTACCTTAGCCTTAGTCTACCTCAGCTTTAACTTACTTTTACTGTGCCTACTTCAGCGTACCTTACCCTTACTGCAACCCTACTCTATCTTAATCTTACCTTACTCGTACTGTATCTCTACTCTAGCATTATCTTAATTGTAAACTATAAATATTGATATTATCAACAATTTCCTTCCCTTTCAGATCCAAAAAAGTCTCCATACGTTGTACAGTGTCTCGAAATCACCCACCAATATCGACCGTCAGCTAGTCCACTCGGCTTTGTCAAACATCTGGAACAAATATGACAAACTTTCATCGAACGAAAAGGGACTGATTATCAAAAAAGCCCCAGAATTCTTAGATTTGAACACAAACGGAGATGAATGGCTAGCTAAACGACGACCAGTGCAAATTATGAATCAGCCACATTCGTTTAACAGTGGCTCTAGTTTATACTGTAATATTATTGTTGTACTAGTTAGTATGGTACTGTTTTTGATGTAAATAAATTTTTTATAATACATTATTTGAAACTCTGCAAGAACTTTCTTTACAAAACACGTTTTTAGGAAATCGCAAGAACTTTCTTTACAAAGCAGCTGCCCTACCCTACCCAACAAAATAATAAAATTTATTCAAATCCCAACATAACGATACTTTTCGAAATACAGTACTTGTACTAACGCTTTGTCTTCGAATGAGAATAAAACGGCGACAGAAATCATTGCGACTGATATCGCCCGGTCGATAAGATCATCGTCCAAGTAAAATAAGCCAGCAAAGCCCCAGATGCCAAGTGTTAGGTAGATGAGCTTGATGCGAAGGGAGTACCATCGAAGTAGGTAGGCGTTCTGAAAGTAATTTTTTTATGTTTATAGTTTGTGTTACAGTAGCCTAAGAGTATAGCCAACAAGCGTTTTCTTGAAAAATTGCAAGAACTTTCTTTCCAAAACTTATGTTTACCAAAACCGCAAGAACTTTCTTTCCAAAACTCATGTTTACCAAAACCGCAAGAACTTTCTTTCCAAAACTCATTTTTACTAAAACCGCAAGAACTTTCTTTCCAAAACTCATGTTTACCAAAACCGCAAGAACTTTCTTTCCAAAACTCATGTTTACCAAAACCGCAAGAACTTTCTTTCCAAAACTCATGTTTACCAAAACCGCAAGAACTTTCTTTCCAAAACTCATGTTTACCAAAACCGCAAGAACTTTCTTTACAGTTTTTAAAATTGATGGCAAACTTACATGAGTATAAAGTATATAAACTCCGAATAGCATGGTAATAAACATGACTCCAATGACTACTGTTATGGCTATCAAGTCTTTGTGGTAATCCTGAAATTTAGGGTCTTAAACTATAAAAAGGTGTAGGCTACGGTAGAGTCTAAGGTTCAATAGGGTTTAGGCTACGGTAAAGCTTTGGGTACAATAAAACCGAGTACAGTACGGCCAAAGGTAAGATAGAGCTTAGAACACGCTATGGCCTAGGGTAGGTTAGAACTTAAGGTACGGTTGAGTAAAGGGTACGGCAAAGCATTGAGTACGGTAAAACGTAGGGTTCGGTAGGGTAAGGCCTATAGTACGATAGAAACTATCGTTTTGTAGGGCTTAAAATACGTGAAGGGCAAAGGCACGTTAAGGCATAGAGTACAGTAGGGTCTAGTTCACTGTAGCCAATAAGCCACAGTGAGGCCTAGACCAAGGTAGGGTAAGATGTAATTTAGTTCAAAACGTACTGTTTTTACTGTAACATAACCAAAAGCTGTTTTTGCTACTGTAACATTTAAAACTTATGTTACTTACTGAAAAAAAGTAAAAAAACATACAAAAAGGTACAACAATATCTTCAAAACGCCGAAACAAGCCAATTCAATAAAGAATTCGAGCACAAAATACTGATAGAGAAAGACTAATGGATGAATCCCAGCTGTCGATGTGGCTTTGGCTACTGAATCCGCGTCGCCAAAGTTGTCCAACAACCATCTTATCATTTGGGTAACAAAAATAATGGCAGTTTATGAAGATTTTATTTTTTTTTAAATTTTAAAAAATTATGCTTTTGGATTTTTACAAAAGGTAAATTTTGTAAAGAAAGTTCTTGCAGTTTTTGGAAAAATGAGCTTTGTAAAGAAAGTTCTTGCGGTTTTCCAAAAAATGAGCTTTGTAAAGAAAGTTCTTGCGGTTTTTCAAAAAATGAGCTTTGTAAAGAAAGTTCTTGCGGTTTTTCAAAAAATGAGTTTTGTAAAGAAAGTTATTGCGGTTTTTAAAAAAATAAGTTTTGTAAAGAAAGTTATTGCGGTTTTTAAAAAAATGAGCTTTGTAAAGAAAATTTGTCATTAAAAAACATAATTTTTTAAAAATTAAAAATCCAGAAAAATAAAAATTTATTTTGCCTCTTTTTTGTATTGTCATATAACAATAAAATACTATATAAGGTACAACAATAAATAATTTGATCACATCCTATCTGATTCCCTGATTGCCAAATCTAGTAGGTCTTCTTGTTGACATTCCTGGCCCAACTCCCAAAGTTCGGTGGTTGAATTGAGCGAATCGACTGTCATTACTCTACACCTGTCTCCACAGTTGTGGACTCTAAAAAATTGGAGCTGTAAAGAAAGTTCTTGCCATTTTTTGGTTTGTAAAGAAAATTCTTGCCATTTTTTGTTTCGTAAAGAACTTTCTTGCCATTTTATGGTTTGTAAAGAAAGTTATTGCCATTTTTTGCTTTTTAAAGAAAGTTCTTGCCATAAAACGTAAACTTACACTTGAATGACCAATTTGAACTCTCCAAAGCCTCTTGATGCCGTTTGGTACCAATAAGAGCCATTAAAGTCATCATTTGTTCCTTTTGCTTCTATTAGATTTACCGGTCGATAATCATCACTTAGGTTCGCATTTCTGTTGTATAATCTCAGTAACTGAAAATGAAAATGTAAAATGGCAAGAACTTTTTTTACATGACTTAAAATGGCAATAACTTTCTTTACAAAACAGAAAATGGCAAGAACTTTCTTTACAAAACAAGAAATAGCAAGAACTTTCTTTATAAACTGAAAAATGGCAAGGTTAACTTACAACAGGTTGGTTCCAAGCTGTTCCATTACAGGTAAAGTCCGTCTTGATTTGTATAATACGGTAGTGTAACATCCCAATCGTGAAGAACATAATAACAATAGATATTAGAAATAACACTAATATACCATAATGATTCCACTTTTTAGCAGTAATCGTAATCGACCACATCTCTGAGAGTAAAAAATGTAATAAATAAAAAAAATATTATCATTTTTGATTTTGAAAATTTAAAAAAAATTAGGTTTTTGATACTTTTTTATTAAATTTTGCTATTTTTTGTTTTGTAAAGAAAGTTCTTGCCATTTTATGTTTTGTAAAGAAAGTTCTTGCCATTTTTTGTCTCGTAAAGAAAGTTCTTGCTGTTTTTATATTCTGCAAAACAAGTTTTCTTCATTTTTTACGTTTTCTTGATTTGTAATTCTCGCGTACATTAGTTAAACCTTATGTACGCGCGAATAATTCGGCCGTATCCATGTTTTTGCCATTTTCTAATTTGTAAAGAAAGTTCTTGCCATTTTATGTTTTGTAAATAAATTTCTTGTCATTTTACATTTTGTAAAGAAAGTTCTTTCCATTTTATGTTTTGTAAAGAAAGTGCTTGCCATTCTCTGTTTTGTAAACAAAGTTTTTGCCATTTTTTGCTTTGTAAATAAAGTTCTTACTTTTTTTTGGTTTGTAAAGAAAGTTCTTGCCATTTTCCCGCCACTTACTTTTAAAGCTTTGCCGCCTAAAAACACGGCGGAAAAAACATGTTCTACATAACCGATTCCATCGTATTACAACAAACATTTTTAAAAAAAAATTTAGTTTAAAATCTTGATTATTTCCAAAATGTTATCAGTTCGTAGCAAAATGAAGAAAAGATAATGTTTGTATGAATCAGTTTATGCGAAGGTCGTTGAGAATAATGTGATCAAACAGTTTTTTTTATTTGTTGAAAATGTTTGATGTTTATGAAAAAAATGACAAACACAGCCTTACCTATATCGCTACTCCACAGCCTTGGCCCAGAGCGCTAACCAAAAGCCCTAGCTCTAAGCCTTAGCTAATTTTTAACCGCAACATCGAAAACGACCGGTAAAGTTTTGTAACTGAACTTTTGGCGCACCCTGTATAGCTTTAGCTCAGCTCTACCCAACTCTACTTAACGCTACCCTCTAGCCGTCTCTAACTCATCTTTCTCCGTATATGTCTTGAGTTTAACATTTATTGTCCGTAAAAGTTTTTCAACAAAATGCCATAAAGAATTACTTTTGCTAGTTTTAGCATTGTACTTTTCCAGCATTCAAAAGCTCGATATGAGAGATGTTCCGCTCACTTTCAATTGTCACAATACGACAAGGTGAACCACAAGAGTGGAATCTGAAAGAGATATGGTTAGAATAACATTTTTGTACATTTTAATACAAATAGCAAGAACTTTCTTTACAAAACAAAAAATGCCAAGAACTTTCTTTACAAAACATAAAATATTAAAACCCTTACATTTCCATATAAGTATCTAAAGAAAAGTAGTAGTGTGCCATGGCTTGAACGCTATAAGAACCGTCGGCTTTTACAGGGACTGTTGCTAGCAATACATCCGGGCTGATAAAGGCACCTTTACCAAAGTGTTTCTCCCAGAGTTTTATCACCTAAAAGGGTATATATAACTCAAGGTAAGGATAGGGCTCTGGACTAGGGCTCTGGGCTAGGGCTCTGGGCTAGGGCTCTGGACTAGGGCTCTGGGCTAGGGCTCCGGGCTAGGGCTCCGGGCTAGGGCTCCGGGCTAGGGCTCCGGGCTAGGGCTCCGGGCTAGGGCTCCGGGCTAGGGCTCCGGGCTAGGGCTCCGGGCTAGGGCTCCGGGCTAGGGCTCCGGGCTAGGGCTCCGGGCTAGGGCTCCGGGCTAGGGCTCCGGGCTAGGGGCTCCGGGCTAGGGCTCCGGGCTAGGGCTCCGGGCTAGGGCTCCGGGCTAGGGCTCCGGGCTAGGGCTCCGGGCTAGGGCTCCGGGCTAGGGCTCCGGGCTAGGGCTCCGGGCTAGGGCTCCGGGCTAGGGCTCCGGGCTAGGGCTCCGGGCTAGGGCTCCGGGCTAGGGCTCCGGGCTAGGGCTCCGGGCTAGGGCTTTGGGCTAGGGCTTTGGGCTAGGGCTTTGGGCTAGGGCTTTGGGCTAGGGCTTTGGGCTAGGGCTTTGGGCTAGGGCTTTGGGCAGCCAAAGATTTGTTATACGTAGGTAACATACCGTAGTACCATTTGGAGGGTGCTTGATCACTTTACCAGTATATAAAAGCGGCTTTTCTTCAAGGAATGGGAAGCATCTATAATATAACAAAACAAAAATTTTAAAATTAAAAAAAATTTTTCAATTTTTTTTAAAAATTTTTGAATTTAAAAAAAATGAAAAAATAAAAACATAAGATGTATTTAAAAACTGCCGTATAAAGCATTGTTTTTACCTTACACTTGAGATAATAACCAAAATAAAGACAAAATAGGCCAACATTCTTTTGACCTAATAAAAAAATAATAAGTTTTGATTGTACAAAAAGTATTCTAAAATTTAAAAAAACAATAATTATTTTAAAAAAACCATTAAAAACACAATTATTAAAAATGAAAATTAAATTTTTTACTTTAATGGCTTTGGGAAAGTTTACAGTACATGTTCAAAAATGTAAAACGTTTTACTTTACTGTGTAAAACAACCAAAAATTAAAATTAAAATCAGACACATTTAATTAAATTTGTTGAGAATTCTTATTACTGAATTCTTAATACTGATAAAACAAGTTTTAAAGCCAAGAAATTTTCATTTTGATCAGACAATTTCATTTGTTTGACAATCATGGTCAAGTACATCTTCTTGTGTCTACTGGTAGCTGTAGTTGGAGGTAATACGTCTAAAAATAAGACAAAGTGAGATATACTTCATGTTTTGTGTAGTGATCGTTATAAGATTTTTGTTATAGTAATGTAATATATAGCACAGTTCTTTATAGAAGTGGTTGTTATAAGAGAGTTTGTTACAGCCGGTTCTACTGTATTATCTTATTATTGTTTAGGCCAGAAGATCGCGACCAGTGGTACGGTTATAGGCTTTTTTTGTAAAATCTGCTACAGTCTTGTTCTAGCCTTACTTTGAACTTACCTAGACCTGTAAGAAAGCCGAACCATTTAAAAATGGTTTTAGCTTAATCAGCTCTAAGTTAGCCCAGCCTAACTTAGAGCTGAAGCCATGATTTCGGCTGAGTCTAGCTGCCTTTCTTTCAGGTTTAGCCTAGTCTTAGCCTAGTCATACGTTATCCTTGTTCTAGCCCAATCTTTTGTTACAAGTCTTATTTTAAGACCCTAGGGCTTTTGTTTAGTCTCGGCTTTTGGCTTTGCACTATCCGGCCTAATTCAGGTTTTTTAATTTGTTTTGGCCTTACCCAGCTTATTACAAAGCCAGAGCTGGAGCTAAAGCCGGAGCCAAAGTCCACGCTAAAACCGTAGCTAAAGCCGGTGTTAAAACCAGAGCTAAAGCCAGAGCTAAAGCCAGAGCTAAAGCCAGAGCTAAAGCCAGAGCCAAAACCGAAGCCAAAAGCGAAGCTTTGAGACCGAGCCGAGCGTAAAAACCTCTCTTTCACCTTTAGCCCCAGGCTTGTTCTGTCTCTAATTTACTCTTAAGTCGAATTTTGAGACAAGGCCAAGCCACATATACCTTTCAACTTTAGCCTTACTCTAGCCTTATTTTACCTCTACCCCAATCCAACCTTAGCTTAGCTTTAGTCTAAGCTCAAGTCTTAGTAGACCCTTTTCTAATTTGACCTCAAACTTTAGGAAATACGTTTGTGGGAGAAGCGTCTTGGTCAGCATGCTTGGTTCTACCCGGACGAACTGTTAGCGAAGGTTGAGGCAAGCGAGGACGGAAAGTACCAAATTAGTGGTACTATTGATTATTGGTGGTCACCTGAATCGTACTTGGAAATGTAAGAATTTATGAATATTGGGTCGTTCAAATAATTCTGAGCTTTCTAAGGCAGTTCACATAATTCTGAGCTCTTTTACAATTGTTCAATTAGTTTTGAGCCCTCTATGTTTTCTCAAATATTTCTGTGCCTCTACGGTTGTTCAAATAATTCCGTGCCTCCACGGTTGTTTAAATAATTCCGTGCCTTTGGAGGCTGTTCAAATAATTCAGTGCCCCCTTAAGGTTGTTCAAATAATTATGTGCCTTCTAAGGTCGTTCAAATGATTCTGTGCCTCTAAGGTTGTTCAAATAGTTATATGCCCCCTTATGGTTGTTCAAATAATTATGTGCCCCTTTATGGTTGTTTAAATAATTTTGTGCCTCTTGATCCTAAAATTTGCTTTGAGGCTCAGAATTATTTGAACAACATAATATACAGAAGTGAAAAATTTACTGTGTCGTAGTAGACAGCAATTTAAAAGTTTCTTGTTATACATGGGTTTTACTGTATTTTTTAGTTTCCACACCTGTGGTGGCGAATGCCGTAAGATTGAACTGACATCCGAGAAGAATGTTACCTCTCTCGAGCTTCTTCACGTTGGATCTGATTGCAGAGCCAAGTTGAAGTCGCCAAAATGATTTTCTTATCAAGTTTTGCGTTTTGAAAATAAATTTAAAGTATCGCATTGCTACACCGGGCGTATTTTACAAAAACTAGGTCAAAAGTAAAGAAAATATACAACTTTCAATACTACAAGCTCTAGGTTACAGTAGAACCTATAGTACAGTAGAGGTTAACGTGCGGTAGGGCATATAGAACGGTAGGATTTATGGTACGATAAGACATAAGGTACAGTAAAGCTTAAAGTGCGGTAGAACATATAATACAACAGGACTTAAGTACTGTAAAGCCTATAGTACGGTAAAGCTTAGAGAACGGTAAGAAACATGGTACATTAAGGCATAAGGTACAGTAAAATCTAAGATCGGGTAGAACATAGAATAAAACATGATTTAGGCTACTTTAGAGCTATGGTATGGTTGACTTAAGTATTATTGTCTCAACTCAATAGGTACAACTTGGTCAAGCGTAGAGTAAAGCATAAAGGTTAAAACTAGCACAGAAGTTAAAACACGACGAGGTCCAGAAGAAAATTGAGTGTAGGGTACGGTAAGTGCTCTAGTACGATAACTCATGTGATATAATAGCCTCTAAGGTACCTTAGAACTTATAGTAGGATAAAGCCAAGAATACAGTAAAACATTGAATACATTAAGACAGGAAAAGCGAAAATTTATAGTACTGTAAGATCTAGGGTGCATTTACTACAGTACGATAACTCATGTGATATAATAAGTTTTAAAGTAGCTTCTAAGGCACTTTAGAACTTATAACAGGGTACAGCTTAAGATAAAGTAAGATATTGAATACAGTAAAACTCAAAAAAATAGAGCTTATAGTACGGTAAGTTCTAGAGTAAGGCATGTACTGTAGTACAATAATTCATATGGTACACTATTCTCAGTAAGGTAGGATTTCTAGTATGTTAGGGCCTAGAATACGGTATGACATTGAATATAGCAAGACCTAGAAAAAGGTGAAGCTTATGGTACAGTAAACTCCAGTGTACGATAAGGCCTATAGTATGGTAAATTTAAATGTGTTAATCAAATTTGAAAAAACCAAAAGTTAAAAGCTTTTTTAAAATTAATTAAAGCTTTATTGAAATTAACGCTATAAAAGTTTGTGAATACTACAATATCTTTCATTTTAATTCAAAATTGAACTTATTGATAATGTTCAAAATTTTTGTTCTTTGCTTCGTTGTTGTGGCTGTTAGTGCACAAGAACGGGGGTAAGTATACTGTAATTTCAAAACTTGTTTTCAACGTTGTAGTAATACGCGTATAGTGTATTGCAGCTCATAGTTTGCTAGATTTAAAAATTTTTAGTATCAAAAAATCAAAGCGCGTGGCATATGCTGGCAAGCTGACTTGTGATGGAGGTGGCCTTCATACCATAGATCCTGTGGTACGTTTGAAACATATTGTAGTAGACAATCTTATAACTAGTAGAAATCAAGATATTAGGATTACTAATCTCAATTTGTGGTACTAAAGGTAGTACAAATCAAAAATAAGCAGTGCTTAGAAACAGTACAAAGCAAAGATTGATTAGTACTAGTACTAAATCAATATTATTCAGGAAGTTCGTCTGTACGAAAAGCATTTTGGAAAACATGCCGTTGTTAATAAGGATCGACTCTTGAGTTCAGTCAAAGCCAGCCCAGACGGACAGTATCAAATCGGTGGCATAGGCAAATATATCGTGGATCTTCATACTTATCTTGAAGTGTAAGTTGTAATAACCCAACACTCTAGCCCAAAGCCCTAATCCAAAAACCTAGTCCAGAGCTTTAGTCCAAAACTCTAGTCCAGAGCCCAGAGTCCAGAGCCCAGAGCCTAGAGTCCAGAGCTCAGAGCCCAGAGCCCAGAGCCCAGAGCCCAGACCTCAGAGCCCTAGCCCAAGTCCATGTCCTAGCCCAGAGACCCAGCTTTAGATTTAGCTCAATGCCCTAGTACTAGCCTTGGCTTTAGGCCTTGCCCTAGGTGTATCTCTACTCCTAGATGTAGGTGTTGTTTCAGCTCTAGCGCTAGCCACAGCTGTAGGTCTTGTCCTAACCGTTTCCTTACTATAGCCTTATCATTTTCTTTGCTTTAGTCTTACTTTTTCTTACCCTGGCTTATTTAACCCATACCTTTGTCCTACTGAAACCTTACTCAACGCTATTCTAATATAATCTTTTTTAGATACCACACCTGTGGTGGCGCTTGCCGTAAGATTGAATTGACTTCCGAGAAGAACGTTTCCTCCGTCGAACTTCTGAATAAAGGAAGTGATTGTAAACAAGCATAAACAACAATAAACACTTTTCATTTAAGGCTTTTACTGACCAATAAATTTTCTTAACTAAGGCAGTTTGTATTGTTATTTACCATGCCATGTGTATGCTTATAATGATATTATTTGCTTTGTAAACTAGTGATAAGCTATCACCATGCTTTTAAAACAGTAACAAAAAACAAAAACAAGGTAATATAGTATACAAACAACAACAAACAACCTAGTAAAGGCAAAATTATTACAAATCTTTAATTTTGAAAAAATTAATAAATTTGTGACATTTCGTCAAATTCAATACTTAAGTAAAATTTCTTAGAAAAAAAGTTGGCTAAAAGTCTAGGCTAGTGTAAATATAAATATTTTGACAATTTTGAAAAATCAATAATTTTTGTGACATTTCGTACAAAAAGTGGCAATCATCTTTCACTGCCTATATATGAAACAAAGCTGTGAATAAAAAGTATTAGCTGTGCAAGTAAGCCAATTTAAAGTTTAAAAACTAATAAAAATCTTAAAAATTTCAAAAAAAAAGTTTTAAAAATTATAGATTAGACCTATAAAGCCATTTTTTAGTTTTTTCCCTAGCTATTTTTGTTCGAGTGTTGCCTTAAAACAAGCAGATCAATTAGAGAAAAATTGCTGATTTTGGAATTTCGAAACAAAACAAACTTTATATTTGGTCAAAAAACAAATGGCAGTAGTTTCAAAGACTAAAGTTTTCACTTTTTTATTAGATAAAGAATGGCAGCAATATCAAAAAAAAATTTATATTTTTATTTAAAAAAATAGGAAGTATCTGTATTGAAAATTTTTTTTAAATGCATTAACTTGGTAAAAAAACTAAAATAAATCTTAAAAAGTTTTGTCCGGTGAAAAAATATTGTTTTAGCCAATTTATGGCGTTCGCCGATTTCCACTGGCGATTGTCCGTCTATAGGGAGAAAATATTTTTAATTGAAAGTTTTGCAAGCAACCAGTGGAGGTCATAAGCAACAAAAAACAATTTGTGTTATTGCTGAATGCACGGCGACTAGGCACATCTATACTTGGCCTACACTTATGATTGAACGCCAGAAGTCTTATGGAGCACCTCACCCACGACTCAGTGACGCGAGGAACGGTGAAATACCTGGGGAGAGGCCAGGCTTGGACGTAGGGCGTTGCCCCCTGTGCCCGACCCGGCCCGGCCCTGGGGCCGGACTGGGCCAGGGCCCATTTTTACGATCAATTACAGGGCCGGGCCGGGCAGGGCCCATGATTCTAACCGGGCAGGGCTTGCTTCGTGCCCGGTAATGCCTTGTAAATGCCCGGTAATAATTTTTTCACATATAAAAAAAATTAATTTAAAATTGTTGAGTGTCTAACAAGTAATGTTGCTTACCCCACTTCACTCCTGAACACTTTAGCTCTTTCCGACCTTATTCCTGATCCTTTTACCCCTACCCGACTTCAGCCTCCCTATTAAATATTAAGGATTGAATTCAAAGTTCTTATTGATAAAACATTAATAACAGTACCCCAGTATCAGTACAAAGACCAAATATTAAAAATTTTATCTAAATTAGCATCAGTATCAAAGATCACCAACAAATATGTTTGTGCAAACTGAAAAAGCACTTTAAATGTGCACATTTGGTCACTCTCTTCCATGGTTTCCATTAGCTACTGAGTCACTGTTGTTTATTGCAAAACATTTTGTTTTCGACCTCTTTTATGTTTGTGTTCCTTCCTTTGCTTTTCAGTCTTGGAAAAGTATAAAAAGAGGCGCATTTCTCGGGATTCACCATATTTTGTGGAAAATTTAAGTTTACATATACTTGTTTTGTAAAGTTTGATAAAGTGATCATGCCCTTTTCAGAGGTTTTTGTTAGTTCCGTTTTCGATTTATTTGCTTTTTACGTGAATTTTGAAACAAAGCTCTTTGGTGTTTGTTACGAAATTAGAGGGTGCGACAAAAGTCTGTATAGTTTTGTTTTTTTTAAAGAGGTAGGGCTAGAATAAAGCTTACAAGGAAAGTACCCTACCTGCCCCGCTCAAAATCAGCTCAAAATTTTTATATGAATTCTTTGTATCACCAATAGTACCCATAAAAAATTTTAGCTCGCGCTTTTAAGTTTTAAATTTAAATTATTTGGGTTTCCCGCCAATTTGGCAAATTTGGCATTGTGTTTCAAGCACTTTTTTTCGGCTTTCCAGACAAGATACGCTTACAAATTTAAAAATGTAAATTCATTTAAAGGTTTGGTACTCGTTAATCAAAGGAAAAAATGAAAGTCGATAAATGGCAAAGTTATAAGCTTGAAACACAATGTCAAGTTGGCGGGAAATTCAAAACGCGATTTTTTGATCCCAATTTTCTCAAGGCTGGCCACAAACCGCAACTTAGAATTTTGCATAAGATCTTTCATTTACATGATCTTTCAATTAAAAAATTATGAACTAAATCTGAGCGTTGCAGGTCGGGTACCTTCCTTGTTAGTATAAAATGAAGAATAAGGTAAATTTAAAGGATACATTAGATAGCGTAGGCAATCAGAGGAGGACGGGCAGGATAAATTTGAGGGTACGGGCACGGTATATTTGAGGGGATGGGCAGGGTAAATTTGAGGGGACGGGCAGGGTATATTTGAATTCTATCGCCAAAAGTTTTTAAATTTGCTAATTTTTTCAATCTTCGCTTCTTCCAGATCGAAATTGCTTGTCGGACACAGACGATATAGTCTGGCCATGGTTAGGTTCTGATATTTCTTTCTAGAACAAAAGCAGATCGGAGACATTGCTAGAATAAGGGCTAATTAAAGATGACATAGTGATAGAGTATACCTAGAGTAGAGCTAAATAATAGAGTAAGGTTAAGGTACCAAAACAGAAATAGTTGAGCTAACGTAAGGCTATAGATTATGTACGTGAAGCCCAAGGCTCTAGCGCTAGCGTAAAAACGACTGCTTAGAATTCTTGCTCACAACGCTAGCCTAGAGCCCTAGCACAGAGCCCTATCTCAAAACTCTAGCACAGAGCCCTAGCTCAGAGCCCTAGCACAGAGCCGTAGCCCACAGCCCTAGCCTAGAGCCCTAGCACAGAGCCCTAGCGCAGAGCCCTAGTATAGGCCCTAGCTCGATTTCTAGCCCAGAGTTTTAGTCTATTAGTATAGAGTTCTAGCCGCAAGCTCAGAGCTTTAACCCAGAGCTTATTATGGTCAATATTTTTTGTTACTTTTGTTTCTACAATACGTTTTTGAGACCAAAAATTAACTCCTATTAGGTTGTTCACACAATTCTGCGCTCCCTTACCCCACAAACTTGTTTTGAGAAGGGGCGCAGAATTAAGTGAACAACATAATAAAAAAATTAATGCTAAATTAGTGCGTGCCATTTTTATTTGAACTTTCGATTTAAAATTTACAAAAAATATAATTTTTTTAAAAAATTTTATGTAATTTTCAGAATGCTATCAACAAAAACTTTCCGCGCCCCAGATTTGCCAATCAAATCAGTACTATGCTTTCGTCATCGTGCTGAAGTGCACCGTGAATTCGACGTGACTTTGGAGTTGGGAACAAACAAAATTATTGTTGAAGTGAGTCATTTTTATTATTTTTATCATTTTGAAAGAGTTTTTTATACTTTTTCTGTTTGCTTTGCACCACAAAAGGCTTATCAATGTTTGCAAAAACAGCTTTGTTGTCGAAACTAGATGAATAACAAAGAAAAATAAGGAAAAAAATAGTTTGAGATTTGGCTTTTTTTTACAAAAAAATTTTAAATGTTTTACAAGGAAAGTACCCTACCTGACCCGCTCAGAATCGGCTCAAAATTTTTATATGAATTCTCTGTACCACCAATAGTATCCATAAAAAATTTTAGCTCGCGCTTTTGAGTTTTAAATTTAAATTATTTTGGTTTCCCGCCAATTTGGCAAATTTGGCATTGCGTTTAAAGCACTTTTTTCGGCTTTCCAGACAAGATACGCTTACAAATTTAAAAATGTAAATTCATTTAAAGGTTTGGTACTCGTTAATCAAAGGAAAATAATTAAAAGTCAAAAATGACAAAGTTACAAGCTTGAAACACAATGCCAGGTTGGCGGGAAATTCAAACTGTCATTTTTCAATCTCGTTTTTCTCGAAATTTCCTGGAAAGCGGGATTTAGTACTTTGCTGAAGATCTTATATTTACATGGTCATTGTTTATAAAAAGTTTAAAGTCAATCAGAGCGGGGCAGGTCGGGCACTTTCCTTTTTAGTCTTAGCCCAGAGTTTTAGCAAAAGGCCCTAGCCGTAGTTAAAGTTCTCTTTAGAACCCTAGCCCCTAGTCAGAATTCTAATCAGAGCTTTAGCTTTAATCAAAACTCTAGTCCGAGCTCTAGTTCTAGTCAAAACACTAGTCTGAGTCCTAGCCAGAAATCTAATTAGAGCTCTAGTCAGAATGTTAGTCTATGTCTTGGCCCTAGCTAGTGCGCTAGTCAGAACTCTAATTCAAATCAAAGTAGAACTTTAGTCAGAACTCTAGTCTTAGCTAGAACATTAGTCCGAGCATCAGCTTTAGCCAGAACTCTAGTCAGAGACTCTAGGCCTAGTCAAAACTTTAGTTTGTGCACTAAGACCAGAGCCTTAACCCTGAGCCCTAGCCTATAGCCCTAGCCCAGAACTTAAGTTCAGAGCCATAGTCCGGTGCCGAGAGCGTTAGTACACTCTTTAGCCCCAAGCTGAAAACCTCAGTCCCTAGTCCAGAGTCCTAGTTCAGAGCTTTGATTCAGGCCTTTACCCAACGCTCAAACTCTTTGAGCCCTAATTCAAAGCCCTAGTCCAGAGCTCAAAGCCCGAAGCTTTAGCATAGCACTTATATTAGCTCATGCTGTAAGCTTTAACGCGCCCTAACCTTCTTTTTTCAGTATTAGCTTAGCTAGACAAGTATAACATTATTCTTTTCAGCGTCTTCCACCATCAATAATCTCAGCTTCAATCCGTGTCGACGCCGTCTCAGTGCACGCTGATGCCATTCTTCGTGATGTTCAGTACAAGGAAACTTATTCGCCAGAAGAAGAGAACTTTTCCGATGAGCTGAAGCTGCTTATCAAGGAGCTGGACAATCTTTTGGAAGAGCAGGAGAAGCTGAAAGACCGTGAGAATCTGCTCAACATCAGAGGTCAGGCCTTGGATAAGATGTTGGAGAACCTGGTGACTCCGAAGGATAAGGAAAGAATGCCAGTGTTTGATGAAAAGCTGGGCGAGAGCTTTAACAAGGCCTTGGAGTACTATGAACTGAAGCAAACTACAACCAAAATGGCACTACGAACTCTGATGGCTGAGAAGAAGGTGTTGACCAAGGACATTAAGGACCTACAACAACGTGTCACCGAGCTCAAGGACATTGACAACTTCAAACGTACCGTGCACATTGCTTTTGATGCTACTACAACTACACCGATTACCGTGAAACTCACTTACAATGTGACTAATGCCAACTGGGAGACTTCGTATGATGTTAGAGTAGATAGTACCACTAAGAAGTTGTCTTTGCACTACTTAGCTAGTATCACTCAGACCACTGGTGAAGACTGGAAGGATATAGCACTATCGTTGAGCACTTCTGAACCTCAAGATGCTGGCAAGCTACCATCTCTCAATCCAATTATCGCTAAGCTAGAGCAAAAACTGCCAGAGGGCGCGTTTGGTACTAGAACGCATTCTGAAATAGTACCAGTTTGCTTCGCCGCCGAAAGTGCACCAGTCCCAAGAATGAAAATGGCACTACGACATCATAGTGTCACGGTGAAGAGCAACCTTGTAGCCACGAACTATGTTATACCATTGGTTCGTACCATCCCTAGTAAGCCCGATGACACTCGAGTTACTATCGCAGTAAAATCTTTTGACTATGACCTAGAACGACAAGTGGTACCATCCAAGAACACTACAGTATTCCTGGTGGCTAGTATTGTCAACAACACTGAGCTACACTTTATTGAAGGGCCTGTTAAGGTCTATGTTGACAACTGTTATGCTAATGAGCTGTACACTGACAGTATAGCACCAAACGAGCGGTTCCATATTGAGTTAGGCAAGGACCCTAATGTCAAGGTGCATTATAAGCCTAAGGACACATTCCAACAACAGAGTGGTGTTATTACCAAAAGTAATGTCACTGCTAATGAACAGAAGATTATTGTCAGTAATAACTGTGTGCTGAAGACGCTGGTTACTGTATTTGAACAGGTTCCGAAGAGTAACGATGAGAAAATTAAGGTAGCCTTTGATATTTTTAAATCTACCCTACCCTACTCTATCTTACTCTACCCTACCCTACCCTACCCTACCCTACCCTACCCTACCCTACCCTACCCTACCCTACCCTACCCTACCCTACCCTACCCTACCCTAACCTACCCTACCCTACCTTACCCTACTCTACCCTACCCTACCCTACCCTACCCCACCCTACCCTACCCTAAAATACAACTTTCAGATCAAACTAGCCTCACCAGATGCCCGACGCCTAGAAAGAGCTCACGAACACAAGAAACGCGAAGTTGGTGTCTGGATAACTGATAAGAATCTCCTCGAATGGACAGTCGAATTACCACCAAAAACCGAGACTGAACTGGTATTGAAGTATAATGTGGAGTACCCACAGAATGAGAATGTTGTCTATGAAGAGCAATACTAATAACTAATAATATACTATTGGATCGTGTTTCACTTTGTTTTACAATTATCATGACATGTACCGGTAATAAAGATATATAATATATGATAGTTAACATGAGTAAATTATTTTTAAAGCTATAATAGGTGCCAACATAAAGAACCCGCCATTTTCTACAACAAATTATAGGAAACGCATGGCGGGTTCTTTATGTCGGCACCTAATATTCAGGTGTTTGGATAGTTAGGTTGAGGGGGAGGGGTAGTGAAGTAAGGTAATTAGAATATTTTTTGAAGTCGAAAATGACTTGATAGAGCGTACTGTAATATAAGTGTTAGCGCTAGGGCTATGGCTAATATACTGTAGAATTAGTCATACTGTAGGCCAAAGTAAACGGAAAAGGAATACTGTAGGAAAAGGTATATTGTAAAATAAAGCATACTGAAGGTGAAAACATACAGTAAGATAGGGTTTACTGTATGAAAGAACGTACTGTAAATATAATAAATAACCACAGGTTATTAAAAAATTACTTTGGCTATACTCTGATTTTACTATGGTCCTTGATTTAACTCTTATAAATCCACTAACTTAAGCTTTACCTTAATACCTACTCTTACCCTAGCCTCTACCGGTCACTTCTACCATAGCTTCTACTCGAGCCTCTGCTATAGCCTTTAGTAGCTCTTATTGTAGTTTACAATAGCTTTTATCCTATACCCAAGCCTCTATTCTAGTTCTAGTTAGCGATATAACTAGCGTTAAACAGCATCTTTAAAATTATAATTATCTTTGCTATCAACGAACGTTACCATGACAATAATAAAGATGTTCGAATTGGAAGAAAACTATTTTAATTTTTCTAAGTATTTAAAACCTTTTCAATTTTTTTTTTAAATTTTAAAAAATATTTTAAATTTTTGAATTTTTAATAATTTTTAAACCGCAAAAACTTTCTATACAAACTCTTTATACATTACAAGGTGCGTCAAAAGTTCTGTTACACGGTTTTTTTATTAAATATTTATTTTAACAACAAATATTATATAACTAAAATAACAACTAACTATAGTAACATATAGTACTATTTATAACATAGTCAATCGGTTTTAAAGTGCCCTTCCTTTGCGGCTTGGCACAAACATAGAGAAAACGACCAGTAAAGTTTTGTAACATAACTTTTGGCGCACCTTGTATTTAACGTTCTACCCGACCCCACCCAACGTTAGCCTCTACCCTACCTTCTTAAAATTTTTAAAATTTTCTGACGTCAATTTTTTCGTTTCTAAAATTTTACAAATTCAGTGTAACATTTCAAAGTCTCGTTTACATAATAAACTACTTGTTTCATTTAACTTTGTCACGGAGCTTAATCCAACTTTTTCCCATAGCCTATTCATATTCAAAAGCTAAACCGGATGTGAAGAAGATGATACCCAATGTTTTTAGTTGTAATCTGCCATATTATTTTCAAATGTTATGGTTTCTCAATTTATACTGTCTTCAATTACTTTTACTTTAGTCTAATCAATCTACTTGCTTATGTTTGTCTTGCCCTTTGTCATCTTTTATTAAAATCTTGCTTTATCCTTGGTTTACATTAGACTAACCTAGCTTGATCTTACTTACTGTTTCTTACCATTACAGTAGCGGCAAAGGGGAGCCACTTCGAAACCGCTTGACTATGTTATAACTAGTACTATATGTTACTATTGTTAGTTGTTGTTTTAGGTATATTGATTGTTTTAATAAATATATTACTAAAATAATAAGTCCGGGGACTTTTGCCGCACCCTGTATTATTCATCGCTCTTTCTTTGCCTTACATTAGGGTTTTTTGCCATACCCTACCCCTACATTTGCCTTACCTTAGTTGTTTCTTTGACTTACTTTAGTTCTTTCGTTTCTTCACCCTAGCCCTTTACATTATCATATTCCTTTGTTTTCCTTACTATATCCCTTTCTTTGCTTTACTTTAGTTCTTCCTTTGTCCCAACCAAGGCCGGGCGCGAGGGAGGAGAGACGGGAACGGGGGGGGAGGAGGAAGGGTACCCCGCCCCCCCCCCAGAAAAAAATTTTTGAAAAAAAAGTTGAACGTGGTTCCCCATGTAGGAAAAAAAAATTGCAAAAAATCGTCACAGGTCTACCGTGTCGATTTTTTGGACCCCTGCCCCCAGACCAAAAGGGCCCGCCCGGTCCTGGTCCCACCCTAAACCTTTCTTTGCCTTATTCTACCCTCTTTCTCTGTCTTACCTTAACTTTTTTTGTCTTACCCTACGTTTTTCCTTGCCTCATCCTAGCACTTTTCTTTGCCCTTTCCAAGCTAGGGGTGAGAAAAGGGCCGGGCCCACTTTTAAGGCCCGGCCTAGGCCCGGGGCCCAACGTTTAGACCCGGCTCGTTTTCAATTTTCTCTCAGGCCGGCCTGGCCCGGCCCGGTCAAAAAATTTCTAGGCCCGGCCCGGCCCGTTTTAAAAAATTTAAAAAATTTTAAAACTTAAAAAATAAACGGAAATTTGGCTTTGCATTGTTCTTTTAGATCATTTATGTATCATGGTACCTAATAAAATCAAAAAACATCAACGGGAATTAAAATAAAAAATTTTTTTTCGTGCCCGGTCCCAATTTTCAAGCCCGGCCCGTTTCAATTTTAGCTCAAGGCCGGGCCGGGTCTAGACGGCCCGTTTCTCACCCCTATTCCAAGCTACCCTAGTAATTTCGTAGCTCTACCCCCATTTAATTTACCCATCTGTGTATGATGTTTGAAGTCATGGCTAAAGAGTGTGTCGCTTTGGAAGCTTTAATTTCATAAATTAACTTGGCATTCTTTCAAGAAAGCCGAATTCGTTATTTTACTCGTTCCTAAGTTCTTTAAAGGTTTCTAATATAGGAAAAGTGCTTTTGTTTTTTAATATTAGGCGCCGACATAAAGAACCCGCCATTTTTTACAGGAAATTACGGGAAAAATATGGCGGGTTCTTTATGTCGGCACCCAATAATATTAGGTTGGACCAAAAGTAGCGTTACACTTATCATTAATGTTCAACTAAAAGTGTCCCGCTAGTTTCGGTTTAACCTAATTAATGTACTTTTACAAATTTACTGTTGTTTTTACAGATTTTAGTTACGTCAGGTAACAGATAGAAGTATTTTAAAACTGGATACTATTGGACTGCATGGCAAAATTGTCAATTGGCCAAGAGTTGAAAAATGTAATACTAGTCGAATTTAGATTGTCGACTGTTTTTGTACTGTTTCTTATACTAGGTACTGTTAATTCTGACAAAGATAATCGGACTAACAATCATACGGATCAGTTGAAGGTGAATTTAATTTTTTTTTGTTATACAAGAGTTTGTTGTAGAGGGGTTTTATTGTGTAAAACGAAAATTTAGAAAGTTTTACTTTCACAAATTTTTTTGAAATTTTAAAATTTTTTTTCAGGAAGTGATCTTAAGAAGTTTCATAGAGAAGAAGCCTGACTTGTCTGGATTACGAGTGGAAAGCGATAAACCGGCTGGCGAAGCGTTTCTTGGTTATAGGTGAGTACATATTTAAAATGTATAAGCATTGACATTGTAAATTTTACTCTATTTAATTCTTTAGCTTAGGTGTAGTAGGCTTATGCTTAATACGCTTGTTCTTAGTAGGCTTAAACTTATGTTTAGTAGGCTGAGACAATGGGTTTGGGCTTAGTAGGCTTTGCTTTAGTAGGTTGGGTCTTATTAAGCCTAGGTTTAGCAAACTTAGGCTTATTAGGTTTAGGTTAAGTAGGCTTATACCTAATAGCCTTAAGCTTAAAAATTTTAAGTTCGTATTTGTGTAAAGTAGTGCAAGTAAAGCGTAATAGTTCGAAGAAAATGGGAGTAAAATCCCAGCACTCGCAGTCATTTGTTGGGTCCTTTTACACCGAGGCAAATATTACAAAAGTAAGTAATAATACATCATAAAACGTTGCGTAATATCAATTATGACAATTTCTCTAAGGCTATTCTGTTACAGCAATGATATTAAGCAACACCGCAAGAATTTATAAGCCTAAGTTTTCTAGTCTTGCTTTTAGTGGGCTTAGAATCAGTACGTTTTGTTTAGTAAGCTTAATTTAGTAGACGTAGGCTTAATAAGTTTAATAAAAGTAGGTACAAACGTTACTTTTTCCAAAGCTAATTGCACTCTAAACTTTAACTTTTTCTAAATTTTAGTCCACGCGGAGTAACAATAGTCCGTCCAAACCTTCTGCTTCGAGTAGTCCTCTTTGGTCGGAGCCTAGATGAAATTGACGTGGTAGGCTTTACACCCTCATCTACATGCCGAAATGTCATCTCTAACGTGTCACAAGCCGACTTCTTCGTACAAACTGATAAGCGTATCATCTTCGAATACACCTTCCTCCAACTGCCAGACAGTACCAGTTTGTACCAGTTTTGTTGGAAACAGAAAAATCGACAGAATTCAGATGGCATAGACGTGGAGTTACCGTATGTAGCTGTAAACGAGTTGCATACTAGTATTTCGATTACTGTACCACTGAGAGAGTACTACTTCCCACTGCCATTTCAAATAGTACTCATGATAGTACTATTAGTGCTGTCTGGACTGTTTTCTGGACTAAACTTGGGATTAATGGCTTTGACACCACAGGAATTGATGTTGATATCAAAAAGTGGTGGGTTTTAAAATTAATTGGTTTTCCAATAAATTTGTGACATTACGCTGTGTTTTTCGATAATTTTGTGGCGTTTTGTCTAAATATTTTTTAAAAACATTTTAAAATTGAACAAAATAGTTTTTTATGTAAAAATGGCATGCTTTTGGTAGTTTTAAATTGAAATTTTTTTCAATACTTTTTGTGACATTGCGCTACTGTTTCCAATAATTTTGTGACATTTCGTCAAAACGCTTAAAATACTTTTTAAGACATTTTTTATGATTAAAAAGAGTAGTTTTTATCATAAAAATTTAAATTATTTTTAGTTATCTTTTTTCCGATACTTTTTGTGACATTACGTTACATTTTCCGATAAATCACTGACAATTCGTCTAAAAGTAAAAAATTATTTTTATGTGTAAAATACAGCTTCAACAAATAAAAAAACTAAGTTTGCTGATTACCCATTTTTCCAATACTTTTGTGACATTATGTCACTTTTTCCAATAACTTTGTGGCATTTCGTCAACATCTAAAAATATTCTGACAAATACTTTTTTTACCAAAAAGATAACTTTAAGTTGTAAAATACTTAATTAAAAATTACTTTATCTTTAGGATCGGACAAAGAACGAGCGTTTGCTGAGATAGTACTGCCAGTACGATTAGCTGGTAATCAATTACTGTGCTCTTTGTTGATTGGAAACGTGTTGGTCAACTCAGCTATCTCAATATTGTTTGACGATTTGACTAGTGGTTACATTGCTCTTATTGTATCTTCAGCTGGAATTGTGGTTTTTGGCGAAATTTGTCCGCAAGTAGGTTACGGTAGTATACTGTAGGGTAGAGTAGGGTATGGTGATATTAGGGTAGGGTAATGTGGGGTAGAGTAATGTGGAGTAGAGTATGGTGGGGTATAACGTAAATTGTAGGCTAGACAAATTTTCCAAAAGTTTTTGACACTCCGTTCTATTTTCCAATATCTTTGTGACATTTTGTCTTTTAGCGTTTTAAACATCAGTCTTTAGGCGTAGAGAGTTATGGTTCATACTTAATAAAATAGAACATCATTCTACAGTATCTAGATACAGTTTTCTCTAAGCTTACTGTATCTAACCCTTCTTTTTCAGGCAGTTTGTGTCAAAAAAGGTCTGGAAGTAGGTGCCCGTACCATCTGGGTGACCAAGTTCTTCATGGCCATAACCCTGCCAATAGCCTATCCTATTAGCAAGATCCTAGACAAGATCTTAGGCCTAGAAGGCGTGTCGTACGATCGTCGTCGCTTAATGGAGATGATCAAGATGACCACGAGGTACGAAGAAAGTATGGCAGATGAGCTGAAGATTGCAGTCGGAGCGATGGAAATCAATGATAAGACGGTGACAGAGGTGATGACCAAGATTGATGACGTTTTTATGCTACCCGACACTACCGTACTCAACACGAAGACTGTAGCCGAAGTGCTACGGATGGGTTATACTAGGATCCCGGTGTACTGTAGCGACCGTAACAATGTGGTGGCGCTACTGTTTGTGAAGGATTTGGCTCTTCTGAATCCGGATGACAACTTTACGATCAAGACGGTGTGTTCTTATCACGAACATGCGTTAAGGTTTGTCATGGAAGAGACCCCGCTGAGGGTCATGTTGGAAGAGTTCAAGAAGGGCGATTACCACTTGGCTATGGTGCAGAGGGTGATTCAGGTAAGGGTGGGGGTTGGAATGGCAAGAACTTTCTTTAAAAATCAAAAAATGGCAAGAACTTTTTTTACAAAACACGTTTTTAACTTTAGATCGATGACCAAGACCCAGGTTACGAGCTGACAGGTGTAGTCACTTTAGAAGACATTGTTGAAGAGATTTTACAAGAAGAAATTGTCGACGAAACTGATGTTATCATAGACAATGTCAACAAAACAAGGCGGAGAAAGACTATTGTAAGTTTAATTTCTACTCTACTCTATCTTACTGTTGTATAATATCTACCATAGAGTAGGCTCTACCTTAAATACCTAACCTTACTGTAAACCTTAGACAGTATGCTTTATCTTAAAGCATGTCTTACCGTACAGTAAACCGTCCCTGTAAACTCTACCATACAGCATGCTCTGCTTTACAATAGCCCTACGATAAATATATGCATTGCCTTACAGTATACATACTTCTACGATATGTTTAGCTTTAATCCTATCGCTAACTTTGCTATATCCTAATTTAAATATAATGCTTCAGATGCATGACTACACAAATTGTTTCATGGACACGGACGCTGAAGCATGCTTGATATCGATTCAGATGCAAGTGGTTACCGTTCAATGGTTATCGACCAATCATAAGGTCTTTCACGAGTGTTACATTGGAAAGAACGTTCTCGAGAAAGTTATACGACAGAACGTTCATAAGGTAAGGGTAGGGTAGGGTAGGGTAGAGTAGGGTAGGGTAGGGTAGGGTAGGGTAGGGTAGGGTAGGGTAGGGTAGGGTAGGGTAGGGAAGGGTAGGGTAGGGTAGGGTAAAAAAAATTTAAAAAAAAAGTACTTTTTCAGATAGAACTGATTCACCTGAAGGACAACATGAACATTTTACCACCAAATGCCAGGTTGTATTTGAAAAAAGAGCCTTCGGACAAGTTTATATTGATATTGGAAGGAAGAGTTGCTGTCACCATTGGAGAAGTAGGTCGTTTTAGTCTAATTTACGTTTTTATATTGTGAAAGACATTTAAAAATGACATTTTTTGATTTAAAAAAATATTTTATAATTTTTAACTTTCCAATACTTTTGTGACACTTCGTCACATTTTTTAATAACTTTTGTGAAATTTCCTGTACAGGCTTAAAACGTCGTTTAAAACTAAAAAATCTTTAAGCGATTGTTTCTTTAGCCCAGTGTTTTGCCGGACCGGTCCGGAAAAAATTTTTTTTTTTTATTTTAATAAAATTGTTTTAAAAATTGCAAATAAAACATATTTTTAAGAGTTTTTAAACGTAAAGAAAGCAGTTTTAGCGCTCCTGGCTCTTTTTAAAAATAAAAAAAAAATTTTCCGGACCGGACCTGACCTTTTTGGTCCGGACCGGACCGGACCGAAAAAATTCTCATCTGGACCGGTCCGGCAAAACACTGCTTTAGCCTGTATTTTACAATAATTTTGTTTTTTTTTAGTTTTTTTTGAAAATTTTGACATTTCGCCACATTTTCCAATATTTTTGTGCCATTTCGTTACGTACTTAAAAAGTTATGAAAAACTGAAAAATCTTTTTATAATATGTAGACATTGCAGTCGCGTATTTTACTTTATTTTTCTATTTTTTTGATTTTTTATGAATGTCACCAATTATTTTGTGACATTTCGTCACATTTACCAATAAGTTTCGTGACGTTTTGTTACATTTTACTTTTTGCTGATAATATATATTCTCAGGGTCATTTTTAAGTTTTGTTATTATATTTTTCTTAATTTTTGTGTTTTTTAATTATTTTTAATTTACGTCACATTTTCCTATAATTTTTGTGACATTTCGTCAAAATTAAATTTTCAGTTAAGTTCTACTGATTCTTTTTATAAAATGGATTGAAAATGCAAATTTAATCTCATTTCTATTTTGTTTTGACATTTCCAGACCAATATGACATTCGAAGCCGGGCCATGGCATTGTTTTGGCAAAGAGTTGCTCGATGTTCTTCATGATGACATAAACAAGAACAAGTTGATGGACAATTGCCACTCAAGCCCAAAAGTCTCTACCGTATTTAACGATGTTGAGATGAAGCGTTTAATGTTTATTCCAGATTATACTGTGGTAATCAAGGATCAATGCACCTATTTGGAAGTTACTCCACAAACATATCTGCTGGCCTTTAAATCAACCTTGATTACTCGAAATCGGAACGAGTTCATGGTAAGAAAATTTACTTTGTAATGTAAAAATAGGTGTTTTACAGTTAGTATGGATCCAAAATGTCACATCTTAAGGGGATGATGAATATGCATTGATTTATATTAACCATGACATTAGATGGTCAAGGATAATATAAATTGATATAGCTCAGTCAAGAACACATATTTTTGTTCGAGAACTTGATTGCTTTGTCTTGAAACACGTATTTTACAAGTTTTAAACACAATTTTAAAATTTTTAGAGAAAAATTTTAAAAATATCAATTTATATTAACCGTGACACCAGGTGGTCAAGGATAATATAAGATGCTGATTAATAAAAATTTTTTGACTAATTTAAACAACGTGAAAAGTTCTGACGCATTTTACAATTGAGGCTGACATAAAAGTAAAAGTTTGTAAAAATAAAGACAGAAAATATCAATTTATATTAACCATGACATCAAATGGTCAAGGATAATATAAATTGATATAACTCACTCAAAATCTCAAAGTTTTTACCAAAAACTTTACTACATTGTCTTGAAAGACGTATGTTACAAATTTTCTGACACAATTTTTAATTTCCTTAATAAATTTTAAAAAACATCAATTTATATTAACCATAACATCAGACGGTCATAGATAATATAAGCCCCTAATATATGAAAAATTTTTGATTAATTTAAATCACACCATAAGCCTATACGTATTTTACAATTCTAGCTTACTTAAAAGTAAAATTTTGTGAAAAAAATGTCGAAAAAACATCAATTTATGTTACCCATAACATCAGATGGTCAAGGGTTATATAAATTAATATAGCATAGTAAAAAATGCATATTTTTAGTCGTGAGCTTTATTACTTTGTCTCGAAAGACGTATTTTACACGTTTTTCCAACAAAATTTTTATTTTTTTTCGAAAATTTCAAAAAACATCAATTTATATTAACCATGACCTCCATATTTAATGGTTAACATAATCACTCTATACCTTTTCAGGAAAAACATCCCAGTGACTTTGATGACATTCATTTGCATAAAACAACATCTGAGAGTGTTTTAAAAAAGTGTAACAACAATTCGACTCCCGCAACGCCTGCGGCACGCATTAAAAAGAGTGGCACTGGGGCCAAGTTGAGTATGGGGAATGAAAGAAGTTTTGATGGGTTAAAATAACATTTACTGCAATAATTTTAAAATTTTTATAATTCACAATGTCATGGGTTTTAAAATAAACGGTATTTAAATTTAATTTCAACTTGACTTTAATTAAAAATGGCAATATTCAAATATAATAGCTATCACCATCTACTCTAACATAATATAATCACGTATTATCGCTCAGTTTACCATCCCACATGTCTCTTAAATGTTTGAAACGCTCATCAGTGTTCTCGTCATTCAATACGACACTTGGTTTTTGCATACCATCTCCCTTCCCCATCAACCAGTAAAAGTCTTCGTAAACGGCACGCTTTAGTGCCGGTAATGTGTTAATGTTGTATAACATGAAGAAAAAGCCATATATTTCAACTATAATGTGTTGAAACTGAAAAATTTGACATAGTTTTGCAATTTTTAAATTTCTTGTTGTCTTTGACGAAATGTCACAATATTATTAGAAAAATAAACAAAGTGTCAAAAGGTTATTGAAAAATAATGAAAGTTCTAAATATTGTTTTTATGTAAGTTATAACCAAAATTTAAATTTAATTTGCTTTGTTTTACTATTTAGACAGAAAAAACAATAAAGATGACGAAATGTCACAAGATTATTGAAAAATTGAACGAAGTGCCAAAAAGTTATCGGAAAATAGTAAAAACATAAAAAAGATTATTTTTATAAAAAACAAATAAAATTTTTACTCAATTTGCTCCACCCTACTATTTAAACAAAAAAATCAATAAATGTGACGAAATGTCAAAATCAATAAAAACCCCCAAAACCTACCTGTTGTAACAAAAATCCCAGCATATCAGCTTCACTAATTTTTAAAATTCGATAAATTCGGTACAAACCAAAAGTGTAATATAAAATGGCAACTGATGTGTGTAGATAGCCAAGTAATAGTAAGCTCGGTAAGAATAGGTACGTTTCGTTTACTGTGGCTTTGGCTGATAATGTGAAATTGAATCTATTATTGTGGATTTTTCGATTCCGCTTCGTTAGTTGGCGTACTTTCTAAAAAATTTTAGCGTTTTGAGCTTTTTGGCACTGATGGTACTTTTTTTTGGTACTAGTGGTACCATGCTACAAAAAAAATTTAAAAAAATGTTTTTTAGTCTAAGATTAGGCCTAAAAACCAAAAATTAAAAATTTTTTATAAGTGGTACCAATGGTACTACTAGTACCAATAATGACGCTGAAAGTACCAGTAAAACAAAACATGTCACAAAGTAAAAAACTTACCACAGCCAACAAAATAGCTCCAAAAATACAAGGTGGTACAGTTATAATAGGTAGTACTGGCATGCTTTCCAACATATACTCGAAGATACTCAATGGTCCATCTGATTCACATATGGCTACCAGTTGGTATCCATATAACATCATGAAGTAGCAAAATATTGTGGCTACTAGGACCTGAAAGTACATGTAGTACTAGGTCAAGCTAGGGCTAGGGGTAAGGCTAAGAAAAAACTTACAGTAATTGAAACCAACGTCCACGCTAACCGGCTGCCCCAAAGTTCGTAGCTTTTCATGTATTTATAAGCACAGTATCTCTCGACCACAAATGACTGTAAATTCGATGCCATAAGTAAGTTACCAACCATGTGTAGCACACCCAAGTGTAACATCATAGGCTTCATGCTGTGAAAGTTAGAGTCTAGCACTATCATCAATTGAAGATTGTGACTGATTTGAAATATTAGGCATGATACTGGAAAGACTGACTGAAAAAAATGTATTTTATTGTAGGCTAGGACTAAGAGCTGGAGCTAGGGCTAGGGCTCTGAGACTAGGGCTCTAAGCTGACAACTCTGGCTTAGGGGTAGGGGTAGAACTACGAGCTGGCCTAAAGTTTGTAAGACAATGAATAAGGCTTAAGGCTAGGTTGAGAAATCTGGGTTAGACCTAGCACTTTAAGTTAAGGCTATAGCTCTAGGCTAGCGGTAATACCAGAGGTTTAAACTAAGCCTAAACCTAATGCCCCAGGCTGGGTTTAAAATTTTGGGTTAAGTCTAGTAATCTAGTCTATCATCAAACTAAGGCTTCGAGTTTGGGCTTGGCTAGAACTCTGGGCTAGGGCTCTGGGCTAGGACTCTGGGCTAGGGCTCTGGGATAGGGCTAGGGCTAAGAAACTTAAAAATTCGGGTTTTCAAATACTTCTGTGCTCTCTAATTTCGAAAATGTGCTTTGAGAATGGGCACAGAATTTTGTGAACAACCTAATATCAAGAGTTCTTACCAATAGCACCTTCATGTTAGAATGAATAGTCTGTCTTGAGCTGACTTTTATGAAAAAGTATACGGACAACACCCAGAAAGGTGGTATCAGCATCCATTCTACTGTCTGTATAGCATATGTACCGTGTTGTTCTAGAAAGTAGTTTCTACGGTGATTTATATGGCTGGTATTGGCTTCCATAACTTTGTCATTCTGAAAAAAAAGTCAATACAAAACTTCATATCTCTGGGAATAATACTCTACGTTCTAGTACTTGCTACGTAACTACAAATGACACATATATTTATAAAATAGGGACCGTCTATCAAGTTCTCAAACCAAGACCCTACGAACACGTATAATATTATACTTTGTGATGCACGTCTTGAAGTGTAATCCGAAAATTGGCCACAAATTAGAATATCTTGAAGAGTCATGTCTGGTGAATGTAAAGTAAACATGTTTTTTACATTTTGGGTTTAGAAAAGTGGCAAAATAGTTGTTTTAGCCTTATAAATTAGTTACTGTCAGTGCCGGGCAGGGACTTTGGTCTGAGGGCAGGGGTCGAAAAAATCCACATGGGGGACCACGTTCAACTTTTTTGCAAAAATTTTTTTTGGGGGGGGTTCTTTTTTATTATATATGAATTCTTCGTACTACCAATAGTACACATAAAAAATTTTAGCTCGCGCTTTTGAGTTTAGAATTCCAATTAATTTTGATTTTCCGCCAATTTGGCAAATTTGGCATTCTGTTTCAAGCACTTTTTTCAACTTTCTAGCCAAGTTACACTTACAAATTTAAAAATGTAGGTTCATTTAAAGTTATTCTACTAGTATATCAAAGGGAAATTCCTAAAAGTCAAAAAATGGCAAAGTTATAAGCTTAAAACACAATGTCAAATTGGCGGGAAATTCAAAACGTAATTTTTTAAACACGGTTTTCTCGAGATTTCCTGGATAGTGCGACTTAGTACTTTGCTTAAGATCTTATATTTACATGATCTTGTTGTATAAAAAGTTTGAACTCAATCAGAGACAGAGTTCTCCCCCGACAGAGCCCAATGCGGGAGTCCGAAATTTGAATTTTGTTTTCCCGCGCTTTTTTTCTACCGGTCGGATCGGTCTGAAACTTTTTCTACCACCATATTTGGGATGTTGCTGACCTTTCTAGACGCTGTTAGTCTTTTGTTATCAGTAGTAGTTTTTGAGATATGCGTTTGGCGGGAAAAATAAATTCAAAAATCCGGATCGTCCGGACCGGACCAGACCCAAAAAGCAAAACTCTGATTCGAGCTGGGCAAGTCAAGTACTTTTCTTGTAGGTATTAAATTTTAGTTTTATAGCATAAATAATGCCACTTCACTAAAAAACTTAACTTATATTCAGTTACGTTGTCAGCCGTTTCCAAGCGTAATCGAACCTTTTTTTTGATTTTAGACTTTTTCGACCGGCCATAACTTTTTTATAAAGACATGTACAAATGTAAAACTTGTAGAGTACGTGCAGTTTACTGCGGTTCACAAAGTGCTTAACGTAAAATTTTTCAAAAAAAAATTTTTTTTTGAAAAGTTAGGGTTACAATAGCAATACTTATACCTGATCAAACAAGGCTTTTTTTAACAGTTGTGATAAAATATATTGACATGAATAGGAAAAAATATATTTTGTGTCATAAATAATGTCACATCAATCATATTAAAATCCAGTTCAAGTTTATATTAGCAGTTTATTTCCCGTATCATTTCAACGCTCTTTATATTACAGTAGCCTCATAATTAATCGACCCCCTTTAGTAGCCTGGAGCAGTACGAGGAGGTGGGCAGTGTTCACAACCGCCCTTTGGACCAGCTTCACCATCGGGACCAGATTGTCCTGAACCACCTGGAGATCCTGGAGTACCATCACTACCGGCGTCACCTGATTCACCTGGTCCACCTGGTTGACCTGGCTGACCATCGTTGCCTCCTGGACCGGATTCTCCTGGTGGACCAGCTGGACCTGGTGGTCCGGCTGGGCCTGGAGCGCCTGGAACCTCCTTGAGCTGGCCTGGTTGTCCTGGAGCACCTGGTTGACCGTCGTTTCCTGGCTGTCCTGGTGGTCCACCGGGGCCGGGTGGTCCTTGTGGTCCTGGTGCAGCGGGCTGACCTGGTTGTCCTGGAGCACCAGCGTTACCGTTTGATCCCTTTGGTCCTGGAGTTCCTGGAGCACCGGCTGGACCAGCTGGGCAGTCGAAGCAAGGCTCGTAACGTGGGGCTGGTGGAGGTGGAGCACCTGGTTGACCGTCTTTGCCTGGAGCACCGGAGTTTCCGTCTTGTCCTGGGTTTCCGTCTGGTCCAGGTGGGCCTGGTGGGCCAGCTGGAGAGACGCCGCAACCACAGCAGCCTCCCGACGGGGCTGGGGCTGGAGCTGAGACTGGGCCGGCAGAGACGGCCGAGTCGTAGCCGGCTTGACGGGCCTTACGTGGGTGGACGTTGGAGAGGACCTGAGTTCGAGTGACTTCCCTGAAGATGTTGCCCGACCTCATTTTGCAAAAGTCGATCTCGCTCTGCATGACGGACTGCACGTGCTGTACGTGGTTGTAAACCATTGGCACGGCAATGACGCAGGCCAACGTGGCCATCGTGCTGAGGCAGACGCCGAAGAAGGCGATGGTGCGTAGACCTTCGGCTTGTGCTTGGCGTTGCTTCTCTTCCATCGGTGGTCTAGAAATGACATTTTTAATATCATATAGTATTAAATAACCCGGTATTTTAAAAATTTTATTTTAAGTAATTTGTCACGGTAATAAGGTTTTAAAGGTTTTTTTGAGTTTTGACCAAAATGTCACAAAGTTATTGGAAAATGAGACGAAGTGTCAAAAAGTTATTGGAAAACAAAATGAAGTTAAATTGGTCATGATTTATCATTCTAAATCTATTTTACTTTACCTTACCTTACCGTACCTTACCCTACCCTATCCTACCCTACCCTACCCTACCCTACCCGACCCTACCCTGCCCTACCCTGCCCTACCCTACCCTACCCTACCCTACCCTACCCTACCCTACCCTACCCTACCCTACCCTACCCTACCCTACCCTACCTTACCCTACCCTACCCTACCCTACCCGACCCTACCCTACCCTACACTACCCTATCCTACCCTACTCTATCCTACCTTACCCTACCCTACTTTACAGTACGTTCTTCCATAGGCTTTATCTTACAGTATGCTTTAACCTACAGTATATTTTGTTCTAAACTATTTCTTTTGTTACAGTAAGCCTTGTTGTACAGTACATGTCAATCCCGTCTCTCTTCCCTCTTTACAAAATATTATATTCACCCAACCTTAACACCCACACTAATCACCCGACCTTAATACCCACCCTCTCCCTAATCACCCACCTTGACTGCTCCACCCTAACCTCCTAAATACCTTACTATAGTAATTTCCATTCCAAGCCCCATCACCCCCAAACGACAGCTTACAATAACTTTCAGGTTACCAAGTCAAGCCTCCTCCAGCCACAACACTTGACTTTCACCAACAAACAAAACCGTCTTATATAGTAATTACAAACCCATCCTCTTTTCGCTAGCCGGGCGTGGCCCGCGCTTGTAATATTCTTCTGGAAGTCTACCGTGAAACAATAAAAAAAACGTTTTGTCGTAAAAAATGCGCGACTTTTTCGTTTCGTCGTCTGGAGTGATGTCTATGTTGTGTTGTTGTGTCTGGAAGAATAGAAGCTTTTTTAGGTTTCGGTTATATTTGTAAAGGGCTAGTCTACAAAAAGCAAGTTATTAGCCATAGCTATAGCCATAGCCATAGCCATAGCCATAGCCATAGCCATAGCCATAGCCATAGCCATAGCCATAGCCATAGCCATAGCCATAGCCATAGCCATAGCCATAGCCATAGCCATAGCCATAGCCATAGCCATAGCCATAGCCATAGCCATAGCCCTAGTCCAGAGCCCTAGCTCAGAGACCTGGCCCAGAGCTCTACCCCAGAACATTTCAGTTTTCCTTCTTTTATCTCACTTACACGCTCTCTCTCTTTCTTTCACTCTCTCTTACTCTCCTTTTTTGTTTACCTACCTCTCTGTTTCTCTCTTTTTCTCTTTGAGTGAGTTAGTTATGACAAAACTTTTTGGAATGACTGGTATTTTGGTCGATGACTAATTACTTACAAATTTTTCTTGAAAAAAATATAATTTTGGTTATATTACTATAGTTTTTCAAGTAAACATGATAGAAATTGTCTTTATTGAGTCTAATTTAATATATTTTTAAAAAATTTTTAGCGTTTTTTATATTATGTTACGACTCAATTTTGGGCTAACGAATCTATCTACCCTACCGTACCTTGGCCTTTTTGAAACTATCCTACCCTGCCTAGTCTTGCTTTATCATACCTTGTTGTGTGCCTATACTATTTTAAATTAAACGGCCATTAAAGTTTTTTTAGTTATAGTGTACAATTAAAAAATTATTTTATTACGATGACTAAGCTTTACTATAGTATACTTTTCAAAAAAAGTCAATCAAACTTCCTGAACCTACGAAAAAGAATGTCATTATCAGTCTCTCATACGTGTTTCACAGTGTAAATCAACGTTTTCAACGGCGAAACGTTTCGACACAGTAAACTATTACATTACCTATAGAGCGAACTTGGTTTTTACTTCAGAGTAAACTCTCATTTACACTGTAAATGGGTTTTTTCGATGCGTAAAACATTTCACGTCAACGTTTACGTTGTTTTAAGAAAAAACCGGGTCGGCGAAAAAACTCGAAAAAAGCGAAAGTTGAGCTTTAAACTATGTGTGGTCGGTTTAATTATAACTTGTTGTGTTTTGTGTCATTTCGAGTGAACTTTAAAGGTATACGACATTTTGTATGACAGTCAAGTTTTCAGGTTTATATAGGTTTCTAGATTATGAGGCATTGTTTAGACTAAGTCTAGTACAAAGCTAGGATAAGGCTAGTTTAAAAGTAAAAAGCAATACAATAGTAACGTTAGGTTGAACCAAAAAGTAGCGGGACACTTGTTAATTGAAAAATAAATGAAAAGTGTCCCGCTACTTTTGGTTCAACCTAAAAAAATGTGCCCTTATAAGGCTAGAGAAAGTAGGGTATGGATATCTAGACCTGCCAAGACAAAGCTATAACATTTAGGTTACATGAGATGGCTATGCTTGCAAAACAGTCAGTTACTAAACCACATTTTTTAGTCCGGCCCGTTTTATTTTTTTTTATTTTAGGCCTAGGCAGGGCCTAGTGGACCTTTCTTTTAGTTCTATGGGTGACTTATCTTCAAAGCAGGGCTAATTTACGGCAAGGGTAGGACAAGTGTGATAATAGAGTAAGAATAGAAAAACGCAAGAGCTAGGGCTCTGGGCTGGGTGGCTAGGCTTGTGAAAGGGCTCGACAGTGTCTAATTTTCAGCCAGGCTCTTTTCAAAGTGTCTTCCCAGATTTTACCCCAGTGGAGGAGGCTTATAGTTAATGTAGGAACAGGTTCAGGCTAGGGTACAGTAAATGTAAATAGACTACAAATAGGCTAGGACTCGGGGTTAGGGCTCTGGGCTAGGGCTCTGGGCTAGGGCTCTGGACTAAGACTTTGGGCTAGGGCTCTGGGCTAGGGCTCTGGGCTAGGGCGCTGGGCTAAGGCGCTGGGCTAGGGCTCTGGGGTAGGGCTTTAGACTAGAGATTTAGACTAAGGCTCTGGGCAAGGGCTCTGGACTAAGGCTCTGGGCTAGGGCTCTGGGCTAGGGCTCTGGGCGAGATCTCTGGGCGAGATCTCTGGGCTAGGGCTCTGGGTTAGAGCTAAGGCTAGGGTTAAAACATATGTTTTGTTTCTCGTATATTAGTAGCTAGTTTACATTACTTCTCCTTTTTCCCATAATGGTAAACAGTAAAGCAGTAATAAAACCAAGCTTACAATGAGAGAAAAGGCTTTGTGTGTTACAAAAACAACAAAAACCAATTTATTAAGCGAGGTTGGATCGTAAAGCATTTTACCGTTACGAAAATGATTGATTTAAGTTATGGTAAACGCTCGGAAGACAATAGCAATCGCTTTTGTCGTTTTTGGTATCATATTGTAGTGGGAAGAGAACCCGGAAGTGAAGAAAGAGTGAAGTTTGTTCTTTGGAAGATTAAAAAGATAATATTATCATAGTGAAGGTGGTAAAAGAAACATATAATCTACCATACCCTACCCTACCCTACCCTACCCTACCCTACCCTACCCTACCCTACCCTACCCTACCCTACCCTACCCTACCCTACCCTACCCTATCCTACCCTACCCTACCCAACCCTACCCTACCCTACCCTACCCTACCCTACCCTACCCCACCCTACTTTTCCATGCCATGCTATGCTTTAGATTTACTGTAGCTTTAGTTCGGCACCCTTTATAAGCCTTACCGTACCTTACCTTCACCATGAGATGGCCGGACCTCACATTACTGTATATTTTCTGGACGCAATCTAGCCTTACAATTGTTAGGTTATCATATACTACTAATGTACTTACTTTACCCCTACATTTCCTACCCTATTCTGTCTTAACTGACCCTAGCCTACATTTGCTCTACACGTGCCCAATCGTACCCTTCTCTTAACCACAGTTTAACATATCGTACAGTATAAAAAGTTTTAAATTTTGTAAAATAATTAAAAATAAATTAAAATGACTAAATAAAAAACATATATTTATTAAGTTTACGACGTTACCCCTTCAGTAAAAAACGACAAATTAAGTTTAGCAACTGAAGAATGTTGACCGGAAATCAAATACAAAACTTGAAACAATTTCTTCTTCTTCTTTGCATTTTAGTTTTGTAATTATAACATAAAAGGGAAAGAGGAGTAATAGGAAAATATTAAAAAACCAACAAACAAGCAATCTTGTTTTGTGGTTTTTAATGTTACATAGTTACAGTACATATGTTATTATAATTAAATATGTTTTAAGACAATTATGTTATAGTTTTTTAATTTTTCAATGTTTTTAAAGATGAGTAAGGCTAAGAATAGAGGCGGACAAGTCTCAGTTAAAACTAGTTAAGAGGTAGAACAAGAATAGTGCTGAAGCTTGTGTAATGCCAAGGTGGTGTCTGGAGTAAAACTAGGACAAGCGCTAACACGTAAAATAAGGCTAAAGCAAAGACTAGAATAGGACCAGAAAGCCTTTTCGGCCCGGACCGGACGGATCAAAACAATTCTCATCCGGACCGGTCCGGCAAAACACTGATCAGGATTATACAAAAGTAACCTTAGAAGGAAAGTTAGTATAGAAGTTAAAGTACGTTAGAATAAAAACTATAATAGGTCGGCGCTTAAGTAAGGCTAATGTAATGGCTAGAATAAAGCCTAAGGTCGAAGATAGGCTAAGCTTACTGTATAAACTAAAACTAACGCTAAGATAGAGCCTGAACTAAGAGATACAGTTGAGCTAGATCGGGCGGTATGGGCTAGGATAAGGCTACAATCTAGGATAAAGCTGGGGTAAAACTGGAGTAATGGCTAAAGTAGGGCTAGGATAAAACTAAAGTGGAAATTAAAGTAGAGGCTAAGGTAAAACTAAAGTAAATCTAGGGTGAGGCTAGACTAGGATTTACGGTAGGACTAGAGTAGTAGCTAGGGAAAGCTAGAGTAAAGTAAGAACAGACTAAAAATAGGAAGGTCTAACTATAGTAAACTATTGAATATTTTCTAGATCAAGTCAAATGCAAGACATGTTTAGATAATTACTTCTTTTTTAATTTTTATAGTAATTTTTGTTAAACTTAGATTTAATAATATATATAGTTTAAAAAAACAAAAACTCTTCAAATTTTACAAAAATTTCAAGAATTCGAAAAACTCAAGGCCAATAACCGCTTATTAGTAATCACACAGTTTTCCAAACGTGTTGTAATGCATGATATGTTTATTGTCTTTAGGAAACGAATGTCGTAATTGACCCAAACTCTTTTTCTTTTTTTCGTTTTCCCGTTTTTCAAGGTCGAAAACTCGAAAAAAAACGAAAAAAAACCGTTTTTTTTTTGGTTTTTCAAGTTGTTCCAGAAATGAATTTTATCGCCAAACATTGGGAAAGCAGTTCCTGGAACTTTGATGTGTAATATTGCCAGAAAGTGGAGGCTTGATTAGCTTGTTTGTGTAATGAAAGAATAGTTTCTTGATTTGGAACGTAGTTGTTGTGGCTAAACTTAGTTGGTAGTGTCATATACAATCAGTTTATCATATATAGAAATATAAAGGCCAAACACCATATATTTTGGCCTGACTCTATCAATTTTACTTCGGCTGGGTATAGTGTGGAACCCCCCCCTCCCCACCCCCCCCCCTCCCCCCCCGCAAAAACAAATTTTAAAAAAAATTGAACGTGGTGCTCCCTGTGGATTTTTGGAATATTTCGACCCCCGCCCCTAGACTAAAAGTCCCCGCCGGGCCTTGATCTAGTAGGCCCTCTATTACGTCTGCGGCCAAAAAATAGTGTATAGTGTAATATACAATCATATCAGTTACTCATAGCCATGTACAGGGGCAGGCTCGGATCCTACATTGCGGCCAGGCCCATGCGCCGGATTTTGGTTTGAGCTCAGGCTCTTGGGCCTATACCGCACAATCTGGCTGGGGGCTTTTCAAACTTGTTTGGCTCACTTTCTTATATAAACTTATAAATAAAACAGCTTTTATTGTACTGTTTCTGTTTTCTTGCACACGGTCTGTTGTACACAGTGTAGCCCTTTCAAATTTTTTTTGGTTGACCTTGACTGTGGCCAGGCCGAGCCGAACGGCTTTCACGTCTAGTTACTTACTTATGAAAACGGTTGAAGGCCTTCAAACAAAAATTTTTTTTATTTATCTTCCCCCCCCCCTCCCATTGACAAAAATCGCCCCTAACACTTCGGCACTAAAAATTTTTTAAAAAAATTTTTAATTTGAAAAATTATTCATAAACAGAGACAACAACAGTAAGTTTTTCATCGTGATCATCAGAAGCCATTCCAACGCCAACCGAATAAAAATCTCTTGATTTGAAGTAATTTTGTTTTGAAGCTGCCATTTCTCGACACCACTCATCGACCACTTTTGCGTGGTCGATGTTGGAACCACCTATCCAAACATTGGCATCTCGGTTGTTAAGCCTATAACTTTTTATATTTAAAAAAAATTAAAAAATTTAGGTTTGTAAAGAAAGTTCTTCAATTTTGCTAGTTTTCAAATTTGAAAAAATTTTTAAATTTAAATTTAGGAGTATAAACCCTACTGTATTCTCCGGCTGGCCAGTATGTCAATAGCCAACTCTTTAGCAATTCTCATCAAGCGGTCGTCGACGTTAAACTCTCTAACATGGTAGATCCGTCGACGCATTTGAATTTCATTTATGATCAATTTCAAATCCACGGAAAAATGTGGTTGGCCATCACGGTTTACAATAACTGCTCTTGCCCGAATTGAGCCTAAAATTCGACATAATGCCAACTTTAAAACAATTTTTGCCTTATTCAGAACTAGCCTAGGCTTACCAAAAGCTAGCTTTAGCACAAAGCCCAGAGCCCTAGCCCAGAGCCCTCGCCCAGAGCCCTAGCCCAGAGCCCTAACCCAGAGCCCTAGCCCAAAGCCCAGAGCCCAAGCCCCTGAGCCCAAGCCCCTGAGCCCAAGCCCCTGAGTCCTAGACAGGCTTGGACACAGGGCAGGGCATTGGCAAATTTCCATGCCCTGCCCTGTGCCCTGCCCTGCCCTTGCCCTGCAGGGCATCAGGGCATTTACAGGGTATTTACAGGGCATTTGGGTATATTTTGGCGGATGCCTCCGCCGAGTGGTCGATAATCAGCGGACGTCATAACTTGGTTAGTGTAGCAGATAGAAAAATGTAGTTAAGTGCAGAAATTGTTATCTGTCATAACCTTCACATTAAGCCAGAAATTTATGTTTTTGAAAACAATATTGTTATCGACCGGTCGATAATTTACAAATGCTTAATTTTTACAAAAAACAAAGTTTTTTGCTTAGAATTGTATCTAATGCAATTTCTATACAATTTAGAACAACGGAGCGATAAGAATATATATAAAATTTGCAATTAAAATATACTAAAAATTATCAACCGGTCGATAACAATACTACTTTTAAAATATTAAAATTATGCTTTTACTTGCAGCGTATGACATATAATAACTTCTGAATTGAACTACATGTTTCTAGCTGCTAAACTAACCAAGTTATGGCGTTCGCCGATATCGACCGCTCGGCAAAGGCGTCCGCCAAAACTTACCATGGCACAAACAGGGCATTCGCAGGGTAATGCAGGGCATAGGGCATGCCCTGCCTTGTTCCAAGCTATGCCCTGCCCTGCCCTGTAAAAAAATTTCAAACCATGCCCTATGCCCTGCCCTGCCCTGTGTCCAAGCCTGGTCTTAGATCATGAGCCCTAGCCCCTGAGCTCTAGCCCCTGAGTCCTAGCCCAGAACCCTAGCCCAGAGCTCTAGCCCAGAGCCCTAGACCAGAGCCCTAACCCTATCCGTAGCTCCAACTTCAACCCTGGCTCTAGTTCTAGACCATCCCAAACCCGCATCCCCAGCCCTAGATTCACTAGTCTTACCCGTGGTCTTGTCTTAGCTCTAGATTAAACACGGGTTCTAGTTCAAAGCCTAAAATTCTAGTCTTAACCCAAAAGACTAGCTCAAAGCCTTAACCCAAAGCTTTAGCCCAATACCCAAACCTTACTCTAGCTTTAACCCTTGCTCCGGTTCTGGCCATAGCCCTAGCTTTAGCAAAAACTCTACCCTACCTGTCTTAAAGCTAAGTTTATCCACTATTCCTTACCTTCACGCTCTTCAAACCGACCTTCCTTGACATCAATCTTATATTCTCCATTCTTGTTTCTACTAATTTTTTCAGGAATATATTCAAAACGCTTTCCCTGACGTAATTGTTCGTCATTTCCACTAGTTTTGCTCCAATACATTCCAAAATCCGAGACTTCACTACCACCTAAATGAAATTCGCTCAGTGGCAACAGTCTTGAATTTGGCAACTCAGGCGGTAACGGCAACTTTTCGTATTTACTAGTGTATTCATACGGTAACGACGGATATGGTTGTTTTGAAGAATCGGTAAACTTGATACTATCCAAATTGTTCTTTATATTCTCCATTGATCTTCTTATATTATCCATGTTGAAACGAGAATCAGGAGAAAAGGTCGTAACGCTTTGTAGAGATTTTTGGTTATTGTCATCGTTTTTAGAGTCTACGGGAGTAATGACATTAGTTTTTGAGAACGGAACAATTGTTGGATCAGACGGTATTAGGGATTCTGAGTCCAGTAGTTCAGCTCCGGGCTCGTCTAGGTAGATGGTGGTTTTCTGAAAGTATAACAAAAATATATAATTTTTGGTTTACGGTAAAGGTTTTTCTTTTTCAAAGATTTTTGACCTTTAATTTTTTTTTATTTTTCGATTTTACTGTTAGTGTCATTTTTAATATTTAAAATTTTTCAATATTTTTATTTTTTAACTTTTAGTGTGTTGGTAGTGCAGTGGCTGTGACGCCGCTCACTATTCGGAAGGACCTTGGTTCGACCCCGCGCCCCACCCAACTCAAGCGCCATGAGCAGTGTTTTGCCGGGCCGGTCCGGACCGGTCTGAAAAGTTGTCGGTCCGGACCGGTCCGGCAAAACACTGGCCTTGAGGAATGAGTACTGCTCAGTGCACGGGGACTAGGAACGTCTATACTTGGCCTACACGAGTATATAATTGAACGCGAGAAGCCTTATAGAACACCTCACTCACGATTCAATGACGCGAGAAACAGTGAAATATCTATGGAGAGGCCCAATTATGGGAAACGTCAAACTCAAGGATAGCTCCGTTGGTCTTCATCTGACCCATGAGCATCTTTGCACATCAACACTGTACGTTACAACCTGCGACATCAAAAATCATCTAATCTAATATATATCTCCCGAGTTGTAAATGTAGACGCTTTAAGATTGTAAAGTAAGTGAAATGAAGTACTGGATTTGTAAAGTGGCTGGCCTAATCTTCTATCTCTCCGACCCGCCACACAAGCCCGACCTTGGCTTGAGCCTCGGCTTGAATGTTGATGGGAACAATTTTGAGGTTGATGACAGTTTATATATGAATGTAAATGATTCTGTTGTAGATGAGGAATGTTTTGAAAAAAAGGTTATCCTTGGGTGAAAAGTTAAAACAAAACGTTTACACTAAAGCGGCTTTGACATATATTCAGTATAAGAATGTATCTCACAGACATTTCTTATCTCTATCGTACAATACCTTCAAAAAATTTATTTATAACTATAACTAACAATGATGACTTTAGTTTTAACGGGCGTTTCCCTCCCAAACAACCATTTCCACTGTTTGTGCAAAAACCGCCGGTACGGTGCAATAAACATAAGCATCAGCACACAATCCAATGGTGTATGTGTTAAAATACCCATGATACAAATCACCGATATCTGAGGCATATGTCGCATCCCAAACAATGGTAAAACAAACAGTAAGAACGCCGGTACAAACGCTAAAACTGTGATTAAAACTGATTGAGCTAATAGAGAGTTGAAGAGCATGATTTGAAGCCGTCGTGTTGCTGAAGAATAGTAGTTGTGGTAAATGTTGTAGTAGGTAACGTACAGCATTTTATATAGAAGTACACATGATATGACAAACAGTGAGCAGATAGGGATCAAAATGTAGAGGTTTAGCTTGTAGGAAAAACATGTCAGGTCGGGATGTTTGATGTAAAGTAATTCTAGTGAAGGGTCAAGGGTGACCAGGAAGTCATGCTGTTGTTGCTGATTTGGAAATGTGAAATATGCAGATACCTAAAGGTAATAGAAACAATTTTAAGCGTTCAGGTTGTATCGTTGAGCTACTTCTAGCTGTAGAAAAGTAAAATGATCATCTTGTAACCTTTAAAACAAAAACAACAACTTACATTTGTAATCAAGAAGCAGGCCACATATATTCCAATTCGAAAGCAAACCTCATATCGTACTGAGCCAGAAACCAAACGACACCACAAAGAGTTGCGCGACAATGTACAATTGAATCTGTGTTCAATTTGCATTGCCACAGCTACGCATTTACACGTTAAACAATTGACTGTCACAAAGAAATATGCTATTTGATAATTCCCGTGCAGTCTTGAAGCAATATTAATACCATAGTAACATGGAAGTGGAAATAGAGTTATTGTACCACTAAAGGTTGACATCGTATTGAAAGCAAACGACCTGAAATATGTTTATGGAGGTTACTATATTGGTTTGCTTATTCTGTTAAAGCCTAAGTTTAAACTTGGAAGATGTGCTAAGCTCTATGACGTACCATATAACTGAGTTCATCAAATACCATCTGTACTTGTTCAGCATGTTAGACTTGGCTTAAAAATAAATCGTTATTCAATGAAGGTTTTTGCATTATAATTAACAGGGAACTACCCTACCTGCTCTGCTTAGAATCAGCTCAAAATTTTTATACAAATTCTTTGTACCACCAATAGTACCCATAAAAAAATTTTAGCTCGTTCTTTTGAGTTTTAAATTTGAATTATTTCGGATTCCCGCCAATTTGGCAAATTTGGCATTGTGTTTCAAGCACTTTTTTTGACTTTCCAGACAAGCTACGGTTACAAATTAAAAAATGTAGGTTCATTTAAAGGTATTCTACCAGCATATCAAAGAAAAATTCCTAAAAGTCAAAAAATGGCAAATTACAAGCTTAAAACGCAATGCCAATTTCGCGGGAAATTCAAAAAATAATTTTTTGATCTTTATTTTCTCGAGCTTGCCTGGAAAGCGCAATCTAATACTTTTCTGTAGATCTTATATTTACACGATCTTTATATTTAAAAATTTTAAAGTCAATCGAAGCAGGGCAGGTCGAGTAGTTTTCTTGTAACTATTATAACACCTTACTTTTAGCAATAGTAACCAACGTCACAGTTGATAAAATTACATTGATGTAAAACAAAACGTATTCGTAAATACAATAAAATAGTAAAAGATTTTTAGATGGAAACTCCGAAATGTCAAAAATTCTCATTTGTCAGACAGATATTGGTAAAACATGATACCATTAAAACAGGTGGTAAATGTTTACAAAGTTTTCTTATACAACACCAGATTTTCTTAACTTTTTAAAATTAAATTATACTTTTTAACAGTTCAGAACGTTGGGTACATTGAGGGCGTTATGTCTACTTTATTGAGTTGATTGTATTAGGGCATAGAACAAGTGTATAAATTCGGCAGGCGCTTGTGTTTATGTTACACTAGCACCTTATGTCTGTATTGCTGTTTGACTTATGACAGAAACTTCATTCTAGCTTTTTTGATACATCCCTTGTTGTGCTGTTAGACCCTAAAGGAAGTGTAATAAATAGTTGACATATTGGCTTATCTTACCTTGACCTTCGAACGCTCTTCAAACCACCACTGATTATACTGAACTAACAATCTTAAAGAACCCCGCCATTGCTAACAACTACAACACTGCTTTCCGTCGGCTTACGACGATGAACAGCCCAATTCCATTTGTCCAGTAAAAACCGTCGATATGGCTTTATAAACCCAAACAGTAACACACAATCCAATGGTGTGTGAGCCGAAATACCAATGACACATAATAACGAAATCTGTGGCATATGTCTAACACCAAACAATGGCAGAAAAAACAACATGAACCCGGGTACAAACGCTACAATCGTTATTAGAACTGACTGAGCTAACAGTGAGTTGAACAACATAATTTGAAGTTTATGTGTAGTGGTTGAGTAGTCATTGTTACAAATATTATAGTAGGTAATGTACAACATCCCGTACAACATTGTCGCAGCTATGCAAAAACAAACACACAACGGAATAAAGAACAAGACGTTTAGTTCGTTTGAAATACAAATGATGTTAGGATGGTCAATGTAAATTTGTTCGACGGTTGGGTCCAAGTTGACCAGAAAGTCTTGTTGAAGTTGTTGGTCTGGAAAGACTATTGCCAACGGAACCTAAACACTTCAGTTATTGTCTCGGTTTGTTTCGAGTTAGGAGAGCTCAACGAGATGCTAAGCCGAGAACTTTCGCAGGCAACTAATATTTAAAGTTTGTCCAAAAACATACGTTCACGGCTAACATAAAAACAACTAAAATGCCGGTTCTTAAACAAATTTCATATTGGGCTGAACCAGAAACCATGCGGCACCATAATGAGTCGCGCGACAACGTTGAGTTGTACCTATGCTCCAGTTGCAAACCGACTGATATAACTTTGCATAACAAGCAATTTATTACGATAAAGAAGTAAGCAATCGCATAGTTTCCTTAAAGTTCGGAAGCTACGTTCACGCCGTATAAACAAGGAATTGGTAATAAGATTACTGGTCCATAAAAAGAGGCTGTTAGGTCAAAGGCAAATGACCTAAAATTTTTTTTATACTTTGTTAGTACAACTTTGCTATACAGTGAAACCTCCGTATAAGGAACCTCTATATAACGAAACCCCAGTATAACGAACAACTGTTGAATTTTATGATTACACAATGCATTTTAAACCTCTGTATAACAAGACCTCTTCATAAAGAACAAATTTTAATTCCCCGAGCGATTCGTTATATAGAGGTTTCACTGTACTTGACTTTATTCCCCGCACCAACCAAAGAAACTTTATTGCAACCCACCATATAAGAGAGTTGACCAAATACCATCTGTACTTGTTTAAAGGCTTATATGACGCTTAAAAGTAAAAATTCGTTAAAAACTACGATAAATACATTGTAACTTCTTATCAACAAAAACATTGATAATAAAGGAAACCTTACTTTTGATCATAGTAACAAGTGTTACTGTCGAGAGAATCAAATTTGAATAGAACGTTATGTATCGGTAAAACGATAAAAGTCTAAAAATGTTTCAGATGGAAACTCCGAGTCATCCAAAATTTTCATTTTTCAGCAAATGCAGGTTTAGAAATGTAACATAGTAAAACAGGTGGGATAGGTCAGTTTTGTGAGATATGAATTATTTAAATAATTGTGCATACAAATTTTAAAAAAAGATTTCTAGTTTGCTTTTTGCATTTTGCTATTGTAGCTTCACTTAGAATTGAAAAAGGTCCTACTAGGCCCGGCCCAAGAGCACCCAAGAGCCGGAACCAAACCCAAGGTTACAGATTTGGCTCCAACTAAAGTCTAAGGTCCAACAAATTAAGCACGGCTTCTTTTGCAGGTCTAACATTGCCCTTTAAAATTTTGCATTAAGTTGTTAGTCGCAACTACAAGTTTTATTTTCATTCAAATGGCCCGCCATTAAGAATTCTTGTATTCGAAACACCATAACAAACAAAAAAGTGACATTGCTGCAACAGGTGTAAGATTTTGTGTTTATATGCCATTTATTATAATACTACGAAAATGAAACCCACAACGCATCACAAGGCAACGTCGGTTTGTACCTACGCTCTTAGCAGACCCACCGACATACAGTGAAACCTCTGTATAACGAATCGCTGGGGGAATTAAAATTTGTTTGTTATGAAGAGGTTTTGTTATAGAGAGGTTTTAAATGCACTTTGTAATGATAGCCGGAGATTCAAAAGTTGTCATTATACAGATTTTTTGTTATATAGAGGTTGTTTATACAAAGGTTCCAGTATATACAAAAAAGAAATACGTCTATATTCTTTCAACGCCCAATGCTAATAGTAACAACACTATTTTCCGCAATGTTTTTACGATAAAATATGTGATTCCATTGCTTGTACAAAAATCGTCGATAAGGCGCGATAAACACAAAAAGGAGCACACAATCCAACGGAGAATGAGCCAAAACAAAAATAAAACAAAGCAACGAGATTATTGGCATATAACGTACGCCAAACAACGGCAAAATAAAGAAAAATATTGCCGGTAAAACTGCTACAAAGGTGAGTAAGATCGCCTGTGCCAGCAATGAGTTGAACAACATGATTTGAAGTTGGCGCGTCGCTGTAGAATACTGTTTGTGGCAAATGTTTTGGTATGTAAGGTACAAGATAGTGTATAATAAAACAATAGCTACAGAAAATATCACGCATATGGGGATGTGTATGTAGAGGTTTAGTTCATTTGCAAAACAATACATGTCAGGATGATCTATGTAAAGTTGTTCTAACAAAGGGTCGAGGTTGATGAGGAAGTCATGTTGACGTTGTTGATCCGGGAATACGTATATTAAGGGTGCCTGGCAAAGTAATTTCAGTGCTTAGTCTTTTGCGTTATTTGTTTTCGTATCATATGATTTTTTATTGTATCTATTTGAAAGGTTCATGCATACTTGGAAAGCTTGACACTTCCGCGTGGATGAAAATATAAAAAATATAAAACTTACATCTATTAAGAGTAACAAAAAAGCATAAAGAGCTACACGAACACATATTTCGTATCGTACTGAGCCAGACGCAATACGGCACCATAAAGCATCGCGCGGTAATGTTGAATTAAACCTATGTTCAAGTTGTACGCCAATCGAGATGGCTTTGCACAGCATGCAATTAAGGCCTCCGATGAAATAAAAACCTTGATAGGTACCGTGAAGGTTGGAGGCTAGGTTTAAGTTATAATAGCAAGGCAAAGGGAATAAAACAACTGCGCCGGCAAAAGTTGCCATAAAGTCAAAAGCGAATGACCTGAAAATATACGGTTGAAACAGTTACATGGTTAGTGCTTGTAACCTGTAAAGGGCCGAGATTACTTTTTGTTATAGCCTACGAGCAGGAGCTTAATTTGGGCTCGGCTTGAAAGATGATGGTAATGCTTTTGAGGTGGATATGGGTACAATTGGTTTTGATGTAGATGACAATTTTTTGAGAAAATGGTCATGCCTTGGTTTGACCTCACCACCCCGGGCCCACGCGTGCCGGCTTGCCTCTTCCAAATTTGCTTTGGCTCGGTCCGGACGGGCCCCATGAATCTTTCGTTGCGAGACCTAACTTGTGCTCCTTGAGGCCTTGATTTTGGGTCTCAACCCTTGAACCCCGTGTGCCCATTTGGCCCGGCCTTTACAAATTTGCTTTGGTTCTTTTTCAGACATTGTTAGTACTGTTAGGTGAAACATTTATATCTTAAAAGCCATCATAGCTTTTAAAAATTTTTAAAAAAACATACCAAAGAAGTGAGTTTATCAAATACCATCTGTACTTGCTCAAGGTTTTGGTTGAGGCTTTAAAAATTTTTGTGAAAAACAACAAAAATAAAAAAAAATTAAAATTATCAACTAATATAACTTTAAATATGATATATTATTCAGGCTTTCTAAAATAGGCCCACCTTTCAGCATAGTAATCAATGCCACTGACGATATGATAGTATTAAAATAAAACATAAAGTACTCATAGGTCCGGTACGCGATCAAAAAATCCTCGGATGGAAATTCCGAATCGTCAAATATTTTCATACTTTAATGCGACAAATTAAAGAATTAATATTTGGCACAACAGGTGTGATACAATGTTACACGTCTTGTTATTTTAAAAATGTGCTTCCTGCGCTAGAATCATAGAACACTGAACATTGGAAATTAAGAAACTTTTATTATGTTAAAAAGCACGTAGAGAGAAAAGAGAAGTGCAACTATCAGAAATGACACGCTCTATCATGATCGGAAAACTTAGTGAAGCAGTTACTGCTGTTTGTTACAAACAACAAATAACTGATTTGGATAAACACATTTGTCTTTGACAGTTAAAACAAGATCATACTCTTCATGACAACGCTAAAATACTGATGGATATCAAAAATTACAATAACAAATTTAAAGCGCCACACTAACGGTTGTAACGCTCGCTTCGGGCGAATTTTGACGAACGATCCTGTTCCACTGTTTGAACAAAAACCGGCGATATGGCGCTATAAACACAAACAGTAAAACACAATCCAATGGAGAATGAGACAAGATACCCATGAAACACAGTAACGATATTTGAGGCATGTGTCGCAGTCCAAACAATGGCAAAACATACAACAATAAAGCCGGTATAAACGCTACAACTGTTATTAAAATCGATTGTGCTAGCATCGAGTTGAATAACATGATTTGAAGTCGACGAGTTGAGGAAGAAAAGTTTTTGTTATTAATGTTGTAGTAGATGCAGAACAGCGATATGTAGAGCATAATGACAGATGCGAGAAAAAGAGCGCTTAATGGAAACAGGATGTTGATGTTTAGTCCATACGAAAAACATGTCAAGTCAGGGTGGTCGATGTAAAGTTGTTCCAACGAAGGGTCAAGTTTGACAAGATAATTCTGTTGACGTTGTTGATTCGGAAATGCGTACGCTATGAGTACCTGATATAAAGATAACATTACTATGAACGTAAGCGTTTTTTACTATGAATTTGATGCTTAAGATATGCAAGTAGCACTTTTTAAAACATAACTCACATTCATAACCGTTAACACCCCCAAAGACAAAGCTAAACGCAAACAAATTTCGTATCGTACTGAACCCGACGCCATACGACACCAAAAAGAATCGCACGATAAGGTTGAGTTAAATCGATGCTCGATTTGTACTGCCACCGATATGCATTTTAACATCATACAATTGACTCCAACAATAAAATAAACAATTTGGTATGTACCGTGAAGTCTTGAAGATATGTTAACCCCGTAATAGCATGGCAAGGGAAAAAGTACGACTGCACCACTAAATGTGGCCATTAGGTCGAAGGCAAATGACCTAAAAATAGGTAAAAGGAGGTTGGTTAGTAAAGTATTTCAAATAAAAGTCAGTGAGGTAGTCAACTATAGTATGGGGTATTCAAATTTTTGGTTTGGGATAACCAACTGCCTGGTAAGGTGCACAACTACTTGACAGAGTTGCTTATCTGCTTAATGATAGTACTTAAATACATCGTGATGTACAGTCAACCTGGTGGAGTACTTAACTACATGTTAATGGTGCTTTAACTCTTAGGGGTACTCAATTATTATGTTGGTACTCCAGAAGTGCCGTACCTCTTAAATAAATTGCTAATATAACAAACGTACCATACAAGTGAATTGATTAAATACCATCTGTACTTGGTTAAGGTTTTTGATGACGCTTAAAAATTTAGGTTAACCGTTAATGGTTTAAGAAACATTTTCGATACATCACATATCATGTATAACATAATAGTTGAAAGCTAATTTACCTTTAAACATAGTAATCAAGGTCACGGAAGATATTACAATATTTATGTAGAACAAGACGCATTCATAGATTAGGTAGATGTTTAAAAATGTTTTGGAAGGAAATTCCGACTTGTCAAAAATCTTCATATTCTTCAGAAAATTGTGAATAAAAACAGAGACACTTACTACAGGTGCAATGAGAGTCTGTTATCATTTAAAATGAATTTCTGTTAAGTTTTTTGTGCACTTGAGTCTAGCTGTTTTACTGTTTCTTGTTTTTCTTTAACTTTTTCAAACTCACGCCAAACAACAGTACATATACTATTCATAACTAAAGAACAGTGTATGCCCTTTTATTAAAATGATCGTATTTACTTTACATTCTCCAAGCGTCTACAATTACAACTCGGGAGATATATATTAGATTATTTTTGATGCCGTAGATTGTAACCTACATGTGCAAAGATACTCAAAGTTCCGATAAAGACCAACGTATCTATCCTTGAGTCTGACGTTTCCCATAATTGAGCTTCAGTAATAAAGAATTAAGCGGATACACTGTTGTCGGCGTTTGCTTCATGCCGTTAGAAAAAGAAGTAAATAACATAACGCGGTTTCACAACAGGTGGTGCATCTTCAATGAAGTCTGCTGGCTTTCAAAAGTTTTTGCTCAAATAAACAAATATCATTTAAAATTTTAAACTACTGTACTTCACAACTGCTATATAGTAAATTTTTTTCTTATATCGAAAAGTTTAAGAGCCGAGAACTTTCCGAACAATCTAATAAGACTTGTGTTAACAAGATAAACTACATTACAAGCTAAACGACACTATCTTTGAATATTTACTTTGCACCGTAGCATTTACACAACAGTAATAATGTTTAGAGTAATTTCAGTTTTCTGTTGCTTTACATTCCTAAACTGTTTCCATTGCTTAATCAAGTACTTTCGAAACGGTGCTATAAAAACTAGTACCATAATACAATCCGAAGGAGTGTGTGCCAAAATAACCATGAAGCAACACACAGTAATCACTGGCATATTCCGAACGCCAAACAAAGGAAGTACTAACAAAAACAAGCCTGGTATAAAACACATTACAGTAATGATAACTGTTTGTGCACTCAATGACTTGAACAACATCACTTGAAGATTCTTTGTAGCTGGAGAATAGTTTCTGACATAAACGTTACGATATACCATGTATAAACCGAGAAATAGTAGAAATGCGGCCGAATATAAAATTAGAGCCGGCATTATTATAAAAAATATGTTAGTACCGGTAGAGAAGCAAGTCATACTAGGGTGGTTATCAAACAAAGTTGCTAAGGATGGGTCAACGTTTAGTAGGTAAAGCTTTTCTTGTTCTTGGTCAGGAAATACATAAATTAAAGGTATCTGTAAAATAAAATAAAAGGTAAAGAAGGTTCAATCACAGAATGAAATGGTTTTATAAGGCTAAGTCTAGAGTTAAGGCAGCAGCTGGGGTTGTGGCTATTGATAAGATAAGGTTAAGGCTGGTTCTAAAGATAGGGTTAAAGGTCTGTGCTCTAGAACTTGGGTTCTGGACTAGGGCTCCGGACTAGGGTTCTGGGCTAGGACTCAGGGGCTAGGACTCAGGAGCTAGGGCTCATGATCTAAGACTCAGGGGCTTGGGCCCAGGGGCTAGGGCTCTGGGCTAGGGTTCTGAGCTAGGACACTGGGCTAGCTAGGGCTTTGGGCTAGAGCTCTGGGCTAGCGCTCTGGGCTAGCGCTCTGGGCTAGCGCTCTGGGCTAGCGCTCTGAGCTAGAGCTCTGGGCTAGGGCTCTGGACCAGGGCTCTGAGATAGCCTGGGCCTGGACTTTAATTACCTACATTAACAAAAACTATGACAGCAGAGCAAATCCCAATACGCAGTTTATGCTCATATTGAGCGGATCCGCTAAAATATCGCCGTATGAAAGATTCATATGGCAATGATTGTATATAGCGACAAGCCAATTGCAGTCCAACGCCAAAAGATTTGCCCACTACAGTATTCACACCCATAAAGAAATACGCGACTTGCCAGGTGCCATGCAAATTAGCGGCTATACCGGTACTATAGTAGCATGGTAGCGGGAAGAGAGCAACCGCGCCAACCATTGTTACTGCTGTGTCGAAGAAAAAGCCCCTGTAAAAGTGTTACATGTGGAAGTAATGTATACCGAGCTTTTGTGTAACGAACTACTGTATAACAAACCGTAACATAAACGCCTCTCCTATGAATTAACCGTGCAAAACAAAAAGTATGACTTACCATAATATTGAGTTTAACAAAAGCCATTTGTAAGACTTTAACGTGCGAGACTTTGCTAAAATATCAAAAAATGCTAAATGAAACCACAAATTCAGCTACTTTATCTTCAGCCAAACCTACAACTTTACTCAAAAAAGTTGGCTTTAATAGGCCAAGTGCAGCAAAACTTTCAAATACAACTTACATTTCAAGATGACAAAAACGGCCAAACTTGTTAGAGTTATAGACAGAAAGTACATAACAGCTTCATAAATGTGATAAAAAAGTAAAAATTGAGGTGAAGGAATCTCCCAATCTTCAAGCAATTTCATCTTTTTGATGAGAATTTTCTGTAGCGCTCTTGAAGTTCAAAAATCGTAAAAGAACTTTATAAAATAAACAGGTGAAAGAGCAGTCTAAGTTATTGCTTCAATGGTTTTTTCAATCAAATGCAGAAAAAAATCTTTGTAGAACTTGCTGTTTAATTTTAAAAACATAATATTGGAACTCGGGCTAGGGCTAAAGCTCAGGTCGGAGCTGAGGCTAGGGCTAAAGCTAGGGCCAGAGCGATACGAGGTCAAAGCTAGAGCTGTAGCTCAAGTATAAGCTCAGGCTATTGCTCAGGATAGAGTTCAGGCTAAGAGCGAAGCTAGAGCTCTAGCCTAAGAACAAGCCCACGTTTATAGCTAAAACCAGGGTCGAACGGGGGGGGGACCACGTTCAACTTTTATCAAAAGTTTTTTTCAGGGGGGGGAGGGGGGGGTTCTTCTTCCCCCCCCCCAGCACCCGGTCCTGGCTAAAATAATTGCTTAGACTGCTAATTTTTGAGCTTGAGCTGCTCTAGAATAGGGCTCTGAGCTAGGACTAAGCATAAAACTTAAAGTAATGCTAGGGTTTTAACTACGGCTTTTGCAATGAGCATGTCAAATGAAACAGCTTAAATTTATTTACAATTTCACATGATGGTAATACTGTTTCTCGACAGATCAGACGGTTGAACCTTTCCATGCCAAAGCTGTTGCCACTTTTTAATCAAATACTTGCGAAATGGTGCTATGAAAAGCAGTACCATAATACAATCCGAAGGTGTGTGTGCCAAAAGGACCATGAAGCAACACGCAGTAATCACAGGCATATTCCTAACACCAAGCAATGGCAGTACGAAGAAGAAGAAAGCTGGTACGAAGGCCATGATGGTGATGATGACAGTTTGTGCACACAGTGAGTTGAACAACATTATTTGAAGATTTTTGGTTGTGGAGGAGTGGGTACCGTTCCTGTGTACATTACGGTAGACCATGTATAAACAGAGGTAGAGCATAATTGCTGCACTATATAGGATTGTAATAGGTACTAAGAGAAAGTTTATGTTGGTACCGGTGGAGAAACAGGTCATACCAGGATAGTTATCAAATAAAGTTGCTAAGGATGGGTCGGCAGCTAGTAGGTACTGCTTTTCTTGTGTTTGGTTTGGAAAGACGTATATCAATGTAACCTAAAAGCCGCACTGTATAGTACTTCATTTTGCCGAAGTTGTACTATATAGTATTTTGTTATACAAAAGTTGTACTATATAGTACTGTTATACAAAAGTTGTTCTATATAGTACTTCTTTGTACAGAAGTTATACTTTATAGTACTTTGTGGTGCCGTATTGTATTTCATTGTTCAGAAGTTGTATTATATTGTACTTCATTGTACATAGAATGACTATATAGCACCGTATACCAGAAATTAACCTACGTTAACAAAGAAACAGACAGCAATGTAAGCGCTAAGTCGCAATTTAATCTCGTATTTTGTAGATCCACTGAAGTAACGACGAATTACCGAGTCATACGGTAGAGAATAGATATACCGACGCGCCAACTGCAAAGCAACTGCAATCGATTTGCCAATCAGAGCATTAACACCAACAAAAAAGTAGGCTACTTGCCAGTTTCCATGCAAGTTTGATGCCACTCCAGTACCAACATAGCACGGTATTGGGAATAGGGCAAAGGCACCTATCGTTGTTACAATTGAGTCGAAGAAGAAGCCCCTGAAGGTGTTTTGAGTTGTAATTATTTAGCTTTGTCTTGGTAACATAAGTATGAAAAAAGCTTAGCTTACCATATCATTGAGTTTAAGAGGAACCATTTGTAACTCTTTAGGGTTCGGGATTTAGCTGTAATACGTAGTCATACATTTATAATAAGGTGAGAGAGCCCTAAACCTAGTTTAAGCCTTAGGCATATCCCTTGCCCAGAGCCCTAGAGTAAAACCCTAGCCCGAGTCCTAGCCCAAGTCCTAGCCGTAGTCTTAGATTTAGCCCGAGCCCAGGACCTAGAACCAGACTAAACCCTAGTCTAGATCCCTAGCCTAGTGCTAGTCCTCGCCCTAACCCTAGCCCCAACCCAGAACACTAGCCCAGATACCTAGCCCAGAGCCCTACCCTAGCCCTAGACCTGGCCCACTAGTCATAATCCTAGTTCTATTTTTGATCCTAGTTCTAGTCCTAGTCCTACCCTATCCCAAACCCTATCTCTAGCCATAATCCTCTACCTAATACTAGCCCAAAGTCCTAGTCCTAGCCCAAACCCTATTCTAGAGCCCTAGCTCAAAGCGCCACTAGTATTACCCCTTAATTTAGCCAACTATACCATAAAGATGACCTACGTCTAAAGAAATGTTGCAAGAACTCACATTTAACCATAACAACAACAGCCAAAACAGTCAATGAAACACTGAGAAAATACATGACAATCTCATAAATGTGATAGAACAGTAAAAACTGAGGAGATGGCATCTCCCATTCTTCCAGCATTTTCATCTTTTTGTGGTAAAAATATTAAGGATACATAGTGTTTCAAACAATAAAATGAGCAGGTGAAACCTGGTGCCAAGGCTTTTTATTTTTTTAGGAAGTGTAGTTTGTTTTTAACTTTGACAGCAGAAATGTAGCTTGAATGACTAATATTGACTATAACTTTCGTCATAGATTATATATAGTTACATATGTAGGTAAAAGGCCTCAAAAGGAAATTTTCGTATTGATAATGGCATCTACTTCGGATTAGGATTCTACCATTGTGACCGAATTATTATTAATAAAAAGTTGTTCAAAATATTCTGCGCCTCATAACCCTCAGAATTTAGTAAAAATGGAGTTCAAAATTTTTTGACCAGCCAGTCGTTTTTGAATTTTTTAGTACATTTAAAATTTTTTAAAATTTTAAATTTTAGAGAATTTTATTTTTTTTGTCAAAATCTGACTTTTTAATCAGGCTTAGAGCCTTAAATTTATAGTAAAAAATCAATTTAGGACCATTTATTACACCGTTTCGACCTTATTTTAGGTTAGTATTCAAATTTTTAAATATTTTTGAACATTTCTTTAAAATTTTTTGAAAGAATTTTATTCGAAACCAATTTTACTACCCTCAAAATCACATTTCCAGCCTTTCTTTACCTAAACAACCCCAAAAACATCAAAAACCCCCGACTAAAATGACTTACAATCAGTGTTGTAGCCAACAACTTTCCATCCCCACTTTTCACATCAATCCTTTTGGTTGTAACCTTCTTTCGTCCAGATTTAGAAGACATTTACAATACTCTTACTATCAACCAAAGATCTTTCCCTATACTTTAGGGTTTGGTAAGAGAAATAATGTTTGTCCAGGTAAGCGAAAATCCATAAAATAGAAGACGTTTTTAATATCCATGAAGAAATAAAAGGAGAAATCGGATGAATCTTTTACTCAAAATGTGAATCATTGTCTTCTGGTTATGGTTGACAGGTTGGGACTATAAATTTAAAAAAAACTGGTAGATAGAGAGGAGGAAAGAGCGGCAGTACAGGCAAGTTCGAACATACAGTTTAAAATTCAATTTTAAAAAAACTAAACAAGTTAAAAATCTTAAATTTTGTATATTTATCACCTAGTACATTGCACCTCTATACACTAAAATTCAGGCCGATTTGAATTAAGAAAATTGTAAAACAACACTTCTGCTGGGGTCTACTTTAATATAATCATAAAATAGCTAAAGAAATAACATATACTTAAAATTACCATAAGTAAAATGATTTTGATTGATAAACGTTGCATTTTGAACATAAAAACCTGACTATACTGTAATCCTAACAAGTTTTTGTTCAGAGCGACACGTGACGCGCGAAATCTTCAAAATGAGACAAGACTTCTTCTCTTCGAAATATTCCCACTTTTTCCCGAAATTTCACAATTTCGAGCTCTAAAACAACAAGATGAGCAATAGCATAGCTGGACCAGCTGCTCAAGAGACTATTACGGGTGTAAAGTTACTAGTACTTAATGATTATGATAGGGTAAGTTCATTTTTTAACGGTTTATTGGCTTAAACAGTCGTCTTTCTTGATTTGATAACTGGAGTCTGATGCTTTATATTAAATTTATTGTATTTATTTTAGCAACGAAAACCTCATCCAGCGATTAGAGATGATACTATGATTAAAATTGGTTCTCGGACCTTGTCCACCGAGATCACTTGTCCAATTTGTTTGGATCTATTCACCACAACAATGGGAACTAAAGTAAGTTGAAGTTATTTCGTCATTTTCATGTTTAGGAATGTCTTCACCGCTTTTGTTCCGACTGTATAACCACGGCTTTGTTGAGGAATAACCGAGAGTGTCCAACATGTAGGAAAAAGATTGTTTCAAAGCGATCATTGAGACCCGATATCAATATGGACATCTTGATCAACAAGGTAAGAATTTCGAGAGTTTATAGATGATCGATTTTTAGTTATGGCCAGAAAGAAAGCTGTTTGACGATATGCAGAATGCTGCTCAACAGCACTATCAAGCCGAGTCTTCCGTAGCCGCTCTTCAGAAGTCAATCGAGATTGGTATCAAGGCGCAGGCAAAGAATCGCCGTCAAAGAGTTATTGGATCTTATGATTATGATAGTAAGGGTGAAAAAATTAAATCTAGGTTTACGAAACTTATAAAGGTTGAATTTTGTTTAATTTTAACGTTTTTCAGCTAAAAAGAAGAAGAAAAGAAACGATGGTGAGGAAGAAGTTGACAGTCCTGAACAACTCTCTCCATCGGCGGTTGACGATGATTCACCGGTTGATGAAGGCTCTTCTCAACCTCCTTCACAAGAAGATGAAGCTTTAAGCTCAAGTGATTCGGAAGATTCAGGTAAACTTGACTTTCTTTCTTGTATTTAGGTCACCTATGATAATATCGACGTTATAGTTGAGTTTATATCTGAATAACATCTTATTTTACTTTAGATGACTCTAGCTCATTGTCCTCAACGATTACCGACTCAAGTGAATGTGAAATGGAGGTGGATGATCAGATACCAGAGACATCCAAGTCGTCAATGCAAGCTGTAGAACAAGGTTTGGAAAAGATGGCTGAACTGAATATTGAGCAGCCAAAACAAGAAGAAATTAATGTCATGGATTCTTCTGGAGACACTTCTGCTGTAAGGCTTTACATTTTCTTGGTTTTTAGGTAATTAACGATGAAGAAGGGTAATATACAGGGTGTCCTAACTTTTCTGAAGGAAAGTAAAAGCTTCGTTCTCGAAAAGTACTAGTCCGATTTGGATGATTTTTTTTTGCACACGACTAGGAATTACTTGCGGATTTGGTATTGATACATTGTTTTTGAGTATTCGGTGGTGGCTCGGCGGAGGGTGGCGGAGACTGATTTTTTTATGTTTCGGACAAAAAATATGTAATTTTGTTTTCGCATTCTGCCCAAACATTTTTCAAAAACATTTTCTTTCAATGAAAAACTTTTTTGCTATGTCGGCTGACGATCGGCGGAGAAATTCGGCGAAGGCCATAACTCGGCCAGTTTTTAATATTTTTGAACCGGACAAAAACCAGTGGTGTTCTAAAGCATTTTTCTACAAAATCGGCCATACTTTATAAAAAATCGGTAATTTTCAAAAATTCGGCGGAGACACCTAATTTTGGCGGAGGCGATAACTCGGCCAGTTCTTAAGATTTTTGAACCAGACAAAAGGCAGTGGTGTTCTAAAGCATTTTTCTACAAAATCGGCCATACTTTATAAAAAATCGGTGATTTTTAAAAATTCGGCGGAGACACCTAATTTCGGCGAAGACCATAACTCGGCCAGTTCTTAAGATTTTTGAACCGGACAAAAGCCAATGGTGTTCATTGGCATTTTTCTCCAATATGTCACAATTTTATAAATTATCTACAATTTTTAACAAATCAGCGGAGACACCAGATTTCGGCGGAGACCATAACTCGGTCAGATCTTAATATTTTTGAACCGGGCAAGAACCAATGGTATTCATTGCCATTGTTCTTTAAACTGTCAAAGTTTAATAAAGCATCAACAATTTTTAACAAATCAGCGGAGACACCAGATTTCGGCGGAGACCATAACTCGTTTTAAAAGTTACCAATTTTTTACAAAGATGGTCGGTTTTTTAGACAAAAGCTTCAGAACACCACTAGTTTTTGTCCGGTTCATAAATATTAAGATCTGACCGAGTTATGGTCTTCGCCGAGATTAGGTGTCTCTGCCGATTTGTCAAAAATTGTAGATAATTTATAAAATTGTGACATATTGGAGAAAAATGCCAATGAACACCATTGGCTTTTGCCCGGTTCAAAAATCTTAAGAACTGGCCGAGTTATGGTCTTCGCCGAAATTAGGTGTCTCCGCCGAATTTTTAAAAATCACCGTTTTTTAACAAAGTTTGGTCGATTTTGTAGAAAAAAGCTTCAGAACACCACTGCCTTTTGTCTGGTTCAAAAATCTTAAGAACTGGCCGAGTTATCGCCTCCGCCAAAATTAGGTGTCTCCGCCGAATTTTTGAAAATTACCGATTTTTTATAAAGTATGGCCGATTTTGTAGAAAAATGCTTTAGAACACCACTGGTTTTTGTCCGGTTCAAAAATATTAAAAACTGGCCGAGTTATGGCCTTCGCCGAATTTCTCCGCCGATCGTCAGCCGACATAGCAAAAAAGTTTTTCATTGAAAGAAAATGTTTTTGAAAAATGTTTGGGCAGAATGCGAAAACAAAATTACATATTTTTTGTCCGAAACATAAAAAAATCAGTCTCCGCCGACCTCCGCCGAGCCACCGCCGAATACTCAAAAACAATGTATCAATACCAAATCCGCAAGTAATTTCTAGTCTTGTGCAAAAAAAATCATCCAAATCGGACTAGTACTTTTTGAGAACGGAGCTTTTACTTTCCTTCAGAAAAGTTAGGACACCCTGTACATAAGGTAGCTTAAAAAATTGCTGTTTTGACTAAAAATTGGTGAAAAATAGCTTTTTTAAAGGATTAAACAAACTTAACTAATGCCATTTTGCTTTATAAAGAAGGTTGTAGCTTTTTTAAAGTCTGTGAGTAAGGTTTTAGGTAATTTTTTTACCTTTAGCTAACGGAAGACCCTTCAACATCAGAACAAGTCATATCAGACCAAATCGAGTTGGAGATTTGCCCTGCCAAGTCTCTGAGAAGACGATTGGACATTGCCCCAAGTGTCAGAAAGTCACGGTACATTAAGACGAGTTTGGATTGTACTAGTAAGTTGGAAGATGTTGGTTTTACAGATGTTTTAGTGTTATACCTACTATAATATAGGCCTATATCTTCATTTTTTGAATTTTTATGAAGTGTTTTGATAGATTTGGTTTCAAAATTGATGTCTTAACATATTAACGTTTCAGTAAAACACCTCTGTCACTACATTCGTCAAGCAGCTCAACTAGAACTGAAGCCGGATGCTGATGAAGATGCTCGAGTCATACCAACCGTTTTCTACATGTACTACCTGACTTCCAGTCTAAATATAGAGCAAGCTGAGAGCTTTACAACGCTGAGACAAATTCATATCTATTCAACGACAACGGAAAGTCATCTAAAGGTTGTGTTTGACACCCAGCCGAACGATGATAATCAACGTGATCAGAACATTGCTCCCGAGTTTGATGTTGATCTGGACCCGGATGCTGGTGATGAGGATCCTGATTGGCGTTAGGATGTCTAGAAGTGTTGTTGAATTGTGTTGGGATGAGCAGATTTTAAAATTTGAAATTTTTTGAAGTTTTTAGCTATTTCTTGCCAAAACTAATCTAATATAAGCTTTAGAGTATATGAATTAACTTATTATGCAGGGCAGTATTCTAAAAAGACATATAATATTTATTGTCATTTTTATATTATTATAGGTCATTTTCATCATTAATATTAGAAAAACTAGTATTTTAGTTGTTTAACAATATTATTCTTGCTTCATTTCATAACTTATAGAACATTTTTATCAATATTTATTATTAATAAACGGTGATTTACAGACTTAATTCGATGGTAATTGACTCTATTTTGTTGGTTATTTGTCCATTTTTATACTAAATTTTTGAAAATACTAACATTTTTTGTTTTAAACGTACTAATATTGGTATTACAAAAGATTTTATATCTATTGTCTATGTTGATTCATAAATAATGGCGCGTTTTGTCGTCCAATCAAACCTATATTAATACGTTGTTATCTTTTTTCAGAAAATATTTGTATATAAAGAATATTGATAGCAATAGAAGAAGAATATGGGTAACGAACAATCAGGTCCATCAACCTCAGCTGCCAACAATATCCTGAACAACCTGCCTATTAATGGTGAACAAAGCCAACCGAACAATAATTTTAGTACTTATCGAAGGAAATCGTAAGGTTTTGTTGGGAAATATGATTAAAATGGCAAGATTTGTCTTTGTTTACAAAACAAAAAATGGCAAAAAATTTCTTTGCAAAATACAAAATGGCAAGAACTTTCTTTACAAATTGAAAAATGACAAGAACTTTCTTTACAAATTGAAAAATGACAAGAACTTTCTTTACAAAGCGTTGTTCTATGAAAAGTGCTTAAAAATGAGGTTTTAGGTCCGAATTCCTGACAGACGATGAAGATTGTTACGGTGAAGACTACAAGCGTGTACATAACATGCTACGACAAATTGAAAAGAAAAAAGTTGAAAAAGACTTGTCGGACGATGAATCCTCAATATCAGTTGGTGGTTTAGATGATGTTTTAATGGAAATGGACATTTCTGTAAGCTTTCGGTCGATTTTTGAGTAGATTTTGCCATTTTTAGAGCTTAATTATATTTTCTTTGTTTTTAGTATTATAAGGTTTGTCATATTTTAACGGTTTTCTGCTGTTTTAGGCCTCCAAATCAAATCAAAACTCCCAAAGCCTACTACAAGATGTCAAAACAGAACGAATGGAGACCTCCTACAATATGGACGAGTTCTCACAAGACCTAGATGAACTTATGGACCAAGTAGAATCAACAGAATCCAAAAAGCTCGAAGCTTGGCCAGAGCCAAAGCCAATAAAGACGGAGGTATTGGAACGTTGGGAAAGGCCTTTAGAATCGCCGGCTTTCAGTGCTTACAGGACGATAGGTCGGTTCAAAGTTGAGGAAGATAGTGATGATGAAAAGCCAGTGGATTTGGAGGGCTTTAAGAAAGAGGGGTAGGTGACTTATTTTTTTAGAAGTTTGGGGGGTGGTTTTCGGGGTTTTAGGGCTTATTTTTATAGGTTTAGGGGTGGTTTATAAGGTATTTTTGATTTTTGAGAGGTTAGAGACTAAAACAATATTTTTTAAGTTTTCTATATTATTTTTATGAAAACTCCATTTAAAGTTTAGCAAATAGACACCCAGAATCTGCAGTATATTCCACCTAACAATAAAAAATAAATATGAAAGCGCAGTCTGCGTAAAACAGGGCGCGATTCGCTGCCGGAAAATAAAACATTTTATTTTGTAATTTTTTGTTTCGAGTGACCAGATGGACATATAGGAAGAAGGTAAACGCTCTTTATTTTGTTTTTAACATTTTTAATTTTGTTTTTGTAGTTATTTCTTGATTTATGTTGTTTTACACTTAAAAATCGGCTAAAATCTGGATTTTGAAGGTTAATATTTTAGTTTTTAAGGGTTTTTGTTTATAATTTTTGTTTATTTGAAGGTATATTTGCTTTTGGTAGCTTTATTTTAATGTAGTGAAGTAAAGTATAATGATTTGGAGATGTTATAACTTGTCTTTTTTGAATTAGAGGTCGTATAATACGTCTGATTTGAGGTTAGGTTGATTTCGAGCCAAAAATACGTCGCTGATCTTTTACAATTTCCGAGGCCAATTCCGAAGAAAGAATTTTAATTTTAGTAAATTCTCAAAAAGCCGCTCAAAATGGGAAACTGCACATCGGGCCACGACATCTCGGAAAACGAATATCAACCCACAACGAACGATCGAAGACGTTTGGTCAGGAGAAATGACATGCGAAGCGATAGCAACGATCATTATAACTATTTAGTATCCACGGGCCAAACTGGAACTGTTAATAGAAGGGAAAATCAGAATCAGAGGCGTCAGAATGAGAATAGAAGTGTGGTACTGGGGGTGGTAGTAGCGAGCCAAGTGCAGTATCAAGACAAGATACAACATCAAGACAAGGTGCGAGCTCTAACTCAAAAGATAATCAAATAGTGACCTCGGAATGCGTGAATGATTTGGAAAAACTAACAAAACAAGTCGGCAAAATGAAGTTTGATCCAGAAATTGACACTAATTCATGGTAAGATTAAGACTATTTAGGGGGTTTCGGAAAGTCGTGGTAGAATGAAGGGCATACAATCAAATTGGAGTCAAAAAATCTTTGAATACGTAACTCATGTAGATAAATATGATATAATAGATAAGAAAATAAGAAATACAGTGGAACTCCTGTATAATGAACAACTTTTAACTCTCCAGCTGACATTAAGGTAGAATCAATCAAATGTATACAATCAAATTGAATTCAAAAAAAGCTTTGAAAGCATAACACTCATAAAGAACAGTACTGCAGAAATACTTGCATCTGGCACGTGAATTGAAGCACTAGAAAGTCAAAAAAGATTGTTACAGGATTGGTATAATACAGCCATAGAGATAACGCTTTTTGTAGGTGCTAGTGCCATTAAATACAATAGTTCTTGTATAACAAACCCGTATAACAAAAGATCGGTATAACGGTCAACTTTTGAATCTTTGGGTACCACTGCACAGTGCATTTAAAACTTTTCTATAACGAAACTCCTTTATAAAGAACAATTATTAAATCACTGAGCGATTTGCCATATAGTAGCTTTATTGTATAAAGCGATTTGTTATACAAGAGTTTTACTGTATAATGCGATTTGTTATATATAAAAGAGTTTTACTGTATTTCACAGTAATACCACCTACAAAACGCGTTACCTCTAATTGACATTACCTTTTTTGTCTTACTTTGTAAAACATGAATTGTAAAGTACGTTTTACTTTGTAAAACTTTAATTGTAGAGTACAGGTAGATAGATATGATAGGTAGATATAGTTTTATGCCTTTATACGCTTTTTTTTAAATCTTTTTTTCACTTTTTTCTCTTTTTTGTGTGTCTTTTCGTCTGTTCATACGTTTCTTTTATCTACTTCATTTGTTCATACCTTTCTCTTACTCATTTCAGCGGTTTATACTATTCTTTTATTCATTCTTCTCTTCTCAATCATGCTATTTCTTATTCCACGCCAAATAGTTGTGTCCGCATAGCGTCAATTTTGTGCGTGGCTTTTTGTCACACTATTATTCTTGTTTTTTCGTAAACAAAATAGATTTTGAAGGAAAAACATTTCGCGATATTAAGCTATTGAACTTAAGATGTTTTTGGGCATTATAATTGAAGTAATAGCTTTAATAGGCCTATCTTTTGCCATTTTCTATATCGAAATATGTTTCCCAGCTATGTTTGTTGATTTACTATTAAGCGGGGTTTTAATTCTATTGCTAAGTGGTGTATTGCACAATTATTTTGTCGAAAATCCAGCTGCTGGTCCTTTTCTGGACCGATTATATTCACGTTGGTGGAAGGATATTGTGGATTATTGGCGGAGGCAGGGACGTCGTTTGGGGGGGGTGGCAGGGGGGGCGGCCCGCCCCCCCCCCTCCAAAGCCGATCCGAAAAAAAATTCCACCTGTGGACCAAAAAAAATTTTTCGACCTCCCCAGAGAAAAACCGTAGCGACGTCCCTGGGCGGAGGATTCAGGAAGAACAACGGCTTCAAAGGATTCATGAGGAAGAACGCTGGAAAGCGGCTTTGCAGGCGCAAGCAAAGTTAAATAATGAATATTATTCGAAAAACTGTAGACAAACGGCTACAGTGGAAATCACTGCTGATTCTGGGTCGGATTTATCTACATGGTAATCGTGTTTATAGGGCGTTATGAAGTGACATGACAACGCTGTTTAAAAGTGTTTTCAGCATTAGGTTGTTTAAATAATTCTGTGCCTCCTAACCCCAAAAATTTGATTTGAGGGGACACAGAATTATTTGAACAATCTAATATGATGTTGCCATGTCGAGCTTCATTTAAAAGCCTTAACAAGGCCTGTCTTGACTAGAACAGGGGTGGGAATGTTAAGATTTGAGAGAAAGAAGAGCCAGTATCAAAACCTGGTTTAAGGTGGGAAGAGAGTAAATTTGTCAATTCTAATCAGTATTAAACAACTTTATTTAGGTCTTTTACTCATGCCGATGTCAAGTTCCCAGATGAATATGCCTACCTACAGAAACTCAACAAAATTGACGAAGGAGCGGTCAAACAAAATAGGGTACTTAGCTTTTTTATTGTTTTACTTTGATTTTTAGGTAATATTATGGACAAAAGGGGTCAAAATTGAATCAGAAAGTTGAAAAATTTCTTTCTATGCTTTAAAATAGCAAGAACAACTTTCTTTACAAAACAAAATATGGTAATAACTTTCTTCACGGAAATTAAAATGGCAACAACTTCTTTTACAGAAAGTAAAATGTCCAAAACTTTCTTTACAAAGCAATCTTTAACACAATTTCAGATTTTGTTCGATTACCTGATGAGAGACCAGAACAACATGACAGACCTGATCCAAAAGCAGATTGCCATTATTTGTCTTTATTGGGCTCAAGGTCTCATCGAATCTAGGCAGCCAATCTTTCTGGACGCCATATTGCAGTACAAGAAGCATCGCATAGTCAAATACGTCGTAGGAGGCAAAGAAAAGATGGCTACAATAACATATTTTAGTTGTTTGATGCCAGAAGAACGAAGACAACCCAACTTTCGGTCTGCGGCCGACAGGATCAACTTGGTAACGGTGATTCGAGAGGGCATCGTGCTGTTTGAAGTGAGTTGTTTTATTGTTTTTGATTGAATTTTAGGTAATATCTGGGAAGGAAAAGGTGAAGAAGATACCAAAGTGTTGAGGATGAAGTTAAGATTGGTTTAAAAATGGTTTTGATAGAGTTGATATAGTTTTAGATTGATTTCCGACTAAAAATAAGCTTTTCAACTATTCCTTTCAAGCTTTTTCACTAAATTTTTAAACTTTTAGGGTTTTGTTCACTACAAAAAGAATGGGGAAGTCGTGTTGAAGGTTGACAGAGTGAAAAAGGATCTATTAACCGAGCTACAACAAGTTACAGCGCTAGATGTTGATTTATACGAACAACCGAATGATTTCGTCCCTCAGGCAATGTTGAATGCTGTTCAAGGGGTGAAGATGGGTCTAATTGACAGCATTTTAATGCCTAAACCTACAGAGAAGGTAAGAGTTGAATTGGATGAGATTTTCGAAAATTGCCATATTTTACCGCTCTAACCTAAAAGAATCAATTTTAGGGTCTTAAAGAGTACGAACAAGCTCTGCAAAGCGCTCTACGACAGCATGATAAGCAGCCTCATTTGGCCTTCTTGAATGCTGAACAGAAAGCTGTCATTCATGCGGTCGATACCCACGCTCACGCTGGATTTCCATTCGTCTTGTATGGTCCACCTGGAACTGGTAGGTTAAAATGGCTAAAACTTTGTTTACAAAACAGGATATGGCAAGAAATTTCTTTACAAGGCATAAAATAGCAATAACTTTCTTTAAAAAATTAAAAATGGCAACAACTTTTTTAAAAAAATCTAATTTGGACTTTTTTTTAGGTAAAACTGAAACAATATCAGCTTTGGTTTTAACCTTGTTGAAGAAGTCTCCAAGTACTCGAATTCTGATTTGCACTCCATCAAATATGGCAGCGAATCGAGTGACCGAAAAGCTAATGGAACACTTTGGCAATCCTTACAATGATGTCCTCACCAAACAGAATCTGTTACGATTGGTCTCCAGCAGCAATGACTACGAGAAAAGGGATAAGAAGTTTGACAGCGTGGTCTCAGCGTGAGTTTTTTAGTTTTTTTTTGGATTTTTAAGGGTTTTTAGGCTTTGTATGATAGGATTAGTAGGTTTGGGCTTATTTGGCTTAAGTTTAGTAGGCGTAGGTTTGTTCTACTTTTTCGAATAATTTCAAATTCCAATATAAAAAAAAATAATTTTTTCAGAAACCTAGCCTTAAAGAAGTTTGTAATTCCGAACAAACCTCTCCTCATAAGTCAACGAGTCATCGTATGCACATTGGCATCCTCAACTCACCTGATCAAACGTGACGTGCCCCGAGGACATTTCGATTATATTATGATCGACGAAGCCGGCCAAGCCTCAGAAGCCGAAGTCTGGATACCATTGGGTGGATTGGCCGATCGAACGACCTCAGTGGTTCTATGTGGAGATCCAAAACAGTTGGGACCAGTAATCACTCTAAATCTACCTAAGTACATGACTGACAAGTTCGTATCACCGCTTCACAGATTCATGCAGAATCCACAGTATTTGAAGGATTTGTAAGTTGTTTTAGATAGAATTGGCGTTTTTATATTAAGTTTGGCTAGAAATGGCATTTTTATATTAAGTGGCAGCTAGGAATGGCATTTTTCAAAACTATTTGAAAGTAAATGACATTTTTATGTTGTTGTAAGGTATTGCATCAGAAAAGGCATTTATTATTATTTTAGGCGAATCTGCGTACAACTGAAAGAGTGCTTCCGTTGCCACGATGCCATTGTCAATATCACATCGAAATTGTTCTACAACAACACATTGAAGCCGGGCGGAGATGCCAATCTCAAGGAACAACTATCTGGATGGAAGTTCTTGAGCAAAAAGGTAGGTTTTTGTAGCTTTAAAAGGTCTAGAACTTTGTTTACATAGAGTTACAGCCATTATTTTAATTTTAAATTTCAGGGCTTCCCAGTAATGTTCATCGACGTCCTCTCCGGCTATGAAGAGCAAGACCCCCGAGGCACGTCTTTTGGCAATTCCACCGAAAGAGCCTACATCACAGAAGGCGTGGTAGCATTAATGCGGGAAATGTCCGTAGCCGCCACGGACATTGGCATCATCTCACCGTATCGTTATCAGTCCAGAATGATCCTCGAAGACCTGAAAAAGCATTCCGAACTGAAGCATCACATCGACGACCTCACCGTCGACTCGGTGGAACGATTCCAGGGCTCGGAACGCAAAGTCATCTTCATGACATGCACAAGAACCAACTCACTTGGCTTCGTGGCCTGTTCGTTGAGGCTGAATACCTCGATCACCAGAGCACAACAATTACTTGTCATCGTGGGCAACAGCAACGCTTTGAGACGACACGATGCCTGGAGAAAGTTCATCGATTATTGTAAAGAAAATGGCAGTTACAAGGCCTCGGATTGAGATCTTCGTGTTAGTAATCGCATCTAAAAGGCCTTGGATGGATACTTTGTCATTGAAAAATGCATTTTTTATTAATATTAGGTTGTTCGGCCCGCCCCCCCCCCAGAGCCAATCCGAAAAAAATTCCACAAAATTTTTGAAAAATCGGTCCACAGGTAGCAAAAAAAAATTTTCGACCCCCCCCAGAAAAAAAAACCGTAGCGACGTCCCTGGTTCAAATAATTCTGCGCCCCCTAACCTAAAAATTTGCGTTGAGAGGAAGCTCAGAGTTATTTGAACAACCTAATAGAGACACTCTCTCATTGATGTATATAGCTTTATCTTATTTCTCTGCCGATTTTAACGATACTGGTATTTATAGTCTCAAAACGTGTACTATAATCTGATTTACATTAGTCTTTACGTTTTTACTTCTTTTCATATCATTTTGCTTTGATTTACTACTGTTTGAATAAAGGATAACGTGCTGATCTCATTTCGAACTGATTTTGCGCTCAACAGATACCTGAAGTAAGGCAAGGGTAGAAGGAAGGAGAGGGAGTTGGGGTACTGAGTTTCTTTTAATCGATAGTGCTACATCTGATACCATAAATTTTTAAAACATTTGCATTTTTTTACCGAATAAAACAAATGAAAACAAAAAATTCTGTTTTTTTAAATGCAAATTTTATTTTTGAAATTGTGAATTCGACCAAAGACCGGTCATTTTAATTTTTTCATTTACTACAACTGGTCGATATGTCTTCGACTCCAAACAGTGATAGGGATCTTTCGAAGCTTGCGCCACCACCTAAGGAAGTAAGTTTGAATTGCCATTTTCTGTGTTGTAAAGAAAGTTCTTGCCATTTTTTGTTTTGTAAAGAAAGTTCTTGCCATTTTCTGTGTTGTAAAGAAAGTTCTTGCCATTTTTTGTTTTGTAAAGAAACTTCTTGCCATTTTTTGTTTTGTAAAGAAAGTTCTTGCCATTTTTTGTTTTGTAAAGGAAGTTCTTGCCATTTTTTGGTTTTGTAAAGAAAGTTCTTGCCATTTTTTGTTTTGTAAAGAAAGTTCTTGCCATTTTAGGCTTTGTAAAGAAAGTTCTTGCCATTTTTTTGTTTTGTAAAGAAAGTTTTGCCATTTCTGATTTCGTATAAAAGTTTTTGCCATTTTGAGTTTTGTAAAGAAAGTTCTTGCAATTGCTTGCTTTGTGAAGAAAGTCCTTGCCATTTTCTGTTTTGTAAAGAAAGTTCTTGCCGTTTTCTGTTTTGTAAAGAAAGTTCTTGCCATTTTTTGTTTTGTAAAGAAAGTTCTTGCCATTTTTTGTACTGTAAAGAAAGTTCTTGCCTTTTTTTTGTAAAGAAAGTTCTTGCCACATTATGCTTTGTAAAGAAAGTTTTTGCCCTTTTATGCACTATAAAGAAAATTTAAGAAGAATGGATCGAACTGGGAAGAAGCGGAGAAAGCGACTCGTGATGCCATCAAAACTCAACACATTATCCCGTCACCAAAGGTACGGTTTTAACAAAAATCTTAATATATTTATTTGTTTCTTTATTTAACTAACAAGGGAAAGGCAAATATGGGGGTATCGGACCTAGAACTGAGACTTATATCATGTGAAAGAGCGTGAAAAGTGATGTAAAAATTTAAATTTTTAGCAGTTTTAAAGTCATATAGTAAAAAGTTACAGTAATTCAAAGTTTACTACTTTCCAAGATTCTAAAGGGTCCCCCTGTGGATCTTTTTGAAAAGAAATGGGCGCTCATCCAGAATAGCCCCCCTACCCATACCATTTCAACCCCCTACCGATGTCAACCAGAACATACCCCCAAAATTCATTTTTCAAAAAGCAAATTGAAAATTTCTTTTTTCTCTTGCGATTTTTCACATAAATTTCAATTTTGAACTAATGGTTCATTTTACTTCGCACCCCCATCAATGTAGTTTACACCCCCTACGCTGTAGATAGCACCCTACCCACTGTAGATAGCACCCCCACCCACTGTAGATCGCACCCCCACCCACTGTAGATCGCACCCCCACCCACTGTAGATCGCACCCTCACCCACTGTAGATCGCACCCCCACCCACTGTAGATAGCACCCCCACCCACTGTATATCGCACCCCCACCATTGTAGTTCACACCCCCAGAAAATGAAATTTACAACCGGCACGTAAAAAGTCAAAAATTATTCATTTTGAATTGACCTTTACGAAATCAATGAAAATGCGTATAAAAGGCAGCAGATTTTGCAAATTCTTTATTCTGCTCCTCCGTTCACCGCCCTGGCCAGTCAGTAGACCAGCATTCTCTCGCGCGACCCTCAACCTTCAACTCCGGACATTGCCGATATGGTTCGGCCAAGTGGAATCGACCTGGAGTTGGAGATTGGGGGTTTCACTGGGGGTGCGAACTGGCGGTTGGGGGTGTGAAACGGAATGGGGGGCTGTTCTGGATGAGCCCCAAAAAATGTTTTAAAAAAATTTTTTTTGTGTTTTGTAATGAAACTTTAAAATAACTTTTTTAAGGGCTTTTAATGTGATTTTTGATTAAAAAAACTTTTATTTTGTTAAAATTGAAGTGTTAAGAAATGTTTAAAGTTTAACATTGTATAGTAAAGCGAATATATTTGGACTGCCTGATTTGCCATCCAAATTGACAAAAATATAAATAAAAATCTTGAAAAACTCTTATTGGGATTTTTAAACAAAATAAAAAAAATTGCAACTTTTTTGCAAATTTGCAGGCGGCATCAAAACAAAGCGATGGCAAAAGTGCGACCGCAGTGGGATTCGAACCCTCAGCCTTCGGGATATAAGGCTAGGTTTCAACCCACTGGGCCACAGAAACACACAACCCTTCGCTGTCTTTTTCGGCGCTTTCTTCCAGGGTGTTCCCTAATAAGAAATTTCATAGAACAAACTTTATATTACTGTAACTTTTTAGTATATGACTTTGGGCCGCTAAAAATTTTAATTTCTACATAACTTTTCATGCTCTTTCACATGATATAGGTCCCAGTTCTAGGTCCGATACCCCCATATCTGCCTTTCCCTTGTAAAATCATACACACATATTATTAGGTTGTCCTGAAAAGAGCGGAATAATTTTTGTCGCTTTATAACTTTCTTGTTTTTTATTGTTGATCAGTGTTCTTTATGTTGTTGGGATGCTCAAAATGTGAGCTTTTTTTCATGTTTCAAATGTGATACAATGGAACTCCTGTATAACGAACTCCTCTATAACGAAAATCCCGTATAACGAACAAATTTCAATTTCCCGAGCGATTTGTGAGCTGCATCCGTTCTGGCGTCGAGATTCGGAAAGCGACGTCATCCCTGGTCATCCATTGATAAGATTCTGAAGGCAATGGTGGAAGACGATTCACGTACAACTGTTTGTGACTTGATTATGAGCTGGTTGTTTCCCCTACTACCATTCACAACCACCTTGAGAAGATTGAGGAGCTAAAAACACTGGAAAAGTGGATTCCAAACGAATTTACATAAGCAAAAGGACCAGGTTTTGGAGGGTGACCACGGTGAGGCGACACGCACTGGGCTACGAAACTTTTTGGCTCTCGCACTACTCACCCAACTTGTCTTCTACCAACTACCACCGTTTTAAGCATTATTTTTTAAAATTTACGGACGAAATCGGCCATTCTTTTCAGGACAACCTAATAAACAAGGGCCATTTTAAAAAATTTTAAAAAATACAGAGTTTTATGCCTGACTATTGGGGAAATTCACAAATGAGGTAACGATGAATAGGGGAAACGGTGAATAGGGAAACGATAAGCATAATATAAAAAAAGAAAGGAAAGTAGTTTTTCTACCCCACCCAAGCCAACCCCTGCCCTTTCTTCTCTATTCAAGCGTACCCTTGGTAGGTAGTTAAGAGTAAGGTACGGTATGGTAGGTAGCATAAAGTATAGTATTATTAGTAAGGTAGGGTATAGTAAAGAACATACGGTATAATATAATATGGTATGTTATGGGATAGTACGTAAGATAGGGTATAGTACGGTATATTAGGTAGGCTAAGTAGGCTAAACAAGACAAGCTTGGGACCAAGTTAAATTTTTTCGAAAATTTTTTCTGGGGGTACCAAAATTGACGCAAAGATACCTGATTTTTTTAAATCCTGAACTTAGCACAACGGTACTAAAAGTGTTTGTTTTGACGTTTTGACACTAAAATTGGTACTATGGTATTGAAGTTTGCGTTTGGTACTATAAATAGCTTATTGCTACTGCATTTGTTTGTTTTGACTTTTTTTTATTGAATTGGGTTTTGGGGCTGGACTTAGCATCAGGGTACTAAAATTAGCTTATTGGTACTAGAAGTGTTTGTTTTGGCTTTTTGGTACTAAGTTAAGTTTTGGTGATCGGTTGAAATATAAGCTAAAATATACGAAAAAACTTCTCTTATGCTTTGAAAAGTTGCTCTAAACATCAATATTTGTTGCTAAGAAATATAATGTTGTTGCCACTGTTGCAACTTATGTCTTAAGCCTATAAAAACTTCAAAACATGTATAAATTAGTTTTTGCACTTGAATGCGGCAAAAATAAAAGTTGTTTAACTTTCTATTAAACTTGATCATGTTGTTGCCACTGCCGCCAATTGTAGCTCTACCCAGCCTTACCCATGTCCTTTGCAGTCCTACCCAACCTGACCTTTTTAGTGCTACGCAACCCTACCCCACGTGGTTTAGCCCTCCCCAACCTAACCCCCACATATTTTAGACCTGCCCAACCCTACCCCTGATTTTTTAGCCTTACCTAACCTTACAAAGATAAAAAGGTCAGGCGTAAGGTTGGGTAGGGCCGAAAAGGTCAGGAGTAAGGTTGGGTAGGGATGCAATTGGCGGCAGTGGCAACAACATTATATTTCTTAGCAACAAATATTATGATTAGAGAAACTTTTCAAAACATAAGGCAAAATTTTTTCGTATGGTTTAGCTTATATTTCAACCGATCACCAAAACTTAACTTAGTACCAAAAAGTCAAAACAAACAGTTCTAGTACCAATAAGCTAATTTTAGTATCCTGAAGCTAATTTCAGCCCCAAAACCCAATTCAGTTAAAAAAGTCAAAACAAACAAATGCAGTACCAATAAGCTAGTTATAGTAACAAACGCAACTTTCAGTACCATAGTACCAATTCTGGTATCAAAAAGTCAAACCAAACACTTTTAGCACTATTGTGCTAACTTCAGTATTAAAATTAAAATTTAGTACCACTGCGCTAAATTTAGTACCAAAAAGTCAAAACAAACACTTCTACAAGGTGTTTCACGAAATTCCGTCTTCAGAAATAATTTATAACTTTGCAACTACGCAACCTACAATTGTGATTTTTGGCACAGTTGCAGTCCAGACCTGTACGTGTTTTTTTTGCGCAATCGGTTGCATTTTAAAGTTGCACTTTAAGGTCGTGGTGAATTTTCAAAGATCAACATTTTTACCGAAATTACACATGAGGGAATTGGTTCTTTTAAAATTTTACATTTTCTTCAATTTGATTGAAACATTCGGCGTTTCGATGATTGCGGCGTAGCCCAGGCGGCTTAAAATATCGGCGGACGTCATAACTTCCTTTAAACTAGTCATACGGACGAAAAACTATTATAATATTATAATTTTAACGTTTTAAAATTTATATTCATTTTGCACGCTGATTGGCTTAGGCTTAGTAGGCTTAGGCTCAGTAGAATTACACTCACAAGGCATTGTTACAAACTGCTCCACGCCAATTATAAAACGAGTTATACTGTTGGAAAGAGCGTTAAAAAGCAGTCTAGAATCAGCTTTTTTTAGCTGCCAAAACCATGTGGCACGGCAGCTATAGCTCGTTTAAAAAATACTTGCTTACATGCGTTCGGGCCCGAAAGAGCAGTTTGCACAAGTATTTTTTAAAACGAGCTATAGCTGCCGTGCCACATGGTTTCGGCAGCTAAAAAAAAAGCTGATTCTAGACTGCTTTTTAACGCTCTTTCCAACGGTATAACTCGTTTTATAATTGGCGTAGAGCAGTTTGTAACAATGCTTTGTGAGTGTAATTCTACTGAGCCTAAGCCAATCAGCGTGCAAAATGAATATAAATTTTAAAGCGTTAAATTATAATAATAGTTTTTTATTATATAATAGTTTTTTTTGTCCGTATGTCTAGTTTAAAGGAAGTTATGACCTCCGCCGATATTTTAAGCCGTCCGCCTGGTCTGCGCCGCAATCATTGAAACCCCGAATGTTTCAAACAAATTGAAGAAATTGTGAAATTTTAAAAAAACCAATTCCCAACCAAAAATATATGTAATTTCGTTGAAAATTCATAACGACCTTAAAGTGCAACTTTAAAATGCAACATAAAAGAACGCACAGGTCTGGACCGCAACTGTGCCAAAAGTCGCAGTTGCAAAGTTATAAATTATTTCTAAATACGGAATTTCATGAACCACCCTGTAGTACCAATAAGCCAATTTTAGTACTGTTTTCGGTTTCAGCGGTCCACCACGAAAGTCGACTGTTCAAAAAACAAACTTACGCTGAAGGCTGGACGAGACGTGGTAAGTGTTTTTTTTTGAATAATTTGATTTAATATTTTAGCTCTATCTGACCCTATCCCTGATCCTTTTAGCTCTACCTGACTTTAGCCCTGACCAGTCCGGTTGCGAGGGGGGGGAAGGGGGAACGGGGGAGGGTACCCCCCCCCCACCCCCAGAAAAAAATTTTGAAAAAAGTTGTACGTGGTCCCTGTGGATTTTCGGAAAAAAAATGTCGCAAAAAATCGGCACAGGTAGTTACCTACCCCCGCCCCCAGACCAAAAGTCCCCGCCCGGCCCTGGCCCTGACCTTTTTAGTTTCCAACAGTATAACTCGTTTTTTTACGTATTCGGCACAGGTAAGTTGGACCTAGCACGAGCACACCCTTTGAGTCCCGCCACGACAACGAACAGCACTTGGCATTCCGCACCGCACACGATTGCCAGCACGATAAAAGGAGAGAACAGTCAATTGGATCGCACGTCTCCTGACCAGTCGGTTTCTTTATCCGCTCCGATTGATACCCGACGTACTATCCTTGTATTGATAATAAATATTGTAATATATTATATTATTACTCGGATTAATTGTCTCAACTTGGCGACCACGGCATTCGCTCCACGAATCTTCGGTTTTGTTTTGAGCTTATTTTTGGCCGGTTTTTTGATTTTTTGTGAAATTATTTCACTTTTTTCGGTTGATTTCAACTTTTTGTTGGGTTTACACCGTATTTTGTGAGATTCTTCTTTTGTTTTGTTGCCAAAAAAGCACTTTTTGTTGAATCCGCTTGTTTTTTACGGTTAGAATACGTTTTCTGTCGTTGAAACAACATTTTTTGTGAAATAAAACACTTTTAATTGTCCGCCTTGTTTTAACTCCACTTTGGCTTTTAATTGCTAAAAGTAAGAGAAATAAATCGATTTTAAGCTCGATTTTAAGCCGCATATCAATTTAATCAAATTGATCTTGGCAAAAAACAGCTGATTTTAACTCAGTAATTATTAAATCAATCTAAATTGGTTCTCATGCAGAATAACTCCCCAGCAGGTGAATAATAATGCCCCATGGAAATGAGCTACAATCATTCCCCACTTATTCAAATTTTAAGACTTTTTTCAATTTCTCATTCTTTCATTTTGTTTGCTGAGTTATGGTCGGACCGCGAACTTACGAAGAAATCACTTATGAAATTGCCAAAAGTAAAAAAAACAACCGTTGTGTCCCACTCGGTATTACTATCATGCTCCACTCGAATTGCTCACATGCCCCACATGTATTACTATCATGCCCCACCTGTATTACTATCATGCCCCACTTGTTTTACTATCATGCCCCACCTGTATTACTATCATGCCCCACTTGTTTTACTATCATGCCCCACTTGTTTTACTATCATGCCCCACCTGTATTACTATCATGCCCCACCTGTATTACTATCATGCCCCACTTGTTTTACCATCATGCTCCACTTGTTTTACTATCATGCCCCACTTGTTTTACTATCATGCCCCACCTGTATTACTATCATGGCCCAGTTGTTTTACTATCATGCCCCACCTGTATTACTATCATGCCCCACTTGTTTTACTATCATGCCCCACTTGTTTTACTATCATGCCCCACCTGTATTACTATCATGCCCCACTTGTTTTACTATCATGCTCCACTTGTTTTACTATCATGCCCCACCTGTATTACTATCATGCCCCACACTTAGAAAACCCTTATTCACTTTCCCATTGCACTTTGAAAGTGTATTCATTATTCAAAACTTGGTTTACACTTTCAAAGTTTATGCAAAAAATCCCTATAAAAGCAACCGATTTCCCCAGAAATCGTCATTCGAGCCGAGTTCCGAGGTTGTCTGCCGGTTCTCTCTCCAGTCCCTAGTCGCGCGATGGTCTCACCAACACTTGGGTCGTTGCCAGCCCTCACCTGTGCCAACCTTCTGGACTAGTACAAGTTAAGTTCAACTTAACTTTGTGGGGAATGATTTTGCGCTTGGGGGAATGATTGTAGCTGGGGGAATAATGATTGTTCATCGGCCCCTCTAAATTAGATTGTGACCGCAAAAACCAACTACAATTTGGTATTGCTGTATTAATAAATCGATCTGCACTCGATTATTGTCAAAGGATCTATTTTGTTCAGTTTTGGCAGCTTCGCATTCAATTTTAATTTGTTTGTTAAGCAAAAAATCGACTAAGACTCGATCGTCAGAGCAATAATGGCCGAAAGTCCAAGTTTGAATGGGGATAATAATCCATTCGATATGCAAGTTCTGGTCAAGATGCTATCAGACATGAAGGTTCAAAATGAGAATCTTGAAACAGCTTTGAAAATTCAATCAGAAAAGTTAGAAACTCAAATTACAGACTTGAAAAAACAGATTCTAGAGATGAAAATTGACTCTGAAAGCCAAATGAAAGTTTTGAACGAAAAAGTAACTTGTTTGAGAGATTTGATTCTAATTCTTGGCTTCCAAAGCAAAATAGTAGTCCAATTCCGAAAATAATAGCAAGAATTGTAATAGTAATTTGCCACGTCCCAAAATTTGGGAAAATAGTATCAATCAACGGTTGTATTGTATAATTGTAAGCCGAGTGTACAATATCGTGGAACGATGATGGTGTTGGGACGATCTCTGTTAATTTGTCCGACAATATAACTGGGTGGATCGAAGTATCTGATGATGAAGCGAGAAGTGTCGTTTGTAGGCGGTTTATTTTATTTGCATAAGAGTTTAGTAGGGTAGAGGCGTGAACCAGGTTAGCCCAATTGCTTTTGTATGCTGATGGTGAAATGAAATGTGGTAATTTACCCAATTTTAGTTGTTGTAATGTACGGTGTACTTGAATGACGTTTGCTGGCCCTGCGAAGGAGGACCAGGAACCGTCTGGTTGTTGATAAATTTGTAACGGTACTTGGTCGCAAGGGGTTTTGGTAGAGTTAAATTGTAAATCAAAAGAACCAGGTTTTACAAAATAAACGTTATCTTGGTAACTAACTGGGGTATCTTCATAACATTCTTGTAGATATTGGTGATTCCAGAAAATCTTATCAGGTTTTATAGGGTCGCACGTGGTTACAGCAGACGAGGCCGGCGTGATAAGCGATGACGTCGTCGCGATGTAACCAAGAGCGTACCGCAAGTGTGGGGTTTATTTTAGATAAGGCGTTGATCATTGCGACGTTTTGATTGTGCAAGGAACAAATATGAAAATAAGTGTTTGCATACATTTTAAAACCCGACCAAAACCCGACCGCTAACTTCAAAAACTCATAAAACTGGCCGGTTCCTTTTCTCAAAATTTTTAAAAATTTTTTATTTTTGACAAATTTGCATGACCCTCTCATTTGCCGTTACGAGCCGCAGTTCTATTGCTAAGGTAGGTTAATATACTGAAATAGATTGTTTTTGGTGGTTTTGAGCTGGTTTTTGTGATTTTTATGAAAGTTTAGGTAATATATAGCGTTTTTGTTTAAACTTTAGGGCATTTTGGGCAGGTTTTTTGATATTTTTTGTTAGGTAAAAAGTTGCCTGTAACGTCAAGTTTTAGTTAATACTTTGTCTAAAACAGTAAGGTTTAGCTAATATCATGTTTATAACAACATTTTTTTCAGTCTGTCGAGTCAGAGAATACTGAACACCAAGTCTTCACAAGAATACCACCATTCTCCATCACCAAAGGCAAAGTCTACGTCAAGTGGAAGCCAAAAACCAGACAAACCTTGTCGGTTGATGTGAATAATGACCGTTATGTTCTACGTTTATTATTCTTTTGGATCTTATTATCATTCTTTGCTTTTATTTCAATAATTTTCGACTTTTTGTATAAGGGATTTGACTTTCGATTCACTTTTTGACCTGTAATTATTAATAAACAAAGGATTTTGTTGTTATTGGCTTGACTATAGTGGTTTTAACCTGGTATTAGTAGTGCTGACTTGTTTTTGTTTGGTTTTTTTGTTTTTAATGTAGATATTGATGTTGTTTTAGGCTTACCTTGTGGTATGCTTTGGAGAGGTGTAAATATATTAATGGTTTTCGACTTTTTTGGAAAGAATGTGAAATTTAAATGAAATGGGCGTTTTTTGGAAAGTTTTTGTTTTTGGAAAGAAAGTTCTTGTTATTTACTTAATTTCTAAAAGATTTGGTTGAAGTTTGATTTGAAATGTTAAAAATTGCAAAAACTTTCTTTACAAAACGTTAAATGGCAGGAACTTTCTTTACAAGGTGAAAAATGACGAGAACTTTCTTTAAAAAACAAAAATGACAGGAACTTTACTTACAAGACATAAAATGGCAAGAACTTTGTTTACACTTATTAAAATAAAATTGGTTTGCTCTATGATCAAAGTTTCAGGTACCCAACTGAAAGTCATGCGTTCTCGAGCACAATCAAGACAAAGAGACCACACACCATCTAGAGACGAACGAATTCAATGGCTTCAAGAGGCAAGAGCTGCATATTCTGTTGGGTGAGTTTATATTGATATTTTATGTTTTTTGAAAGGAAAATGACAAGAACTTTTTTTACACTCTGAAGAATGGCAAGAGCTTTGTTTACATGGTCGAAAACAGGAAGAACTTTCTTTACAAAACAAGAAATGGCAATAACTTTCTTTACAAAACAAAAAATGTCAAGAACTTATACTATTAGTCGTTTTTCAGGCCCACCGCTCGATCCAGAGCGAAGTCCCAGTCTCCAGCACGAAGCAAGCTGGGTACTACCACTCCCCAGAAGCGACAAAATATGTTTCAACGATCGTCGTTTGACGATGACTATGATCAATCCGATGTCAATGTGGGTAGGCTGGAGGTAGGATGATCAGGGTTGGACGCAGGGCGGGGCATGGAATTGAAATGCTCTGTATTGGGCAGGGCACTGAGCATAAGCTTGAAATGTATCGAGCAGGGCATGGTAAATCATCAATGTTTTGATGTTCATGTTCAGGTGTTGGTACAAATTTTTTTGAAAAATTTTTTAAAAATTTAAAAATGGCCAGAGAATGCCAAAAAATGTCATAAATTTAAAATTTTTTGAACTTTCAGGCCGAATTCTTGAACTTGGACCTAAAGCAAGTCGAATAATATGAAGAAGCTGACCACTTTTTTGGAAAAACTTCAAAATAAAGTGGAAAAAGAGCCCAGAAGCACGGCGTACGGCTCAATCGAACAAATGGTGGGGGGGGCATTACCGTTGCCAAGAACTTGAATTTTGTAAGTCAATATGGTATTTATTTAAGATTTAACTCTATTCATTGACTGCTGGTCTCAGGGTTGTTGCTCTGTCGGTTGTTGTCTCTGTTCTTGTCGGTCTCAATGTTCTTGTCGGGCCCACTGTTCTTGTCGGCCCCACTGTTCCTGTCGGCCTCACTGTTCTGGTCTGTCTCTCTGTTGCTTGTGTCTTTTTCTTGCGTAAAAACCAAAAAAAAATAATTTCTTTGTCTTTAGAAACAAAGTTATTGCCATTTTACATTTTTTTCTTTCAAAAACGTTTCATCGTATAACTTGTCACCCGCAAGCTGCATATTTTGTTTTGGTAAGTAAAATGGCTTTTTTTGTTTTTTAAAGAAAGTTTTTGCCATTCTTGACCTTTTTGTAATCAAAACCGATTCATCGCTAACTTGTTATCCGCAGGCTGCAGAACGATTTTGTAATGAAAAGCGATCATTTCTAAGTTTGTAAAGAAAGTTATTGCCATTTTTGTATTTGTAAGGAAAGCTCTTGCCACATTTCATTTTGTAAACAAAGTTTCTTCTCTCTTTCCTCACCTGAACCAGTCCAATGACAGCACACGTTAATTTTGGAGAAAATGGTTGATAATGAAAATAAAGTTTCACACATTGATAGAAAACCATGTTTTTTTAATCATGAAGCCAAAATAAGAGTACATCTGTACTGAGTGAGAGAGTCATTCAAATTTGTGGGGAAATCAGTAAAAAAATTGTAAAAATTTGAAAAGAATCGGGTCAGTTGATTTTATTTGCCGAAGCTTTGTTGTTGGGTTTAGCGGCTATTTTGGAAGTTGACTCGTCATGGCCTGCGAAACAGAACAAGTTTTGAAGGAGCTCTGCCAAAAAGTAAGTCGTTGATATCTTTTGCTTGAAAACATATCTTTTATAGTTTTTTTAGTGTTTATAGATCTATTTTACACTGAAAACTTATAAACTTGATATAGTGGTAGATTCATTGCTAAAACTGTAATTTTCAGGTTGAAGCGTCATCTTTGGATTCTTCATCTTGTCGGTATGGACGTGACGATCTTCTGGACATTCTCTACATCAAGTCTGACGATGAATGGAACCAGCGTGGAAAGAAGGCGGGTTTGGCACCCAAGGAACTCAAGTTTTTGAATCGGGTTCCAGGAAAAAACTACGACGATATCAGAGCATTGTATGCTTGCAAAGAGTAAGCGTTTTATTTTGTTTTGGAGTTTGGGTACGAATCTTTGAAACAATTGAAATAAGTATTGGAACACTATTTTTGAGGAATGACCAGTTTTTATTGAGTTAGGTTATTCTGTAGGTGATGGTGCTAAAGATGTCATTTTTTGATGTTTAGGTACAGAAGAAATATGCTAAACTTTTATTTCCCAGATGAATATGCCTACCTACAGCAACTCAAAAGAATTGACGAAGGAGCTGTCAAACAAAATAGGGTAAGTTGGCTTTTTATTGCTTTACTTTAATTTTTATGTAATAATTCAAAAAATGGAGCCAAAATTGAATCAGAAAATTGAAAAATTTCTTTTTAGGCTTTAAAATGGCAAGAACTTCTTTACAAAACAAAAAATGACAACAACTTTCTTTAAAAAGCAAAAAATGGTAATAACCTTCTTCACGGAAATTAAAAATTTCTTTTACAGAAAGTAAAATGTCAAAAACTTTCTTTACAAAGCAATCTCTAACAAAATTTCAGGTTTTGTTTGATTACCTGATGAGAGAGCAGAACAACATGGCAGATCTGATCCAAAAGCAGATTGCCATTATTTGTCTTTATTGGGCTCAAGGTCTCATCGAATCTAGGCAGCCAATCTTTCTGGACGCCATATTGCAGTACAAGGAGCATCGCATAGTCAAATACGTCGTAGGAGGCAAAGAAAAGATGGCTACAATAACATATTTTAGTTGTTTGATGCCAGAAGAACGAAGACAACCCAACTTTCGGTCTGCGGCCGACAGGATCAACTTGGTAACGGTGATTCGAGAGGGCATCGTGCTGTTTGAAGTGAGTTGTTTTATTGTTTTTGATTGATTTTTAGGTGATATTTGAGAAGAAAAGGTGAAGGAGATACTAAATTATGTTGAGGATGAAGTTAAGATTGGTTTAAAAATGGTTTTGATAGAGTTGATATAGTTTTAGATTGATTTCCGACTAAAAATAAGCTTTTCAACTATTCCTTTCAAGCTTTTTCACTAAATTTTTAAACTTTTAGGGTTTTGTTCACTACAAAAAGAATGGGGAAGTCGTGTTGAAGGTTGACAGAGTGAAAAAGGATCTATTAACCGAGCTACAACAAGTTACAGCGCTAGATGTTGATTTATACGAACAACCGAATGATTTCGTCCCTCAGGCAATGTTGAATGCTGTTCAAGGGGTGAAGATGGGCCTAATTGACAGCATTTTAATGCCTAAGCCTACAGAGAAGGTAAGAGTTGAAATTGGACAAGATTTTTGAAAAATTTTTTTTTTGAAATTTGAAAAAAATGTTTGAGATGTTCGAAAATTGCTATGATTTACTGTTTCTTACTGTAGAAAGTAATTTTAAGGTCTAAAAGAGTACGAACAAGCCCTGCCAGGAGCTCTACGACAATATGATAAGCAGCCTCATTTGGCCTTCTTGAATGCTGAACAGAAAGCTGTCATTCATGCGGTCGATACCCACGCTCACGCTGGATTCCCATTCGTCTTGTATGGTCCACCTGGAACTGGTAGGTTAAAATGGCTAAAACTTTGTTTACAAATCGAAAAATGGCGAGAACTTTCTTTACAAGGCATAAAATAGCAATAGCTTTTTCTACAAAATAAAAAATGACAATAACTTTTTTTAAAAAGCTAATTTGTGACCATATTTTAGGTAAAACAGAGACAATATCAGCATTGGTTTTAACCTTGTTGAAGAAAACTCCAAATACTCGAATTCTGATTTGCACTCCATCAAATATGGCAGCGAACCGAGTGACCGAAAAACTAATGGAACACTTTGGCAAACCTTACAATGATGTCCTAACTGAGAAGAATCTCTTACGGTTGTTTTCTAGTGGTAATAACTACAAGAGAAGGGACAAAAAGTTTGACAACGTGATCTCAGCGTGAGTTTTTTTTTTAATTTGGGGGGGGGGGGGGATAGTTTAGGCTTGGTTATGTTAGGTTTAGGCTTAGGAGACTAAGGGTTTGGGTTATTAAACTTAGGTTTTACTTTCTTAACGTTGGGCTTAGGCTTACACATACAATAAAACCTTATTTTAAGCTTTTTCTGGTGATTTTTTCAAAATTTAAAAAATTTCAGAAACCTAGCCTTAAAGAGGTATGTCATTCCCGAAGTAGAATGCCTAATAAGACGACGAGTCATCGTATGTACATTGTCATCTACAACTCACCTGATCAAACATGATGTGCCCCGAGGACATTTCGATTATATTATGATCGACGAAGCCGGCCAAGCCTCAGAAGCCGAAGTTTGGATTCCATTGGGTGGATTGGCCGATCGAACGACCTCAGTGTTTCTATATGGTGATCCAAAACAGCTGGGACCAGTAATCACTCTAAATCTACCCAAGTACATGACTGACAAGTTCGTATCACCGCTTCACAGATTCTTGCAGAATCCACAGTATTTGAAGGATTTGTAAGTTTTTTTAGATATAATTGGCATTTTTATATTAAGTGTCAGCTAGGAATGGCATTTTTAAAAACTTTTTGAAAGGAAATGAAATTTTTATGTTTTTGTACGGTATTCCATGAGAAATGGCATTTATTACCATTTTAGACGATTCTGCGTACAACTTAAATGTTTGTTGAATAAAATGTATGCAGAATCAGCACCCAGCATCGCCACTGTAGGTTTCGGTCTCTTAGGAAAGAGACCGAAACCGGAACAAGAAGGTGAACCTAAGTTGGCATTGTAAAAAAGCGCAAACCGGAGGCTTAGTAGGCTTAGGCTTAGTTAGATTAGGGTTACTAAGCTTAGGTTTAGCAAGCATAGGCTTAAGCTTAGTAAGCTTGAGCTTAGTGAGCTTAGGCTTAGGAGGCTTAGTATTTTTAGACTTATTGTAATATCCGATAAACGAGACCCCAGTCAGTCACCCACGTAGTGCACGTGAGATGCACGCTAACAAATACAGCACATTCCAAAGTCCACAAACTCGTGCTATCGTCAATCATACAGCACAATCACAAGACCCCGTTCGCTGAACTCCTGTCAACTTACGTCAATGGAAGTGATCAATCAATCTTGCATCACTGCGCAGCACTAGTATAAAAGGGCTGCCGAGCACCGTACTGACGGACCCCGCCAAATCAGAATACTACCGTATTCTACCAAATCTATTCTAACTTAAATATTGTGAACTGATTGTTATTTAATTCTATTATTGATTGTTATCTAGATATGATATACTATCCAAATACTCGTATTCACTAGAATAAATATACTACCAATTACATCGAATTATTTTCAGAACAATCATGTTTCTCTGAACACTGCCCCCGATAATCAGCGTCATGTTTATGGTTTTCTCCGAGTTTTGAGTAAAAACGGCATACGATTGAAAAAAACGCAAGTAAGTTTAATATTGAATTGGATGGAAGAAGAAGGTAGAGTTGGACTGCACTACGGTTGGGTATAAATAGGATGGGGTAGGAAAGGGCAGAATATGCTACTAGGGCAGAGAAAGGTACCGTAGGAGAGACTATAGTAGGGAAAGATCGAATAGGTTTGAGCATCATACACTTTTTGCTGGTGTATAATGTTGTCAATAATTTTAAAAGTTTTAAGTTGTTGCTTAAAACATTTTAGGAGTCCCGGCGTCAGAACGGGGTTAACTTTTGACAGTAACGCTTGACTTAGTTCTATGCAATGTGGGTCGGTTTGTTGTGCTTGCCGTATGTTATCTCTATCAACATAGAAAATGTTAATATACGACACGGGTTGATAGCGGCTTACATAATTAGTAATGGTAAAACATAGTTCTAGCCCTAGTCCTAGCCTAAGCCCTAGTCTCAGTTTTAGTGGTAGTTCCTAGCAGATTGTAATCATCGTCAAGTTCGTTTAAATTTCAGGGCTATGATTCGAAAAACAGCAAAGTTAATCGGTCAATTAAATACAGCATTGAATTCATCGGGCCTTGTTCAGCCTTGTTGAGTCGTTTGAAGTTGAATAAGAAGATGAATTTGAAGGAACGACGACAATTCAAAGCGCTGAAAAATTTGGTCACTCGTAATCCAGCCCCTTCACTTTCAATGACGCCGTTCCATTTTTACACTGCTATTGGGTTCATCATGTTCGCTGAGCAATTTTTCCCTCTGAGCTCTGAAAAATTCTACAGTGTTTACCGAGTGGAAATTTAATATTCGTCAGTTGTTGATGTGAATAAATACTGATTGTACACTTATTTAAGGTGCCAACGCCGTTAATTTGACATGAGATATGTAGGGGAAGGGGACACAATAGAAAGGCGAAACTGAATGACTTACATCGATATTCGAGGTGAAGATTCTAGATGTTTTTGTTTTGTCAAACTAGGATTTTGCAACCTTTTTCTTTGGAAGTGAAAATTTTTGAGTTTAGAAATTGTGAATTTGACCGAAGACCGATCATTTTATTTCTTTCTCTTCATACAACTGGTCGATTTGATAATTTGCGGTCGGAATTTACTATGTCTACGATTTCAAACAGTGATAAGGACGGCGCGAAGCTTGCACCACCACCAAAGGAATACCTTGTGAGTTTAAATAGCCATTTTCTGTGTTGTAAAGAAAGTTTTTGCCAGTTTTATATTTTGTAAAGAAAGTTTTTGTCATTTTGTGTTTTGTAAAGAAAGTTCTTGCCATTTTGTGTTTTGTAAAGAAAGTTCTTGCTATTATTCATAATTTTACTTAAAATTTCTCTTACAGGACCTATTCGTCGTGCCAAAGCCATTAGGTGTGAGGATCAACAAGACCAGTTTTCGTGTTACCTACGTGGAGACCAACTCTCCCCTACTGAATCGAGCTTTTGTCGGCGATCAACTGGTTGCAATCGATGGCCAAACCATCAGAACCCCTGAGGAGTTGGCCAAGAAGTTGTCGGAGAAGAAGCATACTCACATGGTACAGTTCAAGCACGCCTACTTCTCGTACTGCGTCTTCTTGGGGTCGAGTGTGGAGAAGTTGCAGTTGGAGAAGGAAGTGCTGAGAACCACCGGTCGGGCTGTCAATATTTTTATGGTGGGTGATTATTTTTTGATTTTTGATTTTGTGGGGTAGGGTAAGGTTGGTTAGAGTAGAGTAAAGTAAGGGAGGGTAGATTAGAGAAGACTAAGGTATTTGAAGATACAGTAGCACACCATGAACTACAGTACTCTTGTCTACTTTATATCGTAGTAAAATTTTCAACTTTTCAGATTCACATTGCAATTCCGAACCTCTCTACTGATAACGATGAGGATCGACGCGATGTACTCCAATTCACAGTACGGTACGATGCTCGCGAACGAGTTCAAGTCGCATACTGTGATCCGAACGGGTTGGCGGCGATTCACCTGAAGCCGGGTGATGTGATCCGAGAAGTGAATGAGCATCCCATCGCCAGTAAGGCCATGTTAAGGTACTGGATTAGCGAGGCGGTGAATCACAACGAACCAGTCCAACTGAACATCGAACGACTGGTGTGTGGCGATGATGCCATCAGAGACATGATCGAAACTCCACAAGATGTGCTGGATATTGCTCAGAAACAGGTAGGGGTGCTTGGCTATGGCCTTTTTATTGATTTTATAGGAAGGGGTGTATGAAAAAAATTTGAGGCTATGCACTTTCTTTACAAAACAAAAAATGGCAAGAACTTTCTTTACAAAACAAAAATGTCAAGAACTTTCTTTACAAAACAAAAAATGGCAAGAACTTCCTTTACAAAACAAAAAATGGCAAGAACTTTCTTTACAAAACAAAAATGTCAAGAACTTTCTTTACAAAACAAAAAATGCCAAGAACTTTCTTTACAAAACAAAAAATGCAAAAACTTTCTTTGCAAACCGAAAAATGGCAAGAACTTTCTTTACAAGACATAAAATGGCAAGAACTTTCTTTGCAAAACAAAAAATGGCAAGAAGTCTGAATTTAAAAATTTAAAAAATGATTTTTTCACTTTCAGATTCAAAAAATCAAAACCCGCGCCCACCCAACACCGACCAAAATTCTTCGCCGAACGACCGGTCGAAAAGGCAATGTCAAGATGGAAGACAAGGTGAGTGAAGTGGACATTCACGCCGACCACGACCCAACCAAACTCAAACCTTGCAAAGGCGCCAAGTCCTAAAGAGTTCGACGAGATTTGATCAACTAACTGTATTGTTATCGTTACTGACCGGCAGTCGATTTATTAAAATTTTTCGTCGTTTTTAGAGTTTTTTTTTGTTTTGTGAAGGAAGTTCTTGCCATTTTTTGTAATGTAAAGAAAGTTCTTGCCATTTTCGTTTTCTGTAACAAAAGTTATGGTTAATTATAAATACCATCGTATAACATGTGTTACGCAGCCTGCAATGCATTTCGCACTCAAAATAATGTTTTGTAAAGAAAGATCTTGTCAATTTATGTTTTGTAAAGAAAGTTCTTGCCATTTTGTAACTTGTAAAGGAAGTTTTTGCATTGGAAAAAAAGTTGTTTCTATTTCAATGTTGTTGGTCCAAGACTTTTAAAAGTCAAAATTGGTCCTTATTTTGTATTGTCCAAGTTGAATCGGCGCCAATTTCGGCTGCAAAACGCGTCAAAAACAATGTTTTGAAAGGAATAAGGACAATATTTTTGTCATGAATTATGAAAATATTGTTTATATACCAAAAATGTTGGTAATAAGAGTGCGGTTTGTTAATTTAGGTATGGAAAAGGGTATGGGTAGGATTCCGTCTAGGATAATATTGGGTGCCGACATAAAGAACCCGCCATACTTTGCCTGTAATTTCAGTATAGAAATGGCGGGTTCTTTATGTCGGCACCTGATATAATAATTTGCAGGGCAGGGTAAGATAGGGTGGGTAGGACAAGGCAGAGCAAGGTAGAGTAGGGTATAACAATGATAAACTAGGGTAGGGTAAGGTAAGTTTGCGAAAAATAAGGGTAGTGTAGAGCATGTTGTAAGCTTTCAAAGGCAAGGTTAAGTAGAGTAGGGTAGGGTAGGGTAGAGTAGGGTAGGGTAGGGTAGGGTAGATATTGTGTTCTTTCTATATATATTTTAATGCTTCAGCTACATAATGCACAATATATAATTATACAATTTACTGAATGTAAAAGCTAATGCATAATAGCAAATGTAGTATCACATGTTTTAAATGCCATTTCGTCACGCGGCATTAATACATTTTTGTTGCAAATGTAATGTTAAGTGTCTTCTTGGCGAGAGAGATTATTCTTACTGTCTTGAACGTTTGTGCAGAGTTGGTAAAGTGCAGAGATACTTAGTTTTAAGCAGTTTTTGGCATTTTAAGATAGATTGTTAGTTTCAAAATGAATTTTATGACAAAAACTTTCGTTACAGAACAAAAAATATCAAAAACTGTCTTTACAAACCATAAAAACGCAATTTTTCTAATATTTTAAATCTTGTTTAGCAAGAGCTATTATGTTACTATTATAAAATTCCAATGATGATTATTTCGTATTTTACCTAATAACCGAATATAGACATAGTTATACGTAACTCTCTTTACTCGTTTCCGATTTTCACAAAGTAACGGATTATCGTCATAGTAACCAACCATCTGTGTACATGGATTTGTCGACGTGGTAAATTGATATGGTATAGTAAATATTATGCATATTATAGTAAATCGAAAGAAATTTAGGTTTGAAACTTCTTGCCAGTTTTTGTGTTGTAAAGATAGTTCTTGCCATTTTTCGTTCTGTAAAGGAAGCTCTTGCCATTCTGTAAAAATTTTAAAAATTTAAATAAATGGTCCAAAACTACACAGAAGATCTAGCCCAGAGCCCTAGCCCAGAGCCCTAGCCCAGAGCCCTCAACTCTATCCCTTATCCTAGACTTTACCTCAGCTCTAGTCCTTACTCTAGCTCTAGAACACAAGAACAAGCCAAAATTTAAAATTAAGCCTACAATTAATTAGGAACCATGAAAAAACTATGTTTACAAGTTTCGAAATTCGTTTCTATTGATAACCTTATTTACTCAGTCGGCTGTTGCCACTATAAATACTCGATTCACTTTAAAATTTATTTAAAAGTGACAAATCCGTTTTTACAATCAAATGACCTCTTCATTGCCTCAGGGGCTGAAAAGACTCCTCTCGAGTGACAAATGTTCGAAAGTTTATTGTTTTTCAAAAATATTTCGAAAATTTAAAACGATGTTAGTTAGTATAATAGTTTGGTCAAAAAGTTCGTGGAATTTGTTTGGAGTGGTCAAAGGGTTAGACTAAGGCAGCTAGAGGCTAAAGCCAACTACTAGGTATAGAACCAAGTCTATGGCTAGTTCTCAAGCTAGTTCTTTGTACTAGCGCTCTGAACTGGGGCTCTGGGCTAGAGCTCTGGGCTAGGGCTCTGGGCTAGGGCTCTGGGCTAGGGCTCTGGGCTAGGGCTCTGGGCTAGGGCTCTGGGCTAGGGCTCTGAGCTAGAACTCTGTGCTAGGGCTCTGGGTTAGGGCTCTTGGTTAGGGCTCTGGACTGAGGCTCTTGGTTAGAGCTCTGGACTGGGTTTCTGGACTGAGGCTCTGGACTAGGGCTCTGATCTAGTTAAAGAGGAACTTTTTTGTTCATTTTCCGTTTTTTAAAAGAAACAGCAAAAGGAAAACCCAATAGTGCTGTTTTAAAATGTATACGGAGCGGCCATGAATTTTAAAACTGTCTTGAACTAAAAACTAAAAAAAAACTAAAATTAGGCAAGCAATGTGAATTTTAGCGAGTTAGGTCTATAAAAATATAAATAAAAATAATTTTTTATATGAAGTAATAGTTTCTAAAGCTAGAGCTAAATTTCAAACTCCCAATATTTTATTTTAAACAGCTTGAACATTACGTCTTTTGCTATATCTACATCAATATAATTTAAAAACTGTCTCGATTGTCTTTAAGGAATTTACAAAAATTTCAAGACTAGGCTAAAGAGCGACTAGAAAATTCCACTTTTTGTCATACTGTATGTTTCAAAAGTCTTGTTTTCTTCTGATTTTTTGTAATTTTTAACTAACTTTGCATAATTTAAAAAAGACAAACGTGCAAACACGTTAAAGCAATAAAAATTTAGTTAAAGACAAATCAAAATTATTAGAAAACCTAGTTCAAACCTCGCCCTAGCCTAAGCCCAAGCCCCGAAGCCTAGACCAGAGCCCTAGCCCAGAGCTCTAGCCCAAAGCCCAAGTCCAGAGCCATAGCACAGAGCCCTAGCACAGAGCCCTAGCCCAGGGCCCTATTAACTGTATGAAGCAAATAACCATTTAATATACTAAAAAGCCTATTAGACAGTATTAAAGCTAACATGAGGAAGAGTTTTTTTCTTTTTTTATGGGTTTTCAATACTCTTTTCTTTGCTCTTTACTATTTTTGTTTTACTTTTTGTGTATCACAGCTTCTACTGCTGCTGTTTTTACATTCAACTAGCGTCTTTGGCTCTGTTTTTCTTTGTTACTAGCTTCTTTTGGTTTCATTTTATTAGCGCTACAAGCCTTTTCTTCTTTCTTTTGGCTGCGTCTTTATTTAGCACGTTTTGGCACGTTTTGTCCCCGAATATGTGCTGGCTTTCTTTTGCTTAATACAATTTTCTGTATACTGCTAGCCTTTTTTGGCTTCATCGCCTTCTCTCCTCCCATTTTTATTCCCCATAGTCTTTTCTCTGATCCCCTACCCCGACCCTTCTTTACTCTACCCTACCCTACCTTACCCTACTCAACCCTACCTTACCCTTACTATCCTACCTCTATCACTAGCTCTATCCCCATGATCAGTACTAGCCCTACTGCGTCCCCTCCTCTTCCTTTTTGTATCCCCATAGCCTTCCCCTTCCCCCCACCCTGTGTTTTCTTCTCTCCATAGCCGTCCACCATCTTTGCATTCCCCTAGCCATCCTTTCTTTTGCCCCCCCCCCTTCATCTCCCTAGCCTTCCCCCTCCCTCTTTTCATTTCCCTAGCCGCCCCATTCAATGCTCTCAATTTTATGAATTCGCCTCGACCGGTCCCCGGAATTCAGCACCCCCCTCTTCCCTTCTCATCAGCAGCCGGCCGGTCTTATCCCCTGACCTTATTCAAGAACACCCCGCCGACGAAAAAAAAACATGACTCTCTGTTCGGGCGTATCACTCATCGGACATGTGAGCGGTTTTGAAACCCGCCAAGGCTACTAGCGGGCGTTCGCCGAGAGCGGCGGTGAGAAACAACAACTCTTGTGTTTAGGTAGAATATGACAACTTTTTTTGAATTTTTTTGGGTATAGGTGGGATATAGTAAATTTTTTTGAAAATTTAGGTAAGACAATGTCTTTTTTACTATATATTTGTATGGCAGGTCTTAGATAACATATTCTATTACAGTTTATACAACTGAATTCTTAACTTTCAGCTGTTTACACCTACTTCAACATGCTCTTTGCTTATTTTCGACACTTTTGAGCATTTTCAACTGAAATTTGCAAACGACTTAACTGTTCTTACTAAAAAATTCCATAAAAATCGGTTTCGACCTGCAGGCGGGGTAATTTGGGTCGGGCGTGGCAAAACTTTTTGAATTTTTTTTATGAAAAGAAACTCACAGGGGGGCAAGTTACTTTTTTTGACTAAAAAGTTTTATTTGTTATTATTATAGCTATGAAAAGCAAGAGGTAATGAAGGAAAAAATAGTAATTTTCTTAAATCGAATGTCCTGTCTTACCCATATATTACCCCTTGTTAAGCCAGGAAACACTAGTTGTAATAGTAAAAAAGTGTAAAAAACATCAGTGTTTAGTGATATGATGACCTTTGGGTTGATGAAAACAGTAACAAACAGTAGAAACTGGAAGGATCGACCAAAAATCAAACTTGTGAACGGTTGTTAAAGACCAAAGAAATCGGTATTTTAAGGTCAAATGACAATTTAAATGTAGGCTAGGGTAGGATATAGTAGGTTAGAGTGGGTTAGAGTAGGGTAGGATAGTGTATGATAAGGAAGAATAGGGCAGGGTAGAAAAAAAAGGGTCGAATAAGGTATGTTAAGGTAGAAACGGATTAGTTAAGACAGGATAAGGTAGGGTAGGGTAGAATAGGGTGTCGTATTTTTAAAACTTGACACATACCTACCCCAAATTGTCCATATCTACCCTAACTTATCCGTATCTACCCATATTTTTCCATAATTACCCTCAACTACCCATGTAAAAAAAAGAACCCTAAACATGACATTATCTACGAATTCCAAATTAAAAAGCAAAAAGCCCTAAAGCAGACGAACAATTAAGGAATTTCAAAACCTCGATGAATCACAAAAAGCATCACGATAACACTTACACACTTCCGACAGCAACAACATTACACACGAGATCCGAAAACTAAACATTGATCGCATCATTGCTAGTGATAAGAGTACAAACCCAAAGTATTCGGCGGGTTTTGAAACATGTTGCGGCGATAAACAACACCTACATTAAGTAATGGTGAAACGATAAATAACAGTTATACTAAGTGATTACTAAACTGATAAACAAGGGCTATATTAAGTAACAAAACATTAATCAACAAGCATTATATTATAGTAGAAGCAGGACTTACAATATTAGAAGCAGGACTTACAAATTGTTAGACTGACTAACATTAGGGATAGAGCTAGGGCTAAAGCTAAAACTTAGACTTGGGTTATAGCTCAGGCTAGAGCCAAAACTTTAGCTAAGGCTAAAGCTAGGACTAGAGTTAAAGCTAGAGCTAAGGATAGCACTACGGCTAGTGCAAGCTAGGAGAATGCATCTCATAATATTTTTTTCCAATTTTTACCTCTCCCGGTTCTAGACAAGAAGCCCATGTGCAACCAAAATTGTCATCAAAGTGCCATAAACCTATCTCAACATGCCATGCCCTACCCTTTCCTCTACTTTAACATGCTTTACCTATTTTAGCCTTTTTTTCACTCTACCTTACCAGCCAAAAGCTTTTTTCTACCTTACCCTACAAACCAAAACTTTTTTTTCTACCCTGTCCTACAGCCAACAGCCTTTTTTCTGCCCTTACCCTAACCTACTTGGCTCTGCTCTGCCCTACCCGACCCTACACTCCCCTACCCTACCCTAAACTACTTGGCTCTGCTCTGCCCTACCCTACCAATACCTGACTCAATCATCTACCCCAAGCTACCAGCTCATAACTCTTTTCTCTACCCCAGCATATAATCCATCGCTGTACGAATTCAATATTTTTTGCAGGGATTTCAATGTAAACCCAATTTATTTCGGTCCAACTTGTTTTTTCTTTCCATTTTTCAAAGTTTCGCTTCTGATGCGCTATTTTTAAACCCTACCGTAGCGAGCCTTTTCGAATGTTTTTGAATTGGAATTTGGCGCCATTTCGCTGACCAACAACCTGTACTCTTCGAAAGACATATGTAGTAAAATGCAAAAATTTTTTTAATTTTCATAATTTTTTGTAGTCTTTTAATTTCGAAATATCAAAAATTTAAAATTTAAATTTTTTTTTGAAATTTCAAAATTTAGCTTTAAATTCAATGTTTTCCATTAGGAAGCCATGTTTTGTCAAAATAGTCTACTACAAGGTCAAACAAAACCTATACTACAGTGCATAAAAATTAAAGTTGGTAGTTTGTGTTGTAAACATTGTCATAGTACTTTCAGTACCAATTTTACATTATCAACAGTATCAGCTCAGTACAGCACGTACAACATAAATTTTTCTACTGTACCTATAGCATCAACTTTACATTACCAATATCATTAATTATACCGTATCTACGGCATTAATTTTTGTTCAGTACGATTTATATCAATTTAATACAATACCTACAACAAAAAGCTTTGTACAGTACTAATCACACCAAATTTACTGCACCAATAACACCAATTTTGCTCTGTATTTCCACTATCATATCCTGTATATCACTCACAATCTCATGTTATACAAAATATGTTCACCAACATGCCATACATAGTACCAGACCGCAGCGGCCGTCAATGTTATGATACCATCGGCTTCATTCATAATTTCCGATTCTCGAGGGGGGAGGGGGGAAGGTTTCAGCGGCGCGTGGCCTTGCTGTTTCGCGTTGTTTTCGTGTGTGGCGGGCAGTGAGGAGACGGTCCCCGGCGGGGTGGGGCGGGCTTGTTTGTGTCGGACGGTCCCTGGAATTCAGCACCCCCACCTCGAAGTCGTCTTCGTTCGGCGCTCGTGGTTGTGCTCTTTTCGTGGGTGTCGTGCTTCTCTGGTGGCTTTTTGGTTGATTCTCTTGGGTTTTTGGTTGTTTCTCTGGAGTTTTTGGTCGTTTCTTTGACGCTTTATATTTTTTGAGTATTGAGAGACAATCAACGGTCTTTTTGTCTAGCATTTTAGATATGATAACGGCTGTTCTCTAGTCCTTGCTCTCTCAAACTTTCGGCATTCTCTCACTCCATCTTTAGGCATTCTCTCGCCCCGTCTATAAGCATCCTTTCGCCTCATCTTTAGCCCTTTTCTCACCCCAGCCCTCCCAACCAACAACCATTCTCTCACCACAACTCTCCCCATCTCTAGCCATTCCCGCGCCCCATCCCCGGCCCACTCTCTCGCCCCAACCCTCCCCATCTCCGGCGCCCAAAACATGAGCAGCGGAGTCGGTGTGGCGGCCGGAGACGGTCCCCACCGTTTTCATCTGACTCTCTTCCGTCGAACCTCTCAGTTCTCTTTTCTGCCAGAACCGTCAGTCGGTTGGTGTGGCTTTGGCGAGGAGCGCTGCGCCTTTTTGGCCAAGTCCGATGCCATTCCGGCCCGCAATTGCGCGCATTTCGCCCCGGCCTGGCCTGAAAAAAAACGGCGGCTAGCTGGCGCCGATGGACGGGTTGTTGGAGAGATTTTTTCGAATTTTCAGCCACGAGGGGATGAGCTCAATGCAAACACGGATGGCTGATTCACGAGTTTTGAAATGGGTTCGTACGTTCATTGCCTTGCGTTGTAATGTTATATTTTTGGGTGTTGGTGCGGTAATTATGGGGGTTGGTAAATGGCCTATTAGCTGGTGGAACACATAATTTGGGTGATGAATTAGAAGTAGGTTGTAGCATCATTGTGTGTTTGGAATTAGGTTGTAGCACCGTTTTTTTATTATGTTATACTCAGTAGCTTCTTTTTATATTAGGATAGTTTATAGCGTCACAGGGTTCATGGAATTAGGTTATATCAGTGTTTTATATTAGAATACACTCTGTAGTGTAACCTCATACTCGAGACTACTCTGTAGCGTCACCTCATATTAAAGAAAAAGCCATAGCAACATTTTATAGTTATAAACACGCCATAGCATCATTTCCTAACTTTATATATACCGCGTAGTAAAACCATGTATATATTTAGATAATTGAATAGGTATACATCATGATATAGCCATGTTCGGTAGATGTAATCATGTTTTTATTATCTTTTAGATACTTTAACATGTTGAAAGAAGACTTTAAAGTACAACAACATCTCACAAAAGCTTATATCTCATTGATATCAAGGCTTTAGGCATAGATATTAATGTATAGCTGCCTTGAGAGATAGCTATACATTAATATTTAGACTTGACTAAATAGTAGCTCTATCTTGAATTAAGCTAATTGTACAATCCCTTATGTAAGACATGAAGCAAGGTGGAATAATCATAGGACGTGAGCGCTTGTGTTCGTCATTCATGTGTAATGAGAACACTTTATGACTCATTACCTTTTTCCGTTTCTTATTATTCCTTTCGTTTTGTAATTTATGGAATTTTACAGGTTGATTGCTATCGTCATAGAATAGAAAGTACCATGCTATTGTCTTATAAGAGGCAACATATCAAGGTATTATCGTATAAGAGCAACATACCATGTTATAATGCCGTACAATAGCAATGTGGTCGTAAAATCCAAGTGGGCAGTAAAATACGACCATTGTCTTGCAAAACGTCGTATTTTAACTGTCTTTCTATGTCAAAAGTGGTCGTTTTTGCAGTTGAAAAGGCCATTTTTACTGTGTAAAAGGTCATCTTGACACGGTAAATTGATTGTGCAGGTCATTGAATGCTTCTTTGAGTATTTTAGATATCGTATTTGGAAATTGTAAAAGGTTTTGAATCAGTAGAATAAGTATTTTTTTGAAAAAATCAACAGCAGACCACGTCTATATTTTTCTTCATTTTAGTACTATATCAACGTCTATTTGTCTCGATATTAAGCACTATATAAATTACTATTTCTCTATAGTTTAAGCACAATATCAACCACTACTTCTCTATACTATAGGCACCATTCCAACCACCATTTCTTCCTTCATTTTACCCCATGTCCCCAACTATTTCCACTTTCATTTTAAGCACTATATCAACGACATTGACCCGCGATCAATTAATTACCACGGCTCAACGAGAGTTTGCACTTCGGACCGACAAGGTCTTTCGGCCGCCCCGAGGGCCGAACTCAATTTTTCGGACAATTGCGACGAACCCAAAGAGCATTCCCGGATTTTGATGTGTGTGTGTGTGGACGGACCGGTGTGGGGTCGCTTCGTTGTTTTAGCGGTCTCTTTTCTATATCATATCGTGCTGGCTGGGTCTCTTTTCTGTCGTATTGCACTGGCTGGCCTCTCTTTGGTTTTATATTGCACTAGCTGGCCTCTTTCTATTGATATTCTACTGGCTGGCCTCTCTGTTCCTTCCTATTGCACTGGCTAGTATCTTTTGCCCGTTATATTCCACTAGCTGGCCTCTCTGTTATTTTATATTCCACTAGCTGGCCTCTGTTCCTGTATATTCCACTAGCTGGCCTCTCTGTTCTTTTATATTCCACTAGCTTCCATCTCTTTCCCTCATATTCCAAGCCTTTTTCTCTTCATCTTCCCTCTCTTTTCCCTCTTCCTCAACTAAAAGCTGTCTTTTTCATCTGTATTGGAAACGGTCTCATTGAAAAAGGCTCTTAACCATTGGGAAAGCTCTCTCTTTCGTCTCCATTCCATCTGACAGGTCTTGGCCTTTGGTTGGTAAGCGCTTTGGGCTGTAAAGTCTTGGCCAATTGCGTCTTCGAATGGGGTCGGATTTTTGCCGCTGGCCGTTTTCAGTGTATTTGGCTTTCCTTTTTCGTCCTCGAGGCTTCGGGCCGGCCTTTTTTGGCTATTGAATCTGCCGCTTTTTGGGCTTCATTTCGTTTGGCCGTGGCTCTACTTTTTTTTTGGTATGCTTCTCTTTTCTCCTCTTTTAGCTTTCAGCCACTTTTCCCTTTAGTCTTCGGGCACAATTCTCCCCTTTTCAATCCACACTCTCTTTATAAAAGACTTTTCTGCCGCAAAGTCTAATGTCCCGGCCCATTCACTGCCCCAACCCGGTGTTCGGGGCCATTTTGCCGTTGGCCTTTCTCCGCGCCGGCCCTAAGGCGGCCGGGTTCGAGACACCGCTGCGTGACCGGCTATTTTGGCTTTTGCCCGCGCGCATCTCCATCTATTTTTAGACCGCATTAAGCCCGAAATTTCGAAATGTTTTCAAAGTAAAGAATCGAAGCCGAAGCAGCGCCGGCTTCAAGTAAAGAATCAGCGTTGAGTAAAACATCAGCATTGTGTAAAGCATCAGCGTTGAGCTCCATTAAAACGGACTTTCGTTTCGAAAGGTCATTTCGATTTGCGTAAAGGCTTTAGCGCCCTGCGGACCAAGGTTGGTGTTCAGCTAACAATGCGTAAAAGGTCGTTATACGAAACGAAGATCAAGTTTGAGAAATTCAGTTTATTTTAACTTTCAGTCCAACTTTTTTGTTTTCAAGCCAATTGAAGCCAAAGTTTATGTTTCCATACAGCTTTTAGGCCATTTTTTAGTGTTTGCGCCCAATTTTTCAAGAAAGCCGACTGCCTTTAGCGCGTAAAGCCACGTAGCAGACTGTTATCGTTCCCAGACTGCCAATGTGCGTACAAAAAAGCCCAAAAAGACTGTTCGTTGTGTGTTTTACAGCGTCCGATCTATCAAAATTCAAAGTCCCTCTAAATGTGCGCTCAAACTTTTCTTCGATTCACTTTGAATAACATCTTATTGTGCGTTTACAAATCACAGAAGGTTAGTTAAATAATGGCTGAATCTGAGATGAAAAACGGCGGAATGTTAGTTGAAGATGTATGTGCGTTTACCTGTCGCATCGTGCGTACGACCGCCATTGAAGCAAAACAACAAAACGATATCGGAAGCTTAAAATAAATCCAAATTACCCATTTCATATAGCTACAAAACTGAAGAGGATAAATGCTCACGCTACGGTAATTCTCATGGTTTGGTTGGCATGCCAACAGCAGCAGCGCTTCGAGAGAAAAAGCCGTGGCTAATTTGCCTGATAATCAAAGAGGCGTATTAGCGCTGCTTTCGGAAGCCAATTACGATGTTATACACATTGGATTGCACTTTAAAGCGAGATAAACACTTGTGTTAGCGCTGGCAGGATATTAAAAACATATTTTAAGATCAAAAGCACGCCAAACATTACACTTTAGCAGCCACTTTCCAGCAAAATGTACAGTCAATCCCCCAACAAGCGTTTTTTGGTCTATTATTCAGATTATTACCTAAAAACCAAAACAAAAATATAAAAGTCTTACTTGAGAAGATGGAGAAGCTCGCCATAAGTCCAATATTTTAAAATCATAACGTTATAGCAGCAAATTACCTTGATAAAAACCTCAAAACAAGCAGTAAACGCCGGCTTTAATATCAAAGAAATGCCATTTCTTTTTGACCTAAAAACCAATAGTAATATGACCCAAATCCTTACCTGTTACCTGTGAGAAAGCCTTTCATTACCCTAGTATTAAGGATAATATGACCTGGATCAGGTTTCCCAATTAACAATGTAGCAGTCCAAATTAAGTCCAAGTAGCCATAGCAACTAACCTACTCACTTTTGGCCGACATTCGTTGTTTCGCATCCATTTTGAGTTTTCAAAAAGACGAACGTTACCTAAATTTGTCTGAAAACAATCTTCTATATTTGCCTAGAAAGCTTTATTGAGATTAGACTTAAAATAATGTTTTCTTGAAGTAAATCCTCCATTTAAGCTAAAATACTCAAAGTTGCGATAATATTTTAAACGTTAAGTTGAAAATTATTGTTACCTGAGTTATATTTTATGTATTCCAATACATTTAAGTCTTTTCATACCTATTCTTCACTCCAAACTTTCAATTTTTCCTGAAGAGAAACCAATTTTCCTTTCCCAAAGACACCTTTTGAGTGAAAAGGTCCCGGCGCGAAAACAAACGGCGCCAGAACGCTTCGAGAAGCGATTTTTTCTAGGAAAAATATTTGAAACGATGATATTTTGCGGATTTTTGGCGGGGTTCCTGTTTGTCCCGCGTTCCTTTTAATCGTCCTACTTTTTGATTGAAATTTTTAAAGTTTTTAGGGGTTTTTGGGGTTTTTTATCAAGAATAATATGCCTGGGAAGGGTTTGATTTGTTTCGGATTGATTTTTTGAGGTTTTAGGGGAGAATTCGGTCGTTTTTTGAGACGTAACTTGAAGTTTTAGGAGTGTTTTTGATTTTATTTTGTGAATTTTTTGGGTTTATTTTACTATTTTTTATGTTATTTTTGTTTTTTCAGGGCATGTTATTATTGATCGTTTTGTGGGTATGGACTTTGTCTTTTTGGGGGTTTTGATATTGGTTTTATTAGTTATTATCTTGAATTTTAGCCTGATATTGTTTTCATTTAAAGCTTTATATATTTATGCGCTTTTTTTGAAGTTTTTATAGGTGTATCATGATCATATTGCTTTTTGAAATTTTAGATTTTTGGTGAAATGTTTTTGAACTTTTTTTGGTATATTAATTGGCAATATGTATAAGGTATAACCACGCGAATTTTTAAGGTTTGACTTGTATGTTTTGTAAAGTTATGAACTTTTTTGTGATTTTTGGTTGTTGTTTTGACATTTTTGAAGGTTTCTGTTTACTTTTCAGCTTGAATATTTGTTTTATTTTAAACTTTTGATCGCTCTATTACCGTGCAGTAAGATTTTATTGTTTTACAATGTTTCGTGACTAATGTTCTCAATTTCAGGTTCAAATCTCTCAACAAATCACCTACGATTATGTCTGACGGTAAAGACGAGCTTGTGCAACGCGCCAAGTTGGCCGAACAAGCCGAACGCTACGATGACATGGCCCAATCAATGAAGAAGGTCACGGAACTTGGCTCTGAACTTTCCAATGAGGAACGAAACCTCTTGTCCGTCGCCTACAAGAACGTGGTTGGAGCTCGCCGATCCTCATGGAGAGTGATCTCGTCTATCGAACAGAAGACCGAAGGATCCGAGAAGAAGCAACAAATGGCCAAGGAGTACCGCGAGAAGGTCGAGCGCGAACTTCGCGACATTTGCCACGACGTTTTGGACTTGTTGGACAAGTTCCTCATCCCCAAGGCCGGCAACCCTGAGAGCAAGGTGTTCTACCTGAAGATGAAGGGTGACTACTACCGCTATTTGGCCGAAGTTGCTACTGGTGACGACAGAAACGGTAAGTATTTGAGTTTTATTTGGTTTGTTGTGTAGGTAGTACTAACGTGATGCGGAGCTAACGAATTTGGACTTTTGTGAGCTGGCTGTGTAGTATATTAGGTATTATGAGTTGAAGAAGGTAGTGAGTGAGTTAAAATTGATAAATGGTTATCTTTTTTGATTGAAATTTGAGTTATTTTTGGCAACTAAAAGAGCTTTATTGAGTTATATTGTAGTATAAGCATGGTATTAAGGCTTTATATATTTTTTTACCTAAATTTGTGGTTTTGAGTTGAATTTTGTTGTGTTTAGCACCATTAGCACTAGCTTGCACTATATTGACTAAAATCCTTTTGTGTGACGTTTTGTTTGTTTTAGCCGTTGTCGAGAAATCGCAGCACTCGTACCAGGAGGCATTCGATATTGCCAAGGACAAGATGCAACCAACTCATCCAATCCGCTTGGGCTTGGCCCTCAACTTCTCTGTGTTCTATTATGAGATTTTGAATGCACCTGACAAGGCGTGCCAGCTTGCCAAGCAGGTAATTCGTTTGACTAATCGTTTTTGGGGTTTCAGCCGCCGCCCAAACCGGTGAATCCGATTATTCGGCCGCGCTCGAGATGGCCAAGAAGCAGTTGCAGCCGACGGACCCGATCAGGCTCGGGCTGGCGTTGAACTTTTCCGTATTTTACTACGAGATAGCTTCATCGCCGGACCGGGCCTGCCAACTGGCCAAACAGGTGTGAACGGAGAGCTGTGGATGGCTACGGGTTGATTGGGTGGCTTCTGATGAAGCTGCGGGCTGGGATCAGGGTTTTAAGGGGTTGTAAATTGGGCCAAGCAAAGATTTTAGTTATTTTTGAGTAAATTTTGAGATATTTTCGAACTTTTTCTTTGAAAATTTTAAACTTTTTGAATATATTCTTTGCTTGGCTACAATATATTAAGATTAGGAATGTTTTGAAATGATGTTTTTATCGTTTTGAGTTTAAAATTTTGAAAAAATTTATTTGTAAAGTCAATTTTTTTTAGTTTTTCTTTGAAAAACAGGCCTAAAATACGATTTTTGTAAATTTTAAAACGTTGTTTTGTTTAAAATTTAAAATTTTTAAAAACAACTTTAATATTTGTTATTAATTTGTTTGATTTTCAGGCCTTCGATGACGCCATCGCCGAGCTGGACACCTTGAACGAGGACTCGTACAAGGACTCGACTTTGATCATGCAACTCCTGAGAGACAACCTGACCTTGTGGACGAGTGACACTGCCGCCGAAGAGCAAGAAGGTGGAAACGAGACGGGCGAGACCGGTGGCAACTAAGGCCCAGGCAGAACATCCCAACAAAAATAATATTCGGAGTTTGTGTGCATGTTGTATTGATGTAAACAATATTGTCTCTAACTTGGCCAACATTGTTGTTCATCACCTAGCTGTTCCCCCCGTTTATAATCTCCTGTTTCTATGTAATCCACCATTGAATTGTCCCCCCTTATTGTTTTGAATTAAATTTTAATCAAATAACCACAACTATTTTTATTTTTTCTAAATTTGTCCTTTAAAAACCCTCTTTTTGGTCTTTTGGTACCACACACACAATGCCACGGCCTTTTCGAGAAGGCGGTGCGCGGACAATCCTTGATCTTGTGGCTATCCGAAGCATCTTCTCTTCGTTAATTATATTGTGTTTTTATAAATTTACGACCGTTTCTTTTGTCCATTTAACAGTAAACTGCGTCCGTGGGTTGAGATATGTGAACATGAACTAGCATAATGTTTGGGGAAAGGATAAAGGTATCAGAAATGGGTGGAAAGATATAAAGTCAGGCGAAAGTGGGCTTGTAGTTGAGCTTATGGGTCGAAATATTAGTAGAACTTGCTTGTAATATTAAGAAAAAGGTAATAAATGAAGGAAGAATGGGATAACGAAGGTAAAGTAAGGAGAAATCTGACTGAAGGTTGTGGTTATCGTTCAAAAATTAAATAGAAAACGTAAGTAGTTGGTGAGGAAGACGTAAAAATGAAAAAAAGAATGAGCTAAAATAGTATAAAAGTTGGCTTTATTGGTCAATAATTGAGTACACATTGTCTAAAGTAGCTAAACCCGAGTATAGAAGGATTTAAATACAATAAAATAATGTAAAGCTAGTCTTAAAGTCTAATTTAGTGGTCAAGAAGTAAATGGAAAAGATAGTGATGAGGTGAACAATGGAGAAAACTTGAAGGAAAACCAAAGAAGAAAGGTAGATTGCTCAAGATAATGGGTAAAGCATTGCGTTCGCGGTCAAAAACTATGTGGAACCGTTAGTAAAAGACCAAAATCATTTATAGAACTATATTCTACAGACTTTTTGACCGATTTTTCACATTCTAAAGGTAATAACGATCGAAAACCAAAGAGAACAGCGGCAAAGTCTTCAAAAGAATAGGTAAAAGTTCGCTTTTTCAGTCGAAAAACACACGGAAAAGCTGAAAAAAGACTGAAATCTTTGATAAACTAAAATTCTACAGACTTTTTGACCGATTGCGTATACTTCCAAGTCTGTCTGATAGCTAGAGTATTGCGTTTCGTGGAGGTAAATCTGTAAAAATGGCTGGTTTCGTAGTTCTCGACGAGTTGTTTTCAATATAAATGCTGTTAGTTTTGAAAAATAAAACATGAAAGATGCAGCTCAATGTTGTAAAAGTGTCACAAAAGTTGAAAAATACAAAAAAGTTGAGAAAAAAATCATGTAAGACGTCAAAAAAGTCGATATTCACCGTGATGAAACATGATAAATAATTAAAATGGTCTTGATCTGGTCAATAATTGAATAGAAAAACTAAAAGGATATCAAGGTAATAAACAGAATCTAATTCTGAAGACTTTTTGAAAAAGGTATAATGCATTACAATTGTTGTAAACTTTGTGTAACTCTGTATATTGTAGAAGCTTATAAGACCATGTGCAATCTTGTTCAAAGCTTAATTAAACTTGCCTCTGAGATGTCATTTAATCTTATAGGGTAAAGACTGATATTAGATACGAAAATGAGTGCAATATTATTTATGGCAAAAAATTTTGCATATTTTTTGAGGTAAAGTAACATCTAACATTACAATGACCCAGCGACTTTAGTCTAACGTTTAACTCGAGTAAAGTCTGACGAATCAATTAAAAAATAGTATTATATTGTTGTCATAAGACGTAGCACAATCTACAGAAGCTGTGTAGACGTACTTTACAGGTTACTTGAGTGTTTGTCAAAAGTTCTCTGACCTTTTTCGAAAAATTTAAATTTTTCAATAACTTTTTTAAATTTTTGGCATTGAAACCTATAATATCTAATAAAAAACTATTTTATTTTATTTATATATAATAACACGTCATGTTTGTTCGTCTCTTCCAACATACAATAGCTGTTTCTTCTATATTTTCGTATAAAAAGCTTCTTTACTTGCTTTCGCGGCTAGCGCCCTAATTAGAATAAAAGATTTTTTATAAATTTAAAGGTCTTTCGTCGTTTTTTGATTCGAATCGTCTGACTTTAGACCTAAAATGGTTGAAGAGGTGAGATCTGGACAGACTTTAGATGATGGCAATGGATGGTTTGACAAGGAAGCTTCTGTGCCGTTCTGGGGACCTTTGGCAATTAGGTTTTTGAAGGTAATGGTTTTCTTTTGGTATTTTTTTGTTTTTAGGTACTTGAGGAAGGTAACTGGAAGTGTTTAGAATGTGATTAAGAATTTGAGGAAGTTGTTTGACAGGATATTGCGATTTTTTGGCGATTTTAGTGGTTTTACCTCGTTTTAGACGATATACAGCTTCTTTTCAGGGGTTTTTAACTTATAAAAAGATGTAGGTTTAGTTTCTTTTATTCTAGGAGTTGAATAAAGTACTATAGACGCTGCTCATATTTTAAGATTTGTTTTTTACATTTAAACTTGGGTGATATAGCTTAGTTCATGTTGTTTAACACATCTATATCTCTATTGCTTCGTTATGAGCGTTAACTTGTTTATAACTTTATAGTTTCAGCTGAATCGAATTCCAAAGCACATAGCATTTATCATGGATGGTAACAGAAGATATGCTCGGACTAAAAACATGGGATCAGTCGTTAAAGGGCATTTTCGTGGTTTCGATCAGCTGACGCGGGTAGGTCAATATACTTCGGCAAAAATTGATATTTATATTAGTAAGTTAGGCTTGGGAAGGTATAAAATACGTAATGTATATTCTTTACAAGCTATAAAACGTTGTTTTAGGTATTGGATTGGTGTAATCAGCTTGGAGTTAAAGAAATAACTTGTTATGCCTTTAGCATTGAGAACTTCAAGCGATCACAGGACGAAGTTGATGGTCTTCTTCAAATGGCTGAACAGAAATTTACAAGATTGTTGGAAGAAAAGTAAGTTTATTCTATGATTTTGTTGCTGTACTGTTTAGGCATTTGATTTGAAACACAAGGATATTGTTATAGATGAAATAAGGCATCAAAGTATAAGATTACTTGTCAAATAAAGCTGTAATTTTGAAGTTTCAGAGAGAAGTTGGAAGAAAAAAGAGTAAAGTTCAGATTCTTTGGGGATTTAGAACGATTACCATCTAAACTTCAACGTCTAATAGCTGAAATAGAGTTATTCACCAAGGACTTTGATGGGTAAGATTTATTTCTGGAAGCTTTTCTTAAGTTCTTGTTTAATTAAAGTAAATTTTTTGAAATTTTAGGGAATAGATGGATTTATATCATTATATTTTGACAAAATTAATGTTTAAATTTTTTGTTTTTATCAATTTTAAGGCGAAAAACAGCATTTTTTGATGTTAATTTAACTTTTTTTTGGTAATTCAGGTACTTTTTATGTTGTACCTGTTAATTTTTTATTGGTTTTTCGCATTTCAGGGCGTTTCTGAATGTGTGTTTGTCATATACATCACAAGACGAGATTGCTCGAGGAATGGAAAGGATAAGATTGGCAAAGGTCGATGGTGTCATCGATGAGAAGTAAGTCATTGTTTACCACAAATTATTTAAAAGTTTTAATTTTAGTTTTTAAATTTACTTAAAATTTTGAAAAAGGGGTATATTAAACCGTATTTTATGCAAATATTTCAACTTTTAGGCTTATATGACGGTAAAAATTATTGTAAATTAGTATTATGATGTTTTAACACCCTATAATAAGCAAATTTTTAATGTCATAACTTTCAGCGAGATCACAGAAGACCTCCTGGAGCATTCCCTGGATACAAGATCGTCTTTACCGGTCGATATGTTGATCCGAACCTCTGGCGAGAAGCGTCTCAGTGACTTCCTACTATGGCAAACCTCGTCCAACAACTGTTTTCTCCACTTTGATGAAGTGTTATGGCCGGATTTTGATTTCACACATCTTTTCAAGGCCATTATGAGGTATCAGATGCATGTGGTTACTCAGGTACGTCGATTTTATTGTTGTTTTAGGGTCTTTAACCGAAAGTTCATTAAAAAATGCCAAAGAAGTTTAATATTTGATGTTTTCAGGGCATAGAAGATGTGAAAACGTCAGAATCCGAGGCAATACGACGCTTCAAACAACGTCAAGACGAGCTACGGTACCAGAAATGGGAAAACTTACTCAAGCTGTAAGGAACATTGGCAATATTCACTATGAATCGAGCTGTGATATAATGCTGTTTGTCGATAATAATATGATTTTATATGTGTAAACCGAATTATGATTTTTTGTTTTTTAATATTATGTAAACCTCATTGTATGTTGATGTAAGATCAGAATTGATGCGAATAACTTTCTGGCTCACCTTCTGTTGGCAATATGTGCCACAATTTTGCGCTTTGCGTTCGTTTTGTCTTTCGTTTTCTTACCTTGTTAAAGACGTTGGTGTGTTAGATCGAATGAGAGGGTTTGCCAAGCTTTTGCCGCTAGAAGTAAGTTGGGAATTTGAATTATGTGTTACAGTTTGGGTTCGTGGGGCGTCGCTACACATTTTTGTAAGAGGGGGAAAGGTCAAAAAATTTTTTTATATTTTTTGGGGGGGGGGGAGGGTGAGTAAAAGTAGAAAAAAAATTTTTTTTGACCGTTTTCGTAATTGTTTCGGATTGGCTCTGGGGGAGGGGTGGATCTACCAACATTCATCCCCCTTCCCGTAGCGAAGTCCTTGGTTCTACCATACTATCACTACTCAATTTCTACTTGGGCGCTAACCTCTACTCCTCAAAAAACTTGCCCTATCCATCAAAAAAACTGTCCCACCCCTATCCATCAGAAAAACTGTCCTACCTCTATTTATCAAAACACCATGTCCTACAAATTATATATTGTATTAATTTGGACTATAACTTTAGATGTGGCACTGTGTCATAGAGTATTTGGAGATAATGGAGGATGCCATTTCCTTGGCTATGGTCAACAAGCACTTTTACAAGCTGGTGGGCATGGATTTTAAGAAGATATGTTATGATCATGTGATATATCGCTTGAAAGGAGAGACCTGGGCCGAGGCTTTTAATGAGTAGGTAGTTGAATTTAAAACAGAAATGTGTGATAATGCTAGACTACTACAATGTAATAATTATGACATTGCCACAAGTTTAGTTTTGGAGCTCGTTCAGTTAAGATGTTGTTTGTCGAATCATATGTTCATCATGAACATGCCGTTTGTTGCCCATTCACAGGTAAAATGGCCATAAAGTTGGACAACGGCTATGTCATACTGACTAACATTGACTTTGGACTAAAAGAGTTTACTATACTTGACTTTACTTCATATACAAACCACATTACGCATGTTAACATGATCAACCGAGGTAAAGAGCTTTTGGTTCGTACTTCCACTTTTGTGTTAGTCTATGATCTATGTAGTATGAAGGTAACCCAAAAGCATGACATGGTACCAACATCAAGGTATGGACAAAACGGCCAACTGCTTAACTACCAAATCATCAAAAATGGCTTTATCTTTGATTTGTACACAAAAAAAGAGTTCAAGATTGATGCACAAACGGCAAAGGGACTCATATGCTACATCAACATGTACGACAGGCCAAAGTATATTGCAGTACACACAACAGACAACAAGCTTGTCCTAATTGATAGTGAAACAGATGAAAGACAAGACGTTTGTGAATGGAAAGCAGGAATGAACGTGTACGTTATCAACGAAAATGATTCTGTATTTGTTATGAACGGCTATGTCAATCCCGGTAAGGCATTTTTATATTGGCTGCCCTGCCCTGCCTCTATCACCAGCCCTATCCCTGGTGATAGAGGTAGTTACGCCCCCCCCCCTTCATCTCTATTGCTTCCCATTCTTTTTTCACCCCATAGCCTTCCCTCATCCATTTCATATTAATATCTTCCTCCCTCCCCTCTCATCTACCCTAACCTAGCCGAATTTAGCGGAAGAATTTGGATTAAGAATCTACAGTATAAAGAAACGAAAAATGGTGTTTGAGGAGCCAGAAGTGCGTTACTGGCGTTTGTTCAATTCTAATACACTGTTTCAAACACAGCAAAAGACGGTAAAGTATATGAAAAGTTAATTTAAATTTGGAATAACTTAAGATGTAAAGCTAATTCTGAGGCTTGGTTTCTTTGCCAAAGAGATATAGATACTTTTAAATCATTTTTCAGTTCTTAGTCTACAACAAACTACATGATTGTTGGTTAAAAACAAAACGTGATACGAATCTTCTGTTGTTCTACAATATTGATTACTTTTGCGATTTTGGGTTTGTGCCATTACCAACCTACAAGATTGTGGAATCTCAGCGTTATAGAAAATATGATGAGGTCGTTAGAAATATGTACTTTTGGTTTAAAAAAGGCAAGTTTACGTAGGGTAGGGTAGAGTAGGGTAGGGGGAGGGGGGGGCAGGGTGGGGTAGGGTAGGGTAGAGTAGGGTAGGGTAGGGTAGGGTAAGGTAGGGTAAGGTAGGGTAGGATAGGGTAGGGTAGGGTAGGGTAGGGTAGGGTAGGGTAGGGTAGGGTAGGGTAGGGTAGGGTAGGGTAGGGTAGGGTAGGGTAAGGTAGGGTAGGGTAGGGTAGGGTAGAGTAGGGTAGGGTAGGGTAGGGTAGGGTAGGGTAGGGTAGGGTAGGGTAGGGTAGGGTAGGGTAGGGTAGGGTAGGGTAGGGTAGGGTAGGGTAGGGTAGGGTAGGGTAGGGTAGGGTAGGGTAGGGTAGGGTAGGGTAGGACAAGCATTATAATAAAATTGCTAATTTCAGATAAGATTATAACAAAACGTTTTTCGGCCGAAGTTGAACTTCATGATGTGTGGGTTACGGAAGAATATGATTTAAAAAATAATAAATATCAAATTAAAAAATTAATGAATATTAAGTTTCCTGTGCTAAAGGACGATTCGGCTGCTTTTTACGATTGGTTTTTACAACTACACATCGCTAATGACAACGTCCCTTTAATCGACGCCAAATCTCGTAATACCCAACATTTTAATTTTTATTTATTAAAGCCTAATTATCACTTATCAATTTTATGTAATAAACTTTTAAAATCATATATTTAATTTCAAACGACAAAATATCAACAAACATATTTTTTCTGAAAAAAATGAAAAACATTTAAAAAAATAAAATAAGACAACAACTTTCATTACAAGCTGAAAAATAACTTTCTTTCCAAACTAAAACATGACAAAAACTTATCATCAAATTTTTTCTGTTTAAAAAAAATTGGTGAAAAATTTAACCCCTTCCCTCGCCCCCTTTTTTTCTCCACTTTTTGGCCTCCGCCCGTTCTATGAAAAATATTTTAAAAACATTTGTTCAATTTAAATAATTAAAAAAAAGGATTGCGCCGACGAAGACTCGAACCCACAGCATTGTCGCACAGTTTTGCCTGAGAACAAGCGCCTTTGACCACTAGGCCATTGAGACACGGAGTGACAACTCGTTATTTGTTCATTGTTCGCGCTTTTTAGCAATGGAATGACTTTAAGCACCTAGTTTCCCAACGTTCTAGTTTTCCCAAGAATTGTTTTGATGAAACTGGCGTTGCCTATGGATGTTTGTGTTGATGTTTGTTTGTTTTCAAAAAACAATTTTTTTTTGCTTTCTGAACGGGCTGGGCAGGGACTTACTTTTTTTGGGAGGGGTAGGGGGTATATTTTTTGTTTTTTCTGTATATTACCGTGTTAAATTTAAAATTTAAAAAGATTTATTTTAGGCTTAAGTTTCTTGAGTTTTTGTAGAATACTAAGCCTAAAATATCATTTTTTTAAGTCAAAAACATTATTTTGCTATTTTTAATGATGTATTGTTGTGATTTGCAAGTGTACGATTTTACCTTCAATTTCGCTCCTTGAACGGGCTCGTACCAAGACTCCATTCTGACAAAACCGCTCATCATCACCTTGAAACAGTCGAAGACTTGATTGGGTTAGTTAATTTTTAAAAATCTTATAGTTAAGGCTAGTGGAATATTTATTTGGAGCGGGGGAAGGGATTTTTATTAACTTTTTACCTTTTTAAGGTCAATTTTTTAAATTTTTTATAAAAAATAAGCAGAAAATAGTATTTTTTTATTAAAGTTATTTAATTGCAGAAGATGAACACAGATCAGAAACGACATCTCATTGAATCAACTAAAAGAGCAGAATCCGCTCAGGACTACATCGCGGCGATCGGATTCATGCGCCGGATGGCCATGGAAAACCTCATTACAACACAAGATGATATAGCGATGTTTCTAAGAGCTTACCGCTTACATTGGGAAGGACTGGAAGAAACAAACGGACCATTGAATGCGCAAACCTCAAAGCTATACCAAGACGGGGTCGTTCTGATCAAACGCTACATCAAACCGAATATCAGCGACAACACGTTGATGGAGATGCTTCATGTTCTCGAGAAGGCTTTGAATTTGTTTCTGGAAAAGTCGAATTAGGAAGACTCACACCCTAAGTATTAATATAACTTCCTGTTATTGATTTTGAAGAAATTCTGTAATAAATTACGTTATTCTTGTAAAATGTTTGTAAATGTGTATAATAGGACGACAGTATATATACAATAACCCGTAAAACGTAGTTCATTCATTTTAAATATGAATCGGTGTCTTCTTATGAGCCAGATATAGGAATAAAATGCTGCATAAGGCAGCGATCAGGAAGATCAAGTCGAACCACCTGTGGTAGAAGTTGAACTGGAGTTCGCCCAACACTTCAGTGATGATCTTGCGGTACTTCAGTGGCATATTCATACGAATCAACAGCACGCTGCTCACAAAGTACATGCCCTGAAAGTAAGGTTTGACAACTTGATAAAACGGCAAGAACTTTCTTTAAAAAACACAAGATAGTAAGAAATTTGTTTACAGAACGATAAATGGCAAGAACTTTCTTTACAAAACAAAAAATTGCAAAAACTTTCTTTACAAGACAAAAAATTGCAAAAACTTTCTTTACAAGACAAAAAATTGCAAAAACTTCCATTCAAACCTACCATAACATGTGCCAGCGCCAGTACAATCAAGTTCGACGACTTCCTACTCGAAATGGCATTGAAAAACTTGGCAATCGTGATCAACAGTCCTCGGATCGAAGTCACGGCTATAATACCGATCAGTAGGAAGGAGATTTGCTGCGACCAAAAGCGAACGTCCATCGAGAATCCCATGTGTTCGACCGCGATTTCGATGCCTCTGGTTACCGGATCCACCTTGCCCACACGATCGAAGACGATGTTCACGGTGGATATGAAAATCTTCCATACACAATATAAAGAGAAGAAGTATCCCATCAGGTTGAAGTATCGGCCTTGGAGAGTCTTACCGTACTCGTTCCGAATCTAAAATGACTTTTAGGTTAGAAATGGCAAGAACTTTCTTTACAAAACAAAAAATAGTAAGAACTCTTTTTAAAAACTTAAAAATGACAAGGACTTTCTTTCCATGATAAAAAATTGCAAAAAGTATCATTTCCAACATATATAATTACATTACCTTCATATTGTCTAACTCGACCAGTTCGAGAAATAGGTGTCGACTGAACTCTTCCAACGGTGCTATTTCGGATTCCATTATCCTGAAAATGTAACGTTTATCGTATATTTTTGAATAAAATGGCTTATACTTCATTAAACCTATAATAACAAAGCTTATAGAACATTTACCTATACTAAAATTGCTTAAAAGTCACTGTGACTATATTAAAATTGTGAAAAAGTTCACTCAATTTATATTAACATAGTTTACATGCCATTCAAACCATGTATCACAACTTTAATACAACTTTATGTCCTTATACCAAGCAAATTCAAATAAAAAACCTACCCAATCTGCTCGTTACTTCCTCGATTCGTGAACGTCCCCAAAACGCGGTTAAAAAGCCCCCCACCCAAGTATCCGCCGTTGGAAAAGGCGCTGTTCTTGATCTCAATCTCCTTCATCAACATCTTCCTCTTCTTCACCACAATCATATCCAATGTTTGCTTCAACTTCTTCTCCAATATCAAAATGTCATCTGGCGTGACGTGTCGAGCAAAGTAAGCCATACAAGTATATGGCGCATTTACAGCACCAAAACCCGAGAGTAAGGCCATGACTGTCACTCCAATAATGCCAATTCGACTTATCGCTTGTTCGATCGTAAAAATACCATGTTTTTGACTTAGGATGGGAAAGTTGTCACCAATTTTCCAAAAGAAGTAGATAAAGACCAACCAGCTGATCACTGTCATGGGGAATATCCAATTTACTGGGACTGAAAATAAAATTTTTAATAAATTGAATATAAAAAAGTAACATAAAACCACACCTTTTAATAAATAATAAAACTTTTTCTCATATTTTACGTAAAAAGCTCAGTAAAATCAAGTTTCCATGAGCAAATCCTTCAGATTGACCCTCATGAATAACATTCAGTAGCATTCAAGTAAAAGCGCATATATTTGCCAAAAAGTAAGAAAAAATAAAAGAAATAACCTCATTTTAACTGTTAAAAACAATCCCTAAACGTTATCATATCCGAAAATTACTGTATAGGTCAAATTATATCGTCAACAGCCATCCAATGATCATAAATAATATACGAGCCAAAACACATTGAAATAAAATACTTTTAGTTAACAATACTTATTAAAAGACAGTAAAAACTATAATAAAAGTAGCTTAAATCATCTCAAAGCTTTTGACGACCCAAAATCATCGGTAATCAAGCAATTCGCTATCACCAACCATCTGATGTCGCTCAAGGTGAATATTCAATTGGTCTCAAACAAAACTTTTACATTTCTTTATAATACGCATATAAAAATAATCAGTATTCTCTCGTTCATCTTTTAAAATTATTTTAAAGTTCATTTCATATCTAAAAACACAACAAAATAACAAAAGAAACTTACTTATCCTAATCGACTTGACCAAAGAGTAGCTGATCAAAAATGGCAAGAAAAAGATCAAAATGCTTAATATTGTGTGCAATCCAATCTTCCACGTCAAAAACCGATGTTGTGGCTGCATCACATCCACTATTTCGAAGATGATCAGCTCGAACATTGTGCATGATAATGCGAACATCACGCTGAAGATGACTTGGACGTATCTTTCGTGCACTTCATAGTCTTTGAACAATTGTTTCATAAAGAATACCCATCCTAGGCCAAAGAAAGCCAACTGTGACACGATTATCACTCCAAAGTCCCATCCTTCACTCATTTGATCACTGAAAACAACAAACATTAACCAAAAACTGCCCAAACACTTGCCCTAAAATAAAGAAAAAACACAAAAAAGTCACAACTTACAATATTGATGTCAAAAAGTAGTAACTATAGATAAAATCAACAAAATATTGTATTTTTAAAAAATATTGAGTGTAATTTGGGCGCAGCTCTTAATGTTATACGAACAAATTGCTAAAGAATTGGTCCGGCCACGATAACAAAGCAGAATGGTCTTTGCTTGGCTTTCCGTTACAACCACATTTTCCTTGATTTTTGTTGGTATTTTTACATAAAATTGGTTCATTTGGTAACATTTTGCTGTTGTTTTACTGTGAAAAGGTAATTTTTATAATATTTTATGTATTTGATTTAGAATTTATTTTGTTTTAGGTTTTTTTTATGTTTAGGTTTTGCTTTTTTAAGCTAGAATTTAGTTTTAAAGTTAACGGGTTTTGATAAGGGGAACGATTTAGGTTATGATAAATTAGTTTAGCGTTGGCACAAGGCATTTTGTTTTATGAATGTTATTTTAGATTAATTTTGTTTTTAAGTTTTGAACTTTCGCTATACCTTGAAAACTTGATAAATTTTTACGTTGATGCGTTATTTTATACATTACGCATTGTATCCCAGTTCTAAATGCCTGCTTCTTTTACAAATTTTGGTTTCAGGTTTATCAAAAATGATGGCTTCAAAGGTGTTGATCCAGAAGCGTTTGGCGTCGGCCGCTGCTGCTCATTCGACCGGTCTGTCGAGCGCGGTTGAAACCAAAGTTAGCAAGTTACCCAACGGCCTTACTGTGGCTTCTGTCGAAGCTAATGGACCTGTTTCTTCCCTGGTGTTGGCCTATCGTGCTGGATCTAGGTATCAGCAACCAGATGAAGCTGGATTGGTTCATCATTTGCGAAACAATGTTGGCAAGGACTCGGCCAACTACTTTGGAGTCAAGTTGTTGTGGCAAATTGGATCGGTCGGTGGAAACGTTGTTGCTACACATGGAAAAGACGTTCTGGCTGTTCAGACTAATGTGGTAAGTGTTTTTGATTAGTTTTTTGGTTTTTAGGTATCAAATTGAGGTTTGCTTGTTGTCGAAGGGTATTGAAAGCAAGAAAACATAAATTTCTATTGATTTTATTGTTTTATGTTTATTTTTTGAAGGTTTTGGCTGTTTTCGTTAGATTTTCCTTGTTTTATGGCCGTTTGCTGTCGAAAACTGATTTTTTTGCTTTTTATTTTAAAAATTGATTAATATGATAATTTTTAGCTTCGGGACAACTCAGCTATTGCTGTCTCTATTTTGGGAGAGTTGGCCAAGCCAGCTCTGAAGCCATGGGACGTTTTGGATGCTAATACTACATTGGCTTCGGATTTACAATATCAACAGCCGTTCGAGCAAGTAGTCGACTTGGTTCAGCGTGCCGCGTACAGGTAATTTGATTTTAGTAGTATGGAAAAAAAGTTTTAGCTTTTTTGGCTGTTGGAAAGAAAGTTTTTTCAGTTTTTTAATAATTTGATATTGAACTGCGTGCCATTTTAACCCTAACTGTTTCAGAAATGGCTCTCTTGCCACCCCAGTGAACGCTCAGCCACATGAGCTTGGCAAGGTCACCTTTAAGCAGCTGGAAGCCTTCTCCAACTCACGTTTAGTCAGTGGAGAAGCCGTCCTTCTGGGTGTGAATGTGGAACACTCCGACCTCTTGGGCTATGCACAAGCTCAGACAGCTGTCGGAGAAGGTCGAGGAAAAGAAGCCGCTCCATCTCCATACATTGGAGGCGATATCAGAGTTGCCGGCCCATCAAGTCTGGCTCATGTTGTGATTGCTGGTGAAGGTGCGGGTCTGAAGGATGTCAAAGCTGTGGCAGTTCAAAAGGTATTGGCCGCTTTGGTTGGTCAAAGTAAGTGTTTTTTTGAGGATTAAAAGGATTTTTTAAATGAAAAATAATTTTTTTTTTAATTTTTTGTTCAAAATTTATGAACACTTTGCCTATTTTCAGCCTCTGAAGTCAAATTCAGCGCATCTGCAGGCAGCGGAGTTGTGGGCGCAGCCGTCCAGAAGGCCGCCAACCAAAGACCGGTCGGAATATCGGCCGTTGATGTAAACCATGCCGAGACTGGTCTGGCCGGCGTCTACATTGTTGTGGAAGGCCAGTACGCCGAGCCAACCGTCCGTGCTGCCTTCGACGGCCTAAAACAAGTGTCATCAGGAGTGGATGGAGCCGTCCTCGAAGCTGCCAAGTCGAATGCCAAGGTCAACGCCTTGTTGTCGTTGGACAACACTGCCGATTTGGCCTTCGAGTCGGCGGCTGAAGCTCTGGCTCATGGTGGAGTAACCTCACCATTGGAGTTGGCCGAAGAAATTGGCAAAGTTTCGGCTGAAGATGTGAAGAAGGTAAGGGTTTGGGGCAGGAGATGGTGGTTCTTGAAGGAAAACGAGGTTTTTCATTGGGGGTTTTGGCGATAAATGACATTTTTTAAAAGAATTTAGAGAAAAAATAGTGATTTCCTTAAGGGTTTTGGATAAAAATTGACTTTTTTAAATGATTTTCGAAGAAAAAATGCAGTTGTTGAACCATTTTCGGGTGGAAAAGGACAATATTTTCATTTTCAGGCGGCTGAAAGGATCGTCAAGAAGCCGTCGGTAGCAGCGTTCGGCCGCGTGAACCAAGTCCCCTTCGTCGACCAGCTCTAAAACTCTGATTGATTATTTAGGTTCATCATCGTGTAAAGGATGAGGAATAAAGTAGAATATATAATTTGGGCTTGTGTTTCGATTAAAAGTTTTAAACTTTATTTTTAATTTTTAAAATTTTTATGAAATTTTGGGATTTGAGGCTTTATAAAGGAAGTTTTTGATATTTGTTGATGTTGAGAATGTTATTATTGGTATTATTGTGTTTTGTTGACAGTTTTTTCTATTTTGTTTTTGCTGTTTTATATCTTTTCTTACTGTTATATTGTACCGAATTTTTTTGCAGTTTTTAGCTTTGTAAAGTAAGTTCTTGCAATTTTAAGCACTGTAAAGAAAGTTCTCGCCATTTTATGTTTTGTAAAGGGAGTTCTTGCAATTTTAAGATTCGTATAGAAGTTCTTGCCATTTCTTGTTTTGTAAAGCAAGTTCTTGCATTTTTCACTTTGTGAACAAAGTTTTTAAGTTCTTTATCAAAGTTAATCTTGTTTTACCTTCAGAATGTCAAAAACCTTTGCCATTTTGAAACCGGACCTCATGTCCTGTCCTCCATTGGCAGTCGAAGCGATTCAACGAATAATTGCCTCGAAACTGAAAATCAACCGAACTGCATTGGTCGAACGAGTAGACAAAGCAAAATTGAAGGAGTTGTACGCCGAACATGCTGGTCGATTCTACCATAATCGACTGATAAGAACGGTGGGATCAGGGCCGGTTTTGTTAATGGAACTTGAGGCTAAAGGTGAGGATTGGATGGGCATGGAGGTTCATTTGGATTGAGTTTTGCCGTACCGTATCTTAATAGTAGCTTTGATATACTGTAGTATCACTGTGTCTGTAGTCAAAGCCTAACTCTATCTTAACATACCTTAGTTCTAGTCCTAGAGCTACCCATAGCCCTAACCATAACCTTAGGCCCAGCCCTAGCCTTACCTCAAGTTCTAGCGATAGCCCTAGCCATCGTCTTAGTTTTGGCCCTAGCTTAGCCCAAGCCTAGCCTTTAGCTCTACCTAGACATGGGATACGGGCTGGGCCTGGATGTTAGGCTCAGCCCGATCCAAATTTTTCTCAGAATTGGCCTGAACTTTTTAAGTGTAAACGGGCCTGGCTTTTTGGGCCGGGCCTTGATTTTCCGGCCTTGGCCGACATAAATTTGGGTCAAGGCCGGCCCGGCTTGTTCCCCATGTCTAACGTTATCTCTAGTTTCAATGATACCTCTACCCATAGCCTTACAAGGGAATGTTACAAACTGCCCATTCGCTTTTTAAAAATGAATGGTACCATGTGAAAGAGCGTAAAAAGTTGACTAGAAATCTATTTTCAAAAACTGCCAACTTCGCCTTACAAGCCCGCTAGCGAGCTTTTAAAATTTTCCTTATTAAAATGGTTTTTCTGCGTCCGCTTTCTTGTGAATTCTTTCGAAAAGAGGAACCAAGTGTGTTCGATTGGCCAAGTGGTCAAAGGCGCCGTGATTGCGCAATCATGCGGGTCCGGTTCGATTCTCTTTTGGGGTAGTAAGATTTATTTTTTTAAAATTTAAATTCAAATTAATTTTCATTAACCGAACTAAAATTTTTTTGTTGATAAGTGTTTCTTACATCTATTAAAACATAAAACAATTAAAAAAAATTTTTTTTTGAACATACAAAAATTGAAAATAAAGCATATGAACATAAAAGGCCCTTTTAATAATGATTTTTAAAGCTCGCTAGCGGGCTTGTAAGACGAATTTGGCAGTTTTTGAAAACAGATTTCTAGTCAACTTTTTACGCTCTTTCACATGGTACCATTCATTTTAAAAAGCGAATAGGCAGTTTGTAACATTCCCTTGTTAGCCTACGCTCCAGGCTTAGTTTTAGCCCTTAGCTGTAGCCCTACTGTATCTTTAGCTTTTAATAGCTTTAACCTTAGCTTTTAACTCAACGGTAGCCGTACCCATATCTTTAGCTCGCCCTTAGTCCAAGTCTTAGCTTTTAGCTCAAATCCTAACTTTAGTTATGGCCTTAGCTCTAACCTTAGCCTAAGTCTTAGACCTAGTTCTCGAGATACATAAACCTAGCCCCAACTTTAGCTTTTAGGTCTAGAGGTAGCTCTAGCTCTTAAAAATTAAAAGTTAAAACCTTTTTTTCAGAATCCTCATCAAAGGTCGACCCAATCTCGGAATGGCGGTCCATGATAGGCCCATCCAAGTATCTAAAAGGCTTTCCAACGCCCGATAACCACGAGACATTTCGATGGAACTACGCCTTGTCCGACGTCAGGAACGCGGCCCATGGTGCAGATTCGGCCGAAAGTGCGACGAGAGAGCTGCGACTATTTGAGGACCAGTTCGAGCCATTCGACATTGATAAACTTATGCGGAAACTTTGTTTACAGCCAGTTGAAGGGGATGGTGAATGATTTTGAGTGGAATTGTTATGTATTTATTTTGTTGTACATTGGATAGTAAAGTGGTATATAATGAAGGTTAGTAAAGCTAAGTCAAACGTCTTTAACATGGAGTTTGTGGGTTAAGTTAGGTAGGTAATAGTAGGGTAGGGAAGGTAGGTTAAAGTGGGGTAGGGTAAGGTAATACTATATTAAACAGGCAAACTTAGAAGGAAAATACCCAGCCTGCAACTCTCAGAGTTAGCTTTAAATTTTTGTACGTATTCCTTGTAGTACCAACAGAACGTATAAACATAATAAAAGTTGATAAGGCTAACATTACAGGGCTTTAACATGGGGCTTGCCGGGTAGGTTAGATAGGGAATAGCAGGGTAAATAATTTTTTTTCAAAGTTTAGTTTTATACAAAAAAAACATTATAAATCAATTAATTCTAACACAAGGGTCGCGTCTCGGGTCCAACCGGCAACTTTGGCGTTGCTTCACCTCTTCGCCACACTGTTGTGGATGGCATTGGCTGTTGCCATAGCCAACACATTGACGGGTCTGTTCTCGAACCCCAATACCCAAATATTGTGGCAGGTCGCAGCGATAGTTGGGGATTGGCTGGCATTGAGACCAGCGCGACCAGCCCGACCATTGACAGCGGGTTTGGGGCCGGAACGGGCTGTGCGCTGGACAGGCGTGGTCGTTGCAGCGACGACGTTCCTGGTCCTGGCCTGGGCAGCGGACTAAAAGTTTTTGGGTTGTAAAGAGTGTTTTGGCTAGCGATTTGACGAGGTGGAATTGGAGAGAAAGTTCCTGCATTTATTGTTTTGTAAAGAAAGTTTTTGCCATTTTTTGTTTTGTAAAGAAAGTTCTTGCCATTTTATGTTTTGTAAAGAAAGTTCTTGCCATTTTTTGTTTTGTAAAGAAAGTTTTTGCCATTTTTAATTTTCTTCTCATAACCTCACCTCTATGACTCTGACAAACCCTGTGACGTTGCTCCACTCCACCTCCACAAGGCCGGTCACATTGGCTCCAACCGCTCCATGAGCTCCAATCACCATGACAAATCTGATTACATTGTCGTTCCTCACTCGTACTGCCACGGCACAATTCACGGTTGGTACAGTGGCGTTCACGGCGCTGTTTTCCGAGCCCACAAGACACTGAACAGGGTGTCCAATCCGACCAGTCGGTAAAGCCTTGGCACGGGACTGGAGCTTGGCAACGTGAGATCTCGTGGTCTTTACCATGACAGCGGAGGGTACCTTAAGGTGATAGTTATAGTATATGTAGTGTAGGTTAGGGTAGGGTGGGGGTAGTGTAGGGTAGGGGGAGGGTAAGGTAGGGTAGGGTAGGGTAGGGTAGGGTAGGGTAGGGTAGGGTAGGGTAGGGTAGGGTAGGGTAGGGTAGGGTAGGGTAGGGTAAGGTAGGGTAGGGTAGAGTAGGGTAGGGTAGGGTAGGCTAGGGTAGGGTAGGGCAGGGTTGGGTAGGGTAGGGTAGGGTAGGGTAGGATAGGGTAGGATAGGGTAGGGTAGGGTAGGGTAGGGTAGGGTAGAGTAGGGTAGAGTAGGGTAGAGTAGGGTAGGGTAGGGTAGGGTAGGGTAGGGTAGGGTAGGGTAGGGTAGGGTAGGGTAGGGTAGGGTAGGGTAGGGTAGGGTAGGGGAGGGTAAGGTAGGGTAGGGTAGGGTAGGGTAGGGTAGGGTAGAACAAACCTTAAAAACCCACCAGCTTCACAGTACCGAACCCTCATTCGTTCTCCCTGACCGCAGGACGCACGGCAATGGCCCCATTCGCACCACTCCGACCATCCCAATGCGCACGGGACGTGACCACAAGCTCGTGACTCATCCGTTTGACAATTCGGCACAACACATTGCCGCCGACGATGTTGCACACCGCCACCGCCACAGGACTTTGAGCACGCCGACCAACGTGACCATTCACCATAAGGTCGAGGCTCGACACGCACAATTCGAGGGCAGGCACGGCGTTCACGGTGAACCGCTAGCTCTTCATCAATTGAGAGGGTTAGGTTTGAAGCTAAAAGGTGGCGGTTTTAAAAGGTTGAAAACTTTAAAAAATTCTTTTTTTTTTATTTTCTGTTTTGTAAAGAAAGTTCTTGCCATTTTTTTTGTAAAGAAAGTTCTTGCCATTTTTTATTTTGTAAAGAAAGTTCTTGCCATTTTTTATTTTGTAAAGAAAGTTCTTGCCATTTTTTTTTTGTAAAGAAAGTTATTGCCATTTTTTATTTTGTAAAGAAAGTTCTTGCCATTTTTTATTTTGTAAAGAAAGTTCTTGCCATTTGATGCTTTGTAAAGAAAGTTCTTGCCATTTTTAGTGTCATTTTTAATTTTCTTATCATAAACTCAAATCTATGGCTTATTTTAAAATTTAATCTTTTTTGATTTTTGAAAATTGCAAAAAATCTCAAAAAATTTTGGAAATAAAAAAAAAATTTAATATCTTAAAATTTTAAAATATGTGTCAAAAATTTAAAAAAACTTAGTTAAAAAAAATTTTTTTTAAATTTTAAAAAGTCAAATTAAAACAATTAAAATTTAAAAATTTTTTTTTGTTTTCAAAAAACTAAAAAAAATTTCAAAATATTTTTAAATTTAAAAAAAACAGATAAAACACAAAGTTTAAGATAAATTAACAAAATTTTGTTTAAATTTAAAAGTTCTAAATTTAAAAAAAAAATTTTTTTTAGAAATCTAATTTTAAAAATATTTAAAATAAACTACGAATTTCAAAGTTTTTTAAAATTGAAAATGTCAAAAAAATTTTTTTTTTTGATTTTTAAAAGTTTAAAATTTCAGAAATTTTGAAAAAATTTTAAATTTTTTAAAATTTAAACTAAAGTATTAAAATAAAAAAAAAATAAAAACATACCATTACAAGCCAAGATCAGTCCAAGTAGAACAATATAAACGAAGAGATGCATGTCCAAAACGTTTTCAGATCACGTTCCGGACGTGCCAACACAATGGTATATACCAAAAAGCATAAGCCGTCATAACTTTTCCGGCAATCATTTATAAACATTTGGCAGCTGTCTGTTTTAATCCATTCACGCCTCTGAAACGTTTGTTTCGTACTTTTTACGAAAAAAGTCTGCACGTCATAACTTTTTAGAGATTTGCTGGAAGAAACTTGGTTTACAAATTGAAAAAACAGTAATTAAATTTAAAAGACATACAATATGTAGAGCCTGGGTCATACGAAACTATACACTATAGAGGCATGGTCGGGTATAGTAGAGTACAGTAGGGTAAGATACGGTAGGGTATCTACCCTACCCTAGGTAGGATAAGGCGGCTTTTGTGAGAAGGTAGGCAAATGTGTTACAGTATGCCTTTTGCTTCTAAATACTTTGCGAAACTCCAAGTTACAAAATTTATTTGTACAACAATTACAAGCTTATAAAGTAAAAAAGTAAGTGAATATTATGGTAGAAAGTGGCATTTAAACAGCCATAGCCATTTTGATTGGAGGGTATGGATCATATCCTTCTAGCTGGATAGATTCGAAGGTGAAATCGTCGATGGATTTGATGTTCTGGTCGATTTTGATCTTTGGGAATGGTCTTGGCTCTCGTTTCAGCTGAAAAATTTTTAAAATATAAATTAAAAAAGCAAAAACATCGCAAAAACTTCGTTTACAAAGCGAAAAATAGCAAGAACTTTCTTTACAAACCCAAAAGCAGCTTAAAACCCCCAAAATTAGCCAAAAGTCCCTAAATCAACCCCAAAAGTCAACGAAATCCACCAAATCCTTACCTGCTCCTTCAGTGGCTCAATATGATTACTGTAGATATGAGCATCCCCCAATGTGTGTACAAACTCATCAGCCTCAAGGCCACAGACATGAGCAATCATGTGGGTCAGCAACGAGTAACTTGCTATGTTAAATGGTACTCCTAGGCCCATATCACCTGATCGTTGGTACAACTGGCACGATAATAGACCGTCACGAACGTAGAATTGACACAATGTGTGACATGGGGGTAGAGCCATCTCTGGGATGTCTAAAATGAGGTATTTATTGTTTTAGATTAAAAAATTAAGCTTATTATCGAAATTAGTACTTTGATAGTTTGGCAATGAAATCAAACAGCGTATTTTACACCTAAAATTTTATAAAAAGGAAACTTTTTACCTAAAATTTCATTAAAAAAAGAGTATTACCTAAAATTTCGAAAACAATAAGAATTTATGACTAAAATTTCAAAAACGAGAAGCATTCATACCTAAATCTCGAAAAACAAAAAATTTATACCTAAAATTCCAAAAACGAGACCATTTATACTTAAATCTCAAAAAAACGAAAAATTTATACCTAAAATTTGCCAAAAAAATCTTACCTTTGACATTCCAAGCGCACAGGATCAGCCTTCTAGAATCTGGAGTAATCTTGATCTGCTCAATGAGCTCAGCCAGTTGATCAACACCTTTTCCAGTGTAATCGGCATCTGGCCCTTCGTATTCGGCTCCAAAATGGCGCCACTAAAATATATGTTTCAAAAAAGGTAATTTTAACTGAAAATCTATCCTCTCCTTCTTTAATTAACTACACTCTTCCTTTTCTAACCAAAAAACATTTAAAAAACCAACCTGAAACCCGTAAATTGGACCAAGATCACCAACTTCTCGATGCTTGAATCCATATTGATCCAGAAACTCGCGTGATCCATTGGCATCCCAAATTTTGACGCCTTTGGCTGACAATGTCTTTGAGTTGGTCTCTCCTTTGATAAACCACAGCAATTCTTCTACGATGGCTTTCCAGTGAACCTTTTTAGTTGTCAACAATGGCATATTGCCTGAAAATTGAAAAATTAGCAAAATCTTTATAAAAATTTAGTAAACTACCATCATTTTAACGAAGAAGCTTACAAACAACTTAAGAATTAGTATTTTAGCTGTCGCTTCTAATTTAAAAACTATCAAAATCAAAATTTTGAGCGAAATCTATAAACAAGCTTATATCAGACGACTACTCTAAAAAGTGCCATAACTTTTGACGAAAGTGTAAAAAAGCACCACAATTTCCACAGCCTACTTATCAGTATCTCTAAATACTCTATTCAAAATTTCAAAGCGATCGCTTCATAAATCCCTTCAAAACACAAAAGACTTTTCTTAAGGTATACCTAAGACAACATAATTCATTTCCCAGAAATTCTAAAGCTCTTATTACTCCTGGTTTCAATAAACTTAATCTTTAGTGATCTTTTCTTCATCTGATACAACCTAAAAATCCAAAAACAACATAAAGTACTCACCATTTCTCAACGAATACCTAGCCTGCATACCAAAATGCGAGATCGTTCCAGTTCCAGTGCGATCGCCTTTTTCGTATCCTTTGAACAAAATTTCTCGAATCTGATTGAGATAGTTCAGCTCATCAACGTTTTTGTCTTCTTGTACTCCCATTTTTTTGAAGCTAAAAATTAAAATATGTAGGCTAATATAAAGAACAAAGTTAATATCCATCGAAAACCCGACAATATTCATAACAAATCCACGAAACGATTGAAAACTCGACTTTACAAAAAACTCTATTCAATTTCCGTTTTCCCAGACTTAATTACCCAAAAACAACAAGTTTATAAAACATTCAAAGGCAAATGGACAAAGGAAACAATAGAAAATGGCCTGATAAAGGTTTATTCGCAAAGAAAAGCCATTTGAATTCATTTTTCGCGCAAAAACTGATCGTTTCAAGAAGAAAAGAAAGGAATATGACAAAAACAGACATACAAGACCTAGTAAAAGGTTAAAATGGCAGTTATCTTTGCTCCTCATCTATATTTTTTGTAAAAAATCAGCTATGAATGAACTTTTTTGACCTAGATAAGCCTTCTGAAGCTCAAATGTGTGCATTTTTGAGCCAACAAAGATGGTTTTATTAAAAATAAAACGAGCATGATTATATTACAGAAGATTCAATATAAAGCCGGCTAGTAGTGAACTATGACGAACAAGTCGTTGCAGTAGTTCTCCATCTCCAAAACTGTGCGTTTTAACTTGAATTTAGGCTTCAGCATCAGATTTGGCTTAGCAGTGGTCTCGCAGCAGTCATTCACGCTAGAATGAAAAACATTAATAATATTATAGCCAATAGTATTACAATAAGATATATTTAAGACCTGTAAAAGCTCTGAAATTACAGAGAATGTAAATTTGCACTTCAAAGCTTTCTTTACAAAAGATGTTCTTCGGGAAGTAGGGTACGTTAAACGGACTGTAACTTCAAAACAACTGTCAATTGCAAAATTTTGTTTAATGTGTCAGTTGACACAATAAATAAGCTACAATCACACAAAATTTCAAATCTCAATCTACCGAAGTTACAGTGAAAAGAAAATTTATCCCAATAAAATTTGAGTAAGGTATAAATACCGTCCAGTATATGCCCATTAACTAAAATAAACTTAAACAATATGTTAATCCCATTAGATAAGTAAATGGGCTACAATCATAACAAATTTAAAACATCTACCTATCTTCTCAACAAAGTTATGATGAAAATAAAAATGTAACCAAGAATACTTACAATGAGAGGTAGAACAACGGAAAGTCGAAGATGGCCCAAGCGCTTTCGTGAAAATGTAAATAGCCATTGTCCTCAGTAACTTTGCCAGCCAAATGCCAGTCATAGAAGTAAGAGCTCTTCAAATACAGAGACACTGGCTAAAAATATTGTTTTAGGTATCACCAAGGTCTAAAATCAGCTGAAATCGAAACAATAATACAAAAAATGGTCGGAAAGTCTTAGAACACAGTTTTAAATGCTAATACGATCTTTCTCCTCTAAATTCATTCATTTTTCCCCGAACTTTTCGACCGATAAACTAAAAGTGGTAAAATTGTAACGACTTACCATAGCTGCTTTGGGCTTCTGTTTGCACGTAAAATATATATCCAGGTACATTTGACGTTGAAAACAAAAACACGTTGAACATGACATCAAGAACAATAATAGTATACGACCCATTTTGTCGTAAAAAATATAAAAATGCCATTTTCAAATGCGAAAAAGTCAAATTTGACATAATATATTTGACCTTTCAAATTTATCAAATCTTCAAACATTTTTATAGCGTGAAGGTATGCTTTACGTTTGCTATGATCATACAAAACATATCATAAAGAGAGACAGAGTGATAAACACGAGGATAATAGAAGAGAAACAAAGAGAAGATCAAGTATAATAAAAGAGAGTGGAAGATCGTAAAAACAACTTCCAATATCAAACTAAACCCACTCAAAAACAAACTCCTTCTTCTTTAAATAACACAACAAAACATATACAGTTCGGTTTAATAACCCAAGTTTAAAGGTGAGCTCGTTCTTCCGCTCTGAACTCTCAGTGGCTGATCAAAACAAATTTTGCAAACAAAGGCTTATAAATGTGCTAAATTTACTGAAGTTACCACTTTCTAACATATAAGACGAAGAAAATAAGGTAAAATACTCGTCTTTATCTAAAAATTGCAAAACCCTCCGCCAAATCCCCTAAATTTTCCGCCGCATCCCTTAAAGTCTCCGCCGACCCTCGCCAAATCCCCTAATTAAAGTCTCCGCCGAATCCCCTAAACTCTCCGCCGACTCCCCTAAAGTCTCCGCCAAGTTTGTAAAAGCCTCCGCTGTCTCCGCCGGCCCTCCGACGAATCTAAAGAAGAATATGAAGAACATCGTGAGAACGATAAAGAACATTAAGAAGATGTTGAAGAACATAATGAGAACGAAAAAGAACATCGAAAAGAGAATAAGATAGCCAAGAAAAGAGAAAAATGCACTTTTAATCCTAAAAAATTCCGAACTTTCAATTATTATTAAAATTTATTATAAAATATTGTCCAAACATAAACATTCCTAATACAGAGAAAAATAAACATTTCTAATACAGAAATGAACATCTGGTAACATGAGCAACTGCCACTAGCGCTTTTGTATTCATCAGGTCTTCTTTGTCTTGGAGGTCTTGTGGACTTTCTATATTGTATACATTAGTAATGAGATAACGGAGCCTCAGCCTGCTAAGCCTAAGTCTGGTAAGCCTAATGTTCTCTGCTTATCCTCTATCTAAACACCCTAAAACTGACAAGATAAAAGTATAGTCACTGTAACTTACATTTTTGTTTGCTTCGACATACACGCCTGAATTGTCCACATTCTTCTTCTGGATCGTGCTGTTCTTGATGGTGTTAGACTTCTTCATCTTCTGGACCTATAAAACAAAGAAATAAGAAAAAGAGTCAAACATAGAATAGGATTGAGAAAGAATGATAAAAAAAGCAAAACTAAAGGGTCCTTAATATAAATTAAATATTTACTTACATTCTTGGTGGTCTTTGGCGTGCTCTTCTTTGACGTCGACGCCTGTTTAATCTCCGGTTTTGGCTGCGGGTCTTCTTCTGTACGCGACTCTTGTCGCAACGAGGGTACCCCATGCAAGGTGTCTTCCGGGTCCACTTCGGGTTCTGAAAAGACAAATATTAAATTATGGTAAAGCACGTCAGCAAACGAGAAAAATAATAAGAAAAAACAAAAAAGTTACTGTAACAGTAGAAAAGACAAAAATTTAAATTTGCCCTTCTCCTTCTTCGACTTGAAAAGTCTTTCATAAAGACGGCGGAACAAGAAGCCAGCTAAGCCTAAACCTAATAATCTAAGCCTACCCAGCTTAGGCTTACTAAGACAAAGCCTACCAAGGCTAAGTCTGGCAAGCCTAATCTTCTCTGCTTATCCTCAATTTAAACACCCTAAAACTGACAAAATACAAGTACTTACTTGTCTGGTTTGATCCACATAAACTCCAGCGTTGTTGATGGTTTTCGTCTCGACGTTGCTGTTTTTAACAATGGTCTTCTTTTTGTTCTTCTGGACCTATAAAACGAACAAATAAGAAAAAGAGTCAAACATGGATTGAAAAAGAATGATAAAAAGAGCAAAAGTAAAAGGACCTTAATATGTATAAAGCAAATATTTACTTACGTTCTTGGTGGTCTTTGGCGTACTCTTTGACGTCGCTGGCTTCGTTGTATCCGCTTTTGGCGTCGGTGCTTCCTCCGCCTTCGTTTCTTGCCTTAAAGAAGTACAAGGTGTCCTCCTTGTCCACTTCAGGTTCTGAAATCACAACTATGAAATTATGATAAAACACGTCAGCAAACGAGAAAAACAATGAGAAAAAACAAAAAAGTTACTGTAACAATAGAAAAGATAAAAATTTAGACTTGCGATTTTCTTTCTTCGATTTGAACAATAAACACCCTAAAACACGGGTGTTTTTCCATTATCGTTAGACTTTTTTTTCGCGGCGGGCCGCTGTGTCCCGCGAGTGACAAGTTATACGAAGAAACGTTTGCTCTATTATTCACAGGCAGCTTATGAACTTTTTATAATAAAACAAAAATAATAAAAAAGACGTAAAATGAAAATATTATAGGTTTGTTTACAAACAATTTGTTGTTGATGGCAACTTTTTAAAACTTAACGAACTGCAATTTGCAATGGGATTAAAGAACTGTTAGCTGTAGGGAATTTCATTATATCCGGATTTTTTAACCAAGAATTAATGAAACATTTTTTCTTGGGATTTAAAAAATTTCGCTATATCGGGGGTTTTTAACCGGAATCCTATTAGCGAATTCTGCTGTATTCTCTAAACTTTGTTTGCATATTTTTTTGAACTGGCACTTGTATTTAAGGATTTTTAATAAGAGAAGAAACAAAACGTAAATATAGGTCTGCTTTACACGGCTTTAGACAATATTAATTTTTGCAAAATAGTTAAAAATGCCAATTTTCTATCGATTAGGCTGGAAATGGATAGCAGGTAGCAGGTCAGCTTCAAACGCGGTTATTAAGTAATTGAAACATTATATTTGCATCGCGCTAAACATTATCTGAACAAACATAAAATTTAGTTTTTGAATACAGTATTACTTTTTTTAATGCCATGTTAACTTCTTCACAATCTTTAAAAGGTTTGGGTCACTTTCCGGAACAGTGACACCTCCGGAACAAACCCTAACATACCATACCCTATGCTACCTACTATATCGTACTCATCCTACTTGGCATACCATACTCTATTCTAATTACTATGCTATACTATACCATTATATCGTATGTTATCTATTCTCTACCTTGCCTACCTACTATACCATGACATATTTGTCTATACTAAACCACTTATCTTGCCTTACTTACCTGCACTGAACTCTTACCAATGAGTAAATATTATAGTATACGGTACTGTCGTAAATATAAGATTAGACAAGGTAATATGATATTGTTTGGCAGATAGGATAAGGTAGGTATGGTATGTGATACTATGGTATATTAGGTAGTATAGGGTTTGGTATGGTATGATTTAGTATAGTATGGTATATAAGATAGTGTAGGGTATGTAAATATAAGGTATGGTAGTACAGGATACGGTAGAGTATTGTACGGTAGGTAGTATAGAATATGGTATGGTAGGTAAGGTAGAGAATAGTAGAAAACATACAATTTAATATGGTATGGTATAATACGGTATGGCAAAACATAGTAGGTAGGATAGGGTATGGTATGTGAGGTAGAGTAAAAATGCACTTTTCACTATATTTTTCTTCAATGGGTGTTCTTTGAATGCAAATTGTGAGAAAACGAAACATTATTTTGATATAGAGCTAAATAGTATCTAAAACAGCATAAAAAGTTGTACTGAAATAAGGTTTTATTTTGTTTTTTTCGGTGTTAACTTTTTCAGTATATTCGAAAATGTCAGTTTTCACTGTATTTTGCCCTTATATGCGGACTTTGAATGCAAATTGTGAAAAAACTAAACATTGTTTTGACATAGAGCTAAATAGTATCTGAAAGAGTATAAAATCTAGTTTTTAAATACTCTATTACTTTGTTTTTTTCGGTGTTAACTTTTTCAGTATATTCGAAAATGTCATTTCCCCTTATCATTTTTCCGACTTGCGCCCTGGCCCGAAAAAATGAATTTCTTAGCTATAATCGTTCTTTTGCGTCAAAACACCCGTGAAAACTGAGAAAATCTCTTATTTAATTTAGTCCCAACACGGAAACAAACAAATTTTGGCTTTATGTTGCAAGCGAAATTTTAGCATTTTTTCGGTTTCAAAATAACCTTTTTGTCAAAATTACCTTGAAACTCGCGCGTTTGTGTATTTTCTTTACGATATTCGTGTAAATAGTATTGTATTGAAGTATATTATAACTGTTTTAGTTTTATCATGTCAGCTATCCAGCCACTAAACCCAAAGCCATTTTTGCATGGATTGACTGGAAAGACCGTGATCTGCAGGCTGAAGTGGGGCATGGAATACAGAGGTAAGTAACTTTATTCATTTTGTATTTGTTGAAGTTTAGGCTGAGAATGTTTTGAATGACGCTATTTGTTTTAAAGTTTGGAAAAAAGCATGTTATTGTGATATTGTAAATGAGAAGGGTGCGCATTACCTACTTTTTGCTATAACTTTTTTGAAAATAAAGGTTGAGACTTGAAGTTTTGTAAACTGTTAGCTTATTAACTTGTTCAACTAATGCGAAAAAGAAGGTTGGAAAATTTTGCTTGGTTTAGATGTTACAGTAGTTTTACGTAGAGGTACTGAAAACTCAGTTTCTTCAAGATGCTTTTGAATTTGGAAATTTTCTTTCTTTTGTTAGGTGAACAGATGTATTAGCTACAAACATACACATTTTTCATGATTCTGTTTATTTTTTGGAGGGAGTTATGATGAGAAATGGCAATAGTCTGACGTTTTTGAGGGCAATGTCGATGAACTGCGTTTCAATGCTCGTATAACGTAAAAATTTCAGGTTTCCTGGTCTCCGTCGACTCCTACATGAACATCCAGCTGGAGAACACTGAAGAATATATTGATGGCGTGAATACTGGCGTTCTGGGCGAGGTTCTGATCCGCTGTAACAATGTCCTGTGGATATCTGGCGTGGACGAGGATTAGATGTGATCTCTCATTGTTATTTAATTTTTCATTGTGTTTAAGTTAATAAAATAAGTTTAAAGTGGCCAGAGTGTTTATATTGTTTATCTGGAGCTGTTTCAACGCGATAATCTGTTTTATACTTGATTGTGGGTCGGGTATTGGATGGTCATGGATAATAACAGTAATTTTAGTGAAAGGCGACTTAAAAGCTGGCATTTTTGGGCAATATATGATAAACAAAGGAAAGAGTCGTCTTTTCGAGTATGTCGTCAAGGAATATTGTCATTCTTCCGCCTTCTTTAACGTCATCTTTCCAATTCAAGTCCGGTTCATCTAAGATAATATTTGCTGCTCGAGAGACTGAAAAAGAGCTTGAACTAAGGCTAAAATGTTTGGATCCGGACCCGAGGGTTCGTACGGATGCTATGAACGAGTTGGAAGCAATGTGTGCAGATGGAAGGATGATATCGGTCGAGAGTTATCCACTAATAGCAGAGTTGAGCACAAATTCAGCAAAAAGTGTCCGTTTAAGTGCACTACGATTGGTTTTGATACTCGCTGAACGTTACCCTGAATAGTAGGTTTATTTTTCTTTGTTTTTTGCTGTTTAGATTGGGAAAGCATATGTAATTTGACTAGAAATACGAATATTTTGATGGAAGAAAGGCTGTTATAGTACAATATCTTCTTTTTATCATAACTTTTGTTCAAAGGTGGATTGAGGCTTGGTGTTTTTTGAGATCGTAGATTGTTTAATGTAATAACTAACTCAACAACATAAATGATGAAAGCGGCTATAATTTTACAGTGACAGCGATCTTAATTTACCATACCTAACATATCAGCTAACATAACATACTTTTCAGCCAAGTTCGAAATGAAAAAGGCTTCAATATCCGCCTGCATGATGATGCTTTTGTCCAAGTATGTCACGCTGTAAATGACATCGAAACTGACGTTCGTGCTGAAGCAGCACGACTTCTGGGCGAGTTTTCGTGTGTTTCCGACAGCTTCCTGGATCAAACCCTAGACAAGAAGGTGATGAAAACAATGCAATATGCCTATGACGACAAAAATAAGATGAACACGACAAAGTTTCGACCGTCAAGTGGTTGGTCGGTAGGGAAAAAGCTGGGTGAAGATGTGCCAATTGAGATTGATGGTGAGGAGAAGGATGCCATGATACCTATGGGAGCTTGTGGAGCTTTTGTGTCCGGATTGGAGGATGAATTCATGTGTAAGTTTAGAGGGAGTTATTGGGAATGTCATAAAATGGCAAGAACTTTGTTTACAGGCAGAAAAATGGCAACAAAATTTTTTAAAAAAACACAAAACGGCAAGAACTTTCTTTACAAAACAAAAGATGGCAAGAACTTTCTTTAAAAAACAAAAAAGGGCAAGAACTTTGTTTACAAGCTAAAAAAGGGCAAAAAATTTCAAATTTGATTTAAAATTTGTATTTCAAGTAACATACATATGTTATTGTAGGTGTTCGTCAAGCCGCGGTCTTCTCTCTGGGCCGTTTGGCCGCCAGTCGATCGGATTTCGCGCGCCAATCAATCGACCACTTGGCTGACATGTTCAACGACGAAATGCAACAAATCCGCCTCGACGCCATCAAAGCCATGACACCGCTGATCGTGCACGGCACGTTGGACAAGGAACAATTGAACACGATTCTGAGTGTGCTGTCCGATGCCATTCCTGACAACCGACTGGCGTTGCATTCGCTTCTGGGCATGGCGAATTTCGCCGAGTTTTCCTGTGTTTTGCAAGTATTGAAGGCGCTGCAGGACTCGATGAGAAGGTACCCGAGGGATCGAAATAGCATTTTTAGGTAAGAAAGTTGGGATTTTTGAAAAATTTTATTGAAATTTAAAAATTTTTGAAATTTTGAAATTTTTTAAAATCAAAATTTTTGTTTGAAATTCAAAATTTTTTCAAATTTTAGATGTTTGAGTCAAATTGGACGCCGACATGCCATTTTGGTACAACCGTTGGTGCCAGATCTACTAAACTTACATCCGATATTCGATGCTCACGAACAGGATGTCAACGATGACTTTTGTAGGTTGATAATAAAAAAAATTGGAAGAAACTTTGTTTACAAAATGAAAAATGGCAAGAACTTTCTTTAAAGAGCATAAAATGGAAATAAACTTTCTTTACAATGCGTAAAATGGCAAGAACTTTCCTTACCAAACGAAAAATGGCAGGAACTTTCTTTACAAGGCTTAAAATGGCAAGAACTTTCTTTACAGAGCATAAAACGGCAAAAACTTTCTTTACAAGACAATAAATATTAGTTTTTTTAAAATTTAGTCCTACTAATCCTCAACCTTCAGACTTATGCAACCTAATATTAACTTTGAACGCGGCCCACATCCAGCCGCAGATATGCTCCATAATACCCGAATATATAATCAAGCACTATCGTTACCTAAGGCACTCGAATCTGGACTTGATTCCACAAATCGCAACGTTCGAACGGAAACGCGACACAAAAGCCATTTTTGACACAAGTACGACGAAAAAACGCGCATGTCAGGATAGTATCATCAAACATCTCCACATGATATACTGTAGAATGTTCGAAGCCTGCGCCCACCCCCTTTTCGAAGACAAAATGCAACTTCTGAAGCTGATTTTGAGGTAAATTACGGTTAAAAATGGCAGAGTTTTGGGAGTGTTTCACGGTGCAAGGAATTAATTGGCTTGCACTGTGCAACGATTTATTTTACTTTTGCACCGTGCAACGAAGTTTGTTTTTTTTACTACATTATTTGAGCCGTATTTTAGGCAACAAATGTTGTCTTATCTTTTTGGCTGGCATTGTAAAAGAATATTGAAATGATTTTTAATGAATTTGCTTTGAAATTAAAGGCAGAGTAAAATTTTTTTAAATAACTGCACTGTGCAAACAAATTAATTTCTTGCACCGGGCAGACCAATTGAATTTTTTTGCTATTTTTAATATTTTTGGCAATTTTAGAAATACTAAATCTTTTTTTTAAAGAATATTTTTGTTAATATTATATATACTTTTGTTGACAGGTATATGAATTTATTTTTTTCGTATTTGAGAGACCTAAAAAGTGACCGACAACACTTCCGAAGACTTTTCCTGCCCACTACAGTTTTTGAAAATCGTTGGCGATTTGATTTTAAATTACAATCTGTGTGCACGAAGGCAGTACGATGAGGAAAGGGTTATGGATGTTATTGAAGAGGTCGGTTTTTAAACTTTAAAAATTTTAAGAAAATTTTGGGTTGAAATTTAAATATTTTGAAAAATTTTTGGGGTCAATATTTGTTTTTTTTTAAATTTTGTAAGTAATTTTCTCAAAAGAAAATCAATATTGGCATTTAGTTCTACAATTAATTTTTCAAAAAAATCAATATTGACACTTACTTTTTCAATCAGTTTTTAAAGAAGATCAATATTGACATTTCGCTTTCAATCAATCTTTCAGAAAAAATCAATATTGACACTTCGTCTTTGAACGACTTTTCAAAAAATCAATATTTGCATTTTGTGCCTCAATAAAATTCAAAAATCGATATTGAAATTTCGTTTTTCAGAGCCTAGCCCTAATTTCCCAGCTAAAAGTACTATTTTTGGGCGTGGACAAACGAATCAAAGCGTTTCTAACTGAAATGGAATTCCAATTACGATTGCTTCACATGTTCCGAAGGGTCGGACTGAATCAGAACGATGATTGGTCAGGGATCAATGAGTTGATCGTGAACATGATTAACAATGTTCAGACGTAAGGGATTTTAATAATGAGGAACGAATATTGTTTACTGCAAGAACTTTCATTACAAAACAAAAAATGGCAAGAACTTTCTTTACAAAACAAAAAATGTCATTTATCGTATAAATTGTCATCCGCAGGCTGCGACAGGCAAAAGTCGCTGAAATTGCATTCAACTGGTAAGAACTTTCTTTACAAAACAAAAAATAACAAGAACTTTGTTTACAAAACAAAAAATGGCAAGAACTTTGTTTACAAAACAAAAAATGGCAAGAACTTACTTTACAAAACAAAAAATGGCAAAAACTTACTTTACAAAAAAAATGGCAAAGACTTTCTTTACAAGCTATAAAATGGGAAGAACTTTTTTTACAAAACACAAAATGGCAAGAACTTTCTTTACAAAACATAAAATGGCAAAAACTTTCTTTACAGAGCTTAAAATAGCAAAAACTTTATTTAAAAAATGAAAAATGGCAAGAACTTTCTTTAAAAAACTCAAAATGACAGAAACTTTCTTTACAAAACTAAAAATGGCAAGAACTTTGTTTACAGCTCATTTTCCTCCACACTATACCTATATTACCTTACTTTTTCAGCCAAGTAACCGAGCTAGAAGTGGATCCATCACAACAAAACCAATCCATATGTTCATGGCTACACGAACTTGCTCAAACTCATCACGACACTGCACGATCGACGTCGAAATCGCTGAAGAAGATGGCTCTAATGCCATTGTTATCAGCCTCGACGTCGAAGGCGTTGGACGAAATCTCCAAAAATCTAGTTGGACTACCCAAAATGAGCTTCGACCTCGGCCGGCTGAAGCGAAAATCATGCACGAATCTGGAGTTTTGGCACGCTGGCACATGGCTGAACAGTGAAAGTGGCACGTTGAGATTCGTGGCCGGAATACCAGCTGGACTGGATGTCTACTCGACGGTCTTCAATATTGATGATGAGGATAAGAAGAACTTTAGGGTTGAGGTAAGGAGATTTGGTGGGCATGGAAAAGGGTAGGATAGGGTAGGGTAGGGTAGGGTAGAGTAGAGCAGGGTAGGGTAGGGTAGGGTAGGGTAGGGTAGGGTAGGGTAGGATAGGGTAGAGTAGGCAGGGTAGGGTAGGGTAGAGTAGAGTAGGGTAGGGTAGGGTAGAGTAGGGTAGGGTAGGGTAGGGTAGGGTAGGGTAGGGTAGGGTAGGGTAGGGTAGGGTAGGGTAGGGTAGGGTAGGGTAGGGTAGGGTAGAGTAGGGTAGGGTAGGGTAAGGTAGAGTAGAGCAGGGTAGGCAGGGTAGGGTAGAGTAGGGTAGGCAGGGTAGGGTAGGGTACACTAGTCTAATAATGGAATAATATTGGTAGGATACTGTATTTTCTTTCTTTAACCAATTTTCCCATTTCCAGGTCAGATACCCGGACAAACGTCGATATTATCATAAGCCAAAGCCATCCGACTTCATCGAAGTAGCGGACAGAGAATTCCGTTTCCAAAGCACGGTCTTCATAATATCCGACGAGGCGTGGGCCGTCCAGTCCGACATTCGGCTAGCATGTGGAATATTATTGGATTCGGAAATGACCGGCTTCGCTTCGGATTCAGAAGACCACAAGGCCTTCGTACCACTCATGAACTACAAACAATCGTCGAAGGAGCAGTACGCCGAGCTGCGGATCTTCCCCATGACAAGATGTTGAACATGTTATCAAGAGTTTTGTAGTTATAGCACTGTGCAAATACTGTACTACGAGTTTTTGGTTTTGAGCTTGAAATTTAAAATTTTTTAAAATTTAAAGTTTTTTCTAAAAAACCGTTAAAATTACTGTTTTTGTTATCTAGATAGTTCCCAAATTACTATTACAATGTACAAAATACACTTTTTTATTTATTTTGCACGGTGCAGTGATTTTTTAAATTTGTGTTTTTAATTTATTTTTAAAGCAAATGGATTAAAAATTGTTTCTATAGCCCAATACTAAGACAGACTAAAGGTTGAAACAACATTTGTTACCTAAAATACGCTCCAAATTTTGTTGGGAAAAAAATAAAATTGGTTGCACAGTGCAAAGAAATTAAATCATTGCACGGTGCAAGGCAAACAAAACATGGCTAGAACTTTCTTTACAAAATGAAAAATGGCAAGAACTTTCTTTACAAAACAAAAAATGGCAAGAACTTTCTTTACAAAACAAAAAATGGCTAGAACTTTTTTTCCATAACATACAATGGCAAGAACTTTCTTTACAAGCTATAAAACGGCAAGGATTTTCTTTCCAAAACCTAAAACTTTTATAAATTTCAAAATTTTTCAAAAAACAATTTTTTTGTGTGACTTTTTGAACTGTAAATCCGATATCCCAACTCCCTCAACAACATTATGTTAGCTTTAAAGTCTCTCAATAGCAACATGTTGGCCTCGAAAATTTGCATAAGGCTTTGGAGCTTAAGTGCGCTTGCTTTTCGCCTCAATATTTGAATATTTGCCAGCGGCTTTTAATTCGCTTTGTCTCAAAACAGAGGGTAGGTTAGGAATGATTCAAGACAAAGAAGTGGGAAAACAGTGTGGGCTTTGGAGAGGCGGCTGAGAAGTAAAGAATACTTGGGGGGGAAACTTATTTTAGAGTAGGGTAGGAAGAGTTAGAGTATGCTAGAGTAGGCTTGGGCAAGGCAGAGCAGGGTATATTATGGTAGGGTAGGGTAAGCTGGTTCGACTGGGCAGGGCAGGGGAATTCACGGGTACGGCAAGACAAAGCAAGAGAGGACAAGGCAAGACTAGGGCAGGACAGGGCATGGCTGAGCAACACGGGCCAAAGCTGAGCAGAGCAAAGAAGCACATAGGTAGGGCAACGATAAAACAAGGCTAGGGCATGGTACGTCAAGGAAAGGTAATGCGGAGCAAGGCTATTACAAGCAAGGCAAAGGCAAAACAGGAAAACACAGGGCAGGCAGGGCATGGCCAAGACATGACAAGTCAAGGAAAGGCATTGTTTGGGCACGACAGGGCAAAAATAGGTCAAGAAGAGGGCAAGGCAAGACTAGGGTAAGGCAAGGCAAGGGTAAAAGCAAGAACAAGGGCATGACAAGGCAAGGTTAGGGCATGAAAAGGCAACGGAAAGGCACGACAAGTTAGGACATGGCTAGATAGGGTAAGGCAGAGCAGGATAGCGTACGGTAGGGAACGGTGGGGTATTCTATTCTATGGTACGATAAGGCTGGGCAGGGTAAAGAAAAGAAACGCTGATGAGAAAGAAGACTAAACTAGAGAGAATGAAATTTTAAGAAACCTTAGGCAATGAAAAAGATAATATAAAGATAGAGGAAGTTAGAGAAAAGAGGGAAAAGGGTTGGCGGTAAGCCAAGTCGGCTTTACGGCCTAGCACTTCAAGACCGGTCGCGCGAAACGAAGAGCAAATATGCAAATTTTTGGAGAATTTTGGGAATTTTCGCTTTGGCATACTATTATATATATTTACTTGGCGCACCGATTAATTTTAGCTTAAGAACGCAGGGGAAGGTAGTAATTAGATGGTGAGATACGGTATAAAGTAGAGTGAGAGGTACGGTAGTAAATAGAAGGACAACGGTAGGGAAAGGAAGGGTAGGGTAAGACAAGGAAATGAAGGGTAATGTATGGTAGGGCAGGGCTGGCTAAGGCAAAGCAAGACCCGTGGCTATGGCAGGGAAAGGCAAGACACGGGTAGGATGAGGCGAGGTATGATAGAGTAGGGTAGATGATAGAAGAGCTAGGCAAGGTAAGGCAAGATGAGATAGGGTGGGGTAGGGTAGGGTAGGGTAGGGTAGGGTAGGGTAGAGTAGGGTAGGGTAAGATAGGGCAGGGTAAGGTAGGGCATTGTAGGGCACGGTAGGACGTGTAAAGTGGGTTTTTTAGTCTTTTCGTATAACATGTCTTTTGCAGCCTGCAGTGTGTTGTTCTGTTTTAACAGTTCAAAAACTATCTCTTGTTTTGCCTCTGTAAAGAAAGTTTTTGTAGTTTTTATTTTTTTACTATTTTTAACATATTTATGTGTTCGTTTTGACCATAGTAAAAACAAGAAATCAACCCTCCCCTCCAAACCCAATCCAATAGGGCGAAAAACATTATTTACAGCGGCGCCATGTGCGCCCACCCATCAATCAGTCCGAGGGCAAAACAAAAACGAAATAAAGGAGAATTAATCGCGGAAGAGGGAATAAGATTCCAAATTTGCATAAAACGTCATTAGCTTGATTATATTGGGATTGCATGAGGAGGGGGTGGTAGAAGAAGGATGGGAGGGGAAGGGAGTCAGGGGGGATCAAGAGGGGAAGTCGTGTGTTGGAAAGAGGGACGGGGGAGTGGTAAGAGAGGGGAGGGGGAGTAGGATCAGAAATTTTCTTTACAAGACACAAAATATCAAGAACTTTCTTTACAGAGCAAAAAATGGCAAGAACTTTCTTTACAAAACAAAAAATGGCGAGAACTTTGTTTACAATTTAATTTATACAGTATAACTGATATTGTAAATATGAGGGGACCTATTCGCCCGCAACGAATATTTTTCCCCGCCTCCTCCACTCGGATACCCATACCCACTCAATTCGATAGTTAAAAGCCGTGAAGGTTATTGTGGGCTAATTATATGGCATTAATGCACTTTCGGGGGTACCATTATATTAACAGGGTCCATTTACAGCGGAACTCTTTTTATTTTACCTCGGCGGAAACAAAGTTTTATAGTGCCGCAGGGTAATAAAAATAAAAAATATGGCAGGGGGAGGAAAATGAAACTTATTGAATTTTTTATCTTTGTAAAGAAAGTTTTTGCCATTTTTTGTTTTGTAAAGAAAGTTCTTGCCATTTTTTGTTTTGTAAAGAAAGTTTTTGCTATTTTTCTTTTCTATAACAAAAGTTTTGTTTAAATATAGACTCCATCGTATAACATGTCTTGCGCAGCCTGCAAGGCATTTTACGCTTGAAATGAGGCTTTGTAAAGAAACATTTTGCCATATTGACTTTTGGAAAGAAAGTTCTTGCTATATTATGTTCAGTAAACTAAGTTCTTGCCATTTTTTGTTTTGTAAAAAAAGTTTTTGCCATTTTTTGTTTTCTAAATAAATTTTTGCCATTTTTTGTTTTGTAAACAAAGTTCTTGCCATTTTGTGCTCTGTAAACTAAGTTTGCCATTTTAAAATAAAAAACCAAAAAAATTTTTTTTGATTTTAAAATTTTTAAATATTTTTTGTTTTATGCCAAAATTTTCGAAAAAATGCCCGTTTTATGCCATAATTTGGTGGCCGGAATGACCTCGACACAACCGGTCGATCCGGGCTTTTTATTATTCGCTCGCTGCCTTTTCTTGGCCCTTCATTTGCCAAATGAACAGGCTGTTTTGTTTATTACCTCTTCAGTTTCTGCCGTTGTGGAGGGCCAAAAAACAGGGTTTTGAGGGGTTTTTGGGCCTTAAATTGGGCTAAAATTTTTAAAAAATTAAAATTTTTAAATTTTATTTACTAGAGTAGGGCTTGGGCTACTGACATATAAATAGATAGGGCTGGAGATAAGGCTAAGGTTGGGGATAGGGCTAGGATTGGGGCTAGGGCTGGCGACATAGATTGGACGGGAGATGGAGCTAGAGTTGGGCTTGGGTTGGAGATATAGCTATAGCTAAAGATAAGGCTAGGGTTAGAGACATATATAAGGCTGAAGGTAAGGCTAGCTAAGGTTGGGACTAGGGTTAGACACAAAAATATGGCGGAAGATAGTGCTATAGTTGGGACTAGGACTTTAGACATACATAGGGCTGGCGATAGGAATAGGGCTAGGACTTGGGTTGGAGATATCGATAGGGTTAAAGGTAGGGCTTGGATTGGCGATATAGATAGGTCTGAAGATAGGGCTAAGGCTATTTTTTTAAATTTTTTGGTTTAAAATAACCTTGTCGTTAATTTTTTAGGTTGTTCAAATAATTATGTGCTTTCCCTCGTGTTTAATTTTTTGAGGGTAAAAGGGGCGCAGGATTATTTGAAAAACCGCCATTTTATTTTTTGTAATGAAAGTTCTTGCTAATTTTTGTATTGTAAAGAAAGTTTTTGCCATTTTTCGTTTTGTAAAGAAAGCTCTTGCAATTTTTTGTTTTGTAAACAAAGTCCTTGCTGTTTTATCTTTTGTAAATAAAGTTCTTGCCATTTTATGTGATGTAAAGAAAGTTTTTGCCATTTTTGTTTTGAAAACAAAGTTTTTGCAATTAGAATTTTTTTTCAAAAAAAAATGTTTGAAATTTTATTTTGAAAAATTCAAATTTCTCCTCTGCACCCTCTTTAAATCCCCTGATATTTTGCTTTTAATTGTGGTCCCACGCTAGCGAAAATCGATATGGTATGTTGTTTATTGTTCGCAGTCATATGACATTTTATGTGTTTGTTTGCGAGCTGGCTAGTGCTTTTTCGTTTCGAATTCGCTTTTATTTCCAAAATGTTTTCCTCCTACAGCCGGTGTTGTTGGTAAACAAGTGGAAGAGATAGTAGAGAAAAGTTTAGGTATTTTTGATATTCATTTCTACATTAGTCGTATTTTACATTACATAGCTTTTTCTTGGTACTGTAATAGATTTGTATGATATGGTATAGATAGGGAATGGCGTGGACTCGGGCTGGTCTGGGGCTAGGACTAGGACTCTGAGCTGCGAATAGCGCTAGGGCTCGGGGTAGTACTACGGCTAGGCAAATTGAGCGGCTAGTCTAAATGATTGTAAGGGCTTGGAATGGCTATAAATGGCAGAGCCATAAGCAAGTGAAGCTAGCCAGAAATTGGGTTAACAGATAGGCTTATGTTAGCCAGGACTTAGGTTGAAACACAGGCCTAAGATAGCTAGAAACTAGGTGGAAAGTTTGGCTTAGGCTAGCCAAGATTAATACTGAAAAATAGGCTTAGGCAAATTGTAGTTAAGGGTGAAATGTAGGTTTAGGCTAGCCAGAAATTAAGCTAAAATGGCAGGGTTAAGACTAAGGATAGGGCTAGGCCTGAACTAAGGCTCTGGGCTAGGGCTCTGGACTAGGGCTGTGGGCTAGGGCTCTGGGCTAGGGCTAGGGCTCTGGGCTAGGGCTCTGGGCTAGGGCTCTGAACTGGGGCTAGAGCTGTTTATTAATTTTATATTATTACTTTGCCTACTATAATATAATTTTCTTATTGTATCATTGTGCTTACACTCTCAAACTAGACTGACGACCAGAATTAAATTTTTTTTTCAGAATACCTCACCTACCCTAACACTGCCATCTACCACCTCAGACCAAAACCCATCGTTTGGTACCATCAAAAATGACCTTCACGGACTACTTTGAAGACCTGAAGCTGGTACCTCACGCCTTTTTGTTCCTCAACCTGATCGGAGCCGCCGTGCCAAGCCGTTTCCAAAAAACTGCCCTAGTGTCATTTCATGGCATATACGCGGCTTTTCTGTTGATCAGCCCCAATTGTCTGTACGGTCCGAAGACTCAGGACCATTTGGACGCGGTCCACGTGTTCTTGGCTAGGTTTCTGGGAGCTTATCAGGTAAGATAGGGGCTTTAGATAAGTGAAATTGTTGGGTTTAAGGCTTAAAATGGCAAGAACTTTTTTTACAAAACAAAAAATAGCAATAACTTTGTTTACAGAACAGAGAGTTTTAATTTTTCGTATAACGTGTCTCCCGCAGGTTGCGAAAGGCAAAAGTCAAATCATTTTTTTTCCAAATGGCAAAAACTTTCTTTACAATACAGAAAATGGCAAGAACTTTCTTTACAAAACATGAAACGGCAAGAACTTTGTTGACAAAACAGAAAATGGCAAGAACTTTCTTTAAAAATCAAAAAATGGCAATAACTTTCTTTACAAAACAAAAAATGGCAATAATTTTTTTTACAAACCATTGAAATTACAAAAACTTTCTTTACAACCCATTAAAATTACAAAAACTTTCTTTCCAGCTCGGCTTCGCCTTCTTCCACTACCAAACCCGTCACGATATCTACCGTAACGAAGCGGCGGTCGCCCTCTCCAAGGCTATCACCTCTGGCCTAGTCTTCTTCCTGGAGCTGAAGTCGGCTCAACGGCCGAACCTGGAGCGTGGCGTCCACCTCGAATCCTACACCTTTCTGGTCGCTTTGATTTTGGTCGATTTCACTTGGTTTGTGGTCGAAACAATGAAGTACTTCAAATTGGTCTGGAATACCGTACCCACCGACGAGGTGGATATCATTTGCAAAAGAACGACCAGGGCGATTCAGGACGGTGAAAGAACGTTCTCGATTCAACATTTTTTGTGGGCTGATGCTGTCATTTCGTTCCTGTACGCTGTAGCATCGATCGGAAGCAGTGAATACTTGTACGAGAATGTGGTATGTTACAGTAGGCTTTGTAAATATAGAGCTCTATAGAGGCTGGGTAAGGTATAATAGTGTAGGTAGCGTAAATTGGGGTTAGACTAGGGTACGGTAGGGTTAGGTAGGGTAGGGTAGGGTAGAGTGAAAATGTTTTAATTTTTAAAATTAAAAAAAATTATTTTAGATCAAGCACGAGATCAAACTGGATTCCCTTCACCGTATTTTGACTCACGAGTTTGGCTATTATGCTTTGGGTTCAGGAATAACATCACTTTTGGCCGCTCAATTCTCATCGGTTCAAATCAAGCACTATGCTTGTCAGAGAGTTTTGGTAAGGAAGAAACTTTGTTTACAAAATTGAATGACAAAAAAGCTAAATTTAATTTTTTTAACGTTAAAAAGTTCAAAAAACTTCAAAAATTTTTAATTTTTTGCACGTTGCAAACTTTAATTTTGCTTGCACGGTGCAGTGATTTTTTAAAATTTTACTATAATTTTATTTTTAACAAAAAAGTTTTAAAAAATGTTTTGTTAGCTTTTTATGGGCATAGGCTAAATGTTGAGATAACGTTTGTTACCTAAAATACGGCAAAAATTTTTTAGCGCAAAAAATAAAAATGTTTGCACTGTGCAAACAATTCTATTGATTGCACGGTGCAGAAAAATAGTTTTTGAGTAAAAAATGAGTTTTGAAATTAAAAAAATTTTTTTTATTGTTTTAAAATGGCATAACATTTATTTTTTTTATTTATTTTTAATTTTAAAATTAAAAAAAATTTTTTAATTTTGAAATTTCAAAATTTTTAATAAAATTTTAATTTCAGACCCAATTCCTGATCGTAGCCATCCACGCTTCGGGCTATTTCCACTTTTACTACCACGCCGTGTTCTCGCCGCTGATCGTCGCGTTGGTTGCGATCGTTCCCATCGCCGTCGCCAGCGACAAGATTAAACGTCAGGACCAGGGGATCGGCGACGCAAATGGTACAATTAAAGAGTATTCGTTTCGAAAAACTGTCAAAACCAACTGAATCAGGTTGGTAATGTCAACGGATTTTCGTGTTTTTAGTTTAAATTGTCATTTTTTGTATTGTAGGCAGGGCGGGGTAAAACGGTTGAGTTGGGTGGGATAAAGAGTAGGATTGAGGGAGTAAGAGGTTGAATTGGGCGGGTTATGGGGCATGATTGGCAGCGGTAAAGGGTCGAGTTGTGCGAAATGAGAAGTCAAGTTGGGGGGGGGGGGGGGGGAGAGGGAAACGTTGAATTAAGCAGGGTTTGAGGACGAATTGGGCGTGGTAAAATTTTATATTGAGCGGGGTAGAATAGCGGATTGGGCCAGGTAAATGGTAGAATTTGGCGTGCTAAAAGGTAGACCTAGCCTTAGATTTTGCTCTAGTTTTAACGCTAGCCCTATCTCAGAGCTCTAGCCCAAAGCCCTAGCCCAGAGCCTTAGCCCAGAGCCCTAGCCCAGAGCCCTAGTCTAGAGCCGTAGCCTAGAGCCGTAGCCCAGAGCCCTAGCCCAGAGCCCTAGCCCAGAGTCCGAGCCCAGAGTCCTAGCCCACAGCCCTAGCCCAGAGCCTTAGCGCTAGTTCTAGCTTTAATCCTAGCCCTAGCTTTAGCCCCAGCCTAGAAATGACGTAATGTTAAGCTTATTTGAAACCTGTTATCACCTAAATTTTTAGAAACCCCTTCCCTCTCCCCCTCCGAAGCTCTGTGTGACGTTGAATTGAGTCGTTTGGAAGAAGTGATAGATGATCAACTAGATGAACAAGTTCATGAAATACCCGATGGAGATGTCCTGGCTGTACAAAAAGTTGAATTGACTGTTAGTCAGCCAATTAAGAAAAAGTCTGGCAATAAAATGTTCTTTCAGAAGGGTAAAAAGTCAAAAAAACATTGAATTTTGGGAGTTTTTTAATTTTTTTGAAATTTTTGAAATTTTTAAACTTTTTGAAATTATGAAAACTGTTAACTTTTTAAAATTTTCAAAGCATTAAAAATGCATTTTTTACCTTTACTGGCTATTTTATTGCCTTTTTTGAAGTTCTTTGTCACCTTTTTGAAATTATTTATTATCTTCTTTATGTTTTTTGTCATCTTCCGGATGTTCTTCATGATCTTCTTGGTGTTCTTTGTCATCTTTTTGAAGTTTTGTATCAACTTTTTTATGTTCTTCATCATCTTTTTGATATTCTTTATTATCTTCTTGATGTTCTCAGTCTTTTTTCGATGTTTTTAATCTTCTGTCAATGGTTTTCATTGTCTTTTTGATGTTATTAATCTTTTTTTTGATGTTATTCATCTTCTTTTTGATGTTATTGATCTTCTTTTTGATGTTCTTTATCATCGTTTTGATCTTTTTTGTCTGTTTTTTGGTCTTTTTCAGCATCTCCTTCTTCATTCATTTCTTCTTCTATTTCTTTCATTTCTTATCGCTATTTTAAAAATTATCTTTCTTTAAAACAAATTAACCTTACTCACATTTACCTTGTCTTATATACAATAACACTACCCATATTACCCTCATTTGATCTTTGATACCAGCTTTAATCTGTACATAACTTTTAAAAAATTTTTTTCAATTTTTTAAAAATTTAAAAATTTTTTAATTTTATTTAATTTTAACTTTTTATTTTGTAATATTTTCGTCTGTAAACAAAGTTTTTGCATGTATTTTGTAAGCTTTTCCATTTTTACCGCAGCTGGTCTACTCTAGCTATAGTGAATTTTAGGTAACAATCTTTTTAAAATCGGCATTTTACCCTACCCTACCCTACACCCCTACCCTACATTACCCTACCCTACCCTACCCTACTTTACCCTACCTTACTCTGCTTTACCTTATCCCACCTTCTTTGAACTTTATCAGAAAATCTTTGTATACCTAAAGTTTACTGTAGTAAAACAAACAACCAAGTGTAATCTCATGAAAGCATTGGAACTAAAAACCTCATGATTAGTATAATAATCTTACCATTATAGTGCCGTTTAGTATCTTTTATAGTATTTTTTTAGGTCTTAGACATTAATGATTACTGTACTTCTTATTTTTTTTAAAATTGTTTTGTATGTTACTATAAATGACATTTTTTCAATAAACTTTTTCTGTACAAACTTATAAACTTTCTGAAAAATTAAATTTTGGAGCTTATATATAACAGATTATATGTTAAGGAAGTTCATTATGGGAAAGAACGACCACCTAGACCTGAAAAGGACCTACTAGCCCTGCCAGAACAAACTGTACTATGGCAATCTTATACCATATATGGCAAGAAAACCTCTAAAGAATAGCAACATTGGTGTTATTATATATCAACGGGAGAAAGGAGATGAGACTAAAATAGGATAAGACTGAGACGAAACTAGCATAGGACATACATTTGGCTAGGAATAGAGCTAGGGCTTTGTACTAAGGCCCTGAGCTAGGGCTCTGCGCTAGGGCTCTGGGCTAGGGCTCTGGGCTAGGGCTCTGGGCTAGGGCTCTGGGCTAGGGCTCTGGGCTAAGACCTTAAACTAGGATTCGGTATTAAAGAGTGAGTTGACATGAGAAACGGAACGGGTCGTGCCAGGAATGAGCAAACTTTTGATCGAGTCGAGCCTAAAAATTGGGCTTAGCCCGGCCCGTTTTTCATGTCCAAAAACGAGACTTAACGGTATGATTTGAGCATCATCTAGGGCTATGACTACAGACCAAATATAGGATTAGGGCTAAGGCAAAGCCTAAAAAAATGGTTTTTTAAACGATGTACAATATGATTCATCGTATCAAATATTGTTTTATGACAAATATTTTTATTTTTCATTTAAAATTTTAAAAATGAAAAAAAATTTTAATCATAAATGTTTTGACTTTAGAAACAAATGATTTTTCGCATAATAATTGAAGTTTTGATTCATTTTTCAATATTTTATGCTTATTCACAGTCAAGAAGGAACGTTTTTAAGCCTTATAAATAAGCAATATCTTTATGATACAACTTATATTGTAATTGATAAGCTGTGAAGTAAAGCTTACAGCTTATATTTTAGTAGACTGCTACTGTTAAAACTTCTGCTCTATTCTACTGTAACTCTCAAAAGAATTCTACAGTAAGATGTTGGTCAAATTTATGGTTTTAGCCATTTTCCTGGCTTCTGTTGAAGGTAAGATTACTGTATAATATTTTAAACTATATGTAGGATAGCCCTAGGTTTTTGTTTTAATAGGGTAGAGTAGTGTACGGTAAGGTAGGATAGAGTAAGGTATACTGTAATTCAAAAAGTTATGAAATTCTATATATTTTAGCTACTAGACCAAACCATTCGTGCTTCAATCGAGTAAGCCAAACCTGGACTGACTGTGATTCATGGAATGATGAGCCTGCTCCAACAACGACAGGTAGGGTAGGGTAAGGTAGGATAGGGTAGGGTAGGGTAGGGTAGGGTAGGGTAGGGTAGAAACTCTATTCTTTTATCCAGTTCAAATAAGAATGAGCTTAAAAGCCCATCTTTAAAAATTTTGGCTCATTCATTTTTGGACAGTTTGATATTTTAGCTCAGCCTATCCCCTTATGTTGGAATGAACTTCGTGATAACTGGGTCGACTGTGATTTCTGGGACAAAGAGCCTACTACAACATCGACAAGTGCCCCAATCTTTGCTTCGGCCAGAACGACTAAACAAATCTTTGTCGATGATTGTGGCAGATCTGTGTTTGGCAAGGACAATCCACCATGTGAGAAGAAGGCTGGTGGTGGTAAGGTTATATCGTTATAAATTGTAATGTTAAGGCTAGGGCTAGGTTTATAGCTCAGTAATTTACTGAATATAAACCTTTACTTTACTGTAAAATATGTTTTAAATTTAGAAAACAACTTGAAATCTCCTCAAGCAAAAGCTGATCAATCAAAAACTCTTGATCTAGTCAATGACGATGAATTTGTCTACGACGATGCTGCTTCTGCAACCCATTACGGCGCGCTGATTGGCTTGGGATTGGCTGCTTTTATTTTCAATTTGTAAAATTTTAAAATAAATTTTTGAATGGCAATGGTTGTCTATATTAGTAGAAGTATAAACGAAGGAGGCGGACTAGGGTAGGGGTGAGAAACGAGCCGTGTAAGCCCGAGTTGGACCCCGCTCCATTCGATACCTGTAAGACCAGCTGATTGATCCAAATCCCGACCCAGCCTTAAGCTAAATCTAGGTCAAGCCGGGCTTGAAAAATAAGGCCCGGCCAAAAAATCTTGGCTCGTTTGCTAAAAAAATAATTTGGACATAGCCCGCCTGAGGTAAAAATGAAAAGTAAGCTCGTCTCTAGAAATGAGAAACGACGGGCCAAGCCAAAGAAAAATTTTGGTCGGGCGGGCTTTGAAATCCCGAAAAAGCTAAAAAAAAAAGCTCGGCCTAGCCCGAAAAGTCCAGTCGGTCCGTTCGCTTTACCTACTCGCCCCGTTTCTCACCCTCTAAAAGAAGAGAGAAGGGCAGGGTAAAAAGTGTTAAATTAACAATAAAAGTGCCCAACCTGCCTCACCCTGATTGACTTCAAACTTTTTATATAGACAGGTCATGTAAATACAAGGTCTTCGGCAAAGTACTAAATTGCATTTTCCAGGAAATCTCAAGAAAATCAAAATTAAAAAATTACGTTTTGAAGTTCCCGCCAACTTGGCATTGTGTTTCAAGCTAATAACTTTGTCATTTATTAACTTTTAATAATTTTTCTTTGAAATTCTAGTAGAAAACCTTTAAATAAACCTACATTTTTAAATTTGTAAGCGTAGTTTGTCTGGAAAGCCAAAAAAAGTGCTTGAAACAGAATGCCAAATTTGTCAAATTGGCGGGAAACTCAGATATTTAAAATTTAAAACTTAAAAGCGCGAGCTAAAATTTTTTATGGGTACTATTGGTGGTACAAGGAATTCATATAAAAAGTTTGAGCTGATTTTGAGCGGGGCAGGTAGAGTACTTTCTTTTTAAGCCATTTATTTTTATTATTAGGTGCCGACATAAAGAACCCGCCATACTTTGCCTGTAATTTCCTGTAAAAAATGGCGGGTTCTTTATGTCAGCATCTAATAAAAAACTCCAAGATTAACGTTAAAATTGATTAGAAAGCCTAAAAAATAGAAAAAAAATTTAAACATAAGCAAAAAAAAATTTTACAATTAAAAATGTTTAAAAAATGAAAAATATGCACTTTGTATTGTAATAAATTATAAAAACGTCATTTTTACGGCTTAAAAACCGCATTTTAAAATTTAAAATCAAGTTTTAAATCCCCAATCCCCAAAATATCAATTACAATTTGAATTCACCCCTTTTAAAGCATCACACATAAGCGAGACACTTTAAAAGCGCTAGAATAAAAAAGAAAGCGTGATCAGGGGGAAGATAAAGTTGAACAAGGTGAAGCTGTTGGTTCCGAAACTGGCCGACGGCTCTACTGTTGTAATGTTGACCAAAAGTTCTTCAGAGCTCTTCTCACCTTCGCCAGAAATTGGGACACGAAAGGTAGTGGGGGCTTGGGTGGGTGGGGCTGGAGTGGTGGGGCGTGGAGTCATGGTGCGCGTGCGGTTTTCTTGGGCGGATTCTGAAAGATGATGTTGGGTAAGATAATGTGAGGCATAGTGTTATAGAAGATAACGTTATCTGTTAGGGTAGTGTAGAAGTTGAAGGTAGGGTAAGTTAAGGGAAGAGTTAGACTTGAGGGTAGGGTAGGATTTAAGAATAGAGTTAGACTTGAGGGAAGGGTAGGATTTAAAAGTAGGGTAGAACCTAAGGGGATAGTAGGATACAAGAGTTGGGTTAATCTTGAGAATAGGAGTAGACTTGAAGGCAGGGTAAAATTTATAAGTAGGGTAGGGTTTAAGGGTAAGGTTGGACTTAAAAGTAGAGCTGAACTTAAAGATAAAGTATAACAAGATTTGGGAGCAGGGTTGAACTTGATGATAAGGTAAGAGTCGAAGGCTGTGGTTGAACTTAAAGTTAAGTAGAGTAGCGCTTGAGGGCAGGGTAAAGTTTAAAAGCGTAATATAACTTAAGGATAGGGTTTAAAGGTTTAAGAATAGGGTTGGGTTTGGGGGTAGAGTAAGTCTTAAGGACAGGAGCAAATTTGAAGGTAGGGTTGAAGTAAAGAATATGGTAGAACTTGAGGGTACGGTAAGATTTAATGATGGGATTGGACTTGATGGTAGGGTTAAACTTAAAGGTAGGATAGCACTAGAGGGCAGGGCAAATTTTAAAGGTAGAGTAGAACTTGAGGGTAGATATAAAAACAGGGTTGATTTTAAGGGTAAGGTAAAATTTGAAGGCAGGGAGGCTTTAAAAGTAAAACTGGCCTTGAGGGTAGGGTTGGACTTAAAGATCAGATAGAACTTGAAGGAAGGATAAAACTTCAAAGTAGATTAAGAGTTAAAAGTAGGCGTAGACTTGAGGGTAACATTGAATTTCAAGGCAAAGCAAGTTTTAGCATACCCTTAATTAGGATTTAAGGGTATGCTAAAACTTGAGGGTAGGGCAAAACTTTAGGGTGGATAAAAAGTAAAAGTAGGGTAAAACAGTCGGGTAGGGTTTAAACGTAGGGTAGAGATCAAAGATAAGGTAGGATCTGAGCGTAAGGTAGATAACACACTTAGGCAGACCTATCTATTGGTATAAACTCACCCAAAGCAGCATTGCATTCATTTTCACTGCACGAGTAAATGTTTAGCTCTTTAGTTACTCCACGGTCTTCGATTATAATTGGGCTTGGGGGCTGAAAAGTAATATAATATTTTACTGTGGTATCTACAATTACTGTAATTTTTATTTTAAGAGATGACCAACCATACTATACACAATATCTAAAGTACCAGATGTAAACATTTAAGGTACCACCATCAAAATCCTTTTAAAACATTAGAAATTATTATCAACCTACAGCAGTCTCATCATAACATCCAGTAGCGATAGCAGTGTAGTTGGTCTCAGTATTGAACAACGTGGCATACGCACATTGGCCATAACAACTGATAAACTTCAGGTTTGTCGCATTCTCCTTGCCACATTCTTCATTTGAATTTTCTTTGTAGTAATACGAGTCGTAGCTCATGAAGCGGTACAAGTTGGCTACATCAATATCGTCTTCACCTTTGTGACAGTACACACAAGATACTGTAAGTGCTGACTTTTACTGCTAAGGCTAAGGCTCTAGGCTAGGGCTTGTAGCTAGGACTCTGGGCTACGGCTCTGGGCTAGGGCTCTGGTTTAGGGCTCTGGGCTAGGGCTCTGGGCTAGGGCTCTGGGCTAGGGCTCGGGACTAGGACTCTGGGCTAGGGCTCTGGGCTAGAGCTCTGGCATAGGGCTCTGGGCTAAGACTCTGGGCTAGGGCTCTGAGCTAGGAGTAGGTAACAAACTTACATTGAGCATCAGCTACAGTAAGACCCAAAAACAATAATCCAACCACCAGTATCATTATCACCATAGCTCGATTTTTAAATTTACAGAAGTCAAAACGATAGAAGTAGTTGAACTACAGTTTGAATTCAACTTTTAATCAAAATAAAGCTTCTCTTTCGAGATTCAGCCTACGGATATGGAACAGCTGGTCAAACAAAACCATTACGCAACGAGTATCTGTTTTTCAAATTTTAGATTTCGATTACAATAACATGTTCGTATGACTCACAAAATTTACAGCCAGATTATCTAAAAAAGTTTTGTCGCTTTTTCTTACATTTGTAATAGTCTTGTCGTCGATTCTTATGTGTTTACATGTAGTAAAACGACAAAACTTAAGTGACTTTCTAATGTTACGCTTTTAAAAAATCTTGTCGTTTTCTCTTATGAATGTTCACGTGAAAAAGCGACAAAACTTTTTTATCGGTAAACATTAAATACTAAATGCCCCACCCTACCCTACCTTACCTTAATCTACCATAACCTTTGCTGTTCCTTCCACCTCCCCTCTCTTCACTGACCCAGCCCATTACTTTCGTAATCTTCAACTTGATTGCACCGTGCAATGGCAATAGAACTGGCTGCATCGTGCAAAACACTATAAAACTGATCGTACTGTACCAAATAATTCCCAAACTTCATGTAATACATCACCTTAGGTCAAAATTTCAAGTCGATTCTGACTATTTGCATTAAAAGTAATAAAAAATATTGCTTTAGATGTTATAAATTTTTAAAACTTAAAAAATTCAAAATATAGTTCTAAACTTAAAAAAATTCAAAAATAAAAAAAACTATGAAATAAAAAGTTCAAAATAAAAAAAATCTGAATTTGAATAAATCAAAGTAAAAATCAAAAAAAAAAATTTAAAATTAAAAAAAATTCCCAAAAAATTTCAAACGAAAACAAGAAAAGACCGCCAAATCAAAATGGAAAATTCATTTCGCTGAAAGTTACCGGTAAGAATGGGTCGCAAGGTTTGGGCGGCGGTGAAAAAGAAGTTTAAGAAACTTCTACCAAAGCGTCAAGGTAAGAGTTTTTTTAGCTTATCATTAGGGTCTTAAAATTAATTTTAGACGAGAGGGCATTTTTGCAATTTTTTAAATTTAATTTTGCCGTTTTTAAAAATTTTTTAAAAATTTTTTGTAACTATGATCGTATTTTACACTATTTTTAATGTTTGGAAGTTTAGAGGAGAAAAAAAAGGATGAGAATCTTACCAATCGGAAACCGTCGTTTAATGAAGATCCAGAAGATTCGTCAAGAACGGAACCTATTGCATCAACTAAAGGGAAAAAGGTAAACATTATTTTGTAATTTGTTTTTTTAAACGTCAAAAGGAGAGCAAGGTTTTGGGCTAGGACTTTGGGCTAGGGCTCTAGACTAAGGTTCTGAGCTAGGGCTTGTAGCTAGGACTCTGGGCTAGGGCTCTAGGCTAGGGCTCTGGACTAAGGTCCTGAGCTAGGGCTTGTAGCTAGGGCTCTGGTCTGGGATTCTGGACTAGGGCTCTGGGCTAAAGCAGTGGGCTAAGGCTCTAGGCTAAGACCAGACCTAAAGCTAGTTTTAAATTGTATGAAATTTAGGAAAAGTCGTCGAAGAAGTCGAAATCCACTAGCCGGAAGAAATCAACTCATTCTGCTTCTAAATGTGAAACCACGAAGGCTCAATCCGCTATCTTTGTTGGCTCTAATGCGATACACCAGCCGGGAAAGAAGAACACTGCCAAACTTAACGTAAGTTAATATTATATTTGTAATTTTATACGTAGAATTTAGATAAAAAGTAGGTATGGTCGGGTTTGGGCCAAATCATGGTGAAATTAGGCAAGAGAAGGACTAAGATCAGGCAAGGTTAAAGGTTCAAGTAAATTAAAAGGTACAACACGAAAAAATATAGCTCAGAATTGAGAATAGAGATGATTTAGGTAGAGTAGTATATTTAATGCTCTCTTTATAAGATTTATTACAGGTGCAAACGCCTCAGGACCTTCTTCTTGACCCGTACCCAAATTTCAGCCAAAGACGCTACAATTGAACGCCAGATTGACCCGTTTAATGTTTTTTACAGATTCTGTGGCAATAAACGTGACTTGAAAAACGACGGCTAAAATGAAGACTAGGGATAAGCCTAAAGCTAGTGGTAAGATTAGAAATAGGGAGTGGGCTAGGCTAAGGCTAAGGCCTAGGTTAAGGCCTAGGCTAAGGCTAAAATCTAAGCTAAGACCTTAGCCTTAGCTAGGACTAGGGTTAGGGCTAGGGCTAGGGCTAAGGCTAGGTGTTATAACTTGTACAAAATTTCTTTTAAAACATAAAAAATTGAAATTTGAATAAATCAAAATAAAATCGAAAAAAATAAAAAGTTTAAGAAAGTTCATAAAAAATTTTAAAATTACGCAAATTTTGAACGAAAACAAACAAAGACCGCCGAATCAAAATGAAAACAATTTTGCAAATATACGGTGGCGAAATGGGTCGTCTGTGGAGATCAATCAAGAAGAAGTTCCGCAAACTGATTTCGATTCGTGGTAAGAAGTTAGGCTTATCAGTAAGGCTTTAAATTCTTTTTTAGACAGGAAAAATTTATTTTTGCTTCTCTTCAATTTTTAAAGATTTTTTGATATAATATCATCGTATTTTATCCTATTTTACTCTTTTAAATTTTAGAGGCTAAAACCGACGAAGACACCATGTCTACCAACCGTGGCTTCCCATCATTGGAAGAGGATTCGAACCGTTCGTCAAGGACAGGATCGGAATCGACGGTAGGCATTATTTTATATTTTTTTTGCTTTTAAGAATAGCTTTGGGCTAGGACTCTAAGCTAAGGCTCTGGACTAAGGTCCTGAGCTAGGGCTTGTAGCTAAGACTGTAGGCTGGGGCTTTGGCTAGGGTTCTCGGCTAAGACTCTGGGCTAAGAAATTGAGATGTTTTTGAATTTGGGTTAAGGCTCTAGGCTAAAACTTTAGGCTAGGGTCCTGGGCTACAGTTTTAGACTAAGGCCCCGAGATAAGGCTCTGGACTAAGGCCCTAAGCTAGAACTCTAAACTAGAGTTTTAGGCTCTGGGCTAGAGCTCTGTACTAGGGCTCGCTAGAGCTCTGTACTAGGGCTCTAGGCTAGGACTCTGGGTTAGGAAACTGGGCTAGAACTCTGGACTAGGGCTCTGGGCTAAAGCAGCGGGCTAAGGCTCTGGGCTAGGACTCTAGGCTAAGAATTTAAGCTATGTTTTTGAATTTGGGTTAAGGCTTTAGGCTAAAACTTTAGGCTAGGGTCCTGGGCTAGAGTTTAGACTAAGGCCCTGAGATAAGGCTCTGGATTAAATCCCTAAGCTAGAACTCTGGACTAGAGTTTTAAGCTCTGGGCTAGAGCTCTGTACTAGGGCTCTAGGCTAGGACTTAGGCTAGAGCTAGTTTTATTTTGTATGAATTTTAGATTAGATCATCGAAGAAACGGAAGTCGTCTAGTAAAAAGTCTAATAGCAGCAGTAAATCCCAGAACAGCAGCAAGAACGGTTTCAAACGTGAATATAACACAAAAGCTCAATCAACAGTTTTCGTCGGTTCAAACGTGATAAGCCAGCCGGGAACAAAAAACGAAGCGACTTTCAATGTAAGGTAGTATTATTTTTGTAATTTTATAAGTAGAGTTTAGACAAAAAGTGATTATGGTCGGGTTTGGGGCCACATCAAGATGAAATTAGGCAAGAGGAGGACTAACATAGGGCAAGGTTAAGGAATAAAGTAGGCTAAAAGGTATAACACGAGAAAAAGTAGCTTAGAATTGAGAATAGAGATGACTTAGTCAGAGTAATATATTTAAAAATATATCAAAATTACGCAAACTTTGAACGAAAACAAGCAAAGACCGCCGAATCAAAATGGAAAATTCACTTTGCTGAAATTTACCGGTAAGAATGGGCCGCAAAGTGTGGGCGGCGGTGAAGAAGAAGATCAAGAAAATGTTCCCAAAGAAGCGTCAAGGTAAGAGTTTTTTAGCTTATCATTAGGGCCTTAATATCAATTTTAAACAGGAGAGCATTTTCGCAATTTTTTAAACTTATTTTTGCCTTTTGAAATTTTAGTAAAAATTTTTTAATTTTTTTTAAACAATTTGATCGTATTTTACACTATTTTTACTGTTTGGAAGTTTAGAAGAGGCACCCAACGACGACAGCAAGACCGATCCTAAAAATAATGGGATTCCGTCGTTAAATGAGGTTCCAGAGGCTTCAAAAATTGGCCCGAATGCTCCAACTAAGGAGGAAACGGTAGGCATTATTTTGCATTTTTTTTTGTTTTTAAGCGCTAAAAAAAGGCATTGTTTTGGACTAGGGCTAAGGCTTTAGGCTAGGACCAAAGCTAGGGCTAGTTTTGAATTGTATGAAATTTAGGTAAGATCGCCGACGAGCACTTTAAAATCAACTAGGAAGAACAGCAGCAAGCTTAAGAAGAGCAAGAACGGTTCCAAGCGTGAAAATAACACGAAGGCTCAGACAGCAGTTTTTGTAGCATCAAACGTGATACACCAGCCGGGAAAAAAGAACTACGCCAAACTTAACGTAAGTTAGTATTATTTTCTTAATTTTGTAAGTAGAGTTTAGATAAAAAGTAATTATGGTCGGGTTTGGTGCCAAATCAAGGTGAAATTAGGCAAGAGGAGGACTAAGATAGGGCAAGGTTAAGGAATCAAATAGGATAAAAGGTATAACATGAAAAAAAGAGAACTTAGATTTGAGAATAGAAATGATTTAGGTAGAGTATATTTAATTCTCTTTTCATAAGATTTTTACAGGTAGAAACGCCTCAGCACCTTCTTCTCGGCCGTTACCCCCACTGAACCCCAGGAAGCAAGATTTGAACGTGAGGATGAGCAGTATAATCGTTTTGTACAGTTTTGGGGTCATTAAACTTGATTTAAAGAACGACGGCTAAAATGAAGACTAGAAATAAGATTAGAATTAGACGTGCGTTAACTAGTAGTACTAAAGCTATAGCTCGAGCTAAGAATAATTCTAGGGCTAAGCTAAGGCTAGGACTAAAGAGGATCAAGACTGGGCTAAGACCATGGCTAGGACTATGGCTAAAGCCAGAAATATCAATCTTAAGATTGGTTTTGTTATTTTCAGAACTATTAAGTTTCTCTGAACATCGCCCCCGATAATCAGCGTAATGTTTATGGTTTTCTCCAACTTTTGAGTAAAAACGGCATACAATTGAAAAAAACGCCCGTAAGTTTAAGATTGAATTGAAAGAAGAAGGTAGAGTTCAACTGCACTACGGTTGGGTATAAATAGGATGAGGTAGGAAAGGGCAGAATATGCTACCGTAGGGCAGAAAAAGGTACCGTAGGATAGACTATAGCAGGGTAAGATCGAATAGAGTTGGATAAGGTAGGAAGGGCAGGGTAAGGTAGGAAGGGTAGGTTAAGGTAGGGTGGGATGCAGTAATGTGACTTAAACTACGGTAAAGTAGGATACAGTCGAGAAGGGTAAAGTAAGGTAGCGTAGCGGGGAAGGAAAAAAAAATATAATATGATAGAGTAGGATAGGGTAATGTAGGTTAGACTAGAGTAGGGAAAGGTGAAATAAGGTTGAAAAAGATACAGAGAGTAGGGTAAGATAGGATAAAGTAGAAAGGGTAGGGTAACGTAGGATAAGGTAGGGTAGGATACAATAGGGTTTGGTACGAGGGGGAGGATGAGGGATGAGCCATCCCCGTAAATTCGGGGTCCCTCCTTCTCCCCCCTCCCCCTCCCCCCCGTTTGCGAAAATTCTAAAATATTATTGTCAATTTTTGAAATACTATTTTTTAATATAATAAGTAATTAAAACCTTGTAAAGTTGTCTAAACGTATTTAAAAACTATAAAATCAATATATTTCTAGCAAAGTCAATATAAGTCAGAAGGTGGTACTATCTGGTACTACATACCAATTATACTAATAACAAGGCTGCCAATCACATTGCAATTGCCATTTTCCTCTGCCCAAAGTAAGGTTGTTCTATTATATATTCTCGTAGATCGATCATAAGTCCCAAAAATTGGTTTTTGACCAATTCACTCCAATCTACATACTATTATTCGCTTCAACATTTTCAGTGAAACACCTCTCTTTGTGCCAAGATGGAATATATATACTAGCGTCGAAAGGAATGTATTTGTACTCCCGTTACATAAGCCAGTAATCAGAGAATCAAGGACAAGAAGGGGAGCTTCTTACGTTGTTCCCCACGCCCGAACAAGTATTAGAGCCAATTCCTTCTTTCCTCGCGCTCTTCGTCTATTTAGGGATCAAGTTTAGCTTATGCTCATCACTGTAAACTGCAATTACTAGTCTCCTTCCTACTACACTTTTATATTATTTTGATTGTATCATTACGAGTGAATACGGAAAATAAATAAAATTCTCTTGAAATAGTGTTCCAAAGAATGCCCAGTAAAATGATAGACAGCTTATGTCAACTGATCCTCTGGTATGACACTTCTGTTCAACATAAAATAATCAAAAATAAACGTCAGATTCATTCCAAAACAATTCTCCAAAGTCGTCATTGCATCCACATGACTTTCGATAAAGTGCATTATCATTGCTTTATATGTAGCAAAGTATTTGCTAAAGAAGATACGAGGCAGTATAAAGCATGAGTATTCAAGGAAGAATCTGAAAATTGAGTGTAATGTGATGTTTTAAAGAGTCTTTCTGAGACCGTGAAGCATCCTGTAACAGGCATGTGCACTAGAAATTTACCCCCTGTTTTTATTTGCTAAATCCATGAGATAGACGGTTTTAAGGTATGTGGTAAAGTGATTTCGGACAAAATGCCGTTTTGGCACTTTTATGCCATTTTTTGCTAACATACTGTTAAATTATACCAAAAAATCAATAGTCCGCCAAATGTTCTGAAAATTTGTACACTTACGTTTTTGACCATGCCAAAAAATATTGTAATTGAAAATTTTTTTCTATCGGTACCGTAACCTACCGTAATCCGACCGGTCGATTATAAAAGTGCAAATATCTAAAAAGTTAACACGGATCTTGACAGACAATTTTTGCATATTTAAAATCTCCATGAAATTTGGATCAGCATAGGCTATACACCCGTTTCTAGTCCGATGGGTTTTGGAAGTTTTTGGTCGACTGAAAAATTACGGTAGCAGACCGTGCAAATAATAATTTTTTTTTAAAAATCCAATAATGCATCAAACGTTTTAAAATTGTGGATAGTTATGTTTTTGACCATGCCAAACAATATTGCAATTGAAAATTTTTTTCTATCGTTACCGTAACCTACCGTAATCCGACCGGTTATAAAAGTGCAATTTTCTAAAAGTTTAACACGAGTGTCCTTAGTCAATTTTAGCATATTTAGAATCTACATAAAAAGTAGATATTGATAGGCTATAAGCTCATCTTTAAAACTGCCAATTTTGAGGATAATCGACCGGTCGGATTACGGTAGGTTACGGTACCGATAGAAAAAAATTTTCAATTACAATATTTTTTGGCATGGTCAAAAACGTAAGTGTACAAATTTTCAGAACATTTGGCGGACTATTGATTTTTTGGTATAATTTAACAGTATGTTAGCAAAAAGGCATAAAAGTGCCAAAACGGCATTTTGTCCGAAATCACTTTACCACATACCTTAAAACCGTCTATCCCATGGATTTAGCAAATAAAAACAGGGATTAAATTTCTAGTGCACACCTTGCTTCACGGTCTCAGAAATCGTCTTTTAAGTATCAAAAAAGCGCTTTTCAATTTAAACTACAATTTACGTCAAAATTATATCAAAGCAATTTTTTTATTTCAATAAGTTACGAATTTAACTTTTAAAACACAAAAAAGAATGTTTATTAGTAAACTACGTATTTTACCTTGAAAACTTACAATTTCAAAGTATCGTTTCGAACTTGAGTTTCTGAAGCCATTGAAGAATGCTCGACACAGTCGGCAGTCAGTAAGTTGGCCATATTATATAGATAATTAATTGCTGCATCAATTCTATACTCGGAAAACTGTAAATAACACCTTTAAGCCTTAAAAAACCAAAATAAATTGAAAACTTCATTAATTAATACCTCAAAACGACATTAAAAGCCAGTAAAACTCCGGTTTCCGCAATAAATCTTATCGATCCAGCCAAAATTTTGCAGTTAATCATTCCAAAAACAGTCAAAATATCGTTGACCAAAATATGGAATATGGCATGTCAAATTGCCAGCCAAGAACTGTGATAAAGTATACTTCAAAATATTGACAAACAAAGGTGATAACTTGTCGAATATAATAAAAAATAATGCCTTACTAGGGAATTGTACCAAATATCTTTCGGCTTTTTGAACAAGACCTATATAGGATGAAAGAGCATAAAAAGTTACCAGGAAAACTGTTTTCAAAAACTGCTAAATAGATTCGGCTAGCAAGATATTAGCGATTAAAGGATTTACATAGGGTTTTCTATTTGATCCTTCTCATTCGTCTTGAGCAAAACGAATGGATTGAAGCTTCAATCCAGTGTGGTCGAGTGGTTAACAAGTTAGTCTGGATTGCAAAAGGGGGGAAGTACGGATCCCGCCGGTTTCATTTTGGCGCCCAGCTATACAGACAAGAAGTTTTGGCTAGCCAAACAATATTTTGATTAAAAAATTATTTTTTAAGTAGTATTTTTTTGCTTTTAGACACTTTTTAGAAAAAAATAATTATCAAAAAATATCATTTTTTGAACTTTAAAGCTATAACCTTTAAACATATAAGGATATAGAGCATACTGTAATTCGCTAGCCAAGTCCATTTAGCAGTTTTGAAAACAGTTCTCCCGATAACTTTTTAGTGTTTCATCCTATATAGGTCTCTTTCAAAAAGCCGGGGGATATTTGGTGCAATTCCCTAGTTAGCTGTTGATTTTTTGCAAATAAAAATATTGCCTTAGCTGTTGGAGAGCTGTTGTAAACCTAAATAAAAAATAAAAATTTTAAAAAATAAAAAATAAAAGTTTAAAATAAAATTGCAAAATGAAAAAACCAAAATAAAACTCAAAAACCAACTGAAAATCATAAAAATATGCAAATTTCAAAAAAACATTATCCAAATAAAAACCAAAAAAAACTCATTGCTTCAAAATTTCGTCTGCGAGAGTGGTTGCAAATGTGGCGCAGATCCAAGAAGATGGCCGCCAAGCTGTTTATGTCGAGGTCGTGATGATGAGAAGGACGACACAATGAAGAACGTCCCAAGTCTTCAAACTGTAGATAAGGATTCGGTAAGTTTTCATTTTGAATGATTTCTTTGGGTTTTTAGGTTTTAATTCTCTTTCTTTCATATGATTTGTAATTTGTTCTACTTTTGGCACTTTTTTTTAAATTCAAATTAAAGTTTTTTTGCTTGGAAAAGCGCCAACTGACATTTTTCTAGTTTAAATTATATTGAATTCAATTTAGGAAGAACCGCCCGAGTCGAAGTCTACGCCGAAGTCACTTCCCACTACACCAAAATGAGATAGTCCTCAGCCTAAGGTCGATGGAGAGACTAGGATTCACAAAAGAATCAAGAACACTTATCGTGGCAGTGGCGAGTCTAAGCAGGTGATTCAACAAGGTGAAGGCATAGTAAACGTCACTAAGAAAACGGTAAGTTAGTTTTTAATAATATTACGTAGGGGTTAGCTATAAGAAGAGGAAATTAAGCTAGGGTCAAATGAAATATGTTAAAAGTGAGATAGGATAGTTTTAGGCTGAGTTGGGCAAGCTTACAGTAAGGCAAGGATGGGCTTAGTGCTGGGCAGGTTTTTTTAATGGAAAATACAGCTAAAAAACGGACAGCTTTTTTTTAATATTCGTGGCCCACTTAAAGTTATGATAATCTTATATAATTCTTTACAGACTAAAAATCGACCCAAAAAGACCACACAGTCGATACAGAAACGTGGTCCATCTACTCCCAAATCGCATCACTGACAACATCTATTCCGATTAATCTGAAGAAACCAGTCATGTAATCATATATCATCTTGAATTTGAAATCGTTGTCTGATATCTACAATGTGTTTGAAATAAATGCTAAAATAAATGCTATTATATGATATAATTAGTTATTTGAAATAGGCAGAAACTCAAAATTAAAGTAAAGACGAGAGCAAGGGCTAGACTTAGAGTTAAAGCTGAAGCCAAGGTAAGGTTTGAATGTGGGCTTACGCTAGCGCTACGGTTACAGCAAAAACCTTGGGTTAGGCTTGAACTAGAGCTAGAACTAAAGCTAGGGCTTTGAGTTAAAGTTCTGAGCTAGAACTACAGTACAACCTTAGACTAGAGTTAGGACTGAGTCTAGGGCTAGAGCTTAAGCAAAGTCTAGGCTTTTTTACTACTTTTAAGTTTAAAAAGATCATTTATTGACTAATAAAGCTGTACCGGTGGTTTTAGGTCACAAGGTGGTGCTGTCTGGTACTGGTACTTTTATAAATTTTGACGTTATTTATGACTATTTGGAATAGGTAATAATTTTTTATATGAGTTTTTGAGTATTAAGTTTAATATTTTGTTTTTTATTTAAATCCCTTTGGCGGGAACGGGAGTCGACAATCCCTCCCCCCTTCCCGTGGATTAGGCAAATTTGGCATTGTGTTTCATGAACTTTTTTTGACTTTTAGGATAAGATAGACTTACAAATTTAACAGTGCAGTTTTTACCAGTAAAAAGTGATATAATGAAGAACTTATCACTATATTGTTTGGTTATTGGTATTTGAGTTCAATTTTTATATAAGCCTACATCTAAACTTACGTCTACTTTTACCCTACTTTTTTCGATACTGTTACCCCTGCTTTTACTCATACCCTTAATCATACTTTTAACCCTACCCTCAACCATACTATGAGCCCCACCCTTAGCCCTTTTTTACCTCTACCCAATTTGAACTATGTTCTATGATGACTCAAGCACGTTGTGTTGACTCTTTGTCTCAACTTGTGCATACAAAAGTGAAACTGAACTCGGTTACATTAATCACACACACAAATAGGCCAAAGGCTGTGGCCACACCTTTTCGAAGTTCGAATTCCGCATTTGAAATTGATATTTTATAAAAGGAATGAGTCACAAAAATGCGTAGAAACCGTATTTTCAAGGTTGTTTTTAAATTACTATGTGTTATTACTTACTGAAGATATGTTTCGTTTTATTATACGACAGCTATTTTACGTCAGAGTAGGCTAGAGTCGGCTAAGACTCTTGGTTAGAGAAAATTTTGACTGGGCCGGACATGGCCCGGCCTGTTCTTCATATCTACCCTAGTCCATAGCTATAGCCCTGGGTCTTGCACTAACCTAGCCTTGTTTCTACACAAGGGCTCTAGCCTAGGGATTAGACTAGAGCCGATTTAATTTAGCAAGCTTCAAATTAGTAGGATTATGTTTAGAAGGCTTGGGTTTAGTAAACTTAGACCGAGTGGACTTATTTTCGGCTTAGGATTTGTAGGCTTAGGCTTAAAAGGCTTATTTTAGCAGGCTTGGGTTTGGTATATATAGGCTTAATAGTCTTAAGCTTAGGGTTAGTAGGCAGAGCGTTAGCAGGTTTAGGTTTTATAAGCTTAGACAGCAGACTTTGGCTGAGTACCCTTAGGCTTAGTAGGATTATGCTCTTTAGGCTTAGCCTAAGCAGCCTTAACCTTCGTAGGTTTAGGCTTAATAGGCTTCGTATGTTTAAGCTTTGTATGCTTAGACTTAGTGGGCTTACATTTAGCTGGATTTGGAAGTTTAAAATTAGTAGGCTTAGGTCTAGTAAGCTTAGGATTAGTAGACCTAAGTTTGGTAGATGTAGAAAGCATATACATAAGCTTTATATCTAAAAAAAACTTGCAAACGCCATGCCTTTGAGTCGTTAATGGCCAACTTTTTTGTTTTCACCTAATCCCGACGGAATTAAAACGAAACCGCCGCTTACCTAATCACCTTTTGCGGTTGTGCTTAATGACAAATGTACTTGGTCAACATGCTATCTTGCGTGGTTTGCAAATTAAACTACAATATTTTGGCGAGCTTTTCCAGGTGTTTTTTGGAGTTTTTGAAAAAGTCAAATTGATTAGTAATTTGAAGGTTTTTGGGCTTTTGTAACTGACGGTTGGGCTTAGAATTATGTCTTATATATTTTGGGAGAGACGCTGGAATTTAAGCCTAGAAACGATATTTTTTGGAGCCTGAGCTTGAGCATAAGACTGATTGAGCCAGAAACTGAGCCTCAGCCAGAAACTGAGCCTGAACTTAACCTTAAAGTTGAGTTTGAGCCTGAGTTCAAGCATGATTCTCAGTTTGAACTAAATACTTAGCCTGGCTTGAGCTTGCCCTAGCTCTAGTCGCAGCTTTGGCTTTAGCCTAAGCCTAAAATTGCTCCTTAGTCTTAGTTTAAGCTTATTCCAGAGTTTTAGCGTAAACTTAAACATTAGTTTAAACCTATACTTAAGCCTGTGCCCCAGCCTAAAGTTAAGCTCGAGCTTTGGTCTAAGCCTAAGTTAAGACTTAGCATCAGCTTAATCTTGAGCCTTAGCTTCAGCTTAAGCTAAGCCTAACTTCAATATTTATTTATTTTAAAGTTTTTTTGAAATTATGTACTTTTACATTACTTTTTATGAATATTTGTGGTAAGAACACATTGAACGTATGTTAATATTGAATTAGCCCGTTACATTTTATTCGTTTTTTACATTTTTCGAAGGTTTGGAATTTGTTTTCTAATCAAACTTTACGTCTTTTTAACTTTTTAAAGCCCTACTACGTTTAAAAACAGTCAATAAAGTCTTGTCGTCAATTTACATTGAGTTCCACGTTAAAAAACGACAAAACTTTCTTTTTGCTACTCTAACATTATTTTCATTTTAGATGGTATTCTGTTGTTGTCCCAGGTCCACGGACAAAGTAGAAGCCAAAAAGGATGATAAACCAAAGGAAGAATCAGCAAAAGAAAAAGTTGTGACAGAAGAGCCCAAACCTAGCAATAATAATGTCTCGGCCAAACCGAACTCACCTCCGCCCGCTCCGCCATTGCCTGACAGTAAACCGGTCGATAATCCTCGGGATTCTGAAGGTAATTTTGGTGGAAATTAAATTTTTTTAGGTTTTTTTGATTTTGGTATTGACATAATGGCTTAAAAGTGGGCTGAAACGGAAGGCCAAAATCGGCGGGAATTTGAAAATTCAGAAATAATATTAAAAAATTTTTGAAAAAAACGAAAATACTTGTCTGATAATGAACAAAAATGGTTTGTTAAAAATTTTTATCAATTAAAAATGATTTTTGAAAAAATGCCAAAATTGGCGGGGATTTGAAAATCCAAAAAAATTTTTTTTTTGTTAAAATTATGGCAAAACTTAACTAATAATAACTAAAAATTGCTTTTTAAATAATTTTTAGCAGTTAAAAAAAGTTTTAACGGGATGCCGAAATTGGCGGGATTTTTAAAATTCAAAAATTTATTTTTTTGTTTTTTCCAAAACGACCTATATTAACATAAAACATAATTTAACTACGACAAAGTCAATATTACTAAACCAAATTTTAAATTTCAGAAGCCCAAACACCTACAGAGCTACAGAATCAGCATGAAAGCGTCGAACTGGTCACGGTGGAGAAAACCGAAGTTTCTGTGAATCCGGAAGGCTCTGAAACCGAAGAAAATATTAACAATGATAGTCAAGGACCTTTGGACGTTACTGAAGACGCTATTAGTAGTACAGAAGCGGTAGAAACGGCCGAATTGAGCGAAGAAGAAGCGCTGAATCAAGAAGCAGATCAAATTTTGAGCACTGAAATTGGCAACGTTGGGTTTGAGAAAGCTTCTGAAAATGATGGTAGTATTGATGTTTATAGCCAGAACCTTACTGTAAATAATGGAGAGGATCATGGAGAATCTGTTAGTCATGGTGAAGGTGAAGAACATTTGAACCAGCGTGAGAACGGCCAAGAAAATAATGAAAATCCAGGCCAAAATGAAGAAAATAGCTCAGAAGTGGAAGAAAATGCGACAGAAAAAGATAAAAATGAACTAGAAACACAAGCCGAAGCCTCAGAAGCCATTAGAAGAGATATAGAATTAAATATTGAAAAGCTGGATATACAAGATTCAGAAGACGTGACGGTAGAAGAAGTCAAACCTCCTCCAGTAGCCATTATTGGAGCAGAAAAACCCACCGTTCCTCAAGGAACGTTCAAGTTCGAGAACGATGACGATGCTCCGGTAGATTCTGATGCGAGGTAAAGTACGATGGAGATAACATGTTTTAATTTGGCATATTATATTTTTGGTTTACTGTACTTGTAACTAAATAAAAAGTTGTTGCACTGTAACTTGTAATTACTGTATGTTGTGTTTGTAATTTGTAATAAATTGTTTTATACTTTGGTTTGGTGTTGATGTTGGTTTATACTTCTAACATAGTCTTAAGCCCTAGTCCAGAGTTCTAGCCTAGAGCTCTAGCCCAGAGTCAAAGCCCTAGCCCAGGGCTGTAGCCTAGAGCTTTAGCCAAGAGCCCTGGCTCAGAGTCCTAGTCCAGGGCCGTAGCCTAGAGCGTTAGCCCAGAGCCCTTGCCCAGAGCCCTAGCTCAGAGCCTTAGCTAAACCTATGCCCTATCCTAACATCACATTTGTCCTGGCCTAGCCGTAAACATAGCTATAATGTGATCACTTCCTATAACTACCCTTGCCATACTCTAACCTTATATTAGCCTTACTGTGTCCTTACCTTACTCCAACCTTGTCCTAGTCATAAACTAACGTAGGTTTAGTTCTAAACCCAGCCTTATTAACGCCATGTTCTATAATAAATATATCTACCTATGCACTACCAATGCTTCAACCTTACTTTACATTACCCATGCTTTAATACTAATTTCCTTTACATTACCTATGCTCTACTAATGCTCTACCTTACTTTACTCTACCCTTGCCCTACTATTGCTGTAACTTTTTTTATTTAGATTGTACTTTTGTCTCACTCTTGACTCCTTTGTTTTGCACTCTCACCTCATTTTCTTAATTTCACTACTACAATAATCAAAAAATATGCTATTACAGTAAACAAAATATAAAAAAATATTTTAAAATGTTATTTCCAAGACCTTAAAGAACACTCAGTCAATTGCAAGGTCATAAAGAATGGCAAAAGCTTATCAATTATATCAATCATAATTTTCCAAACTCATTTTGTTTTTGACATGAATAACATGTCCAGTGCTGTTATAAATAGCTTTTTTTTGATGTTCAACTATTTTTAATTTTTTTAAAATTTAAGATTTTTTCGAAAATTTATTGAAATTAAAAAAAAATTAATTTTCAAAATTTTCAAAAATTAAAAAAAAAATGTTTAGCTCCCAGAACTCCAGAAGACAGTCGATGTGCGACGGAACGGCCAAACGTAACATCCGCTTCACAACGCCAGCTGAAGCTCGGAGATCACCAAAGGAACGATACCTATTTGTGACCTGTATTAATACAAATGACAGTCGAAAGCCAGACGCTTTGATGACGGTCGATGTAAATCCTGACAGTAGGTCATTTGGTGAGGTAGGTTGTTACAGTAAATGGTTTTTATACAGCATACTGTAGGCAAGATAGAGTACGATAGAATGTTTTAGGTTAGGGTAGGGTGGGGTGGGGTGGGGTTGGGTAGGGTACGGTAGGGTACGGTAGGGTGGGGTAGGGTAGGGTAAGGCAGGGTAGGGAAGGGTAAAGTAGGCTATGGCTAGGACAATAAAATCTTTGTTTTCAGATTGTATGTAAGCTGCCAATGCCAAACACAGGTGATGAACTACATCATTCAGGCTGGAACGCTTGTGCTGGCTGTAAAAACGACGAAACTGCTTGTAGATCACATTTGGTTCTACCGTGCCTTCACTCATCCAATATTTATATAGTAGATACGGAGAACCCAAGGGACCTTAAACTTCATAAGGTACTGTAGCTTAACATACCCTACCCTATCTTACCCTATCCTATCCTATCCTACCCTACTTTACCCTACCCTACCCTACTCTACCCATGCCGACTAACCGTACTGCCATGCCCTTTTAAACTAAACCCTTTTTCAGGAGATCAACCACAAAGACCTATCCCATCTAAATGTCACCTTCCTCCACACTTCTCACTGCCTACCCTCAGGCGACATTCTAATCAGCACGTTGGGTGATAATACCGGTAAAAACAAGGGTGATATGATTCTACTGGACAGTAAAACCTTCCAAGTGAAGAAATCATGGTGTAATACCAGCCGGCTGCCCAAATTCCACTACGACTTTTGGTACCAACCCCGACTAAACGTCCTAATCAGTACCGAATGGGGCAATCCAAAAGTCATTAAGGATGGATTCGACCCAAAACATGTAACACAAGGCTACTATGGTAATAGCGTACATATATGGGACTATACGACCGGTCGACCTTTACAGTGTATCACCCTGGATGGTCCTACTGGTTACCTGCCGCTGGAGGTTAGATTTAAACATAAGCCTACGGAAGCCCATGCCTTTGTTGGAACGGCGTTGGGTAGTGCTATCTATCATATTTATCAGGAGGATGTAGGTCATATTGTTTTAGGCATAAAAAGTTTAAAAAAATGAGTTTTTGCTCTGTAAAGAAAGTTCTTGCCATTTTTGAATTGTAAAGAAAGTTCTTGCCATTTTTTGTTTTGTAAAGAAAGTTCTTGCCATGTTCAGTTCTGTAAACAAAGTTTTTGCACCAAAACTCACCAAAAAATCAAATTTCAGCCACGAGACCCCTGGCAACACGAACTCTCAATTGCCATACCCTCAAAAGAAGTAGATGGCTGGATACTACCAAAAATGCCAGCCCTAGTAACTGATATTATCATATCAATGGACGACAAATACCTATATGTAGCTTGTTGGTTATTCGGCGAAGTCCGCCAGTACAATATAAAAGACCCTTTCAACATCAAATTGACCGGTCGAGCTTGTTTTGGAGGTCTGATTCACTCGGAAAGTGACATTAAGGTCACCAATGACCCTGAGGGCCATGTAAGTTTGTGGAAACAAATTTTTTGCGGATTTTTAACTTGAAAAATTATTGAAAAATCAGATTTTTCAAAGTTGTAGTTTGTAAAGAAAGTTTTTTCCATTTTTCCACTCATTTATAATAAAAAATGTTATCTTTGCACAGTGCACTAAGTTAATTTCTTGCACCGTGCAACAAATTTTGTTTTTATCACAGGACAATTTTTCGTAAATTTTAGGTAACAAATTTAGTCTCAGCTTCTAGTCTAGACTAATAAAAAGCTATTACATCAGTTTTCTTTTTAATTGCTTCAAAAAGAATAGCACGATGAAATTTTAAAAAAGACTGCACCGTGCAATTGATTAAAGTTTTGCACGATGCATTGTTTGTTTTGTAAAGAAAGTTCTTGCCATTTTTTAAATTTAAAATCGGGTAAATAAACATAAATTTGTAGGACCGAGAAGCTCCACTACGAATTCGCCACACTTTGGTACAAGGTGGTCCTCAAATGATGCAGTTGAGTTTAGATGGACGTAGACTATATGTTACTAACTCGCTATACTCCGTTTGGGACAAACAATTTTATCCGGAATTGCCAAAGTAAGTCAATATAACCATCCTACCCAGCCTTACCCTGACCTATTCATCCCCACCCTACCCTGCCTTACTCTACAGTTAAGTACCCTACCCTAACATACTTTTTCCTACCCTACCTTACCGTACCCTCTCTACGCTACCCGATATGACCTTTTCCACAAAAAACACCTAATTTTATTACCTAAACTTCCAGGCATGGCGGCCAAATGCTTAAAATTGATGTTGATGTAGAGAACGGCGGCATCCAGGTGGACCCACTGTTCCTGGTCGATTTTGGAAAAGTGAAAGATGGGCCATATTGTCCTCACGAAATGCGCTATCCAGGTGGAGATTGTACCTCCGACATCTTTGTTTAGGTACTATAATAAATAACTATACTGTACACTATAGGCTTTTTTAAGTTACAACGTTTCCAAGGGATTATACTGTATTCTCTTGCCAAAACCTGAACTAAAATTTAGTCAAGGAAATACCTTTAACATTTGTATTCAAGTTTTTGCTAAAAAAGGGTTTTATTACCTGAAATATCAATCGAAGCTATGTTACACTTGACGAAAACACAAAAAATGAAAGAAAAATAATTTTTTCGTTATTGAAATGAATCTAAAACGATATAAAACCAATTCTAAAAAGTAAATAAAAACCTTTACAAACTAATAACATCCATCTTCACCTGAAATAACCAGAGACTTTTACAAAAATTACGATTGAAACTATGTTACACTTGACGAAAACACGAAAAATCGAAGAACATTAACGTTTCATGCCTTGAAATGAACCTAAAACAATATAAAATTAACTCTAAAAAATAAATAAAGCTTTTTTATAATTAATAACAATCATCTTCATCCAAAGACCCAGCAAACCTTTGCTAAAATTTCGATTAAGACCATGTTACACTTGACAAAAACACGAAAAATTGAAGAAAATTGATGTTTCATGGCTTGTAATAAACCTAAAAAACAAAAAATTGATTCTAAAAGATAAATGAAGGGCTTTTCTAACTAATAACGATTATCTTTACCTAACACTCCCCCAAACTTTTATAAAAATTTCTGTTCAAACCATGTTACACTTAACAAAAACACAAAGAATTAAAGAAACTTCATGCTTTATGGTTTCCAATGAACCTAAAACAATATGAAATTGATTCTGTCAAGTAAATAACGCCTTTCCCTAAATATAAAAAGCATTATAATCTAAAATTGTATTATAACTACATAGTAAAACCTACAACAATATAACTATCAGCAGACAAACCAGTAATTCTTCATTTTTTTAAAAAATATATTTTTTTTTCAATTGATAAATTAAACAAAACTCGGTTATAAATTCAACAAAATCTATTTGAAATTGCGATATAAAAAACGAATTGTCCTTTCTGCAGCTGCAGAAAGAAGAATTATGTCCAAAAAAGGTGGGTTAATATAGTAAAATAGATTGTTTTTGGTGGTTTTGAGCTGGTTTTTGTGATTTTTATTAAAGTTTAGGTAATATATAGCGTTTTTGTTTAAGCTTTAGGGCATTTTGGGCAGGTTTTTTGATATTTTTTGGAAATTTAGGTAAAAAGTTGCTTGTAACATTAAGTTTTAGTTAATACTTTTAGGTAATATTTTGCCTAAAACAGAAAGTTTCAGCTAATATTTTGCTAAAATAACATTTTTTCAGTCTGTCGGGTCAGAGAGCACTGAGAACACGAAGTCTTCACAAGAATACTATCATTCTACATCATCAAAGGCAAAGTCCACGTCAAGTGGAAGCCAAAAACCAGACAAATCTTGAGAAAAAATGGAAACGGGCCGGGCTTAAAGGTTGGGCCCACTTTTCAGGCCCGGCCCGGCCTTTTTATGCGAATTTTTGGGAAATTTGTCGAAATTGGGGAATTTTTATTATTTTTACTTATTTTTCTTTTTTTCATTATTTTTATTTGATATTTCGGGTTTAAACGGTGGTTTTTGTTGGTAAATTTTTTATTATTTTTACTTGAAAATTTTAAGTTTACAGCTTAAAAAACATAAAAAATGAAGTTTTTTAAAAATCTTTTTACAATAATGTTTTTAGGGTTTGATTGGAAGTAAAGTGTTCCATCGCTTCGACAAGTTCAACACCAAGTACAATCCAGTAGGGCAGAGTTCTCTGCGCGAAACCTTCATCAAGACTGACAACTATGTGAACGGAACCTACTTTGCCGAAGTCTTGAAAGAGGTTCTGTCAGATTTGGATGTTCATTTTGAACATCTTTTAATATAATAGTTGTTAACAATAAGTATTTACAAGTAAACAGTGAAAAAGTTGTCAAATATTTCAAAACTTCCGTTTTGGTGAAATATTTTTACGGTGTACTATTTTTCTAGGAGAAGTATTTTTACAGTGAAGTATTTTGCCCCGGTGAAGTATTTGGGAACAACGAACAACGAATTTTCTAGAAATTTTTAAAAAATGTCGAAGTTGCAGCAGATTTCTGTCTTATCCTGTCCTTTCCTGTCTTGTTCTGCCCTGTCTTGTCCTGTCCTGTCATGTCCTGCTCTGCCCTGCTCCTTGAAAAAAACGATTTTTTACCCCGCCCTCTTCTTTTTCGATAATATTTAATCAAATTAGTACTAATAACATTAATTTTGCTAAAATTATTCACTTACAACATGATAACATTTCCCCATTGTTTACGGTTTGTGATCGTTTTGTTTTGAAATCAGCTCGCGGGCGACCTTTTGGTAAACAACATATCACAGCGATGATGGTTGTTTGTATGTATTATTGGTTTGTCAACATCGAAGAGGTGTTTTGTTTTACTAAACGTGAAATATATTTTCAATTCTAAAGGTTTTGTGCATTGTTTGATATCTAAACATAGTATAAACACGTATTACGTTAACATACTAAATAGTGTCATACATTATTTTTTATACTGTATCGTACTGTACTAACTAAATTGTACCATACTGTACTTTCGTTTATACTGTATTGTACATAACTAACATAGTATTATATAGTACTTGCTTTCTTTCTGTTTCCTCCTATACTAATTAAATAGTATCGTACTATACTTTATAGTATACTGTATATATATTGAATAGTAAAATCTATTTTTATACCTACTATAAATTGTAGAATGGCTTGCTGTAAGTCTGGTATTTTGTTTGGATCTCCAGAAGAAGCCATGAAGGCTCCAAGAGAAAAGGTATTGATGGTTATAGCTATCAATACCTCTGAAGACAAGAAGCCAGACGCGTTGATTACTGTTGATGTTGATCCGGACAGTCAACGGTATGGAGAGGTATGGTCGATTAATATAATATAATAGCTTACTTTTTACAATTTAAGATAGGCTAGGGTATGGTGATGTAGGTGGGACAAGGTAGGTTAGGGTAGGTATTTGAAAAAGAGCAGGTAGGAACGGGAAGGGTACTGTAGGTAATGGTAGAGCAAGTTAACAGATTTTATAAAGTATGATAGGGCTCATGTAAGGCAAGGCCAGGGTAGGGTAAAGTAGCGCAGGATAAGGCTATGTAAAGTATGGTAGGGTGGGGCAGGATAAATAGTTGAAAAACAGAAGATAGTAGCGGGAAGGGTACTGTAGGTAAGAGTGTAGCAGGTTAAGGAAGTTGACTATGGTAGTACTTGAACAGAGCAGGCTACAGCAAGGCAGGGCATGGCAAAACAGGGCAGGATAATGTAAGGCAATGAAGAACATGGTAGGGTAGGGTAGGGTAGGGTAGGGTAGGGTAGGGTAGGGTAGGGTAGGGTAGGGTAGGGTAGGGCAGGGTAGGGTAGGGTAGGGTCGGGCAGGGTAGGGTAGGGTAGGGTATGGCTATTTCTTAATATTTTTCCTAAACTTACAGTAGTTTTTACAGGTTTTATGCAAGCTACCAATGCCTAACATAGGTGATGAGCTACATCATTCTGGATGGAACGCTTGTGCTGGTTGTAAGGACGATGAGACTGCTTGTAGATCACATTTGGTACTGCCGTGTCTACACTCAAATCGAATTTATGTTATTGACACAGCTGATGTTACTGATCTGAAAGTTCATAAGGTTGGTTTTTGCTTTACCTGTTTATCTAAGGCTTTAAGGCTAAAGCTAAGGCTCTGGGCTAGCGCTAAGGCTTTTGAATTTAGTATAGTAATGTAAAATACGTGATTTTTAATGTTGATATTTATTATTAATAATTTAGGTAATAGAAGCTGAAGAGTTTAAAAAGTACAATGTATCAGCGTTCCACACACCTCATTGTACTCCAGAAGGCGAAGTTCTAATAGGCTGTATTGGTGACAATGATGGCAATAATCAAGGTAACAACATAAAAATTTTTGTAAACAAACTTTTTGCAATTAAAAAACTTTTTTGGAAAGAAAGTTCTTGCCATTTTATGTTTTGTAAAGAAAGTTCTTGCCATTTTATGTTTTGTAAAGAAAGTTCTTGTCATTTTTTTTGTAAAAAAAGTTTCTGCGTATCTTTTCAATTTGTTAAAATTTTTTTTTAATTTTAAAAAAGTAAATTCGAAAAGCTCTAGCGTAGCCTAATATTATACTTTAGGTAACCTAATAAGACTGGACAGCAAAACCTTTGAAGTGAAAGGTACCTGGCCCACGACTGAAATGCTTCCTGAGTTTCATTATGATTTCTGGTACCAGCCTCGTCATAACGTGTTGTTATCGACCGAATGGACTGCTCCCAACACTTTCAAAAAGGGGTTTAGTGCTGTGGACTTATTGGAAGGTAAGGGGATTTAAAACGATATTTTTTCAACATTTTTAAGGCCCGACTTAAATGTTGGTCAAGGCTAGTCCGGTCCGTTTTTTATGACTAGCTAAGGTTAGGGCTCTGGGCTAGGGCGCTGGGCCAGGGCTCTGGGCTAGGGCTCTGGGCTAGGACTCTGGACTAGGGCTCTGGGCTAGGGCTCTGGGCTAGGGCTCTGGACTAGGGCTCTGGGCTAGGGCTTTGGGCTAGGGCTCTGGACTAGGGCTAGTGCTATAGAACTTGAGCCGTATAAACGTATATTGTTGTAGGCAAGTACGGCCGACACATTCACTTATGGGACTACAGTAAGAGACAAATCATGCAGTCTATTCAACTGGACATTATTACTGGTCAAATACCATTCGAAGTGAGGTTCAAACACAATCCAAATGAGCCTCACGCGTTCTTGTGTACTGCTTTGGGGTCATCTCTTATCCATGTTTATAAGAAGAATGTAAGTTATAAATTGTAAAGAAAGTTCTTGCCATTTTTTGTTTTGTAAATAAAGTTCTTGCCATTTTTTAGTTTGTAGTAAAGAAAGTTCTTGCCATTTTACGTTTTATATAGAAAGTTCTTGCTATTTTTGGGTTTGTAAAGAAATTTCTTGCCATTTTAAACTCTGTAAACAAAGTTCTTACTATTTTATGTTTTGTAAAGAAAGTTCTTGCCACTTCAGATGCAAGATCCCTGGCTGCACGAAGTGTCAATCACAATACCGCCAAAAGTCGTTGCCAGCTGGACCATGCCAACATTACCAGCCCTTTTAACTGATATTATCATATCAATGGATGACAAGTACTTGTATGCATCATGCTGGTTATTTGGAGAAGTACGACAGTATAATATAGAGGATCCATTTAACATTCGAATGACTGGTAGAATTAGTACTGGAGGTCTGATTAGTAAAGATAAAGGGCTTAATGTACTTGTGGACCCTGAAGGTCATGTGAGTTATTTTACTTTGGCAGTAACTTTTAAGGGTTGGAAAGAAAGTTCTTGCCATTTTTCGTTTTGTAAAGAAAGTTCTTGCCATTTTTTGTTATGTAAAGAAAGTTCTTGCCATTTCTTTGTTTGTAAGGAAAGTTCTTGCCGTTCTAGGAAAGAGTAGAAACCTTAAAGATAAATGGAGTCACATTCCAAGGCGGTCCACAAATGCTACAACTCAGTCTAGATGGCAAACGGCTTTACATTTGCAATTCATTGTATTCCGTTTGGGACAAGCAGTTTTATCCTGATATGGCAAAGTAAGTAAAAAGTCAAAATATTTTAGTACGGAGCCCTAGCCTCGAGCCCTAGTCCAGAGCCCTAGCTCACAGTTCTAGCCTAGAGTTTTAGCCCAGAACTAGAGCTCAGCACCTTAGCCTAGAATTCTAGTCTAGAGGCCTAGCCCAGAGCCCGCACTAGCCTTATTCATAGCTTCAGGCTTATTTTTAACTCTAGTCTAGGGCCTAGATTTGGATCTAACTTTGGGCATTTCCTTATGCTTAGCCTTAAGCCTTGCTATCGGCTCAGCTATGCGCCTGGTTTGAGGAGCTATTCTTGACTGGTCTTAATCATATTTTAGGGTTAGTCTTATATACCTTACACTTTTCTATCTTACTAATATTACATTGCTTTAGCCTTCGTTAACCTACCGTACCGTGCCATAGTGTACTTTATTTTAGGAATGGTGGTCAAATGATCAAAGCAGATATTGACACAGAGAATGGTGGCATGAAAATCGACCCAAATTTCATAATTGACTTTGGGGCAATTAAGGATGGACCTTATGCTCCACATGACATGCGCTACCCTGGAGGCGATTGCACTTCCGACATTTTTGTCTAACTCAACCATTGAAGTTTGAAATTTTAAAAATTATAAAATTTTTAAAATTTTTGAAAGTCTTTTATAATTAAATATTTTTTACATTATAGTACTCGTGCCTAAAATAAAAAATCGATTTGTAAAGAAAGTTTTTTTTTCATTTTTTGTTTTGTAAAGAAAGTTCTTGCCATTTTATAGTTTTTAAAGAAAGTTCTTGCTATTTTGTGTTTTGTAAAGAAAGTTCTTGTTATTTTTTTGTTTTGGAAAGAATATTCTTGCCATTTTTTTTAAAAACTAAAAATTTAATATTTTTAGTCTCTGGAAACAGTTATTGCAGTTTTTATCATTTTTTTGTTAAAAAAACTAACATCGTATAACTTGACACCCGTTTTTTTACGAAAAAGAGAGCATTTTTTGTTTTGTAAAGAAAGTTCTTGCTATTTCCCGTTTTGTAAAGTAAGTTATTGTCATTTTTTGTTTTGTAAAGAAAGTTCTTGCCATTTTTATTATTAAATTCAACAATAACCTCTGATTACCTACTACAATATAATATAACACTTCACAAATTACAATCACATGTTTGCTCAGTAAACCCCCAACATTTACTCTGTAAAACTGTTATTATTGTAGTTCAGTGCATGTTTATTCACTGTCACTTTTGATACGAGCCCTTTCGGTTTTGTCGCCCTGTTTTTCACGTGGCAATTCAGCGATTTTTAAAAATTGTAAAGTGTTAAAACGGTAAGGTTGTTATTGAAAAACAATCGGTTCAGCGAAGAGAGTTACTATGTTCAAATACATATAATGAATGATCAGCTATTTATAATATCATGGTTGAAAATTGTGAAAACTTTTTTAACATTTTGGGGTAAGGACTGAAATGCTGGGGTAGGAACTGGATGTAGGCTAGGGCAAAGAAAGCCAGGGTAGATACTATGAGGAAGTGGAGGCAGAGAATTGAGCAAGACTGGGGTGAAAGATTGCGGAAGGCTGGGGCAGGGTTAGGGATAAGAAACGGGACGGCTTTGTCTGAACTTGAAACGAGCCGGTTGCGGTCCGGACTTGAAAACTCTGCCAAGTTTTTTAAAACAGGCTGGGCAAAACCGGACCTAGAACTTTTCTGACCGCACCGTGCCGGCCTGATATGAAAATGGGCCGCAGGGTGGGGAGGAAGGTCAAAGTTAGAGAGTGGGGAAAACTGGGCTAAAGCTGATTCTCTGGACTACAGCTGTAAGGTATGGCTCTGGGCTAGGGCTCTGAGCTAGGGCTCTGAGCTAGGGCTCTGAGCTAGGGCTCTGAGCTAGGGCTCTGAGCTAGGGCTCTGAGCTAGGGCTCTGAGCTAGGGCTCTGGGCTAGGATTGTGGGCTAGGTCTTTAGGCTAGGGCCAGTGTTCCGCAGCCAATTTTTTCGTTTAAAAACGTATGTCCATTTTATGGTAAATATTATTACCAAACATTAAATTTTGATCGAAAACAACCAGATTAGTATTATATTAACCACGTTTATTGTGTTATTTCACGGTGTATCGCAATTTTTTGGACGATTCGTTTTTGATTTTTGAAATAATTGTTTAGAAAATTATAAAATTTAGGAGTAGGCTTAGCAGTGGGTGCAATATTAGACTTAAGCTTACGCTTTGACTTTTTTCAAACTTAAGATTGGGCTTGACTTGAAGGTTTAGGCTTACAAGGAAAGTGCCCGACCTGCCTTGATTGACTTCTTATGTAGAAAGAGCATGTTGATATAAGATGTTCAGCAAAGTACTAAATCGCGCTTTCCGGCAAATCTCGAGAAAATCGAGATTAAAAAATTACGTTTTGAATTTCCCGCCAAATTGGCATTTTGTTTCAAGCTTATAACTTTGTCATTTTTTGACTTTTAATCATTTTTCTTTGATATACTAGTAGAATAACTTCAAATAAACTCACATTTTCAAATTTTTAAGTGTAGCTTGGATGCCAAAAAAGTGCTTGAAACAGAATGCCAAGTTTGCCAAATTGGCGGGGAATCAAAATAATTTAAATTCAAAACACAAAATCACAACCTAAAATGTTTCATAGGTTTTGGTAGTACAAAAAATTTATGTAAAAATTTTGAGCTAATTCTGAGTGGGGCAGGTCAGGTACTTTCCGTGTTAGCTATGGACTTTGTTATTTTAGGTTTAAACTTAGGCTTAGATTTAGTAAGTTTAGGTTTAGTTTTAGAGTATTTTAAGGCTTACGTCTATAATTAAACTTAAAATTTTTAAAATTTCTAAATTTCAAAATTAAAAAATTAACTTTTAAACATTTTGAAATTCCTACCGGTCGATAAAGTCAAAGTTCAGTCAAAATCCCAGACCATATGACGTTCACGCCGTTAACCCAATTCGGCTCGCGCTTATTACGGTTTGTTTTTGTTTACTTATTTCGATTGTTCGCTTTCACGAAAAACGATCATAAATTCGTTTAATTCGCGAGCTCAAAAACCACATTTTACAAAAGCAACTTTCAAATGACGGCTATTATAAATACAGTTACAGATCGAAAAAACACATTACACTGCGTCGTCAATAATAGTTTGAGGTTTTAGGATAGCCCAGAGCCCTAGCCCAGAGCCCTAGCCCAGAGCCCTAGCCTTAAGTTTTGGTTTTGATATTGATACTGGTTCTGGTTTTGGTCCTGGTCCTGGTCTTAGACCTGGTCCTGGTCCTGGTCCTGGTCTTGGTCTTGGTCTTGGTCTTGGTCTTGGTCTTGGTCTTGGTCTTGGTCCTGGTCCTGGTCCTGGTCCTAGTCCTGGTCCTGGTTTTAGTCCACATCTTAGCCTTCGTTCTAGTCCAAGTCTATGTTTTAGCTTTGGTTCTAGTCTAATTCCTAGCCCTTATTCTAGTCCAAGTCTAAATCCAAATATAGTCCATGTTCAAGTCCAAATCCAAGTGCAAGTGCAAGTGCAAGTGCAAGTGCAAGTGCAAGTCCTAGTCCAAGTCCAAGTCCAACTCCAGGTCCAAGTCCAAGTTCAAGTCCAAGTCCAAGTCCAAGTCCTAGTTTAAGTCTAAGTCCTAGTCCTAGTTCCGTTTCTAATTATTAGCCTTGCCCTAGCTCCATTATAGCTGACTATGTGTTTTTACTATGTTGTTTTAACATGTAGTAATTCTACCGTATAACCTTTCAAATTTCATTATTTTCATTGACATTACTGCACTGCAACTTTTGATTACTCTGTAAAAATCTGCTCAAATATTTGTCGAGGCTGTTATTTTTAAAAAACGCTTTCAATTCCACGTTTTAATCGCATGGAAGGGCCGGTTATTATCCATCTGATCAGTTTCGAAACGAACAAAGAGTTCAGAAGTTTTCGAACGAAACAGACTTGCAAGTAATGTAAATAATATTGCTGTAGTTTGGGGAACTGTTATCTGACTGAAAAATTATTTTTGATTGCAAGAACTTTCTTTACAAAACAAAAAACGGCGAGAACTTTATTTTCAAACTGAAAAATGGCAAGAACTTTGTTTACAAAACAAAAAATGGCAAAAACTTTTGCTACATGACAAAAAATGGCAAGAACTTTCTTTACAAAACACAAAAATGACTTCTTTTTACAAAAAAAACGTTGTGCAGCCTGCGGGAGACATGTTATATGATATAAGTTTTTTTAACAAAACAATGATAAAACTGCAATAACTTTGTTTTCAAAGGCTCAAGAAATATAAAATTTTTGGTTTTTACAAAAAATGGCAAGAACTTTCTTTCCAAAACAGAAAAATAACAAGAACTTTCTTTAAAAACAAAAAACGGCAAGAAATTTCTTTAAAATTTTTTTTTAATTTTTGAAAATCCGGTTGATTACAATACACGTTCCTTTAACGTTATTAACATTGAAATTCAACAGTAATCTTATCATTAATTACCGGAACTGGTAAACTATAAATAAACAAGTAAAAGGCGTCTCAGTGTGATAACATCAGCATCGTAAATTATCTTTTTTTACCTGTAGGGTATGGTAGGGTAGGGTAGGGTGGGGTTGGGTAGGGTAGGGTAGGGTAGGGTAGGGTAGGGTAGGGTAGGGTAGGGTAGGGTAGTTAAAAATTGTTTTTAAGGGTTGGTCTTGTGATTGCTTTTGGATAATATAATTGTATGGAAAGGCGCTTTTGTTATCAAACAACTCAGTAAAACGTGTGTTAGAGTAAAGTAAACAGAACATTGTTATGTGATACCTGAACAGAACACTACAGTGAATATATAAATTTTTGTTTATTGGTGTAGTTAAGGTTAACAAAGGAAGGTGGGGGTGTGGAAGCGCGGGAGAGAAGAGGGGGGAGGCGAGGGGTTACCGTAGGTATTGTTGGGTACGTTAAGGTAAAATACGTGTTCTTATAGTTCGTATCTTAAAACTAATAATAATTACGTATTAATTATAATTTTTTAGGTATACAACCTGTTTATATAACACACAGCAAGACATTATACAGTACCGCAGGTGTATACATGAACATACAATAGCTACTACAATATAACGTTTTATATCCAAGTATAATATTATTTGTTACAATACTACAGTACTAATATTTTTACCTAGAGTCTAGTTTAAAACAAGTTACAATATTCTATAACTCCTTACTACAGAACCTCATAACTGTCAGTTACAGTATACTATATACTTCATCTTCAGTACTCTATAGCCACCGTCATCTACGGGACCGTGTCAGTATTGGCTACAGTGATTAATAATTACCACTTAGTCCATAACGATAGCCTAAGGTATTTTAAAACTGTCAACTACAGTAATCTGTAACTATCACCAACTACAGAACTTTGTATCTACCACAACCTACACTTCTCTGTAACTACCGTTCACCACAGTATCGTCAAGTACCATTAACTACGGCACTCCCTATTACCTTCATCAACATTAACCATGGTAGGAGTAGCCACAGTGTCGGCCGATATAAATGAAGATCGGCCAAAAAACCAGCCAAGAGTCACAGGCTTTGTATGGCTTTTAGCCTCAATGTCAGTACTAGGTGGCTTCCTATTTGGATACGACACTGGGATAGTATCATCGGCCATGTTATACGTAGTGAATAATGGGGCGATGCGGCCGATGAACCATCTTTGGACTGAGCTTATCATCGCTATTACTCCGGGTGGGTGGAATTTTAAATATCATAGATGAAGGAGGGGGATGGAGAGGGAGTGGGAGGGGGTAAAAAAATAGCAAAGGGAAGGAAAAGTAGAAAAAAAAAGAATTTTTAATAGGGGAGGGAGTGCAAAAATAAGAAAAAAAAACAAAAAATTTTTCGAATAATGGCAAGAACTTTCTTTACAGAACGAAAAATGGCAACAACTTTCTTTACAAGCCATAAAATAGCAAGAATTTTGTTTACAAAAACTATTTTTATCAAAACGGCAAGAACTTTCTTTACAAATAAAAGATGACAAGAACTTTCTTTACAAAACAAAAAACCGCAAGAACTTTCTTTACAAAATAAAAAAATTTAAAAAACTTTTTATTAAAAAATTTTAGCCTTCGCCGCGGTCGGGTCGATATTTTCCGGTAAATTTGGCGACAAGTTTGGCCGCAAACGGTCGATTATTGTATCAAGCTTTATCTTCGCTGTCGGAGCTTTACTATGTGGAGTTGCCACTTCTAAAATCATGTTGTTGGTTGGACGAGTTTTGCTTGGATTGGCCATTGGTGAGTTAAAATGGCAAAAACTTTCTTTACAGAGTAAAAAGTTGCAAGAAATTTTTTTACAAAATAAAGAATTGCAAGAACTTTACAGAAAATAACATAGCAAGAACTTTCTTTACAAAACACAAAATAGCAAGAACTTTCTTTACAAACCTAAAAACCACTGATTTATTCAAAGAAAACGAGTCTGCAGGCTGCGGGTGACAAGTTATACGATGAATTCACTTAGAGAAATAACTGCAAAAACTTCGTTTCCAAAGCTTAAAAATGTTATTTTTAAAGTAAGTGCAAAAACTTTCTTTACAAACTCAAAAATACCAAGAACTTTCTTTACAAACTCAAAAATGGCAAGAACTTTCTTTACAAAACTAAAAATGGCAAGAACTTTCTTTCCAGGCGTAGCTTCAATGATCGTGCCAGTCTACGTGGGTGAATGTTCCCCCACTCACGTTCGTGGCAAACTAGTGACAAGTTTCAATATGATGGTCTGTTTCGGCCAATTCGCGGCCAGTATTGTCGCTGGTGGTCTAGCCTACATTGACCCCAACAATGTTGGCTGGAGGCTGATGTTTGGCGTCGCGGCCATTCCAGCCATTTTTCAGTTCGTCGGCTTCTTCTTCCTGCCTGAAAGCCCAAGGTGGCTGTACCGACATATGGGAGCTAAGCAGAGCAGAAAGGTGTTAGAAAGAGTGTATGGTGGAGATCAAGAATGGATTGACTTTGAGTTGGGCGAAATCGCGGCTCTGCATGAGCAAGAAGAACAGGCAAGGGCTGTCCAGGGTAAGAACATTTTTTTTAAAAATGGCAAAAACTTTCTTTACAGGCCGAAAAAATGCCGTTTTTTAACTTTTAGCGGGTTTGCAGGCTGCGGGTGACATGTTATACGAAAAATTGTGTTTTTTTTCAAAAATAGCAAGAATTTTCTTTACAGAATAAAAAATGGCAGAAACTTTCATTACAGTGTCAAAAGAGGAAATTATCGTATAACTTGTCACCTGCAGGCTGTGTAAGAAAAAAGGTACTTAATTGCGATTAAATGACAAGAACTTTCTTTACAAGACAAATAATGGCAAGAACTTTCTTTACAAGACAAAAAATGGCAAGAACTTTCTTTACAAGACAAAAAATGGCAAGAACTTTCTTTACAAAGCGAAAAATAGCAAAAACTTTCTTTCCACCTTTACCTTTAGGCAAACAAAACGTTTTGGTCAAAATCTGGAACACTCCTCACGTCCGCCGTGCCCTAATCATTGGTTGTTCCCTGCAATACTTCAACCAGCTGGCTGGCATCAACACCATCATGTACTACACCGGTAGCATCATCAAATCGACCGGTGTTCGCGACAATCACGTTGCCATTTGGCTGTCTTGTATCACATCGTTCTTCAACTTTGCCGCCAACCTCCTGCCGTTCTTCATTGTGGAACGATTCGGCCGACGACCGGTTATATTGTCGAGTATGGTAGCGGTTACGGTATCGTTGTGTCTAATGGCTGTGAGCTTTATAATGGTAAATCAGGACACATTGCCTACGATTAGTGCTGACAAAATGGTTGAACTTACAGGTGAGTTGAGAATTAGCAGGAACTTTGTTTACAGAATGAAAAATGACAAGAACTTTCTTTACAAAACAAGAAATGGCAACAACTTTCTTTACATAATAAAAAATTTATACTTTTTTACGTTTCAACGGGTCTGCAGGCTGCGGATGCCAAGTCATAGAAAAATTGTGTTTTTACAAGAAATGGCAGAAACTTTCTTTACAAGCTTAAAAATTGTTTTTTTGTTATAAAAAAACGTTGTGCAACCTGTGGGTGACAAGTTATACGACGAATCCGTTCTTATTGCAAAAAAGTATAAAATTACTAAAACTTTTTTTACAAAACGAAAAATGGGGCAAGAACTTCCTTTACAAAACGAAAAATTAAAAGAACTTTGTTTACAAAACAAAAAATGGCAAAGACTTTCTTTAAAAGGAGAAAATGGAAAAAAACTTGCGTACGGCCGAATTATTCGCGCGTACATAAGTTCAACTAATGTACGCGCGAATTACAAATAAAGAAGAAATAAAATTAAAAAAAATCTTGTTTGCAGAATAAAAAAACCAGCATAAACTTTCTTTACAAACAGAAAAATGGCAAAAACTTACTTTAAAAAACAAAAAATGGCAAGAACTTTCTTTACAAACAGTAAAATAGCAAGAAATTTACTTAAACCGCCTTTGAAAACATTAACTTACCTAAAATTGCAGGAGCCCATCCAGGAATCAACTTCGATGACCCGGACGTCAAAAAATGTTTGTCATTTACAAATTGTGACTTTTGTGTCACTGATGACTCTTGTGGCTTCTGTGGAGCCACCAGCTTCCCTAAACAAGGGGGTGTTTGTCTACCTATTGATGAGCTTAATGCTGATATTAGAGCTTCTACTGGTAAGAATTTTCTTTACAAAACTAGAAACGACGAGAACTTTGTTTATAAAACTTAAAACGGCAAGAACTTTCTTTAAAAAACCAGAAATGGCAAGAACTTTCTCTACAAAACAAAAAATGGCAAGAACTTTCTTTACAGAACTTAAAATGGCAAGAACTTTCTTTACAAAACAAGAAATGGCAAAAACTTTCATTACAACACAAAAAATTACATTTTGTAAAACTTTTATTTTAGGTTTCTGTGGCACAAACTCCCCGTCCTTCATGCACAACGTGTCTGGCGTTGAATTCGAATGGACTGACGCCTTTTGCGAGAACAAATACACCATATTGCCATTTATTATCATGGTAATATACCTAATCAGCTTTTCATCTGGTTTATCACCAATGCCATGGGTATTGAACGCCGAATTCTATCCAATCTGGGCCCGTGGCACTTGTGTGTCATTGTCAACTTTCTCTAATTGGATTGCCAATTTGGCTGTCTCTATGACATATCTTACTCTTACTACGACTATTACTCGATATGGTAAGAAATTTTTTTTTAGTTTTTTGTTTATTTATTGACCTATTTTAACAGGTTAAACCTATTTTTATTGTGATTTTTTCAAAATATTCAAAAAATTAAACTTTGACGAAATGTCACAAAATTTATTGGGTTTTTCGGACCTTGTTTTTAAAGCTTAAAAAAATCAATCGATTTTGAAAAAGTTAAGAGAATATCACATTTTAAGCACATTTGAAAACAATATCAACCTTTAGGCACATTCTTCCTGTACGCCGCCATCACAGCATTCGGTTTTGTGATAGCATACCTTTATGTACCTGAGACCAAAAATCATTCATTGGATGAGGTAGAAATGTTGTTTATGAATCATGAAGAACTAATGAAACACAAATCTTCATTGAAGAGTCTGCAATCTCCAAAGACTTCAGTTTTATTCCAAAATAAGGCATAATATCAAGAATATTGTGTTAGATCGTTATATTGCTATAGTTTACTATATATTACTATATTTTTATACATATAACTGTGTAATCATGTAAAATTTTTATAAAATTTATAAAAATAAAGTTAATAAACATGTTAAAAACTAGTTTGGAAGTTGTGCTTGAATAAAAATGGCATTAAAAGTTTTAAAATTAAATTTGAACCTAAAATTTCAAGTTTAAAAGCCTAAAACAAATTTAAACTTAGTTTTTTAGTTCAAGTTATTAATTCTAAGTATAAACTTGCCTTTTGCTAGAATAAAACTTCAATTTTTACAACAGAATCGACCGTTTTTAAATTATTTTCGCCCGTGACATTTCGTTCTCTTATCGAATTTCCAAATAATTTTCCTAAAAATCTTTGCTTCGTCAACATTCTTCGCGGCCAGATGGATGGAATAATGGAAGTTAGAGTAAGTTTTACACTTTGTCTTTATTTGTTTTATGTTTAGGAACGTTTTTCTAGTCAATGGAACGAGATTCAGTAAGGTTTTAGGCTTGAGTTTGTCTCGTTCAAGCCAATCAAGAGCAATTATTGTTTCTTCAACATTCTTCGCGGCCAGATGGATGGAATAATGGAAGTTAGAGTGAGCTTTACATTTTGTCTTTATTTGTTTTGTATTTAGGAACGTTTTTCTAGTTAATGGAACGAGGTTCAGCATGGTTTTAGGCTTGAATTTGTCTTATTCAAGACAATCAAGAGCAATTTGCGTTTCTTCAACATTTTTCGCTGCCAAATTGATGGAATTATGGAAGTTAGAGTAAGTTTTACAGTTTGTCTTTATTTTTTTATATTTAGGAACCTAATTCTTATCAGTGGCGCGAGATTCAGCAAGGTTTTAGGCTTGAAAAGCTCATTCAAGCAAATCAAGAACACTGATCGTTTCCTCAACATCTTTCGCGACCAAGTGGACGGAATAATGGAAATTAGAGTAATTTTTACATATGTTATCTATATTTAATATTTAGGAACCTAATCCTTCTCAGTGGCACGAGATTCAACAAGTTATGGCTTGGATTTGACACGCGCAACGACGATCAAAAGTTCCGAGGCGTTCAAGGAGAATATCGAAGCTAATCCGTGTCATGTTCAAGTTGATGGACAGTGTAAGACGCTTTTTTAACGTTTGTGATGTTACTCTTTGTTTCTTTTTTATCTTTGTTAAGACTAGGCTCGTTTTCGTTGTTATTCCGAACATCTTATAGGCTATAACAACAAAGGTTGAATTTACGTCGTATAAATGGCGGTTTTTGAATTTTTATGAAATTTTAGATTGTGACACGAAAAAGTCGTCAACCGGTCGTGTTTTGACGAAAAATGTGTCGCTATTTACTGATTGAACAAGGTGTAGGTTAATTTTGAGTTATTATATGTGTTCAAGGTTTTTAAAAATTGAAGGTGATAACTCATAAACTTTTTGTAAAGAAAGTTTTTGCTATTTTTATTGATTATAAAGCAACATTATTAAGTTTCCAATTCAAAACTTACGCTATTTTTAAGATATGAAGTTTCAGACCACCATGTTACCCAAAACACTAAAATCACTTCGATCCTTTACATCTTCACCATCATCAAGAGCAGCAAAAGCTGTCAAACCCAATCCAAAACTTAAACATATGACAAGTTATCATCATGAAACATCCGATACTCCATTGACGTTCAAAACTTTTTATCAAGAATTTCGAGAATGGACCGAAGCTCGACCAGACAAGGAGATGATCATATTCAGAGAGCAGAACATTATAAAGACTTATGAAGAGGTTTACTGTGATGTAAGTTGAATTTACATTGATATTTTGATGGCCCGGGGTTTGTTTTGAAGACAAGGTAAGGTAGAGACGGGTAATTCAGTTTGGTGGCTGATTAAAAAAAATAAAAAAGGGCGGGGTAAAATTTTTGGGGGGGGGCTGACTAATATTATTTTTAAAGAGAGGAGAAGGTTAAAACAGGTAGTTAAAGATTTTTTTTTGTTCAAAAAAATTTTAGTGGGCGGGGTAAAAAAATTTGGGGGTGGATTTTTATTTTTGTCTTATCCAGCTCTAGAGGGTCATATATTACCGCTAAAATTCATTTTTCAGGCCAGAAAGCTTGTCCTAGGCCTAATTCATCTGAATGTGAAGCGTGGCGATCGTATCGGCATTTGGGGCCCAAACTACTACGAATGGGTGGTCGCTCAATATGCAGCGGGCATGGGCGGTATGGTTTTGGTAAGCTTTTGGAAGTTTTTTTTAAGAATTGGGAAGGTTATAGAGGGTTCGGGTGGGTTAATTTAATTTTTTTGGTTAGAAAAGGGGGGGGGGGGAATTTTTTTATTTTAAAGTTTGAACTAAAAATTTTTAAAATTTTGAATTTTCAGGTCAATTTGAACCCAGCCTACCAAACCGAAGAGTTTCGTCTTGCCATGAAGAAGGTAGGCATAAAGGTATTGATTACCCCTCCAAAGTTTCGCTACACCAACTATTACAGGTAAGTGCTAAAAATGACTGGCGTTCTAATTATACCTTTCTTGAAAGTTTTTCAATAAAACCTGCTTTAAATTCACTATTTTAGGCCGAAAATTTTTAAAATTTACTAAAAATTCGATTTTTTAAAGAATTTTAGGTAACAATCATATAAATTTCAAAAATTTTAGGTAACAAAGATATAATCATCATATTTTATATACTTTGTTCAATTTCAGTATTATCTGTGGCCTGACAAAACAAATGAAAACGGCACCAATTGGCATGGGAATGGTTCAAAGTCAAATCTTGCCCGATTTGAAACATTACATCATGTTCAACCTGGAGCATCCAGATCACGAAGGATTCCCGTAAGTTTGGAAGGAATTTTGTTTACAAGGCTTGAAATGGCAATAACGTTCTTTATAAAATGAAAAACGGCAAGAACTTTCTTTACAAAACAAAAAAGGTCATTTATCGTATAACTTGTCACCCGCAGGCTGCGAATGACAAAAGTCGCTGCGTTTTGCGTTCAAATGACAAGAACTTTCTTTACAGAACAAAAAATGGCAAGAACTTTCTTTACAGAACAAAAAAGTTCCTTTATCATATAACTTGTCACCCGCAGGTTGCAAATTTCAAAAATTGCTGAATTTTGCGTTAAACTGGCAAGAACTTTCTTTACAAAACAAAAAATGGCAAGAATTTTCTTCACAAACCTTAAATGTCATTCTTTTCCAGAGGAGCGTGGAACCTAAGAGATATAATGGCATCAGGAGGCACGGACGCAGTAAAATACCTCAACTGTTGTGAACGACGAACCTGTCCAGACGACCCAATGAACATACAGTACACCTCAGGCACCACCGGCATTCAGAAAGCCGCTACACTAACTCACTTTGGCATCCTAAACGTGGCCAAGTTGGTGGGCCGAGGGATGGGCATGGACGAGAATGTCAGGTTATGCATTCCAAACCCCCTCTTCCACTGCTTCGGCTCAGTCATCGGTACCATCACGGTACCACAAATGGGTGGTACCATGGTCTTTCCCTCGTCCTGGTTTAATGCCGAACTCACAGCCAGCACGATTCATGAGTACGGGTGCACGGCTTTGTATGGCACACCAACAATGTTTGTTGGAGTGCTGGAAGCGGCCAAAAACAAAGGATTTCGATTGGATAAATGCAAAAAAGGTAAGGTTTGAAGAGGAATTTGATTTTTTTGGATGAATATTGATGGAAAGTTTTTGCCATTTTTTGTTTTGTAAAGAAAGTCTTTGCCCTTTTTCACTTTGGAAAGTAAGTTCTGGCCATTTCTTGTTTTGTAAAGAAAGTTCTTGCCATTTTTTTTATTTTTCTTGTCATTTTAAGTCTTGTAAGGAAAGTTCTTGCAATTTTTTATTTTGTAAAGAAAGTTCTTGCCATTTTCTTTTTTTGTAAAGAAAGTTCTTGCCATTTTTTTTGTTTTGAAAGGAAAATTCTTTTAATTTTTTATTCTGTAAAGAAAGTTTTCGTTTTTCTTGTAAAATAGACGAACTTTGTATTTTCGCAGCCTGCGGGAGACATGTGATACTCTGGGAAAGATTTTTTGTTTTGTAAAAGAATTTCTTGCCGTTTCTAATACAAAAAATTAAAGATTGGCAAGAACTTTCTTTACAAAACCAAAAATGGCAAAAATTTTCTTTACAAATCAAAAAATTGCAAGAACTTTCTTTACAAAAAAAATGGCAAAACCTTTATTTCCAAAAATATTTCCAATTTTTTTTTAATTCCAGGAATAATTGGCGGATCCCCCTGCCCTCAACCCCTATGTCAAGAGCTAGTCGAAGCCGGAATGACAGAACTAACAACAAGTTATGGCACAACCGAGATGAGTTCATGTATAACACTGACCGACTACAAGATGGATCCATTCGAGCGAATCAAGAACGTCGGCCGCGTCTTACCGCACAATGAGTTGGCCATAATGGACAGTCGCGGACGTTCCGTGCCTCGCGGCACAGCGGGAGAGATCTGGGTTCGAGGGCCGGGCACTATGCGCTACTACTATGATGAGCCGGGAGAGACGGCTAAAGCTATCAGTGCTGACCGGTGGTATCATACTGGGTAGGGTAATATCGATGATATTTTTGGTTTGGGCAGGGTAATATTAAATGTTTTTTTGATTGGGGAGGATAGTCTAGTTTTTTTGTTTGGGGTAGGGTAATGTTGATCTTATTTTTGGTTTGGGCAGGGTAAAGCTTGCTTTGTAAAGAAAGTTCTTGCCATTTTTGTGTCTTGTAAAGGAAGTTATTGCCATTTTTTGTTTTGTAGAAAGTTCTTGCAATTTTACGTTTTGTAAAGAAAGTTCTTGCCATTTTTTGCTTTATAGACCAAGTGTAATACAAAAAAAATTTAAGTGATATGGGCTACATGAATGAAGACGGCACAATCGCAATATCCGGTCGACTACGTGACATGATCATCCGTGGTGGAGAGAACATTTATCCCGCCGAAATTGAGCAGTTTTTGTATAGACATCCATCCATTTCTAATGCTTATGTAAGCTCTTAACTAAGTGGTATCACCTACTACAATATCATTTTTATCTACTGTAATATGACTTCAGCACCTATTACAATATAACTTCACTACCTTCTACAATATGAATTCACCACCTATTACAATATAAATTTTCAGGTAGTAGGGATTCCGGACCATAAATACGGAGAAAAAGTGTGTGCAGTCATCATTCTGAAGCCAAATGCCCCCAAGTTGACGGCCGAAGAAGTGAAAAAGTTTTGCAGACACAAGATTTCACACTACAAGATACCAGAGTTCATTCTGTTCAAAGACGAGGAATGCATCCCAATGACAACATCAGGCAAAGTCAAGAAGTTTGTACTGTCACAGAAGTGCCAAAAAGCCCTGGGGCGAAAGCCACGATCCAAATTTTGATGGATTTTTGAAATTGTGTTAGGTTTTCTTAAAGGAAAGATAAATAAATGTGATACTGAATGGGATTTGTACTGTATTTTGCTTTTTCTTGGCTAATATTTTAGTTTTTTGGCTAAAATAATAATATAGATATTACCTTATGATCCGTCGTGTTATAGTCAATAATAAGGTTTTTCTTTACAAAGGTAAATTATATTAAAAAGTGATTAAAATAGGACTGAAAGGGGAACCACTAGGGCTGGATCGAGCGAGTCCGAGAGCAGACACGGCAATCGGGCCGGGCTGAAAAATCAGCCCGGCCCAATTGCCACGTCTACCCGAGAGCCAAGCCTAAGTGAAGGCTTTAGAGGCCCGGATTAGATCCCGATCTTATAGATATAGACATTTTTTGATAATGTTCATCTTCCAATAGCATCAAAACCTCTAAAACCTCAATTCAACCCAAAATTAAACATCAACCGCGCAATTAAGGACCTTAAACGTACGTGATATCCTCTCGAAATCGTATCTTTTCTCGGAAAAAGCAGTGTCGCGCGCGCATTTTCGAATCTTATACTGCGCATTATTGTGGCTAAGGCAAGGTATAGGTAAGGCATTCGAGACGCTTAGTAAATTAAAGCCAATATGTGAATAAGGGTTGACTAAATATCTCTTTATTGACTTGATCTCACTCAAATAACCCTCGCTACTTTGTATTTTTGTATTTATTTGTTAGTTTATTTATTAAAATGGCTCCAAACGTCGCCTCCACCACCGTGACTCCAACTGTTGAAAGGTAACTTTTATTATTATTTTTTAGAAAATTATTATTATCTTTAGGCATGGGGAAAAGCCCGGCCCGTTTGCAGGTAAGACAAAATTCGGGTCCGGGCAAGCTTAACACTCAGGCCTCAAAAGTAGGCATAAAAAGATCCCCATGTCTAATTATCTTGCCAGATTGAGTTAACATTTAGTGTTAAAATACTAAAATCTCAGTAAAATAAGTGCTTGTTTATTATGATCTAAAGTTTCCTTCTAATTGTAAGCTGTTTTGGCTTTTATACCGATTTTGGATTATTTCAGAATGGACATGGGCTATTTGAATGTGATTCGCGTTTTGGAAGAGGCCTCAATTTCAGACGTGTCTTTGATGTCTAATGCTGGATTTAGCCCTGAATATGAAAGAGTCAATTGGCTTCAACCAGCTGAATATGATACTATGGCTGAGTCGGCGTCTAGTGAAGAAAGTGAAGTTGAAGAAGAAGACAGTGAAGTCGAAGAAGACGCGCTAGGCGCTCCGGCACGGTCAACACCAAAAGACGTAGAATACGAGTTGGACGATGCAATCAGCAAAATCTGGAGTGATGCTCCAACGCCAACTTCAAGTGAAGAGAATGAAAGAGAGTCGGTGTTGTGCATGGACAAAAGGTGGCAGTGGAACGGTGACAAAGCTTTCAAAGACTTGTATAAGGTAGCTCAGAATCTGTCGGATGTAACTGAAAAGGACTTGGAACAAGTTGCAGAAGAAAAATACTTAAAGCAAGTTAAAATCAACGACAACAAAGCCGCGCCAGTTACCCAAACTAAACCTCGTCCAATCAGTCCTCGACCTTTTCAAACAGTACAGCCGAAAGTCCGACCAAGCCAGCCCAACGTTCTACCTACTCATCCACCCCCAGTCTACTTAACAACTGTTCGTACACAACAATTTGTTCAGCCTCACCCAAGTCTAGCACCATCATATCAATCCTACCCAACAGAGCCGCTTTACGGCCAGCCACCACAGCATATTATTGGGTATCAACCAGTGGTCGTATCTCAAGAAGTCCAGTCTTTACCTGTCAATCAACCATTGCTATCTCAACCTAGCTATTATCAGCCGGTCCAGCAACAATATCAAGTCATTCCAAGCCAGCCCGCGCCAGTCTATCATCAAATAAACCCTAGTTATCATGCTCCAGTCCAACCCGTTTACCAGCCAGTAGCTTCAACGGTGTATCAACCACATGTCCAGCCAGTGTATCAACTACCTAACCAACCCATTTATCAGCCAGTACCTCAGACCGTGTACCAACCACCTACCCAGACTAGTTATCAGGCAGCAGCCCAGAATATTGATCAGCCAGTCCCACAGATGGGGTACCAGCCAGCAACTCAAACGGTATATCAACCATCTACTCAGACTATTTATCAGCCTGCACCTCAGACAGTATATCAGCCAACAGTGGTCTATCAGCCACCTTCACAGCCCGTTTACCAACCAGCATATCAACCACCAGTCCAGACTACATACCTACAGCCCGCTCAACCAGTCTATCAAACTTCATATCAGCCTTCGAGTCAGCCAATATACCAACCACCAGCACGGCCTGTCTACGGACAACCGCCGCCCATCATTACTCAAGCATCACACCCAGGCTTTCAAAATGAATTGTATGAATATTATTAATAATTTTTGAGTATTATCAATCGAAACTTAAACAGTCAGTAAATGCTTTATTAAATTATTAAGACTCGTATAACTGTGGTAACCTGCGAACTCTTGTTGTTTTAAATAATATAATAAAATATAACTGTATGAATAAAAATCTGGTATAATGCACAAATTCCTATATTGGAAATTTTCAACCTTCTTATGTTTTTGTTATCTCAATTAAATTTAAGCCTTGTTTTGTAGAAACTGTAGCATCAGAGAATCAAGCTGCCAAATATCAAAGAATTGAACTTGGTGGTGGCTTTCTACAAAGTTTGTCGCTGTGTCCTGGAATGAATACTTATTTATGGTTTGGTAGAATAGATCTATGATAGGGTAGAATAGGGCTATGATAGGGTAGGGTGGGGCGATAATACGGTAAGATAACGCTATGATATGGTAGAACAGGGCTATGATAGGGTAGCATACGGCTATGAAACGGTAAGATATGGCTATGATAGGGCAGGACAGAGTAGGTTAGGGGTAGGGTAAGGTAAGGTATTGTAGGATAGGGCAAAATAAGGTAGGTTAGGGTAAAATAGAGTAGGGTATGGTAAAGTGAGGTAGGAAATGTAGCTAAAAACCTACAAAAATTGGTGAAAGCAACATAAAAATGTTGCCAATTCTTTCCGCCTTATGTAGTTGACCACATGAATCAGGGTAATTGTGATGAAGGCATTGTATGATATTATCTACTTGATTGTTTAATATAAGTTTTGTTTCTTTTGATACATCCGGAATGGCTGAAACTATACGTTATTTAAACCTGAAGTTTTTAAATATAAAAGAAGGTTTACAAAATATCATTGATACTAGTAATAAGACAATACATTTTTTCTAGTTAAAATCTTTTTAAACTTCAAAAAATATAATTTAAAAATTGAAAAATAAAATTGAAAAAAAAATTAATTGAAAATCCTACTCATTTGCATTGTGATAATGGCTTTTAACGCCACAAATTCGTCAAAAGATAGATCCAGCACGAAGAATTGGTCAAGAATATCTGATTTGATTCTGTTTAAGAGTGGCCAGTATATTCTAAAAATTAAATTTTTAAAATTAATATTTTAAAAAATGTCTTTTTGAAATAACGTTTCACTACTAATTGGTTTATTTACTCTTTATTTTGTAAAGGAAGTTTTTGTCATTTCAGAACTTGTATTAAACAAACTTATGTACGCGCGAATAATTCGACCGTACGCAAGTTTTTTTCCATTTTCTATATTGTTAAGAAAGTTCTTGCCATTTTCCGTTTTGTAAAGAAAGTTCTTGCCATTTTTATTTTATATAAATAAAAAAACCGTACAATTTTTTGTTGTCCCGACTGATTTCCTTCTCATCTTCCCATCCGTCATCACTTTCATTCGTCGAGACATAGCCACCATTTTGCATGACAAATTTACTTCGATCCTTTAGCTGTAGCGATATGAAACATGGATCCAAAAGAGTATGATATAAAGCACACTTTCGAAAACATGTCATCTTGTCAGTTTCGTTGAATTGGTGATAGGCTGGCCATACTCGAAGCCATTCGTATATTAGCAGGAGATGGGTTCGAATCGACTTTCGAAAACTTCGAAATTTTAAAGGACGTATATCCGACATTGTGAAACACTAAAATTTAGTTCTACATAGATATTTTAAAGCTTGGAAAGAAAGTTCTTGCTGTTTTTCGCTTTGTAAAGAAAGTTCTTGCCATTTCAGAGTTTGTAACGAAAGTTTTTGCCATTTTGAGTTTTGTAAAGAAAGTTCTAGCAATTTCCAAAAATGTCAGCTTTACGTTTTCTGTAGCCTATACCCATCCTACCCTACCCGACCATACCCGACCCTATATGGCAATGCTCTGCTCTAATTCGCCGTACCCGGCGATACCCAACTTTAACCTGGCCTATACGGCCTTAACTGACCATTCCCGGTTCTATACAGTCCTATCTAATCCTACCTGGCACTACCCGGTCATCACCCAGCCATACTCGGCCCTATACTGCTTTACCCTATCCTACCTGGTCCAACCTTGCCCTACCCGATCCGATCCTTTTCTATCCTACACTACGCGGCGATACCAAGCTTTACGCGGCCAATAACCAGCCCTATCTCGCCATTTCCGGCCGTACTCGCTTTTACCCGGCGATACGCGGCGTTAACAGACCCTATACGGCCCCAAATAGTCATACCCGGCTACTCTATCCCTTTTACCCTAAGTTTGCTGTAATCTTATGTCGGAACATCCAATAATGGGCGGAATCCATAATGGGCGGAATCAATAATGGGCGGAAGGGCGGAATCAATAATGGGCGGCCCGCTTTTTTGACCTATCTGACCCTACCCCTCACCTTTTTGGCCCTACCTGACCCTATCCCTCACCTTTTTGGCCCTACTTGACCCTACCCCTCACCTTTTTGGCCCTACCTGACCCTACCCCTCAGGTGGGGCCAAATAGGTGAGGGCTGGGGTCAGGTAGGACCAAAAAGGTCAGAGGTAGGGTATTTTTATATAATAAACGGGCCGCCCATTATTGATTCCGCCCATTATGGATTCCGCCCATTGTTGGACGCAGCCATCTTATGTTAGTTTTGCGACTGCAGTTTTCCCCTACCCTAACCTTCTCTTTGAAATTACCCTGCTATTTTCAAACTCTCCAACATTTGTAAACAAAGTTCTTGCCATTAAAAAACAAAAAACGTACGCACTCCTTGGTCTGTCCCACTAAACTAGCCACCGGGCGTTCACAGAACATTATCCTTCTTCTTTCGCTGATCTTCATCTCTTCAGCGATGAAGATTTTGAGTAAATTCTCGTCTACACACGCCCGAGGGCTTGAAATTGAAGATTCTGGAGAGGTGACGGGTTGGGACATCTGTTGAGATGACGAACATGAAGGTAGGTCTTCTTCAGGTAGTTCCTCCGTTTTTATTTGGGGTAGGTCAATTAGTGGGGTTGATATTGAAAAGTTTTTGAGTTTTAACTAAAAATTTTTTAAAATTCAAAAATTTTAATTTTTTTAAATTCAAAATTTTAATTTTTTTTAAAAATATTTTTTGTTACCATAATCAATTTTTTCAAAAAACAACTTATTTGTTACCTAAAATTAAAACTACTCATCATACCTCAGTAATTCCAAACCGTTTGTTCCTCCTAAGGCCAGATTGAGTGTAATATGACCTTGTTTTTTGGATTTTCGATTTGGCTGGCATTTGAACACCTAAAACATTATAAACTAAAATAAAATTTCAAAAAATACTTAAAAATGAAAAAATATGACCTACTTTCTCTTTTCATGCCGACTTTAATGCACTTTTGCATTCTACAGGCCCGACACAACGCTCTTTCAGCTGAAAAAACAAAATTAGAATCCCACTCTCAATTTTAATTTTAGTAAAAATTTAAAAGTATTATTTAAATTTCGATAAAAAAATAAAAAAGTTTTTAAAACCAATTTTTGTTATCTAAAAACATTGTTAAAGGCCATTGATTAAGAGAACAAAGCGCCCCGACCCCGTGGTGAGATGGCCGAGTGGTCTAAGGCGCTGGTTTAAGGCACCAGTCTCTTCGGAGGCGTGGGTTCGAATCCCACTCTCATCAGAAAGCTTTTTGATAAAAAAAATTTAAAATATGGTTTAAAATGTACTCGTAAGTTAAAATTTTAATTAAATAATACCTTTTTGATTAAAATTTTTATGTTATAGTAGATAAAAAATGGCAAAAAAGTAAAGATCATGCAAAAAATTAAAAAAAGTTTAACTTTTAAGTAAAATACGACTTCCAAAATTAGCAATGGTGTAATGCAAACCTTTTTTCGGTATTATAAACAAGGTCACTTTGCTTTTTTAATAAAATGTTTGTAAAAAAACAAGACAAATTTTAAAAAAGAACTTACTGTAAAGTATTGTGCAGTTGTTCTGCCCATTTATACATGTATATTCTCGCCCTAATGACACTGCACGACGAAAAAAGGCAGCACACGCTGAACCTAAAAAAAGCAATACTTTAAAAATTTTGTCATTTAACCATCATACCCTACCCTACCCTACCCTACCCTACCCTACCCTACCCTACCCTACCCTACCTACCCTACCTACCCTACCTACCCTACCTACCCTACCTACCCTACCTACCCTACCTACCCTACCCTACCCTGCCCCACCAAACCCTTGAATAACTTACAAGACTGTGCATCGAAGTGAAAGCCCGTGGCATGAGCGGAACATATTTTACAATCGTACTGTTCGACTTCTACTGTAAACATTAATCGTCATCACAATATCAATATTTTTGATTGTATGATGTAATATCAATATTTTCATTAAAAATGTAACGGTATATATTATAATACAAAAGAATACCATTTCATGGATAGATGGCTTTAAAATAGATTATGGTACAGCTAAAGTTGTAAAATAGTACTGTTAAAGAGACTTACAGCTCTCCACATCGACGTGTTCGTTCTCTTCACTGGCTGGGTCACTGCTCATTTTTAAATCTGAAATACGTCATTTCATTAAGATTTTTTAAAAACCTTATGTAACAAGTAATTGTCAATCGTTAGCCTAAGCCGTCCACAATACAAGCATAACTATGAAGTAGCGTAGGCCTAAGGCTACAATTTAGCATGACCTCAAACTCAAGCACGACCTTTAATTTCGTGCCTACGTTATTAAAAATAAGCATCATCTAAAGCTTGACCCTCAGCCTAATCCGAAGCTTAAGCCTAAAACTAAGTCCTAAGACTTAAAACAAACCTAACCTAAAGGTTAAGCTTAAAATTAAGCCTGAGCTAGGTCTGATTCTAAGCCTAAACTTAAGCTAATTCTTAAGACGAAGTTTCTGCCTTAGCTTAATCCTAAAATTAAGCCTAAATCTTAACTTGAACTTGAACTTAAGCCGAAGCCTAAGCTTAATTCTGACGATGTCTCCAAGCCTAAGCCTAAAACAAAGTCTGAGCTTAAGCCCGTGTCTAAAAATAAGTTTAATTCTAGAATTAAACCTAACCTTGATACTAAGCTTAATCCTAATCTTATATCCAAGCCTAACCTTAATTACGCGCTTAAAAATAAGCCTAAGCCTACTCTTCAGCCTAATTCTAAACCAAGCCCGAACCTAAACTCGAACCTTAGCTAAAACTTCAAAATAACATTAATTTAAAACTTTATAAAGTAAAAACCGATTAAAAACAAGAAAAACACGCAAAAACGTCTCGAAAATTTGAGTTATACCAAAAAATAAGATCTATATTACACACCAATGACCAGTGCGATGACACCAAAAGACCGATGAGCGAACATTGAATCAAATTTCTTTCAACAACCTTATAATACAATCTATATACGACATTTTTCGAGTCGTTTCGACATCTAAAACTGTTTTAAAATAGCTCTCTTACTAATTCTTTAAACTTGAAATTTCAAAAAAATCAAAATTTATGAAAATAGAAATTTTAAAAAACTTTAAATTTTAAAGTTTTATTCAAATTTTTTTTGAATAAAAGTGAAGTAAAGTTTAACTTTCAATTTTTGTTACCTAAAACCATTGTTAAAGGGCATTGATCAATAGAACAAAGCGTCCCGAAGCCCGTGGTGAGATGGCCGAGTGGTCTAAGGCGCTGGTTTAAGGCACCAGTCTCTTCGGAGGCGTGGGTTCGAATCCCACTCTCATCAGAAATCTTTTTTACCTTTCTTGAATAAAAACGAACTTAAAATGTAATTTAAAATGTGGCCAAAAATTAAAATTTTAACTTACAGATGGTTTTTTTAATAAACTTTTTTGAAATTTTACGTTATAGTGGACAAATAATGGCAAAAAAAGATAAATGTTTGAAAAAAACGGCCAGAAAATACATAAAATTTAACTATTTAGTAAAATACGTCCCCTGCAGTTTGGAAGTAATATTTTAACTTATTTTTTAGGTATTATAAACAATGTCACATGTTTTATTCTTGACATTTTTACTAAAAAACCCCAAAGATGACCTAAAAACTCCAACTAATGCCATTTTTGGTGAAATATGGGTTTAAAATAGCTGATATAGTTTTTTAAACGCTTTTATTAGTTTTATAAACAATGTCAAATGCCTTTGTGCTAATATTTTTACTAAAAAAGACAAAAAACAGTCTAAAAATTTAATTTTTGACCAATATCCCACATATCTTTGTCCAAAAATTAACAAAACCTTAAATTTTAAAATTTAAAACTATTTTTAAAAAGCAAAGCAAAGAAAACGTGGAAAAAACTTATTAACCCGTTATCTACAAGCGTCAGATCAAACAGTTTCGTCAAAAAATAGCGGTAAACATTTGAAAAACGATTTGAAAAAGTGGAAATTAGCAGAAAAAGAAGAGTCATAGAAAGACTTTGAACCAGCACAATCAAGAGATCTTTTCCACTTTTAACGAGTTGATTCGTTGTTTTTTACCTCAAAGCACTTCCTCAGCTCCTGTTCAGAGCCCTAGTCCAGACTAGCTCAGAACGCTAGCCCAGAGCCCTAGTCCAAAGCCCTAGCCCAGAGCCCTAGATTAGAGCCTTATCCTTAGCCCAGTGTCCTTACTCATGCTTACGAACAACCTCAGCCTATGCCTTAGTACATGCTCACCCTATGCCCAAGCCCTATTACATGCCTGTGACCATGCTCTTGTTGATGCTTATGCCCATTCCTATGTGCATGCCCACGCATATGCCATAGTCCTGGCTGTAGCTTTAACTTTAGTTTTAGTGCTAGTTGTAGTCCTAGCCTAGTCCTAATTAAAATTAATTAAAATACCTTGTGTAAATTAGTGTAATTCGTTAAAACATCAAAAATCAGGCAGAAAATAACAAACAACAAGACTTCTTCTAGTATTTTATATATTTTTAAATTGAAGTATTGATCAATTTTTAACAAAAAACCTATTCTTCCTTGCTCCTACCTTTTGTCCTAGAACTACCCCTGCCGGTATGGAGCCTAAATTTACCATGCCATACATATATTTTTATTTCGCAATTTTCTGGCAAAAAAAACACCCCAAAAGATAGGTAACTGTAAAAAAAGGTTATAAAATTTACCACATCCGATCAAAATCCCAACCTCCAGTTATAAAAATCATATAAAAAAAATAAAAAATCATTGATCGTCGTCAAACTTTCGTCACATAAACAATGTTTTTTCCACAAAAAAGCCGTCGAAATATTTCTTAAAGTTCTAATCAAATCAAAAGCCCTCGCTTCAATCGCAAAATTGTTTAAAATTTGGTCGCTTTTGTATTTGATAAAAATTCCCGCAAGCAATACATTTTTCACAAAACCCTTCCCCCCCCCTTTTTTAGTTCATTACTCTTTGGAGATCAAAGTTTCGATAATAACACAGAAATGTAAAACAAAGTTGGCGGTAAGCTATTTATAGTAACTGGTTGAAAACTGGAAGTAGTAGAGAGGGATAGAGGATTAGAAGAATAGGGTAGAAAATAAATATAATAAAGACTAAAATGATGAATTTTAAGCACATTTTAAACCGTTATTTACGTTTATTTTATCACAAAAACAACCAAAAAGCTTACTGATGAGAGTGGGATTCGAACTCACGCCTCCGAAGAGACTGGTGCCTTAAGCCAGCGCCTTAGACCACTCGGCCATCTCACTACGGGCCTCGAAGCGCTTTGTTTTCTTGATCAATGCCCTTTAGCAAAGTTTTTAGGTAACAAAAATTGAAATTTAAACTTTTGTTAGTTTTTTCATAATAAATCTTGAATTTCCATAAAAAGTGTGTACTGTTAGTTTGCCTGAGACTCCTCTTATGCAAATTTACTATTTTTACTATTAATAAAATATTTTCATTATTGTTTCTATTTCTAAAGTGTGATCGGGTTTTAAATGTCGCGACCTTTCAAGAGTTTTAAGAAAGTTGTATTTGGGAAGAAAGGTAACTTTTGACGTATTTAATTAATTGAATAGGTTCTGATTATGAGTGTTTTAACTTGAATATTTATTATCTTTTTCAGGGGATGTTGAGGCGGAGAAGGACGATCAACAGGCGGCTAGAACAGAGGGAGGGCCAAGAACTCGTGTACAATCCGATCAGAAGAAGAATGACTCTACTGAGGCGGCTAAAACTGTAAGTCTATTATTAGGTTGTCTTAAAAATAGTGGGGCACTTTTCATCGGATAACTGCTCAATTTTTTAAAAAACTTGTGCAACATTCTTTTTAATGATGTACCAATGTTTGAAGAGTTATACGGCGAATCGACTGGTAGAAAAATTATGTCTATTAAATCAGTTTGTAGTAGGCTTTTGTACCGTTTTTAGAAGGTGAGTAGCTACATTAAAATTCAATCTTTAGGATGATTCCGGGAGAATATCGTTTAAAGATTTGGAGGAGCCGAAGACAAGAAAGACGAAGGAGAAGAATTCAAAATCTACACATAAATCACACAACAAGGTAATTTTAGAAACTTTACGGTCTTCATCAAAGTACTAAATCGCGTTTTCCGGTTAATCTCGAGAAAACTGAGATTAAAAAAATTACGTTTTGAATTTTAGGCCAAGTTGGCATTGTGTTTCAAGCTTATAACTTTGCCATTTTTTGACTTTTAGGAATTTTTCGTTAAAATACTAGTAGAATACCTATAAATGAACCTACATTTTAAATTTCTGAGTGTAGCTTGTCTGGAAAGTCGAAAAAAGTGCTTGACACAATGCCAAACTGGCGGGAAACCGAAATAATTAAAATTTTTTAGAAATTTTTTATGGGTGCTATTAGTAGTACAAGGAATTGATATAAAAATTTGCTACTTTCTTTGTTAGTTATCTTTTTAAGCGGAGTCCTATTAACGAATTTTGACTTTTCAGACTTCATCGACACATGTTAACATCAAGTCCGGCAACAAGAAGACCATTGAGAAACGGACAATAAAGAACAATGGAAACTACTTTGAGGGAGGAATTTCGGTAGGTTATGGTAAAAGGTAGATCATTAAAAAATAAAAAATTATATTTTTGATCGGATTGATTCCTCAATTTATTCCTTTCCTAAAACGAAAAGGTTCAAATGATTTTTTACGTATTTTCTTTGGTCGCTAATATCAGGCTAGCTGACTAGGGAAGTCATTTTCCTTGGGTTGGAGTTGCGAAATGAGACGTAGACCATGGAAAGATCTCGTTCTAACTTATTTTTGGCGCTCCCTTATTTAAAGCACCCATCCAACCTATTTGACACACCCAAATTTCGGTCTCCAAATTTGAATATCCACAAAACCCAAAAATTGCTTTTTGCAATTGTGATTTCTTTTCATTTTGAAAATTAACTCTGTTCCCGTGCGGTAGCGCGGATATGGAAAAACGTCTCGGAGAGCTCACTGTTCGAACTTGGTCCAAGTTCGAAAGTATCATGCTTAAAAATGGTATAGTACGTAAGGATGTCCCGGTAGGTTTTGTTTTATTTCTGTGGAAAGACGCAGATATTTGTAGAAAATCAAGGATAGGGTAGTTTAAGCTACAGTATATAAAGGTAGGGTACGGGTTGCTAAAATTGTGTCGGGCGGGGTAGGGTACAGGAAGGATAATTTAGGGCAGAGGGGTTAAGTAGGGTTGGGAGAAGAAATAAAGGATAGGGCAGGTCAGGATAGAGTAAATTAAATAATGAGCTGATAACGTAATGAAATTTCAGACCCGAGGAACTGCAAGCGAAAGGAGATTAAGGCAAGTGAGGTACACCTTCAATTTTCATGATAAGTGTGACTGTGTTTTGAGAAAGTTGAAGATGAAGAAACAGAAGAAGAAAAAGGAGAAACAACAGTTGAATTCATTAAACAACTTGTTTATTGAGAACCGAACGCCCACCTCCAAAATGACACCGTATAACTTTTATAAAGCGCTGGGCTTTACTATATTTGAGCAGAAGTTTTTCCCATTGAGTGCGAACGAATTCTACACTACTTACAAAGTGGAGATCAACAACGAAGATGAAAGCAACATTGAGACCGACAAGAAGCGAAAGAGCAAAAACCCTAAGAACAGCAGTCAATGAATTGTGTTAAATCTTAAATAAATACCATATTGACTATATTTCGGTTATGTTAAGGGATTAAAGTTTTATTCACGATAATCACAGACAAAATAAGTACTATAGTAAATAATCACAGGTATAAGACATCACGAGTGCATAGTGTTATGTAGCCCAAGTTAGAAATGAGATTGAGTTAAACAAGGTACCAGTAAAGAGTTTGGGGACCAGTTATATTTGTTGAAGTTGATCGGCAATCTGCTTCATTAGATCAGAGTTGAGTCGCTTTGCCACTTTGCGCTGACATTGCTCGTCCAGATTCTTGTATTTAGCCATATACTGAAATAAAATGAATTATTGAAAACAAACAACACATTTTAAGCTTCTAAACCTGTTCTTAAGCCTAAAGCAACCCGAATTTAAAAAAAAACTTACAAAATTCAAGTTCTTGGCCACAGTAATGCCCTCTACCATTTGTTCGATTGAACCGTACGCCGTGCTTCCGGGCTCTTTTTCCACTTTATTCTGAAGTTTCTCCAGAAAAGTGGTCAGCTTCTTCATATTATTCGACTTGCTTAGGTCCATGTTCAGGAATTCGGCCTGAAAATTCACAAAATTTTAAATTTATGGCATTTTTTTCATTTTCAGGCAATTTTTTAAATTTTGAAATAAAAAAAAATTGTACCAACACCTGAACATGAACATCAAAACATTGATGATTTACCATGCCCTGCTCAATACATTTCAAGCTTATGCTCAGTGCCCTGCCCAATACAGAGCATTTCAATTCCATGCCCCGCCCTGTGGCCAACCCTGATCATCATACCTCCAACCTGCCCACATTGACATCGGATTGATCATATAAGTCAAACAACGATCGTTGAAACACATTTTGTCGCTTTTGTGGAGTGATAGTACCCATCTTGTTTCGTGCTGGAGACTGGGACTTCGCTCTGGATCGAGCGGTGGGCCTGAAAAACGACTAATAGTGTAAGTTCTTGTCGTTTTTTGCTTTGTAAACAAAGTTCTTGTCACTTTTTGTTTCGTAAAGAAATTTCTTTTCGTTTTCTGTCTTGGAAAGAAAGTACTTGCCGTTTTTTGCCTTGTAGAGAAAGTTATGCCATTTTTTTATTGTAAAGAAAGTTCTTGCCATTTTTGTTTCGTAAAGTAAGTTATAGCCATTTTTAGCTTGTAAAGAACGTTCTTGTTATTTTAGTTTTTGTAAAAAAAGTTCTTGCCATTTTCATTTCAAAAAACATAAAATATCAATATAAACTCACCCAACAGAATATGCAGCTCTTGCCTCTTGAAGCCATTGAATTCGTTCGTCTCTAGATGGTGTGTGGTCTCTTTGTCTTGATTGTGCTCGAGAACGCATGACTTTCAGTTGGGTACCTGAAAATGTGAGTATAGAGCAAACCCATTTAATTTTAATAAGTGTAAACAAAGTTCTTGTCATTTTATGTCTTGTAAGTAAAGTTCCTGTCATTTTTGTTTTTTAAAGAAAGTTCTTGTCATTTTTCACCTTGTAAAAAAAGTTCCTGCCATTTAACGTTTTGTAAAGAAAGTTTTTGCAATTTGTAACATTTCAAATCAAACTTCAACCAAATCTTTTAGAAATTAAGTAAATAACAAGAACTTTCTTTCCAAAAACAAAAACTTTCCAAAAAACGCCCATTTCATTTAAATTTCACATTCTTTCCAAAAAAGTCGAAAACCATTAATATATTTACACCTCTCCAAAGCATACCACAAGGTAAGCCTAAAACAACATCAATATCTACATTAAAAACAAAAAAACCAAAAAAAAAACAAGTCAGCACTACTAATACCAGGTTAAAACCACTATAGTCAAGCCAATAACAACAAAATCCTTTGTTTATTAATAATTACAGGTCAAAAAGTGAATCGAAAGTCAAATCCCTTATACAAAAAGTCGAAAATTATTGAAATAAAAGCAAAGAATGATAATAAGATCCAAAAGAATAATAAACGTAGAACATAACGGTCATTATTCACATCAACCGACAAGATTTGTCTGGTTTTTGGCTTCCACTTGACGTGGACTTGGCCTTTGATGATGGAGAATGATAGTATTCTTGTGAAGACTTCGTGTTCTCAGTGCTCTCTGACTCGACAGACTGAAAAAATGTTATTATAGACAAAATATTAGCTGAAACTTTCTGTTTTAGGCAAAATATTACCTAAAAATTAATGTTACAAGCAACTTTTTACCTAAATTTCCAAAAAATATCAAAAAACCTGCCAAAATTGCCCTAAATTAAACAAATACGCTAAATATTACCTAAAATTTCATAAAACATCCAAAAAACAAGCTCAAATTCCTTAAAAACCATTCACTCCACTATGTTAACCAACCTTAGCAGTAGAACTGCGGCTCGTAACGGTATTCTCATCATTTTCAGTACCATCAAATCGTGCTTCCCATGCATGAAGATCCAGCTTCCATTGTTTGACAGCCGCATCCCAAGCCCTTCTTGAACATTCTTGATACTTATTCGGCGTTTGTGGACATTGACGGTCTCGCTTGTGATATGGCACGTTTTCCATGTATTTTCGGTACACTTTCTTGTCCTTGCCCTTGTCCAACTCCTTTGTACGACGAGCCAACACTTCTTCTGGTATGTTACACTGATGTCTGTCTCCACAACCATCGACTTTTTGACTGAAAAAGAATGAGTTATTGTGTTAAAGTATGAGATAGTTAACGTCAACTAAAACAATGTACTGCATAAATAATTATATAGAAATTTCTTTCTTTGTTTTACATTATCGTTTACAGTGGTATCGTAAAGCTTTTCAGTAAATTTTAGGTATATATGATCCACATTCATCAAGAAACCATAACTTTCTCATCAGTAATAGCATTCAGTACTAGTAGTTACTTAAAATAAGATACAACTCGAAAATTAATATGCGCGTTATCTTTAAACTTTGTGATATGATGAGCTATAGTATTGAGCCGCGTCTCACAAATTTTCAGCATATTTTTCTACCTAAACAAGCAGAAATGACATCTAAAGCTCAACCGCCTACTGCAATAACCTAACACAACAAAAACCGCTAATTTCCCAAAAGTATCGTTCCCATATTTATTTCAATCTTTTCAGAGATTCGTACCTAAAATGCAAAACAAAATAAAACACGTACCCTTTGCGAGCATACAATGCTCTGATATCGTCGTAGTTTTTTCCTGGAACCCGATTCAAAAACTTGAGTTCCTTGGGTGCCAAACCCGCCTTCTTTCCACGCTGGTTCCATTCATCGTCAGACTTGATGTAGAGAATGTCCAGAAGATCGTCACGTCCATACCGACAAGATGAAGAATCCAAAGACGACGCTTCAACCTGAAAATTACAGTTTTAGCAATGAATCTACCGCTATATCACGTTTTCAGTGTAAAATAGACCTATAAGCACCAAAAAACTATAAAAATATCAAAATTATGTTTTCAAGCAAAAGGTATCAACGACTTACTTTTTGGCAGAGCTCCTTCAAAACTTGTTCTGTTTCGCAGGCCATGACGAGTAAAACAATAATTTCACCTTAAACAAAGTCAAATATTATTAAATAAACGATAAAGCACGATATTCTAAAAAAAGATGCCAAAATAAACGCGGAATCCAACAACAAAGCTTCAGCAAGGAAAAAATTCGAGGTTTTTCCGTTTGACAATAAAATCTGCGCGCTTTTGGCGTTCTGTTCGCTTTTCGTGGTGAGACCAATGTCTATTTCAGAATTTGAATAAAATTCAATCTCCTGGTCACGAAATTTTTCACATAAAACTTGATTTTCTAACAATTTGTGAAACTTTACTTTCATTATCAACCATTTTCTCCAAAATTCATTTTTAACTTCCTTACTATCTCTCGACCAGTCGTTTGCTATACTCATCATGGTCTACTGGCTGGTGTTCAGTAGCGCCAGCATCGCATTGACATTCGCATGGACCTGTGGTCGGAAACGGCGCAAATTGGCCAAACAGAACTCGACAAAGGAGGACCCAGCTTCAAGTTCGAACAGATCGATCAGAGCAACTTCGAAAGATGGAAACTTGTCGTCCAAGAAGTTTGAAATGAGCAAATCCGACAAGAAGAAGGCTAAGAAGGTGGCTGGAGGCTTTGGCTCTACTAAGGAAGCCAATCCGGTGAAAGTCAACCGGTCGTTGCGAATTCAAAGGACACAGGACGCCAGTAATAGGTAAGGACCTTGTTTTAGGTCATTTTTAGTGTAAGTCGGGATATAGGGCTTTCAAACTTTTAGAAAATATGAAATAGGGTATTTACTAGCTTTGTCATAACAAATTTGCATATTTTTCCTTTTGTAAAGAAAGTTATGGGCCTTAAAAACCAAGTTTTGCCTTAAAAACTAAGTTTTAACACTTTTTTGGCACAGTAAAGAAAGTTTTTGCGACTTTTTTTAAATCTTATTTTTTAGTGATTCAGAAGCGATAAAATCCCGTCTGAAAGATGTGAATGCATTGAGTAAGAAGTTGTCCCAGCAAGAGAAGAAGAAGACCAAAGACGACAGGTCGGGTAGCAGTAAAAAAGAGAAAAAAAAGCGATGAAGCCGGATCAGACGACAAAACCCAAAGTGACAGTAATAAAAAGTAAGTTTTAACAGCATTGTTGTGTTTGTAAAGAAAGTTTTGCCTTTTTTATTGAAAAAAGTTTTTTTTAGAAAAACAAGCAAACCCTTGAGAAGGCATGAAGATGATGTTGATGAAGCCAGTAAAAGCATAAAACCGCCAAAGACAGAAGTAAAGAAGAAAAAAACAAAAGAAAAAGAGAAGAGGGATTCTAGACGGTAGGGTTTTATCTATAATTTTATAGTTTTTGAAGAAAAATTAATGATTTTAGGCTTTTATGGGGCTAAAATTTGGATATTTTAAGTATAGGTCTTGGAAAAGCGAAATTTTTGAACATTTTGGAAAATTTTTAAAAAAGTTGTACACACAGTTTTATAAAGCATAAATAGCTGTATAATATGCCAGAGTTTTGTAATTTTATTTATATTCTAAACAAAAAGTTATGGTGCTTCGAAGTTTAAAAAAGTCTAAATTTTCCAAGAGAAATCGAACTTTTTTTGATTTGCGACCTTTTTAATTGGTCATATCTCTATCATAAGTTTAGATAGGGATATGCATTTTGGACGATAAGTAGAATATAAGCTGCTTTAAAAGATCTATTAATCAGATTTTTTGAAAAATGTCATAATTTCTAAAATTGTTTATTTTTCAGGCCAAAATCCACCTCGTCTGGAACAATAATCGTGGAGCCGGAAAGGAGAGGTGACAGAACGCCAGGAACTGAAAGTTTGATCAGTAAAAGGTTTGCACTTTCAAGCGAAAGCTTGTTGCAGGTAAGTATGATATTATTTTTGAAATTTTAGATATTTTTTTAAATTAAAAATTTTTAAATTTCAGGGCAAGTCGGACTCTTCGAATGCCACAAATACCTCCAATTCAACGGCGACGAATATAAGCACGGCAAGTTTAAATGTGAACAGTGCTCCAAGAGCACCACCGGTAGCGGGACAGGAATCTCAACCAGAAATGGTACCGGTTCTTGGCAGTAAACATCCACAATATAGGACATTACCGTGAGTTATTGAAATATTATGGTTTGTAAAGAAAATTTTTGCGACTTTATGTTTTGTAAAGAAAGTTCTTTCTATTCTTGGTTTTGTATTGAAAATTATTATTATTTTAGGCTTTGGAAAGAAAGTTCTTGCAATTTTTGGTTCTCTAAAGAAAGTTCTTGCCATTTCAGACTTTGTAAAGAAAGTTTTTGTTTTCAGAGCCACAAACAAGACTACAGCATCGCCAGTGAAGAAGAAGAGGCTTGGATGGTTTCGACGAAAGACCAAGACTAAAAAGAAGTGATATCAAGTCAAGAACAACATTTACAACAATACACAAACATCGTATGACATCGTCGTATCAGTTTTTCCACTTTTGAGCATAATAAATGTTGTAGTGACTGGGAAACCAGTATTTTGGTGATTTTTAGGTAGAGCGGGTGAGGTAGGGTATGTTTTTTAAATTTTGTGAAGAAGGGGGGGGGTGAAATGGGCATGGATACTCATTAAACTTATTGAAATCTTGGCGATTTTTCAAAAATAACTAACCAAAACGTTTCCCGTGTGCCGTTGAATTACCTTCAATTAGACAATCTGGGCGCATTTACCCGCTAACACGTTTCTTCCTTCCAAGCAACAAGTTTTAGTTTTTCATAACTTGGATTTTGTAAATACTTTATTATTTTGACCTTTTTCGTGTCTTTAGGCTTCAAAAAGTTGCAGTTGTAGCTTTAGCTTTATCCTTTGCCTTAGCCTATCCCAATGTATTATACTCTACAGTAAAACGGCTGAAACTGGGATTAATATTCAGTTTGATGGTTTTTTGAGGATGATTTATCAAAAAATTTCTATATTCCTTTATTGCAAGCTTATTTTTGGTTTTTAAAGCATTTGTAATATTATAGTAAAAATTTTTAAATTTTTAAAGCCGGGACAAGTAGAGTCCAAAGGAGGTATGGTCCCCTATATAATTGTACAGCAGTACATGCCCGAAGCCGCTGTTAGAGTACATCTGTACTAAGTGAGAGAGCCATGCAACTTTTCAAAATAAATCATTTTAAAATGAAAATTATGTGAAAGTCGGTGAAAAACTTGTCCTATGTCCAGACCATAGGAGGCCCGTAGGGCCACCGTTGGTATGGTAATAAATAATTGCAAACTATGACAAACAAATTATCGAAGAAGACGAACAGAGACCGATTTGGAATGATCAGGTCCCCCCCCCCTCAAACAGGTCCCCCTATCGATCAGGTCCCCCTGCTCAATCAGGTCCCCGCATCGAACAGGTCCCCTCTTTTAAAAAATAAATAAATTCGGCGGAGGGTCGGCGGAGACTTTCAGAGATTCGGCGGAGGGTCGGCGGAAACTTTCGGGGATTCGGCGGAGACTTTCAGAGATTCGGCGGAGGGTCGGCGGAGACTTTCAGAGATTCGGCGGAGGGTCGGCGGAGACTTTCAGAAATTCGGCGGAGGGTCGGCGGAGACTTTAGGGGATTCGGCGGAGGGTCGGCGGAGGCTTTTATGAATTTGGCGGAGACTTTAGAGTATCTACTCGACCCTACCCTTATATACCATATCATACCCTACCATAACGTATCCTATGTACCATACTATATCTTAAAATAATGTACCATATTATACCATACTATTTCCTACCATACTTGAGTATATTATACCATTTACGTTGTTTTACTTACCTATTCTACCATACCCATGGATAGTACACGATAGTGTTGTATAAGATTTAATAAGGTAAGGTATGGCACAGTTTGGTATGGTATGTTATTGTAAGGCATGGTATGCTAGATAGTACAGGGTATATCATTGTATGTTATGGTATGATAGGATATGGTATTGTATGGTATGGTATAATATGATGTGGAAGATATGGTATGGTATTGTATGGTAGGTTATGGTATGTTAGGTACAACATGGTAGAATACGGTATAGTTTGGTATGGTATGTTTAGTAAGATGGGTATGGTATAGTAGGTAACACAAGACATCGTATGATATGGTTATAGTTTAGTTGGGTGAGGTAAAATAAGCAAGGGTAAGGTTGGATAGGGCTGAAAAGGTTAGGCGTAGGGTAGGGTTAAAAAGGGGTAAGGTGGGATAAGGTTGAAAAGGTCAAGGGCAGAGTCAAGTGGATAACCTAAAGCATCCGCCGACCCTCCGCCAAATGCCCTAAAGTCTCCGCCGACCCTCCGCCGAATGCCCGGAAGTCTCCGCCGACCCTCCGCCGAATGCCCGGAAGTCTCCGCCGACCCTCCGCCGAATCCCCGAAAGTCTCCGCCGACTCTCCGCCGAATCCCCTAAAGTCTCCGCCGACCCTCCGCCGAATGCCCGGAAGTCTCCGCCGACCCTCCGCCGAATGCCCGGAAGTCTCCGCCGACCCTCCGCCGAATCCCCGAAAGTCTCCGCCGAATCCCCGAAAGTCTCCGCCGACCCTCCGCCGAATCTCTGAAAGTCTCCGCCGACCCTCCGCCGAATCTCTGAAAGTCTCCGCCGACCCTCCGCCGAATCCCCGAAAGTCTCCGCCGACCCTCCGCCGAATCTCTGAAAGTCTCCGCCGACCCTCCGCCGAATGCCCTAAAGTCTCCGTCGACCCTCCGCCGAATCCCCGAAAGTTTCCGCCGACCCTCCGCCGAATTTATTTATTTTTTAAAAGAGGGGACCTGTTCGATGCGGGGACCTGATTGAGCAGGGGACCTGATCGATAGGGGGACCTGTTTGAGGGGGGACCTGATCATTCCAGACGACAGAGACCAGCCAAACAACCGTCAAAAAATCAAGGAGAGAACAATAAACTGAGTACAAAAACAATTTACAAAAAAAAGTAAAGGTACAAAAGCCAAGAAATGAACAGGTCAGTTTATTCGGTTAAAGATCAGTCACAAGTATCAAGGCTTCTTAGCTTTTTGAAGCTAGGATGGTCGCGAAGTAGATGTGAGTTGGGCGGCCGGACTCGTACCGTTGAAGACGTATGATACTACACTATTCGCATCCCCCTTGAAACCAAACTAAAAAAATCAATAAGAGAACAATAAACTGAGTACAAAAACAATTTACAAAAAAAAGTAAAAGTACAAAAGCCAAGAAATAAAACAATCAGTTTATTCACAAGTATCATGATGGCTTCTTCGCCTTTGGTTGCTCAGATGGTCGGGAAATAGTTGAGGTGAGTTCGGGGCCTGCGTAGTTCCGTTGAAAACGAAAGAAACTCCATTGTTCGAATCTCCCTTGAACCCAAACTGGATTTGGTCCCGGGTCGGCTCCATGTCGGCGATGGTGGAAACTCAGTAGAATGAAGGCTACTGTAAAATTGAGGAGTTTTTATACTGCTTTATTTGTGTGCGTGCACTTTTATGCAAATTTGTTGGGAATTTGTCGAAATTTCGGAATTTTCGCCACTTTTACTTATTTTTTTTTGAATTTTTTGTTTAAACGGTCTATTTTTATGTGATAATTTAAATTTCAGCTGCATCACGCCAGGTCGAAGCTTCATCTAGTTCAATTCAATTATCATGAAAAAAATACCACCGTCATTCACTTCATATTGGCTGGATCAGTACCTAGCCAAAACGAAATCGACCGTAAAATCGTAGGTTTTTCAATTTTTTTGTAATTTTATATCTTGTTAAGAAAGTTGTTGTCATTTTATACTTTGTAAGAAAAGTTCTCGCTATTTTTTGTATTGTAAAGAAAGTTTTTGCCATTTTATGTTTATACAAAAACTGGGAAAAAATGGGTATACAGTATCAGAAATAGAGAAGAACATTCCACTGGTCAACACATAGGACAACCACTAACATACTACGGGTCAACATATTCTTTGTAGATTACTGTAAAGCATATGTGTATTATATATTCAGATTTTGATTAAAATTCACTAAAACTGTGGTAAATTATATTACCATGGCTACAGTAGGCAAAAAGTAGGATACTGTAACCGTAAATTAAGGTTCTGTGATCAAATATTAATTACAGTAACCACAGTAAATTGTATGTATTTAGAAGTTACAGTTAGTAAAAGTATAAATTTATTGAAAATATATTAATTTGTACATAGCAATGGACAAACAATGTAAAGTTATGTTACTCATCAAACGGGTATTTCTTGTGATTTGTCGCTGCTAGGCAAGGGTCGCCTCGGCAAGACTTGATTTGCTTCTTCAGGCCACTTTTGCATGTTCTACAATATGCTTTTGTATTATCAAGCGTTATGTTATATATATTATTCAAAGTAGTAAATATAGAAGTTTCGAAATTTTTAATTTTTTTTATTTTACATGTTAGACTATGGTAAATTCTGACATATAAGCGATATATAAAAAGCCATAAATTCATTTTTGACAACACAAATTAAAAAAGAGTATCCTACCTGCAAGGACAGGTCCTATGCCCAGGCTTGGACGTAGGGCAGGACCCAATTTGCAGCCCTTGATTTTTTTACCCTACCCTACTATACCATACCTACCCTACATAACATTACACACCGTACCGTACCATTCCCTATGTTACCTACTATGCCATACCCATTCACAGGTCGGGTAGCAGTAAAAAGAGAAATCGCACTCAACAAATTAATAACAAAAAGAAAAAAAAGAATAAGAAGAAATTTAAAAAAATAATAAAAAAATAAAGCCAAAAAATGGGTCAATCAAGTTTATGTACGAAAGACAAAGTATTCAATGGTAAGGCAGTTGTGCTGAAGGCTCAGTCTGTGGTGATGAGATCGATTTAACCCGGAGCGGGGCGCTGACGGTGATATTGTTCTGGCAGTTGCCCTGCACGCCACCCCAAACCAATAGAAAACGAATTATTTCCTTTTTTGACACTTCGTCGCGCCACGGTTGTTTTTTAGAATAAAAAAATACCGAAATTGTAAAACATATTTATGAGACAATTCTGTAATAACAAAAATCATATTTGATAAATATAAATCCTTCATCTAAAATTTGCCATTCTTCATTCCATGTTAATATTGCTTTGATCTCAGGATTTGGAACATCAATATCCAATCCCTTTTACAAGTTTTAATTTACAAAATCTTGATTTTACACATCCTGAATCAGTAAAAAACGACGGTTAAAATGACCCCAAAAACGACTATTTATATCAACTACTTTTTCATATCGAAACGCGTGCTTTCCGATATTATAGTAGACCATCTGAGCTTTTAATTTTAAAAAAATTTATACTTTCGCTTTCGATATATGTTTGGAAATTTCACTAAAAATTACCATTTTTGTTACGATCTTGTTACATCAAACTTAAAACGTGAGAAAACAATATAAAATTACTTACCAAGGCACCGTCAAACTCAGTATCTAATATACAACAGCTAAAAATTTATTATACGGTCAAATTTGCTAAAATAACACGTTTGATTGTGTAATAAATCGATAAATGTTGCTGCAAGAAATAGTTTTTGCTACATTTTAGACTAAAATAGTAGAATACTTTTCAATATCAAACAAAAAACCGACCGAAAACAAAAAACAAAGCGAAAAACGAAATGAAACAAATTATCGGAAAAAGGAATCGATTACGAACCGCAACTTTTACTGATCGGTCGACTTGGGGTGGCGTGCCCTGCCCAACGATGCCGGCCCCAAGAGTGTTGCTAGAAGACATAGTAGCGGACTGTGGTGCCTGTTGAAGTGGTTGAACGAGTGGAGATCAGCTCGACAAAGCAGTGGAATGATGGTAATGTAAAATCCCAGCATTTTTATACTGTTTTTTGTGCGTGTACTAATTTTTTCCTTTTTTTATGCAAATTTTTGGGAAATTTGTCGAAAATGGGGAAAACGACCGGTTGACTTTTCTTTCAGTTCCTGGCGTTCTGTCACCTCTCCTTTCCGGCTCCACCATTACTGTTCCAGACGAGGTGGATTTTGGCCTAAAAAATAAAAATTTTTAAAAATTATGACATTTTTCAAAAAATCTGATTAATAGATCTGTTAGAGCAGCTTATATTCTACTTATCGTCCAAAAAGGTCGCAAATCAAAAAAAGTTCGATTTCTCTTGGAAAATTTAGACTTTTTTAAACTTCGAAGCACCATAACTTTTTGTTTAGAGTAATATAAACAAAATTACAAAACTCTGGCATATTATACAGCTATTTATGCTTTATAAAACTGCGTGTACAACTTTTTTAAAAATTTTCCAATATGTTCAAAAATTTCGCTTTTCCAAGACCTATACCTAAAATATCCAAATTTTATCCCCATAAAAGCCTGAAATCATTAATTTTTCTTCAAAAACTACAAAATTATAGATAAAACCCTACCGTCTAGAATCCCTCTTCTCTTTTTCTTTTGTTTTTTTCTTCTTTACTTCTGTCTTTGGCGGTTTTATGCTTTTACTGGCTTCATCAACATCATCTTCATGCTTTCTCAAGGGTTTGCTTGTTTTTCTAAAAATAATCTTTTTTCAATAAAAAAGACAAAACTTTCTTTACAAATTCCAAAAATGCTAAGAAAATTCTTTACAAAGCAAGAAATGACAAAAATTTTCTTTACATAACCTAATACTTCTAGGGGTGAGAAACGGGCCGGGCCGGGCCCACTTTTTGGGCCCGGCCCAGGCCCGGGGCCCAACGTTTAGGCCCGGCCCGTTTTCAATTTTCTCTCAGGCCGGCCCGGCCCGGTCAGAAAATTTCTAGGCCCGGCCCGGTCCGTTTTAAAAAAATTTAAAACTTAAAAAATAAACGGAAATTTGGCTTTAAATTGTTTTTTTAGGTCATTTATGGAGCATAGAATCCAATAAAATCGAAAAACATAAACGGGAATTGAAATAAAAAATTTTAAAAAATTAAAAAATTTTTTTTTCGGGCCCGGGCCAAATTTTCAAGCCCGGCCCGCGGGCCGGGCCTAATCTTTGGGCGCGGCCCGTTTCAATTTTAGCTCAAGGCCGGCCCGGCCCGGCCCGATCGTAGGTCGGGCCGGGCCTAGACGGCCCGTTTCTCACCCCTAAATACTTCAATAACTCACGGCAATGTCCTATATTGTGGATGTTTACCGCCAAGAACCGGTACCATTTCTGGTTGAGATTCCTGTCCCGCTACCGGTGGTCCTCTTGGAGCACTGTTCACATTTAAAAGTGCGTGCTTGTGTTCGTTGCGGTTGAATTGGATGTATTTGTGGCATTCGAAGAGTCCGACTTGCCCTGAAATTTAAAAATTTTTAATTTAAATAATATAAATAAAAAAAAATATCTAAAATTTCAAAAAAAACGAACTTACCTGCAACAAGCTTTCGCTTGAAAGTGCAAACCTTTTACTAATCAAACTTTCAGTTCCTGGCGTTCTGTCACCTCTCCTTTCCGGCTCCACGATTATTGTTCCAGACGAGGTGGAGAACTCTGACCTACTGGATTGTACTTGGTGTTGAACTTGTCGAAGCGATGGAACACTTAACTTCCAATCAAACCCTAAAAATATTATTGCAAAAAGATTTAAAAAAACTTCATTTTTTAAGGGTTTTAAGCTGTAAATTAAAATTTTGAAGTAAAAATAACAAAAAAATTACCAACAAAAACCACCGCTTAAACACGAAATATCAAATAAAAATAATGAAAAAAGAAAAATAAGTAAAAATGATGAAAATTCCCCAATTTCAAAAAATTTCCCAAAAATTTGCATAAAGAAAGGAAAAAATTAGTACACGCACAAAAAAACAGTATAAAAAGGCTGCAATTTCACATTACCATCATTCCATTGCTTTCTCAGAGCAACCGGCACCTTCTCCAACGCTCCCCTTCAACTGCTGGTGATCGATCTCCACACGCTCATCCCTTCCACTGCCACCTCCACACTCATAATGTCATCTGGCAATAACTTGGGAGCCGGAATCGTCGGAACAGGCAACTGCCAAAACACCATCACTGTGGGCGCGCCGCTCCGTGTCACATCCACTCCACAACCACCAACTGACCGCCAAGCTCAACATCCTCATCATTGATTGTTTTGATTACGTTGATTTGTCGATAAACTTACTTTGTTCTTATTTTTTGGTTTTATTTTTTTATTTTTTTAAAAATTTCTTCTTATTTAGGGCATGGTACGGTACGGTATGTAATGTTATGTAGGGTAGGTATGGTATAGTAGGGCAGGATAAAAAAGTCATAACAAATTTGCATATTTTTCTTTTTGTAAAGAAAGTTATTGCCAGTTTGGGCCTTAAAAGCCAAGTTTTGCGTTAAAAACGAAGTTTTAACCCTTTTTTTGCACTGTAAAGAAAGTTTTTGCAGTATTTTCAAAAAAATTTTTTTTCAGTGATTTTGAAGCTATAAAATCCCGTTTGAAAGACGTGAATGCATTAAGAAGTTGTCCAGGCAAGAGAAGAAGAGGACCAAAGACGACAGGTCGGGTAGCAGTAAAAAGAGAAAAAAAGCGATGAAGCCGGATCAGACGACAAAACCCAAAGTGATAGTGATAAAAAGTAAGTTTTAATAGTATTTTTGGAATTTGTAAAGAAAGTTTTGTCTTTTTTATTAAAGAATTCCAGAAAAACAAGTAAGCCCTTGAGAAGGCATGAAGATGATGTTGATGAAGCCAGTAAAAGCATAAAACCGCCAAAGACAAAAGTAAAGAAGAAAAAATCAAAAGAAAAAGAGAAGAGGGATACTAGACGGTAGGCTTAGTTTGTTTAATTTTATTGTTTTTGAAGAAAAATCAATGATTTTAGGCTGTTACGGGGCTAAAAATTAAATTTTATAGGTATAGGCCTTGGAAAATCGAAATTTTTGAACATTCGTGAAACTTTTTAAAAAGTTGAATAAACAGTTTTATAAAGCATAAATGGCTGTATATTATGCCTGAGTTTTGTAATTATTCATAGTCTAAACAAAAAGTTATGGCGCTTCGAAGTTTAAAAAGTCTACATTTTCCAACAGGAATCGAACTATTTTGGATTGGCGGCATTTTTAATTGGTCATAACTTTTTCATAAGGTTAGATAGGGTTATGAAAGTTGCACATTAAGTAGACTATAAGATGCTTTACAATATCTATCTACCAGATTTTTTGAAAAATGTCATAATTTTTAAAAATTTTTATTTTTTAGGCCAAAATTCACCTCGTCTGGAACAGTAATGGTGGAGCCGGAAAGGAGAGGTGACAGAACGCCAGGAACTGAAAGTTTGATCAGTAAAAGGTTTGCACTTTCAAGCGAAAGCGTGTTGCAGGTAAGTATGATATTATTTTGGAAATTTTAGATATTTTTGCCTACAGGCACATTTTTAAAATTTAAAATTTTTAAATTCATTTTTTTTTAATTAAAAATTTTTAAATTTCAGGGCAAGTCGGACTCTTCGAATGCCACAAATACCTCCAATTCAACGGCGACGAATACAAGCACGGCACGTTTAAATGTGAACAGTGCTCCAAGAGGACCACCGGTAGCTGGGCAGGAATCTCAACCAGAAATGGTGCCGGTCCTTGGCAGTAAACATCCACAATATAGGACATTGCCGTGAGTTATTGAAATATTATGGTTTGTAAAGAAAGTTCCTACAATTTTTTGTTTTGTAAAGAAAGTTCTCGCCATTTCAGACTTTGTAAAGAATTTTCTTGCCATTTTAGGTTTTGTAAAGAAAGGTTTTGCGTTTTTGAGTTTTGTGAAGAAAGTTCTTGTCATTTTATGTTTTGTAAAGAGTTTTTGCCATTTCTTGTTTTGTAAAGAAAGTTCTTGTTTTCAGAGCCACAAACAAGACTACAGCATCGCCAGTGAAGAAGAAGCGATTTGGATGGTTTCGACGAAAGAACAAGACCAAAAGAAGTGATATCAAGTCAAGAACAACATTTACAACATTACATAAGCATTGTATGACACCGTCGTATCAGTTTTTCCACCTTGTAGCCAAAATAAACGTTGTAGTGACTGGTCAATTACTTTTTTTTTGTGATTTTTAGGTTGTGTCGGTGAGGTAGGGTATACCCTTTAAATTTTGTGGGGGGGGGGGGAGGTGAAATGGGCATGGATATTGATTAAATTTATCGAAATCTCGGCGATTTTTCAAAAATAACTTACCCAAAACGTTTCCTGTGTGCCGTTGAGTGACCTTCAATTAGACAAGGCTAAATCTGGGTGCATTTACCCGCTAACACGTTTCTTTTTTCAAAGCAACAAGTTTTAGTTTTTCATAACTTTTACTTTGTAAATACTTTATGATTTGAACGTTTTTTTTTGTTTTTGAGCTAGGCATGCTTTGTAAGTAATACTTCATATTCCTACTAGGATAGGGTAGGAATAAAGGTCTAGGCTTACATTTTTAAATGATTAGCTAGACCTATCTCAATTTTCTTTAAACCTGAAGAGGCTCCCTATTATACAATAGGTAATTTATGCTTACGACACCTAAATGTAAGCATAGAATCAAGTCTGAACGTCAGTTAAAGCGCCTTAACTTAAGGATATTAAAACGAAGTCTAATAAGCATAAGGCTACTAACTTAAGACTACTAAGGCGTAGCCTACTAATGTTAAGCCCTCTCACACCCAGCCTACTAAGTCTACTCAGCCTACTAAACCAAAGCTTTCTAAGTCTAAGCCTACTAAGCCTCAGCCTACTAAACCAAAGCTTTTTAAGTCTCAGCCTACTAAGCCTAAGCGAACTAAGCCCACACCTACTATATGAACCAAAGACTACTAAGGAAAGCTCACTAATTCTCAGCCAACTAAGCCTACGCCTACTAAGCCTTATAGTGCCTATGTGTCAGCTTAAGCCTGAATACTTAGCTTTTGAGGCTTCTAAGCCTAAGCCTTCGCGTCAAAAATAAAAAAAAGTTAAGTAAGCCAAAGACCAAAACAACAAATTAAAAGCTTACTTTGGTTACGCTTACTAACAAACTTATGGTTAAAATGAAGATTCTAAACCAAACCCTACAAGCTAATAAGATTAGAAGAATTTTCTCATTAGCCCTAGACATACAACTCAATGCGGTCTAGCAAAGTTGACCCCTAACGTTCAAATGTTTCTTTCATTTACCCCGCCCCTTCTCATCCCCCCTCTCCTCTTCTCCATCTTCCTTTTGCAAGTTTATTAAATATAATATTATTTTTTACACCGAAAAATAGCGATCATTTTTAGAACAGCGCGCGGAATGTAATGAATACTGCCGGAAGGGATTTGATTTGTTTGTTTCGTTCATGAGCAAAAAAAACAACACCACCACGACCTTAAACCATTCTTTTCGCGAGATTAACGTGAAAATGCAACTGGGTGTTGTGAATGAATAGGTGGAGAAGAAAGGAGAGGAAAAGACAGTGTTTTAACTGTTTTTATGCGGTTAGGGGTTTTGTCAAAGGTTAGTACGGGTTTGGTTTTTTTTAGAAATTTTTTAAACGAAAAGTTGATTAATAGTTATGCGTAGGCCTAGTAGGGTTAAACATAGTTAACGTACGTTTAGGGATGATACACTTAAACTTAATAGGCTTAAGTTTAATGGGCTTAGGGTTAGTAAGCGTAGGCTTGAAGTTATTAAACGTAGGCGTTGTCTTTTTAGGCTTAGACTTAGTATGCTTAAGCGTAATAGGCTTACGGTTAGTAGACTTAGGCTTAGTAAGCTTAGCCTTAATAGGGTTAGACTTAAGAAGCTTAAGTCTAACCCTTTTAATAAACTTAGGGTTAGTAGGTTACGGCTTAGTAGGCTTAGGTTTAGTAGGCTTATGCTTAGTAAGCTTAGGCTTAGAAGGCTTAGGCTTAGTAGGTTTAGGCTCAGTAGGCGTAGGCTTAGTCAGCGTAGGCTTAGTCAGCGTAGGCTTAATAAGCGTAGGCTTAGTAGACTTAGACTTAGTAGGCTTAGGATTAGTATGCTTAGGCTTAAGTTTAGAATTAGCATGCTTAAGCTTAGTAGGCTTAGGTTTTTAAATTTAGTTTTATTAGGCTTAGGCTTTAGCTTAAAAAGCGTAGATTAGGCTTGGAAGGAGTGGGCTTAGGCTTGGGAAACTTGGGCTTTCTTTAGGTTTAATGGGCTTAATAACCACACGCTTGGTAGGTGCTTAGTGGGCTTAGGCTTACGTTAACACTTAAGAAGTTAGGCTTAGACATCACGCGTTAGCACAACTGATTTTAGACAGTGCTTAAAAAATGTGTTAGATACTAGGTCGGTACCTCGAAGAAAGTTAGAGTTAAATTCCAACACTCGCAGTAAATTGTTGGGTCGTTTTACATCGAGGCAAATGTTACAAAAGTTAGCAAGATTACATAAGAAAACGTTGCGTAACACGGTTTCTGGCAATTTCTCTAAGGCTATCTTGTTATATCATATTCTTATATCGATAGGTAACACCGTGTAAATCTTCTTTGATCATTCTATTGCCAATTTCTTATAATACGCCCAACACAACATATAGTTAGGCAGGTGGAGCCCTTGAAGATCAAGATTCATGTTTTGTAAGAGCAAACCGAAGGCTGTTAAAGAGAATTAGAGCAATGCATCTAAAAGGTCGCCGTTCGTCGTGTTTTACATTTACGCGGATTTTTGAAAGCTCACCAGGGGATTTGTGACCTTTTTGGTAAATTCTCCGTTCGAATTTCGTCTTTAAATGTTGGCTATTTTTAAGTTTTTATATTTTCGTTTCATTATTTTTACTTTAGGCTTGTGTTATATGTGTCTTAAGTCTAAAACTTAATTTTAAAACTTAATTTTTGTAAATTTTTGAGCTTGCACCAGCCTAAGAATACTATATATATAGTTACGCCTTCAAAGCGTAAGCCTAATAAGCTTAAGCCTAAGCCTACAAAGCCTAATAAGATAAACCTACTAAGCTTAAGCCTACTAAGAATAAGAATACTAAGCCTAATCTTACTAAGCTTGAACCTACTAAACCTAATTTTACTATGATAAGCCTAATAGACCTGAGCATACTAAAATTAAGCCTAAGCCTACGGAAGTTAGTCCCGAGCTTAGTAAGCCTAAGTTTTTCAAACTTATTTCCACTAAGTCTAAGTTATTTCTCCGATTAAGCCTACTACGTCTCAAGCTTACCGGGTTTACCAAATCCCAGCTTACTGGGAGTCAATGGCAGCCTAGTAAGCCTATAGAGTTTAGGAACAGAAAACCTAAGCCTAGTCTTATTAATACTAAGTCAACAAAACTTGAGTCTAGTAAGCTTATGCCTACTGAGCCTAAGCCTAAAAGCCTAAGCCTAAGCCTAAGCCTACGACTAAACCTTAGCCTAACCCTAAGCCTACTAAGCCCAAGCCTACTAATCCTAAGTCTACTAAGCCTAAGCCAACTGAGCTTGAGTTTAGTTCCTTTAGGTTAGTAAAGCAACTTTTACTAACCTAAAGGAACATACTCATACCCAAAATGTTTTTTTCAACCTGACCTTTTAAAATATTAATCTATCCCCACTCGTCTCACTCATTCCTCGAGACAATCCTCTGTCGGCTTCTGTTTTCGGCTCACTTTCAGCGAATTTTTTCTTTCCGTTTTTGGCAAAAAGTCGGTTCTTTGGAAGAGTTTCGCGGGCCCGTTTCCGGTTTTTCCCCCCACCAGGCTATGGCTGAGGTGAGATGCTCTTTTCCAAGCTGTTTTTCGAAAAACTTTCTACACCGCCCCAGGAGACCCGAGAAAGCTAGACTTGAACTATTAAGATTTGTTTTGGATTTCGCTTTTAATCGATGTGTTTGATTTTAAAAATATTTAAATTTAAGTTTTTTTTTTGGTTTTTTAAGAACTAATAAGCCTAAATGTACTAAGACTAAACCTACTGAATTCAATAAGAGTAATCCTAAATCCTAATCTGGTTGATCCTACACAGTCTAAACATAAGCCTAAGTTTACTATCCTACGATTACCGAACTTAAGTCTACTAGGCTTAAACCTAATTAGCCTAAGGCTCCTTGGCGTAAGATTGCTAAGCCTTAGCCTGCTAAGACTAAACCTACTAAGCATAAGCCTACTAATCCTGTGCCTACTAGTGCGAAGCCTACCAAGCCTAAGCTACTAAGCCTAAAATTACTAAGCCTACCAAACCTAAGCCTAATAAGCCTAAATCTACTTAGACTAAGCCTACTAAGTTTAAGCCTAATAAGCCTAAGTCTATTGTGTCTAAGCCTACAAGACATAAGCCTTCTAAGCCTAAGACTACTAAGCCCGAGCCTGCCAAGTTTCAGCTTACAAAGCCTACGCTTACTAAGCCAAACCCTACTAAGCTGAAGCCTACTAAACCTAAGCTTCTCAAAACTATGCCTAAAACTAAAATTTCATTTTTTAAATTTGTGAAATTTTACAAAAAGTTCCCACTTTTTCAAACCCCGCTCCCCCCCCCCTACTCATTAGCCACTAACCCGTTAGTTAATTCACTGTAAATTTCAACGCAACACATCAGTTCTGAAAGTAAAATGCCCATTCTACTCCAATGTAATCATTGTAGCGCATCGTATTTGGGGTTTAATCAAATTTGGTGAAAAGCGACTGACATATTTAATTACGTTCCCTTCTAATTGTTTCCACCCGTATTGTTGTGATTCATTTTAAAAACAACAACCAGGATCTTTGTGACCTGTTCGTATTGTTTTTTCAATTTTATATGATATAAAATGGCAGTTTTCACTTAAAATTTGAAAAGTTATGGCGCAAAGGTAACTACTATAATATAAGTGCCATTTTTGTTGAAGTCTGCCCAAGAATACCACGAAATTTTGGTTTGTAAGCGTTAATATCTAAATTTACCCTTTTAAACTTTTTTCAACGCGAATGGCCTTTCCATTTGTTTGGCCATTAAATTTCACGTGAAATGGCCATCGTTTTCAGCAAAAACAGCTGCTTTTCCCAAAAAATATTTACTTTCCATGTGCCATTTTGATGAGATCAAGCCTCAAACCTTTCATATCTCCTCAAAATTATATGTTTCAATCATTTGACACAAGTTTTCGATCAAATTCAATAAATTATGCGCATATTTTTGGCTGAAAAGCGAACGAGAACTCGAACTCGGGTCAAGTTTGGCGCGTTCATCCTTTGGTTGGAGAGACAGTTGACACATCTGCTAATTTTCGATTTTCTTGCGGTTGAATTGGCTAAACCACACTGTAAATGACCCTTTCTTGGTATATAGAGGGTTTTAGTTTGTTCATATCGTGATTTTAAATATTTATTAGTTAGAAATGGCATTTTATTCAAAGGTTTTGTTGAAAAATCTTATGCATTATATTACAGATTTTAGGTAATAAAATCAAAAGGAATTCAGCTGATTATCGTTCTAATTTATCCGACAACACTCTTAGTGTATAATATCGTGAAAACACACTGTTTTAAATGTTGATTAACGCGAGTTCAACAAATTTTCAGGTGTAGCCGCGAGTTTCGTAGTTCGATATTATTTTTGGTCAGAAAAAGGAAAAATAATCTTTTTTATAATCTTCTGTGTGAATGGTAAGTCCAGCATGTGCTTTTTCGATATTGGCTTTTAGGTGTAGTTGATGGTTGCAATGGCTTCAGAAGACCAACGGCCTATCAACGTTGCCGAGTATAACTTTGAAGAGGTATGAGTAATGTAGTCGAATTTTGGGTAGTTTATACTTGACTTGAAGGGCTGGAGCTTTAAGAAACTATTCAGAAGATGTATTTTAACACTCTAGTATAGATCACGAGCAATAAAGCTTTTTAAACTTTATGGGACGCTCGGATTTTTAAAGGGGTCTATCTGTAGGTAGGGGTAGCATAATATAAGCGCTCTCTTTTGTGATTAATAGTCTCTGTACCACAAAATTGATTAATAAAAGTAAGAACAAAGCTATTTGCCAATATTTCAAGCCATATTACACTCAATAAATACCTAAATCATCACTTTATCAAATCTCACCATACTGTTGTAGGGTAAGCTAGTGGCATCGGTCCGGTGGTTGATAACCCGAATATACGAAGACAATGATATTCCAGACAAGCTTCAAAGACTGTTCTTACGAGACGATGAGGTAATTTTTATTTTCAAAAGTATACAACATAAAAAATGGCACTCAAACATAGTAATGTTATTTTTAGCGGCTGTTACATTTATCTCCAAACTTGATTGGTGCCTTAGTAAACGGGTCATTATACACACAGGCGGCTTCCAAAATTCTTCAGGATTCTTCTTTGCTCACGGTAAAGGTTTCGGTTTGAAATTAGGCTAGGGTTTTTGGAAATCATATTGTTTAGGTACATCAAAGTAGTATCTTAACTTAGAAAATTAGTGTTGTAAAGGTTTAAAGGCCTCTTAACGTCTTTTAAACGCTATCACAACCAAATGCTATGTATTCACACTCATTTTCATTGATTTAGCAATCAGTTGGTGCTGTATTGAAAGCCTTATCGAATGCGGACATTGAAGTACGTGATGCTGAAGGTGGTATGATAGTAGAGGAGCAATTGACTAGTGAAAATCCTTTCAAATTGGTATGTTATCTAACTGTTTTTGAATTCTGTATTTAGACAATGCACTTAACGTTGATGGATGCTTTGATGACGGCTCACATGAAGTCGATAATATCAATCGAACGTGTCGTACAGGCTGTTTCGTAAGTTTTTGTAGCTTTTCGGCCCTTTTCCTACGGTTGCTTGCTGTTTCCAGCTTTGTAAAGAAAGTTTTTGCCATTTTTTGGTATTGTAGAGAATATTCTTACGATGTTTTACCTTTTCAAGATAGTCACGACTTTAAAAGTGTAAATTTTAGCGCCTACACGTCAGTTGACAAGCGAGAAGAGCCTCTAGACTGTGTAGATGCCTTACTCTTCTGGATCAACAAGGTGTGCTTGTTAGTTCGGGACGATGTAGAACGACAAGGTATAGCGTTAAGAGGTTCGGACGAAGGAGCCGAGCCCACAATTCCAGAAATGGAAGACCTGTACGAGGACTTATGCGACGGAACGTGTGTTTGCTCATTGGTCGCTTTTTATCGACCGCATGAGGTCAATTTGAAAGGTAGGAATTTGTTTTTTGGAGGGTGGGATGAAATTGATCTATCGTAACTTTAAGGAAAATTTGGAAATTTTAAACCTATTGGCTAATGAGTTATTATGATTTAAAGTTACATTGTAGTAGATGAACTGATGACACGAATTCAGCCCATTTTTTGAGTTTTTTGTGTTTATATCAAAATTTTCAGATATATACTTTAATGATCCCATATCAATCAACGATTGTCGGTACAATTTGGGTATCCTAAAGTAAGTTTTGGCATTTTATCGAATTTTTAAAAATTTTTGAAATTTTAGTTTTTTTTTGAGTTTGGATGGAAAATGCCATTTTTAATGTTGAGAAAATGAAAAAATAAGATTTTAAAGCTTGGAAAATTAAAAAATTTTATTTTAAATTTAGAAAAAATGAAAAAAACGTATTTTAAGCCTTAAAAACTGAAAAAACCTTGCTTTAGGCCTAAAGATAAGTCATTTTAAAGCTATAAACTAAGGAATGAAGGTTATTTTTAAAGTTTTAAAATAATGAAAATGCCATTCCAAATAATACCAAAAATTTTCAGAGAATTTTGTTCCTCTTGCCTGGCCTACAATCCATTTCACTTCGAGATTGAAGACATTTTATATCTACACGAAAGCCTTCAATCCAACGTCAATGCCTTTCTGACAGACCTGTTTGCTTTTTTTGAGCCGGACCCACAGCCGTTAAGTCCAGTCCTCACTTCTCCAGTCCAACGACGGTTTGTGCCAGTTCAAGGCATTCCTGAACTGAGAGCTCATAACCTAAGTCATCGGCCGATTCATCCGCCCAAGACGAACCGGAACTCTTATGGGAGCAGCCAGAGGGATCGAAGTAAGGATTTTACTTTGAGATTTTGGTTTTAGGTATTGATCCTTTATATTGACCTAAGGTGAAGTAGAGTAAAGAATTGAAAGACACTAAAACTTCAAAACCAAACCCTTTATTAACAAGCCAAGTCTAAAACAATTAAAATTACAGCAATGTCAGTAGCCTCAGCAGACTCACTAATGACAACCAGATCAGGCGATTCGTTCCGTTTAAATCAGCCAAAACACCAACTGCCTCCGGGCGTTCCAACTACAAATTTCGGAAATCTGAACGCTGATGCACCTCAACTTGAAGAACCGAACAGTGCCCAGCCCAACTTCAAAGCTATGGCTGAAATGCGATTGGCATTCGAAGAGAAACGGAGAGAACACGAGAAGAAGTTGGCTATGAATAGGTAGGGTGTAGAGGGTGGGGGTGATTTTTTGAGGTTGGGGTGGTAAGAGCGATTTGTAAAGTTAGGGGTGGGAAGGGTAGGGATGAGTTTTGGACGTAGGGCTAGAGAGGGCAGGGATGATTTTTTGAGCTTGGACGGGGAGCGGGTGGCTGGATTTTTGAGGTTGGGGCCGGGAGTAGACATGAGAAACGGGCTGGGCCCAATTTTTAGGCCCGGCCCGATCGAAATTTTGCCCAAGACCGGCGGTAGGGCGGGGAGAGAGGGGGTAGAGATGATTTTTAGAGGTAGGGGTTTGTAGGGTAGGGCAGAGTAGGATAGGGTAAGGTAAGGTATGGTATGGTAAGGTCAGTACAGTAGAGTTACATCTATAAAATACAAATTTTCAGTGCCTTAAAAGAAGAAGAACGCATTCAAATGGGTAAGAATGCCTTCTTCAAACTGATGAGTAAGTCTGGCCATGAACAGGTTCAACCCCTGCCTTTGGCCGACGATCCACCCCCAACACAACGTTACGAAGGCGCGGCTACAGCCCGAGAAATGGAGTTGACCGCTCAGTTAGAGGACATTAGGGAGGAGCTTAAAAATTTGAAAGTGAGCTTTAAAAAATTTTTTGAAATTAAAAATTTTATTTTTGAATTTTTTTGAAATTTTGAGATTTTTGTCCAAATTAAGTATGACAAAGTTACTATAATGCCATTTCAAGGTAATGCAACAACAATCCATGTCCAACCTGACCAGCGTTGGTATGTCTCATGCCACTTCTCAACCCACACTCTACAACGATGTTTATCATCAACAGGTGTACGGTACTTTACCACACAAAAGCCCTCATCATAATGTGCCACAACAACTGCCACCTTACTATCAAAGCCCTGAGGTTAATAGGAATTCGAGCTTTGGAATAGCAGGAGCTTACCCACCACCGTATGGACAATATCCGGGACAGGTGAATGAGGTAGGGAATGGGATACTGTAACAATGTTTGTGGAGGGTAGGGTACGGTATGGTAGGGTAGAGTAGGGTAAGGATGGGTTGGGTGGGGAAGGTAAGTTAGGGTAGATAGGGTAGAATAAGGAAATAGTCTACCGTAACCTACCGTACTCTAGCTTATCGTAATATACCCTTCCGTAGAGTATACTCCTCCACCCTCCCGTTATTCTATCCTACCTTACCGTACTCTATCTTACTGTACTATATTGTACCGTGGTGTATACTACCCCAACCTAATTTACCCTACTCTATCTTACCTTACCGTACTAGACGCTACCGTAGTGTATCTTACTCTGCCTTATTCTAGCCTACTTTACCCTACCTTGCTCTACCCTGCCTTACCTTACTATAACTACTTTATTCTACCCTACCTTGTATCGTACCTTACCCTTACCCTAATCGACCCCAATATCTTTAATAAAACCTAAATTCAGAATCCCTACGCCATGCCAAACAACTCCTCAATGATGCATCCAGGCCTTCAGCAAAACCCGCCCTACTACCAACAACCCCCGCCCCAATACCCTCAGGCAGGCGGCTTTCAACTTCACCAATCCAACAGTCAAGGCGCCCTCCACATGGCCGCCCAACCCTACCCCGCCAGCCCCTACCAACAACAACAAGCCTACTACAACCAAAGCCCCCACCCCTCCATGTCGTACTCAATGTTCGAGAACAATGTCATCTCCCCCCAGAATCATCAGGACGATCCATATGCCTCACCTCAGATCCCCAACCCCAACACCTTCAGGCTACACCAGCCGTTCGCGTCGTCGAGTCGGCTGGACCCGGCCCTGGAGCTGAATCGCAACATGACCAACTGGGGCATGACATACAAGGAGGAGAAGACCCCCCGAAGACAATGGGCCAATGTTAGTACGGAGGAGCCGGCTGTCAGGAACAATAATGCTGGCAATGTTCAGGAGGATCCTATTGGTAAGAGAGGATTGGTATTAGATACGGTAGATCTTATTGGTAAGAGTGGACTAGGTGGATATACGGTAAAGGATTGTAAATTGGGACTGTAACTTGAGTTTTAAGGGGGAATGGGCATGGAAAAAATATTTTTTTGGGTAGGGTAAAATTTGGAAAAATAATTTTTTTGGGCGGGGTAAAGTTTTGTTTGGCTTAGAGAGTGGATAAAAATATTTTTTTTGGCTAAAAGAGGGTAAAAATAATTTTTTTTGGGGTAGGGTAAAATTTGGAAAAATAATTTTTTGGGCGGGGTAAATTTTTTTTTTTGGTGGGTAAGGGTAAAGTTATTTTTTGGTCAGCAGAAGGGTTAAAGTAACATTTTTTGGAGTATGGTGAAATTTAGAAAAATATTTTTTGGGCGGGGTAAAATTTTTTTGTGGATTTAAATCCTAGTTTACTTCTATTATACTACTATCCCTAAACTATTATAACCTACTTTCCTTGCCATATCCCCATATCTTACCCCCACCCCTAACCTGTCTTATCAGGCTCTCGCTTGCCTTGTCATACCGCTTCTTACCTTTGCCTCTACCTCTAGTTTACCATACCTTAATCTTCTTTCAATTACTCTGCCGTTCACTACTGCACTTTGCCTTACCTTTTCCTACCGTTTCTCTTGTCTTACTCTGCCCTATCTTTAAGCTACACTAGTTTTTCCTTACTATCGTTATACATCTTAATATCCCTATTTCAGTTGACCACATTCCCCAGCCTCCAGCACCGACGGAAAACAAAAACCCCACGCCTCCGCGCGATCCACACCGAAATGAAGAAGATCTACATGAAAAGCGAGATCCATCCCCAGAAAAACCGATTCAACACAACAACAACCACCAAGATACGACGCCAAGACACGAGGTAAAGAGGGCCAACAGTGGACTAGTCATAGCCGATGTCACCGCCCCGAACTCGGAATGGACAGCCGAAATGGAAGCTCGACGTCAAGCTTTGCTCATGAATCAGATGCGACGGAAGGAGAAGAGCAAGATGGCGTCGGATGAGAAGAAGAATGACATTGAGGACAAGTCGAGGGAAGAACAACGACGGAAAGACCTGGCGGAGCAAAGAAAGCTTGATAGGGAGATTAAGAGGCAACAAGTGCTAGAAGAATATAAGAGGAAGAAGGCCGAACAGGAGATGATGGAAATGAGCGGAAGTGTATCAGCTAGAAGCATGAGTGGCTCTAGTGGCACCATTAATCGAGGACACAGTCAGCCACCATTTGGACGGCCGAAAAGTCAGAGTAATGTAAGTTTTTTAATTTTTTAAAGAAAAATGAGATTTTAGGTTTTAAGGATCTCCAGGGTTTTTAAATTTTAAAATTTGGAAAAATTTAAAATGAAAGAAATTTTTTTGATGGTTTTTTTGAACTTCAAATTTTATATTTTTTAAACTTTTTAAAAATTTATGGTTTTTGATACTCTACCTTGGCCTACCCTACCCTAACCTACCCTATTATAATCAGCCTTACCTACGAAACCCCATCTTATCTTACCGTAACCTATCTGACCCGCTTATACATGAGGAACGTGATCCAGATTTACGTCGGGCCAGGCTTGAAAATTAAAGCGCGGCCCAAAAAGCCCGGCCCGTTTTTCATTTCTACCTTAGCTTAATTTTTCGTATCTTTTACTTTACTCTACTCTATCCTAGTTGAAGTATCCTAGGTTGGAAGTCCAAATTCTTTAAACTATCGCACTTTATTTCATTTTATTCTAACGCTTTACGTTATTTTTTTCTACCCTACCCTTTGACCTTACTCTCCTATAATACCCGGCTCTACCTTACTTTGACCTACTCTTACCCCCACACTCGCTCTTTTTATCTTGCTCTCACTTTACTCTTCGGCACTATGTCTTACTGTAGAGTTTATATTCTATGGTAAATTATGCTACAGTACCCTACTTAATATTTCGTACTCTTAACTATTCTTAACTCTACCTTTGCTACAATTTACTTTATCATGCCCTACCTTACCTTACACTACTGTAGATTTTTATACAGTACTCTTTTGTTTCATATTTTACGCCACCTTCTACTAATACCTTACACTTTGTTTTTCGAATTTAAAAACCTTTCAAAATAACGTATTTATAGCCCAATTTTTTGCAAATTTCAAACTGTAAAGCCAGTCCAAGCCTATGAATAGGACGTAGAAACGATTAGTTTATATTGTGGTTATTTTGCGATTTTACTACGTTTTTCTCGGCTCCCTTTATGTGCCCATAATTTCCGGATTTGGTACGTTAAATTGGCCGCGAAAAAGAGAAATTGGGCCAAAAAACATCAGAAAATTGTTTTAGTTGCCATAGATAATCTGAACATGTATTAGAAAGGGCATTAAGCTGTATTCGAATATTGAATTCGCTGGAGATTTACAACGTTCCAATGTGTTTATTCTGGCCGTGACTTCTATTAAACGTGCTTTTTTTGGCTATAAGTGATATTATAGGGCTTATTATAACTGTGACTTCTAGTAGACGTGCTGTTTTTGGCTATACATCGTATTATAGTGCTTATTTTGGCCATAAACTTAATTTTAAGGGCAATCTTGGGCCTAAAATTTGAAAAAAGTCCCTATTTTAGTTAGAATTTTATAAAAAACTGAACATTTCTACCTTGTACTATACGAAATTTCAAATTTTCTACCCATAAACCTAATTTTAAGTGAATCATTGGGTCTAAACTTTGAAAAAAGACCTTATTTTAGCTAGAAATTTAAAGAAAAATTGAACTTTCTACCTTCTAATTTAAAGAAATTGCCATTTTCTACGTTATATTCAACTAAAATTTTCATTTTTTAGCCTTAAACCTAATTGTCAAGGCAATTTTGGGCCTAAACTTTAAAAAAAGGCCTTATTTTAGCTAGAAATTCAAAGAAAAATTGGATTTTCTACCTTCTACTTTAAGAAAATTGCTATTTTCTACTTTATAGTCTACGGAATTTTTAATTTTCTAGCCTCTACTTCTTGAAAATTTCGCTTTCTTGGCCAAAACTTTTAAAAAATCCCGTTTTTTGGCTTCAAAGTCATTAAAATCGACTAAAATTTTTGAAAAATTCTCTAAAATCGACCAAAAATTTAAAAAACTTCTAAAATCGACTGAAATACTAAGAGAAGAAGCTTTGAGAAGAATGATTTACCCAGACTGGATCAACTTTCAGATGAGTTCACTTCAAATTCGAACTATGCAACGACAAAACCGAGCTCAAAGCAGTGTAACCGACGAGAATTGCCTGCCCAAAATCAATGTCCCAGCTCTGGCTGATCCGAGTAAGTTGGATTTTTATGGATTTTTTGAAATTTTAGAGTCTTGTGAGATGAATGGGTTAAGTTTTAATTTTATACTTTTATCAATCATACTGTTATCAGAAAAATTTTTTTTTGAGAAAATTTTGAACTTGGTCCCCCTGTGGATGAAAAAAATTTTTTTTAAAATTATTTTGTGCCTTCCTTCACTCAGTTTAAAATAAAAAAAAATAACTGCCTGACAGTGGACAAGGTCTGGGTTTGATTTTAGGCGTGGGTTTTATAGTCTTTTCAAAAAAAATGTTTTTGATAAAAGTTGAGCTTGGTCCCCCCTGTTGATTGATTTAAAATTTTTTTTGAAATTTCTAATTTACGGCCCCTACTGTCTCTCAGCTTAAAATCGAGTACCTGGCACTGGGTTATGGTCTGGGTTCGATTATAGGCATGGGTTTTAAAATATTTTTTTTAAAAAAAATTTTTGAAAAAAGTTGAGCTTGGTCCCCCTGTTGATTTTAAAAATTTTTTTGCTAATTTTACGTTTTTCTACTATCCCAGATTAAAACCGACTGCCTGACATTGAATATGATATGGATATGGTTTTTAGGCATGGGTTTTAGAGTATATTGCAAAAAAAAATTTTTAGAATCAACAGGGAGGGGACCATTTTCAATTTTTTTTTCAAAAATTTTTTTTTGAAAGATGGGTACTTTTCAAAAAATTTTTATTGTCTATGAACATTTACCTTATGAAACAAAAGATTTAAATTTCAATGTTTTAGCTCTGAAATTGTACGCAAAAACCCAGCCAAAGTCGAACCGGTCGCTTATCATGAACGCTCTTCAATACTCGGTCTTCCCTGGAGCTGTTTCGAACGATCAGAGGAATAAAGTAAGTTGAAATTGGACTTTTCTTATGCAATATGAAGCTGAGAATACTGTAAATGTAATTGTTTAGCTATTGTTTGTGGTGTACGGATATAAAATGCAAAAAGAATGGCATTTTTGGGGTTTTTATGTCAGTTTTTGGTGGTTTCTGGCCGATTTTTGTTTTTTAGATCTTATGGCAAAAATATTGTTGTAAATTGGTCTTTAGCTTATGTAATGTGTAGATATAAATAGTAAAAACTTTGATTTTATTATTTTTTGCTATGTATATTGTTGTAGCTATCCAAAACCTCAAAAAATTCTATATTAACAACCTTATTCCAGGTCCAAGCCGCCCTAGCCCAAAGCGATTCCAAGCACTTCCTCGTCCTCTTCCGTGATCACAAATGCCAATATCGTGGTTTGTACACTTGGAATCAACAAGATGATACCGTGCACCGAATTGAAGGCACCGGTCCTAAGGTGTGCAAGGCTGAGATGATGAACATGATGTTCAAGTACGACTCCGGATCGAAGCATTTCAATCACATTCCAACCAAATCATTGTCTGCTACGATTGATGGCTTCACAATTCAAGATCAATATTGGCAAAAGGCCAAGATTCCACATAGTAGGGGGGTTTGAGAGGTTTTTGGGTGGTGAAAGGATGGGATGTTTTAGTAGGGAAAGGAGAATTTGAGAGTTTTTAAAGGTTTAAAAATGGTGTTATAGGAGTCTAAAGAACGCTTAAAAGTTCTGTGAAGCGAAGGAAACTATTTTAGAAGGATAAAAAGAGGTTTTAATGTCTTAAACGGATAAAAAAGGTTATTAACGCTAAGAAAATTATATCGTAGTAGGTTCAACTGGTGTTTTAGAGTTTGTAAAACCTGGTAGGTTGAAGTTTTGCCTTTTAAATTAACTCGAAAGCTTCACATGACTATGGCAAGTGTATTAGAATCTAAAAGGGTTTTTAAGGCCTAAAGGGCAATGAAAAATTATATTGTAGTAGGTTCAAGTGGTTTTTTAGAGACTTTGAAGCCTGGTAGACGGGATTTTAGAACTTAGTAGGCTAAATTGACTTAAAAGCTTCACAGGGCTAGGGCAAGTATTTTAGATTATAAAAAAGGGGGTTTTAAGACCTAAAGGGCTAAGAAAATGATGTTGTAGTAGGTAAAAAGAGGTAAAACTCGGAAAAAATGATTTTAATGCCATTCCTTTTGACTATTAAAGTAGAATTTGATAATCCATGGTAGTGTCGAGATTTAGAAAAGGGCAGGGGCTGTTTTCATTGACTTTTTCAAAAAAAACATTTTTTGAAAAACATCCACAGGGGGGACCAAGTTGATTTTTTTCGAAATTTTAAAACTTTTATTAATATAGGGGGCGATTATGTACATGAATATAAATTATTTTTAAAATGAGCAAAATTCTCTTATTTTTCATATTTTTAATTTTTTAACCTTATTATATTACACTTTGTGACATTATTTCAAAAGTTTTTGGAGGTTGAGTTTGTTCAAAAAGTTCTGAGCCCCTTACCATAAAAATTTGCTTTGAAACGTGGCGCAGAATTTTTTGAACGATAAATAATTTCGCACCTGCCAGACTTTACTGGACCTTAAAAATCCGAGAACTTTTGAAATTTTAAAAATATTTGTCAATCGTCTTAGATACAGTATTGTACTCATCGTACACTGTATTTTGGCCATTATGCTGTATTGTGACTTTTTATATTATGTAATGGCTTTAAAAAGTTTTGTCGTGTACTTCAATTGAAATTAATGTAAATTGACGACAAGACTTTTTTTAAGCTTATGCTATTGTATTGTACAGTACTATATTGTATTGTAAGGTACTATATTGTATTGTACGGTACTATGTTGTATTGTACGGTAATATTTTGTATTGTACTGTATTATTTTGTATTGTACGGTACTATATTGTATTTTACGGTACTATGTTGTATTGTACGCTACTATACTGTATTGTACAGTACTATGTTGTATTGCAAACTACTATATTGTACTTTTTGTATTGTTAACACAGCCAGAATCTTAAAAGTTGTAAATCTGACCAACTTTTTATTACTTTTATTTTGTATTTTATGATCCGTCCAAGAATTTGAATACGAGTTTCTTTTTGTTAATTAACCTGATTTACTAACTGTTTTCTTAACTTTTCTTAACTATAACATGTTTTCAATAAAGTATATGAACAAAAGATTTGGTTTTTAAAAATTCTTGTGGAAAAAAGTGGATTTTAAGGGCTTTAGAAAAGTTTTGTCGTTTTTTAACACTGTTTTGTAGGGTTAGAAGCGACAAGTCTTTTTTTTAAAGCGCTGATAAGGCGGTAAAGTTGAAAAAATTGGTTTTTGGGTAAGAATCGATTAGTTTGCAATCAAATTTAGTATTAGTACTCATCATGGTACTATATAGTACGATACTGTGTATAGTACTATTTAGTATGGTACTCAATTTTTTAGTATTTTTTTGGGTTTATATTTAATATTTTTAAGCTTATCCGGTAAAAATTCAACTTGGTACTATGTATCACAATACTCAATAGAGTACTATTCAGCATGTTACTTAGTTTTTTAGTACTACCTAGGACTAAATACTCAATATGGCAGTACTATTCATATGGTCTACATTTGACGGTATTATATAATGCTAACATTCAAAACTACAATACAATGCAGCACGATTCTAAATTTTTTAGTACTAGCTAGTACAATAACAAAACAATTATGCGATTCAGTACAACAATCAATATTTTATTACTAAAAGATAAAAAAACTCAACATTACAATACTATTCAGTACGATACTCAAGCCAAAACACTCATTCCCAAATTGACAATCAGCCCCACCACCAAAATGATGACAATCCCCACCACATAGATGCCGTTGTCGTACCCGTACGTGAACTTGGTACCAGTTTCTCTTTTTCTGATACCCATCTCGACCCTCTTGTTGGCCTCCAGAATCGCCTTCCTAGCTCCACTCCATTTGTGAGGGCCTCGAAGTCGAAACGCATATGGCAGCTCGGAGCCAAAGATAAGGTGATAACAGAGTAGGGGGTCGGAAAGTAGATAGTCAAAGGGCTTTGGGGAACAACCCAGCATGTCTCCGACTTTGTTCATGTAGTCCATGTAGTCTATCTGAAATTTTGAAAATTTTGGAATTTAAAAATGTAAATTTTGTAACGTTAAGCTGTAGGACGGGGCCTGGGTTTGGGCCTAAGTTAGGGCTAAGACTAGGGCTGTGTCGGCTAGGTTTAAGGCTCTGGGCTACAACTTTGGAGTAGGGCTCTGGGCTAGGGCTCTGGGCTAAGCCTCTGGGCTAGGGCTCTGGGCTAGGGCTCTGGGCTAGGGCTCTGGGCTAGGGCTCTGGGCTAGGGCTCTGGGCTAGGGCTCTGGGCTAGGGCTCTGGGCTAGGGCTAGGGCTCTGGACTAGGGCTCTGGGCTAGGACTCTGGGCTGGGGCTCTGGGCTAGGGCTCTGGGCTAGGGCTCTGGGCTAGGGCTAGGGCTCTGGACTAGGGCTCTGGGCTAGGGCTCTGGGCTAGGGCTCTGGGCTAGGGCTCTGGGCTAGGGCTCTGGGCTAGGGCTAGGGCTCTGGACTAGGGCTCTGGGCTAGGACTCTGGGCTAGGGCTCTGGGCTAGGGCTCTGGGCTAGGGCTAGGGCTCTGGACTAGGGCTCTGGGCTAGGGCTCTGGGCTAGGGCTCTGGGCTAGGGCTACGGCTCACAAAATGGCTTTTTTAATGTTTCAAAGCCCAAAAATGAAATTTTTTAAAATTAAAAAAAAATTTTTTTTTAAGTAAAAAAAAATATTTTTTTTGGGTTTTTAAGCCTAAAAATGATATTTTTCATGAATTTTTAATGTTGAAAATGACACTTTTTTAAATTTAAAAATTTTGAAAAAAATTGAAATTTCAAAATTTTAAGAAAATCCAAATTTTGTGATTTTCTACGCTAAAATGGCATTTTTGCATAATTTTCAAAATTTTATAAATTAAATTTTTTTTTCAAAGGATTTGCAATTTTTAAATTTACATTAAAATTCAAAAATTCTAACTTTCTAAGCGTATAACTGGAGAAGACGTATTTTACCAAAGCTTTACCTCAATAGTGTATCGTTCGGAATGAACAAAGTTGTCCTTCAAAAACTGTTGATATTCATCATTGGCTTTCTCCATTCCATCGCAGCTTGGCAGCTTTGTATTGCCAGTGAAAGCGTCGAAGAACAAACGAGCTTGCAGTTCTAATACTGGTAAGATTGAGCCCTGAGGCTGAAAATTAAAAAATTTGTAAAGAATTTGTTTTGTAAAGAAAGTTATTGCCATTTTATGATTTGTAAAGAAAGTTTTTGCCATTTTTTATATTGTAAAGAAAGTTCTTGCCATTTTTTGTTTTGTAAAGAAAGTTTTTGCTATTTTTGTTTTGTAAAAAAAATTTTTGCGTAAATCATTTTTAAAATCATTTTTCTAATCTTTGGAAACAAATTTATTGCCGTTTTTATCTTTTTTCTTTCAAAAACAGGTTCTATCGTATAACTTGTCGCTCGCAGGCTGCAAACGTACTTTTAGTCAACGAAATGGTTTGTTTTTCGGTTTGTAAAGAAAGTTTTTGTCATTTTTTGTATTTTAAAGAAAATTCTTTCCATTTTTTATTTTTTCTTGATAAAAACGGATTCATCGTATAACTTGGCATCCGCACGCTGCAGAAGTTGTTTTGTTTATCAAGATGGTGTTTTTTGTTTTGTAAAGAAAGTTATTGCCATTTTATGTTTTGTAAAGAAAGTTCCTGCCATTTTTTGCGTTGTAAAAAAAGTTTTTGTCATTTTATGTTTTTATTTTGCAAACAAAATTTTTTCTCTCTTTCTCACCTGAGCCAATCCAATGACAGCACACGTGTTCTTCTCGTCCTTATCCTTAGGGTACATCTGTTTATACAATCGACATTTGTTATTATCGACCGGTACCAGCTCCCCATTCTCCAAGAACCCGAACCTGAATCTGTAGCCCGTCGCAAACACCACTTCATCAACGTTCTCCACCACCGTTCCATCGATGAACTCCACCGAGCGGCGGCCGAAGCATTTGATGTCGGGGCGGGGTAAAACCAGGTCGGAGGCGATTCGAATAGGCAGTTCGTCACTGGCGGTGGGGTGTTGGTTGAAGACACCGTGCTTGGGCTGAATCCCGTACAAATTGTGGTCGAGGTGGCGGTTGTGCTTGTCGCGCACGTACTTCTCCAAAAGCCAGGGCGCGAATTGGCCGAGGTAGTAGAGGAAGCGGCGTTGCATGGCCATATCAGTTGGCCAACCGTTATCTGTGCATTTGGGAGAGATCCAGGCTCCACGGCGTGTGGACCAGTGGACTTGCTTGGCTACGCGGCCGAGTTCGCAGATCTGAAAGAACGGTTTCATCGTATAATTTGTCACTTGCAGGCTGCACACTGTATTTTTGCTTATAAAACCGTAATTTTGGGTTTGTAAAGAAAGTTCTCGCTATTTTTTGTTTTGTAAAGAAAGTTCTTGCCATTTTTGATCTTGTAAAGAAAGTTCTTGCGATTTTTTGTTTTGTAAAGAAAGTTATTGCCATTTTTTAACCTGTAAAGAAAGTTCTTGCCATTTTTTTTGTAAAGAAAGTTCTTGCCATAAACTCACAATATCCATGGCCGAGTTGCCAGCCCCAACCACCACCACCACCTTATCGTCATAGCCTCGAGAGCGTTTGTACGAATGGGCGTGGGTCAACTGTCCCTCGAACTCTTGTTGCCCAGGCCACTCCTTAGGCCAGTTTGGTGTGGTATGATGCCCAACACAGCTCAGTACGGCATCAAACACCTCTTGATATACAGTACCCTTATCATCAACATACTCTACATGCCATTGCCCGGTCTTACTGTAGTCCTTGGTCTTCCATACGTTGTTAACACGGTGGTTGAGGCGAACGTGCTGAGTAACGTGATTGTCCTTGGCATAGTTCACGATATACTCGTAGAACTTGGTATGGTGCATGTAGGGTCCGGCGTCAGCTGGGGGTGGATAGTCGGAGAGGGCGGCACATTCTTTTGAAGAGTTAATTACTGTAGACTTCATTACGGTAGGTAGGTCGCCGTCTTCTTCTTTGTACTTCCAAAGACCGCCAATGTAGTTGGCAGCTTCGAATACGACCGGCTCTATTCCGTATTCTCTAGCCCATCTGGAATTGGCATAGTTAATATAATTTTAACATTTAAAGGCTAGAGCTGAGACATAGGATTAGGTTTTCACATACGCTTAAGCTTAAATTTAGGCTTAAACTAAGAATTGAGCTTAGGCTTAGGCTTAGGCTTAGGCTTAGGCTTAGGCTCAGGCTTAGTCTTAGGCTTAGTCTTAAACTTAGGCTTAGGCTTAGATTCAGGGGGTTTAAGCACAAGGTCAAGCTCAACCTCAACCTTAATTTCAAGCGTAATCTCAAATTTGGGTTCAGTTTTAGCTTTAGAATTAGGCTTTAATTAGTGAGGCTTAGGCTTAAGAAACTAAAATTTAATGTGCTTAGAATTAGTAGGCTTTCGAGTTTTAACTATTCCATTAAAGTTTAACTTACTTTGCTGAAGTCAACCCAGAAATCGACCCTCCAATAATAGCGCAACGCTTGACTTGATCCATTTTGTTACCAAATCAATCAACGGCTTATCACTAAGCCAGCTAGGTGTCTACAGTAGCCGACGGTAAACTCAATTAGAGTTAAGATGCTTATGACACTGTTTACAGTAGCTTTTATATTGTTTTCGAGGTCTTATCAGTTTAAGCCGCTAATCAGTTGGACTACCCAAGTTGTGTTGTTCAATTGTCTATTTTTTGCTGCGGGCGTGGTAAAAGTGCACATTTTTTTTGAATTTTGAAAAATTTTTTCTTTTTTGGTTTAGGTTTGTAGGAGACTGTATGGCTGGCTTAAAACTACAAAAATTGTTAAGCCTAAGGCCCGGATTTTTTAATTTAGAAATAGGCATTTTAAGCCTATAATTTCTCTTTCTTGGTTAGTAAATAAGATTTTTAAGCCTAAAAATGAGGTTTTATGCTTAAAAATTGGGTTTGTAAGTCTAAAAATAAGGTTGTTATTAACCGCCGACATGACTTTTCTTGTAAAAAATGGCGGGTTCTTTATGTCGGCACTTGATAAGTTTCAAAGTGAGGATACTTAAGCCTAAAAATAGGGTTTTTAACTTCAAAAATGAGTGCTTTGCTAAACAAAGTGTTTTAAGCCTAACAATTAAGATTTAAAGCCTAAAAACGAGTATTTAAAGCCTAAAATCGGTGTTTCTAAACTATTAAATAGTGGGGTTTTAAGCCTGAAAGTAGACTTTTAATGCTTAACAACAGGTATGTTGAACTCAAAAATGAGTGTTTTAAGCCTAAACGAGATTTTATGTTTAAAAGTGAGTGTTTTAAGTCCAAAAATAAGGCTTTTATGTTTGAAAAGACATTTTTTTAGCTTAAACATGGATGGGGGGGAAGGGGGGTTTAAGCATAAAAACAAAATTTTAAGACTAAGAGAAGAGTAGAGTTTTAAACTTAAATATACGTTATTAAGCCTAAAATAAGGTCTTGAAGCATAAAAATAAGGCGTTACATCTAAAATTAGTTATTAAGCCCGAAATAGGTTTTTAACTTTAAACTTAAATTTTAAGCCTAAGTATACGATGTTAAGACAAAAATAGTAGTTTGAGCCTAAGAATATGGTTGTAAGCCTAAAAGTATAGAAATATAGCCAAAAAAGGGCCTTCAAGCCTAAAATAGTGTTTTCGGTAAAGGTTGATCTAAAGGACAAAACCTAAACCAGGACCCGGCTTTTTTACATACCTACGTCTATATGAACTTTTTTAACCAGTTCGAGCAGTATACGGTAATTCTACTGTATATCCACGTATGTCTTTTATAATATAACTTATTTTTATACTTTTCTTGCTATTTTTTATTGTCATTTCTCGATAAATTCCTTTTATTTTGACATTTTTTGATTAATGTGCTCGAGCACTGCTCCCAACTGATAACCATTATCTAATTAAACATTATCTTATTAATGCTGTCACTTTTGAATCGAGTGTGGTCATTTTTTTTACACTCGAGTTTGATCTGAAATACATTCGAAAGAGCATCCACTGCTAAAGTACAAGTGAACAGAGATGTGAACTACAATCGGTGTAGGCTTATGATAAGGTAGGTTGATGTTCATATGAAATTCAGGAATTTAAAAAAATTATATTATGTATGTTATATGATAGTGCAGATAGTTTAGAACAGTATGGTATAGTACGGTAGGTTAGGGTAGTCATAAAACGTGGAGAGCACGGTAAGGTAAGTTAATATATAGTAGAGTAGGATAAAGTAAGGTACGGTAGAATAGACTACGGCAAGCTGCATTTAAAAAAGAGAGGTTAGGATAAAGTAAGATACTGTAAGGTAGTGTAAGGTAAGGCAAAATAAGGTACGGTTTGACAGAATAAGGCAAGCTACAATTAAATATGGAAAAGTAAAATACAATAAGAGAGGATAGGGTAGTATACGGTAGAAGGGAGCATTAATGTGGAGAATAAGGCAGTATACGGCAGGGAAAGGCAAGATAGAATAAGGCAAGTAAAGCAGGATAGGATAGGGTAAGGTAAAATTATGATAAGGCAGGGTTGAGTAGAGCATTGTAGGGTAGGGTAAGTTAGATAGAGTAGGGTAGGGTAGGGTAGGGTAGGATAGGATAGGGTAGGGTAGGGTAGGGTAGGGTAGGGTAGGGTAAGGTAGGGTAGGGTAGGGTAGGGTAGGGTAGGGTAGGGTAGGGTAGGGTAGGGTAGGGTAGGATACCTACCATATCTTACATTTATTCTCTTCTAAATCCTTCCACTACCTTCTATAATAAACAAGGTGCTAAGAAGCATTGAAGCTTATATTGTTGATGACGACTCATTTCTTGTTTTTTCCTTCTTACCATGGTAAGAAATGTCGCTTTACAACGGCTATATAAGCACAGTAAAAGCTAATCTGGCAGTATTTGCATATTGTTAAAAGAATCTTGCAAACAGCCGGCTTTTACAGTGATAAGAGGCTTTTACTATCATTTGGTACTATTATATTGTTTGGTACTATATATTACTAGAACTTGGGACTATTTCTTACTACTACTATACAATAAGGCAGTACTACTAAATATTAAGTTAGTACCACTACTATATATAAGTAAATTGTTTTAAACCAATCGCTTCAAGTACCGTATTTTACCATGCAAATTGACTGGGTCCTCTTCTACACCACTGCCAGAAGATATCATATTTACTATGAGATTATCCTGGCTACAGTATCCTTAATTTTAAACCTTGTAGTAGTGTATTTAGCCTTAACAACCAAAAACAAAGTAATGAGAAGCTATTGTTGGGTCATACTGATCAGCATCATGGGCGACATCTTCTATGCTACTAGCAATTTAGTGGCTATGACTGTAAGTTTTTAATTCCTAGCTTTAGCCCAGAGCCCTAGCCCAGAGCCCTAGCCCACAGCCCTAGCTCAGAGCCCTAGCCCAGAGCCCTAGCTCAGAGCTCTAGCCCAGAGCCCTAAACCTAAGCAAAATCATATTGTGCGCTAGTCTTACCCTATTCTGTCTTACTGTTCCTTGCTATGACGCGCCGTGCCGTTCCCAGCCGCTTACTGTTCTTTGTTATAACTTGGCTTTCTCTACCGTTCCCTGTCCTGCTTTGCCTTGCTCTGGCCTTGCCCTGGCCTTGTCCTGGCCTTGCCCTAGCCTTGCCCTGGCCTTGCTCTGGCCTTGCCTTGGCCTTGCTCTGGTCTTGGCCTTGCCTTGCCTTGCCTTTCCTTGCCTTGCCTTGCCTTGCCTTGCCTTGCCTTGCCTTGCCTTGCCTTGCCTTGCCTTGCCTTGCCTTGCCTTGCCTTGCCTTGCCTTGCCTTGCCTTGCCTTGCCTTGCCTTGCCTTGCCTTGCCTTGCCTTGCCTTGCCTTGCCTTGCCTTGCCTTGCCTTGCCTTGCCTTGCCCTGCCTTAAGCATTTAAATTTCACTTTTCAGGTAGTTGAAGTCAAGTCAGGCCTCATGTTCTTCCTTACATTAGGTCCGTTCAGCCACTCTCCATATCCAGCCAACTTCATTATGACATCCATCTTCCTAACCTCACTATATATTGTCATAATAACCCTGGGAATGCAGTTTCTCTACAGATATTATGCTTTATGTAAAACATCAATGAAATTGAGCAAATTTTTAACAATATACAGTATTGGAATACTGTACTGTTTGTGTGATGGCTTCATCGTATGTTTGATATTTTCTGGAGAATCTGAGGAACATACGATGTTAATAAAAGAGCATCCAATGTACATGTTTGACACGCCGACTTATATTGTTCTTGATCCGGTAAGGTGTTGAAACGGGTTTGTAAAGAAAGTTCTTGCCATTTTTTGATTTGTAAAGAAAGTTCTTGCCATTTTTTGATTGCTAAAGAAAGTTCTTGCCAGTTTTTGATTTGTAAAGAAAGTTCTTGCACTTTTTTGTTTTGTAAAGAAAGTTCTTGCCAAATAAATCGCAAAAACTTGCAGCAAAAGCCCTTACCTTTATTCCATACCATGGTGACACAGCTGATCGTATTCGCCGTCTACGTTCTCATTTTTTATACCGGTCGACAAATCAACCAACGACTGAACGAAGCCTCTACCTCAATGTCCGACCGAACCAAAGACGCTCAACGTCAGCTGAACCGAGTCATGGTGCTTCAGGCCGCCTATCCAGCTGTCATTGTTGGTCTACCTGTCCTGGTGGCTACCATCTGTACTCAGCTACAGTTGAACATACTATGGTCTGGACTGTACCTAGTACCGTCAGTTTCTGTCATTCCTATAGCTAACTCATTGACTATTATGTTGGTTATACCTACGTTTAGACGAAGGATCGCGGCTGGATTGTGCCGTCGAGGTTATGTGGATAATGGTATTTCGAAGGGAGCTACTTCCGAACCATACAGTGCGGCTGATACGAATCATGGTAATAATGACAACAATGAGAATTCTCAAGTTCATTTCATTTGAAATGTCATAATAAATTTTACTTAAGTTTGCGCCAAAAGTTCTGTTACAAGGTTTTTTAATCAAATATTTATTTTAACAACAAATATAACTAACAACAACTAAAAATAGTAACATATAGTACATATAGTATGTAACTAAGTGTTTTTGATTGTCAAAGCTAAATACACAACCACAAGGTTTAAAATTAAGGCTACTGTACCCAGGATAATCTCATAGTAAATATGATATCTTCTGGCAGTCGTGTAGAAGAGGATCCAGTCAATTTGCATGGTAAAATACGGTTTTTGAAGCGATTGGTTTAAAACAATTTACTTATATATAGTAGTGGTACTAACTTAATATTTAGTAGTACTGCCTTATTGTATAGTAGTAGTAAGGATTAGTAACAAGTTATTGTACTAAATAGTACCAAACAATATAATAGTACTAGATGAAAAAGCAATATGCACTAAAAAGCCTCTCTATAAAGACAACGCCCTTTATAGTAAACACAACATGTCGGTCCCTACGGGTTGCTTATATGAAGAGAGTACTGTAGCCGATTCATGTGGTGTTTTAGAGCCTTTAAAGCTTGGTGGATGGGGTTTAGATTACTATGCTAACATGACTTAAAAGCATGACAGTGCTGAAATACTGTATAACACATCCTATCCTACTCTATTTTGCTACATACTATCCCTATCCTAATTTATCATTACCAAACCGTAATCTACTCACAAGGAAAGTGCCCGACCTGCCCCGCTCTGATTGACTTCAAACATTTTATACAGAAAGATCATGTAAATATAAGATCTTCAGCAAAGTACTAAATCGCGCTTTCCAGGAAATCGCGAGAAAATCGAGATTAAAAAATGACATTTTGAATTTCCCGCCAACTTGGCATTGTGTTTCAAGCTTGTAACTTTGTCATTTTTTGACTTTTAATCATTTTTCATTAATATACTAGTAGAAAACCTTTAAACGAACCTACGTTTTTTAATTTGTAAACGTATCTTGTCTGGAAAGTAAAAAAAGTGGTTGAAACACAATGCCAAATTTGCCAAATTGGCGGGAAACCCAAATAATTTTGATCTACTATAAATTACCTTGTCTTTATTTATAACATCTTGTTATACTTTACTCTACCATGATTCGTTCTACTCTAGTTTACCTCACAATATCTTATTTTACTTTACCTTATCCTACCAGTCTTTTTTTTACTCTACCTTTTTCGTGCCGTACCGTACTTACTCTATTCAATTATTCTATGTCTATTATAATGTAAGTTTACAGGGTGCGCCAACAGTCCCCGGACTCACCTTAACCGGTCGATTTCTTTATGTTGTACGCGATTTATATAATTTTATTATGGTATTTAGTATGTATATATTATTTTAAATCTTTTGGACCCTAAACATGGTACCTCCTTCATTATGAACACTTTTGGCAAACCCAAGCGTCCTCTTCTCAACATCATGTACAATACAGTATGCTCGGTTGAATGGGTCTCCAATGACCCAGAAATCAAACTTGGCTTTGGAAATGGCTAGCAAGCATTTGTCACTCCAGTCCACCTTTAGTACCAATTCTTCTGATGTTAGTACCAAATGTTGGGATGGAATTTGAAAGACCAGTTCAACGGTAAGATCACAATCTACCATGGTATGACCATTGATATCTGTTGCTTGGAGTTGTTTCACGATGTTGTAGTAGATGTCTTTTGGAGCGTAGATGAAAGGTGATCCTGTATCAGAGACGGCTGATATTGGGGATAGTGATAGGGATTGGCCGTTTAGGTATACCGCTGAAAAAATAATTTGACTATGTAGGTAAGGGCAGTATAAAATCAGGATAGAGCAAAGTAAAAACAGGGTAGAGTAAGATAAAATTGGAGTAAGGCAGGGTAAAATCAGGGTGAGGCAAGATAAAAACAAAATAGGGCAGGGTAATATCCGTTTAGAGCAAAGTAATATAAGAATAGGACAAGGCAAAACCAGGGTAAGATTAAGTAATATCACAGAAGGGTAGCGTTAGGTAGGGTAGGGTAGAGTAGGGTAGGGTAGGGTAGGGTAGGGTAGGGTAGGGTAGGGTAGGGTAGGGTAGGGTAGGGTAGGGTAGGGTAGGGTAGGGTAGGGTAGGGTAGGGTAGGGTAGGGTAGGGTAGGGTAGGGTAGGGTAGGCATTACCGTTCATTTCCACCTCCCAATAGACACTTCCTTCCTTAACATTGACCCAGTGTTCTACAGGCTCACAGTTGTCTACATCAATATCGCCTAAATTAATCATTCCACCGTCATCACATTGGTCATTATGACATTTTCTAAGATAGGTTGTAAAAATCGGTTTGTCAAATAGCCCTTCTCGGACAGCTGTTTGAAATACAGAAGTTCCTTGTTGGTTTGAATATTCTGGAGCCAAGCCTAATACACCGTCATCATCAACATGCATTACCTCACCAGCTCCAAATGTTATTTTAGATGACAATTTTAACGGTGAACCTGATAAGCCAAACTAAAACTTCAAAATAGATTTTTTAGCCCTAGGCCAGATCCCTAGCCCAGATTTCTAGCTCAAAGCCTTAGCCCAGAGCCCTAGTCCAGAGCTCTAGCCCAGATCCCTAGTCCAGAGCCCTAGTTCAGATTTTTAGCCCAGGCCTAGCCTTAGACGAGAGAATTAACCTAAAGCCACTCTAGCCTAATCTTTTATCTAAAGCCTGGACTTGGTCTAAGCCCTTGCCTTGATTTTAGTCCTAGTCTAAGCATTAACCCTGGATTTAGTCTAAAGCCCTAGAATAAGATCCAGTTCTAGTTTATGCTCTAGCCTAAGCTTTAGCCTTAGTTACACAATTAGTCAATGTTTTAGTCTGTCATAGTTTAAACCCTCAATTTTATCTCCGGACTATGCCTTAACTTACGCATTAGCCCAACGAATACTTACAGCAAAATAATCCTGAACAAAGCTCCCACTAGCATCACCACCACCATACACAACTTCAAACTTCTTCTGCATGACTTCTGAAGTCGTTGACATTTCAGGATCATACAGTCTACTACTGTCATTACTTTTACAATTCTCAACGAAGTAACCGGTGGATTTACATCCAACTCTTGGTACCCATAACATATGAGATCCAGTATCAAAAATCACTCGAAACTCTTGAGGAGGAGTACCAAGCGATACGATACCATGGTACTCATAGTTTTTCTGGTTTGTCAGTCCATGCCCATACACATCTTGTAGTAGGGTTTGGTTGGAGAACGCCTTTTTCGAGAGTAAATACTTGATTTTTGCACATTCTGTGCAAGACATAAGTAGTACTAGAGTAATGTGAAGATTTATAACAGAAAATAATGGAGGTAGCATTGGGTGGGTAAAGAGAAATTTTAAATTTTAAAAATGAAGAGAATTATGTGATTATTTTGGCTTAAATTTTGAATTTAGATAATAGAGTGGACAATAGAACAGCTGGTCAAATACCAGATAACATAGATAATAAAAATTAAAAAACATAATTATGTGTGTATTTAAAAAAAAAGAGTTAGAGAGAGGTGTTTTTGTATGAGAAAAGTCGTTTTTAGACGGGGGGTGATTTTTTGTTAGAGAATGGTATTTCTTTTCAGAGGCTGAGAGACGGTAGAGTTTTTTTTTGGCTAGGACCAATGTTTCGCGCGGACCGGTCCGGAGCGTTTTCAACCTTTCCGGTTGAGCGATTTTCGGGCCCGGTCCAATCCGCAAAAAAAAATTTTGATTTGTCCGGCCCGGCAAAACACTGGCTAGGACTAAAGCAAAAGCTAGAGATAAAGTTAGGGCTAGTGCTAAGGCTAAAACAAAAACTAGAATTACATTTTTCTAGTTCTTGTGTCTAAGGCTAAGGCCAAGACTGAGCCTACAATTAGAAATAGGACGGGCTAGGCAACGTTGTTTTTAAACTTAAAAGTAAGAGAGCTTTTTCTTTCCTTTACTACCGTATTTTTGTATTATAAGGATTGGACTAGACATGAAAAGTGGGTTTGGTTCAATTTGTTTTTTAAAGTGGTAATACAGTGGAACTCCTGTATAACGAACTGCTCTATAACGAAACTCCCGTATAACGAACAACTTTTGAATCCCCGTCTACCACTGCACAGTGCATTTAAAACTCCTGTATAACGAAACTCCTTTATAACGAACGAATTTCAAGTCCTCGAGCGATTCGTCAATACAGGAGTTCCACTGTATTTTCATGCTTGACACTAAAAGAAAATTATAAATTTTTTAAAATTTTTTGTTTTATCTTTAGATTAACCTCTAGAGTAAGCCCAAACCTAAGCACTTTAGCTTTAGCCCTAAACCTCGTCTAACCTAGTTTTTTTCTAGTCTTCTCTCTAGCTCTAGCCCTTTTTATACAAAAATGAAAATTTTTGGTTATATATAATTAAAAGCGATTAATCTAACACCATTGCAAAAAATATACTTTTGTTTGCAAAAAAACCACTTTTAAATTCGTATTTTCACTTTTCTTGCAAAAACACTTTAAATCGTATATATTGTTATTGGCACATCAAAGAGAATTTTAAAGGCAAGGTAGGGCTGGGTAGGAAATATAAGTTTGGTCATAGAAAAAGGCAATAACAAATAATTTTAGCTACTGCTGGGCATGGTAATTTACGTTATGACATTTTTAACCTGATTTCTTGTTTTTAAAGATGTTTTGCCTTGGCAGCTGCGTGAACTATGTTATACGGTAGAAGGTGTCTGAGCAGAAACATGATCAGGGTAGGAGATGGTACTGTATTTATAAGTAGGGGTCCGGCTAACCTTTTTCATTAACGAGGTAGAGGTTGAGGTAGAGGTACGGTTAATACTAGCGCTAGGGCTACAGCAAGGCAAGACGAAGCTAGGGCAAGGCAAGAAAGGTTAGACCAAGGCTAGGGCAAGGCTAGGGCAAGGCTAGGGCAAGGCTAAGGCAAGGCTAGGGCAAGGAACAGACAGTGTTAGAGCAAGAGATTTTCATTGTAGAGAAAGTTATTGCTATTTTATTACTTTACTATAGCTTAAACATACAATTTGAGCGTTATGTCTTCTCACTATGCTTCCATATTAAGTTTTGTTTCTGTGAAAAGTCACGTTTCACATCGGAAATCACGTCGTATAGTGTTTCGTTGAAATAATATTCCCCCACTTTACAGTTTACATTGTTTGTTTTGGAATGTAAAAATAGATTTGTTTGTGAAACAATTGTTATTGTTTTACATGACATTAAGAGGGGTTTCTAGTGTACTTTGGAATGAGAGCGAGGTAAAATTAAAATTTCTCGGAGGCAGGGGAGAAGGAGGAGAAGAGGGGGGGGGGGAGAGAAAAAAGAAAGAGGAAGCGGGAGAGGGGGGGGAGGGGGGTATTGGTAGGGGTTGGAGAGGGAGGTGGGGTGCCGATAGGGGTATATTACGTATGAAAAAATGAAAAAAGAAGGAAGAGGGCGAGGAAAGGACACTAAATTAAAAAAATTTTTTTGGTTTTTAAATTTGATTTTAACATTTGAAAAAAAAACAAAAAAAACTTTGTTTACAAGGAAATATGTTCAATTTTTTTAATTTTTAAAACTTTAAATTTTTTCGAAATTTGTAATATTTAACCCGCCCTACTCTACCTCGCCCTATTTTCTGCTACACCGCCCTACCCTACCTTTTTTAAAAACACCCGCTTCTTTCTCTTCCCTATTCTGCCATACCCTGACGTACACTAACCTACCCTAAATTACCTTGTCTTTCTTTACACTACCTTACCCTACCCTACACAAAATTACCTTTTTTTTTACACTACCTGAACTAAAAAGACCCTTCACCCCCCGTTCCTACAAACGTTTTTTTATTGTAACTTTGCGTGAAAACTATTACTGTATACCCCCCCCCCTTAACTTGCCTTTTCCGAAACTCTTCTTTTCCCTCTTAATTTTTTTTTCTCCCCCACCCAATTTATGAGATATTACCCATCAAACCCAATTAGTTTGTGTCTATTTTTAACTTTCCGCAAATATCAATCAAACTTCTGGGTAATTTCCGTTCTCTGATTTGCTTTTTAAACTTTTGTGCGGTCGAATGCCTGATTAACACGTGCCTTTTCCAAGTTTGATTCGATTTGTAACTGATTTTATTGTAATTGCTTCAAAATTTAATTTTAATTCATTCGAATTCATTAATTTGATGTTTTTCTTCATTTTAGGCTTAAGAATGGGCTTTTAGATTCACAAATAAGTTTTTAGACTTAAAAGTTAGCATTAGGCTTAAATTGAAGTATTAGGCTGAAAGATTAGTATTAAGCTTAAAGTGAGCTTTTACGTTTGATAACCAATTTTTAGGCTTAAAAATGCATCCTTAGTAGGAAAAAGAGTTGTATGCTTAAAAAACATAATTTAGGCTGAAAAAAGAATTTTTAGGCTTAAAGTAGACTTTTAGGCTTAAAAAAGAGTTTTTCGGTCTGAAAATGAATTTTTAGGCCTAAATTAGGCTTTTAGGCTTAAAAAAGAGTTTTTCGGTTTGAAAATGAATTTTTAGGTTGACGTTCAGGCTTAAAATAAAATTTTTGCGTTAAAAATGAGATTCTAGGCTTACAAATCGGCTTTTAGGCTTAAGAATACGTTTTTAGGCTTAAAAATACGCTTTTAGGCGTGGAAATGAAATAAAAGCTTAAAAATTAGTGGTTAGGCTTAAAAATCAGGTTTTAGGTTTAAAAGTAAACTTTAAGGCTAAAGGTGACGTTTCTAAGCTTAAATTTGTGCCTTTAGGCTTAAAAGTACATTATTAAGTTTGCAAATGGCTTTCAAGCTTAGCTACAAATTGTTAGGCTCTAATTCAGTTTTAGGCTTAAATATGAAATTTTAGGGTTACGAGTGAGTTTTAGGCTTAAAAGTACGTTACATCTTTTTTAACTTTATTACTGTAACACAACGTTTTTTGCAACGAATTGTAACAGTCAAATTTAAATTAAAACTTTAAACTGAAGAACAGTTGAACCCGATTTCGAATAATTCGAATTGAAAAAGTCTTTATTTTAGTTTCCTGTTCTTGATCAAATTAAGCCTAATTTGTTCGAATTTCGGTTAATTACAGAGTTGTAGTTTTAACTTCGACAAATTGGCACAAAAATTACAAAAATAGAGAAAAAATCTGTATTAAATTTGTTTTTAAACCTAAAATTTTATTTTTAGGCTAAAAGTTTATACATACTTAAGCCTAAAAGATCATTTTTAAGCCTAAAATTAACCTCAAGCTTATACTTTGTTTTTAAGCCTAAAATTTCGTTTCATACCTCAAAACTAATTTTTAAGCCTAAAAGCTCATTTTCAAGCCTAAAGTTCAATTTAGTGTCTAAAATCTCATTTTAAGGCTAGAAGCTCATTTTTAAGCCTAAAGTTAAAGGTTAAGCCTAAAAGCCGTTTTTAAACGTAGAACCTCAATTTCAAGCCTAAAAGTTCATTTTTAAGCCTAAATTTCAATTTTATGTCTAAAAGCTCATTTTCAAGCCTAAAAGCTAATTTTGAAGCCTAAGGTTAAAGCCTAAAAGCTGTTTTTAAACATAGAACCTCATTTTCAAGCTTAAATGCCCATTTTTAAGCCTACAGTTCAATTTTGTGTCTAAAACCTCATTTTAAGGCTGGAAGCTCATTTTTAAGCCTAAAGTAATATAAATTGGCGTAAAAGCTCAATTTAAGCCCAAAAATTAAGTTTAAGCTTAAAAAATTATATTCAACCTAAAAAACTTATTCTTAAACTTAAAGTTTAGTTTTGAACCTAAAAAAATTGAAGCCTAAAAACTTATTTTTAACTCTTCAGCAATAGTAATATTACAATTCAATATAGTGCAAGCCCTACAAAGAGTGCAAACGCTTTCTTATCACTAAAACAGAAACGAAAAAGCCCGTTATCAGTGTTACAACAAACCCAAACACAATGTAGTTGGAGGTTTGTGACGCGCTGTACAACAAGTTTCAAAACATTACGAAAAATAAACAACTTGCTAATCTCTTGAGCTCTACTACAATATGTTTGGACGAACAACAAAGGGTTTGGTAACGCGTTTCTTTGTTAATATTTGTTTGTAAGGGTATTGCTAGGATAGGGTAGTATAGGGTGGGGCAGGGTAGGGCTGAGCATAGTAGGGCAATGCAGGGCACGGCTGACTAGAGCAGGGCAAAACAGGCTAGGCCAGGGGCTTGGGCTGTGGTGGGCTGAGCTGGGCTGGGCTAGGCTGGGCTGGGCTGGGCTGGGCTGGGCTGGGCTGGGCTGGGCTGGGCTGGGCTGGGCTGGGCTGGGCTAGGCTGGGCTGGGCTGGGCTGGGCTGGGCTGGGCTGGGCTGGGCTGGGCTGGGCTGGGCTGGGCTGGGCTGGGCTGGGCTGGGCTGGGCTGGGCTGGGCTGGGCTGGGCTGGGCTGGGCTGGGCTGGGCTGGGCTGGGCTAGGGCAAACGCTATAGCTAAGTTAGATCATGTATTAAGGCTTGGTAATCTAGAACCTAGTCTAGAGCATGTATATGGGCATGGCATGGGCTAAGGCTAAGACTATTTCTAGGGCTAAATAATGGGCTATTTCTAGTGCTTGAGCATAGACTAGAGCATAAGCTGGGGCATGTACATGGACATAGTGGTTAGCATGAGCAAGGGCGTGATCACAGGGTTCGGCTAGGACTAGTACTACAGCTCCGGGCTAAGACTCTGGGCTAGTGTTCTGGGCTAAAGCTTTGGGCTAGGGCTCTGGGTTAGGGCTAGGGCTAGGGCTCTGGGCTAGGGCTCTAGACTAGGGCTAGTTTTTCATAAGTTAGACTTTGTTGAGCAATAGTTTAATATCAGGACATTTGGTTTTAAAAATAGCCCTTAATTTATATTAAACATTGACATAAAGGGAGACCGGCAAGGTCGCTAAAATTGTATTGCTTTGATTGTTACAGCGATGTCGTCTGTGCATTGTGATAGGTTTATTCGAGGGTACCGTATTAACGCTGTAGTTTGTTAACGACACAAACTTATGTTGAAAAGGGGGTTTTGGGTAAGTTAAAAAGATCTTTGGTAAAGACTTAAAATTTTATTTAACGTTATGTAAAGAAAGTTCTTGCCATTTTTTGTAAAGAAACTTACCTGCATCCCTGCCCTTTTTTACCCCTCCCTCTTCTTTTTACCCTTTTTCCTCTCTAACCCTACCCCCTAAATTTTTAAACTTGCCCTTTTTTACTCCTTCTTTCCCTGTTTACCCTTGGTTCTCTCTACTTCCTCCTTTTTTACCACTTTTACTTTCCCCCCCCCCCCCTTAATTTTTTACCCCGCCCCCTCCACTTTCACCCCTCCCCCCCCTCACCATACCCATCTTCATATGACAAAACAATCAAAACACCCCATATTCCCCATGCCTTCAACACACATAACCTTAAGCAATGAACAGCGAACGTGTGTAATGTTGTTCCAACTACCATAATCTTGACAAACCCATCAAACTTTCTACGTGACTTTTGCAATCTCTTCCTTCTCTAACGTTCTCTTCATTTCGCGTTCTATTTTCTGTGCTCTCTTCGTTTCGCCCGCTATTTCGCCTGAATCAGAATCGTTCGCAGTCGATTTTCGTGACAAACCCAAATCGAAAACAAATCAATGCACAAAGTTTACCCACCCATGAAACCCCCCGATGCCTACGTGACTTTCCGCAACCCTTCGACGTATAAAAGCTACAGAAGCAGATCGTACGAACCATGTTTGGGTTGGGGAAGAGGTATGGTATTTGGCTTGGGGAAAGGGCATGGGTGAACTTCTTGGTTATTTTAGGGTAGGGCATGGGTAAATCTTGTGTTTGATTGGAGGTAGGGCATGGGTAAACTTTATGAGTATTTTAAGATAGGGCATGGGTGAATTTTATTGTTTTGAGAGTAGGGCATGAGCAGTGCCGGGGGGGAATTTTGGTCTGGGGACGGGGGTCAAAAAAATTTTTTTCAAAAATCCACACGGGAGGCCACGTTCAACTTTTTTCGAAAATTTTTAATTTTTTTTGGGCGTGGGTAAATCTTTTCAAAGTCTAGGGGTTGAAAGGTAAGGCACGGTAATTTTTCGGAAGTAGTAGGGCATGGGTGAACTTTATGATTGATTTAGCGTAGGACAGGGTAACTTTAGGGCAGTAGTAAGGCATAGCTGAATTTTATTGTTTTTTTAGGGTAGGGCATGGGTAAATCTTAACAGGGCAGGGTATTTTGACGGTAGGGTTATGGCAAGAACATTTTTTTGTTTTGTAAAGAAAGTTCTTGCCATTTTTTCTTCTGTAAACAAAGTTTTTACTCACTTTTCTTATCATAACCCTACAAAAATGATCAATGAATTCGCTTCCAAAGCATCAGCCCCCCCCCCCTGCCTTTGCCATTCGCACGTAGACAATACATCAAATACGACCGGTTAAGAGTGCAAAATACAAAAAAGAATGGGAACTACAAGTTTGGTCTACCACAACATCAGATAATACTTGGTAATTTGGGTTAATAAGACACCTACGTTAAGGCAAATGGGGGTTTTAAGCAAAACGACATGTTTTTTAAGAGGTCAGCTCAACTCTTGTTTACTATAATTTTGAAGGGGTGGGGGAGGGGTAGGAGTAGGGGATAGAAGGAGAGGGACGGAAGAGAGATGTAGGACAGATTGTGGGGCGGGCTGTACTGTAGACTATATTACATTCGTATTAATTGCACAATTGTTCTCTTTACTACATCAGTATGCATACGGTATGTGTGTGTATCTCAAGTTTTATTTATTGGGGGGGGGAGGGGAAGTCAAAAAGGGGGTTTTTTTTCGTGGAGGAGGGAGTGAGAGAGGGGATTGATATTAAATGGAAAGGGTACAAATGGCAAGAACTTTTTTTACGAAACGAAAAATGGCAATAACTTTCTTTACAAATCAAAAAATGGCTAGAACTTTCTTTAAAAAGCAAAAAATGGCAAGAACTTTCTTTACCAAGAAAAATTTTTTAACCTTTTTCCTACTGTAACATTTTCTATGAGTTTTATAATTAAACCACTCCCCCCTCTCCCTCTGGTCCATTAGCCCTCTCAGCATCCATCCATACCCTTCCTCTCATCCCAACTCTCACTCCTCTTCTCTGCTGTACCATCCCTACCCTTCCTCTCATCCCTACCCCCCACCCCCCCCTCCTCTCTCCTACTGTAACATTTCCGCGCCAAACCCTTTATTGTCTTTGACAAAAAGTAAACCGTACTCAAAAATAAAGGTAGTTTCCGTTTTGTTTACATTAAACTACACTACAGCTTATTTTTTACTTTGAACCCCCATTTGTCGGTCTTTTGTTCTTTTTGATTCGAGCCAATTCCGAATTGCCTTACCTTTAACTGATTAGTTCTGGTGTTTAATTATTGAAATATTTACAAAAACATTGTCTTAATGTTCATAAAAGCACGTTTTTTTACATTTTTTTCTTTATTTTTACTTTGTAAAGAAGGTCTTTGCCGTTTTATGTTTTGTAAAGAAAGTTCTTGCTGTTTTAAACTTTTTAAAGAAAGTTCTTGCCATTTTTCGTTTTGCAAAAAAAGTTCTTGCCATTTCTAGTTTTTTTAAAGAAAGTTTTTGCCATTTTTTGACTTGTAAAGAAAGTTATTGCCACTTTTTATTCTGTAAACTAAGCTATTGCTATTTTCCAACATCGTCGTATAACTTGTCTCCCGCAGCCTGCACACCTTTTAAATCTTGTAAAATGGCAATTTTTGAGTTTGTAAAGAAAGTTCTTGCCATTTTATGTTTTGTAAAGAAAGTTCTTGTCATTTTGTTTTGCAAAGAAAGTTCTTGCCATTTTTTAACAAAAATTCCCAAATAAACATAGTTTTTCCAAAATTTTACTGTTTTCCTTATTATTTCCCCCTCCTCCTTCCCCTCCAAACCAGCTTCTTCCTTCCCAAGAAGAGCGTACGTGCATTTCGCCAATCAAAATATTATTTTTCGGTTTGTAACTTTGGACGTGCGCTTCAACAAACCTTTCCATTTGTTGTTATAATTGGGTTAATTTTGGTGGAATTCGATCAAATTCAATTCGAAAAAACGTGTTTTTGAGTAGGGTAGGGTACGAGGCTAGGGTAAGGTAGGGTATGAGGGTAGGGTAGGAGAGAATAATTTTTGTCGATTTTTGAGGTGAGAAAGGGGTAATTTTAGAGGAAAATTGATTTTGCTACCTAAAATATTGAAAAATGCGTTTTTGTTACCTAAAATAATTAAAAATAAGCTTTTGTTACCTAAAATAATCAGAAATGACTTTTTGTTGCCTAAAATTTCAGAAATTGCTATTTTGTTACCTAAAATTTAAAATTTTTTTTGTTATTTAAAATATTGAAAAATAGGATTTTGTTACCTAAAAGAATTTTTATTACCTAAAATAATTAGAAATGACTTTTTTGTTACCAAAAATGTAGAAATTTAACGTTTTGTTACCTAAAATACAGAAAAATGATTTTTGTTACCTAAAACTAAAAAAATTTTTTTGAGGTTTTTTATTCTAAAAAAATAAAAAATGACATTTTTAATCTCACATGGTATTCTGATAACCAAATTTTGCTGTTTTTCTCGTTTTTACAACCATTTTTAAATTTTAATTTTCGCGCCAAAATTTCTTTTTTTTAATTTTTATGTTCTATGGCTAATTCATGACATTTTTAAAGATATGTTGATATTCATTTGTATATCTCATTTTTTTATTTGAAAATTTTTGAATTTCAAATTTCCCGCCAAAAATTTTTTAAAAAAAATTTTATTTTTTTGGGTAATTTGTGACATTTTTAATCATACATAGTATTGATAGATGATTTTTAGATTTTATTTTTTTTATCTTTGTTACCTATTTTTTATTTAAAAATTTTTTTAATTTTAAATATCGCGCCAAAACGTGTTTTTCCTATTTTGACCCCTAAAACAACATCTAACCCTCATCTTCAATTCAGAATCAAAATTCTACTACACACACAAGAGCATAACATTGCACAATTCACGTTGTTTACGTTCAAATCCTTCGTCAGTACGATGCACAAGATATACGACGAACTCACGGCCGCCATCGTTCTTCGCACCGTTCCCAACAACCTGACCGAGCTGTTCAATGATGTGAAGCCGTCGATTAAGAAGTACACGCCTTCATTCGGGTACAACTTCCAAATGACGTTGGTGTTTGGATGGGTGTCGTTCGTGCTGTTGAGCACGTTCTGGAAGCCTATGAAGTTCCGTGCTGTGAACCTAAAACAAGCGTTTAATGGTCTGATGAGCTCGCGAGGTAGTCGACTCGACTTTCTGGACGTGTTTCGAGTTGTGGCTATTGTTTGGGTGATGGCAAATCATTTGGGGAGTGAGGGCAGGGTGGATATTTTGGAAAGAAAGTCAAGCGCCGAAGAGTTTAAGGTGGGTACTATAATATAGTTCATTTCATAAGGTTACACTTTAAATTTTAAAACAAAAATAGGCTTACATTTAAGTAAAAAGACCTGTTTTACTATTTCAATCATCTTTTTTTTTAAAGTCAGTTTAAAACCATTAAAAACGGCCGAATAAAAAGTGGAAGATTTCCAATGTAAATTGCATTAAAAATCTTCCACGCGCTTTTCTCTTGAATTTAGTGAAATTTTAAAGCATTTTTGATTGTAAATGGAAAGTCTTGTCATTTTATGGTCTGTAAAGAAAGTTTTTACCATTTTATGTTTTGTAAAGAAAGTTCTTGCCATTTTTTGTTTTGTAAAGAAAGTTCTTGCCATTTTTTGTTTTGTAAAGAAAGTTCTTGCTATTTTACCTAAAATTAAAAAAAAAACTTTTTTGTTACTTAAAAATAATAAAACATGAATTTTTGTTACCTAAAATAGTGATAGCAGCTTTGATAGAACAATGAAAGCTAATCTTAGTCCATTTCAGAGCTCAGTTCACAACCACCCGATCCTCGGCGCCCTTCTAGGCAACTCAGCCTTAGGCGTGGAGATCTTCCTCGTCTTATCAGGCCTTTTGGCCGCCAGATCATGGCACCGTCAATCAGAAACGCCCTTCCTTCACCATTCATTCGTATTCCTGATCAAACGAATCCTCAGACTGCTACCAGTGATTGCCGTCTTTGTGGGCTTGGCTGCCGGTCCAGTCATGAGTAGACTGATGCCACGGTTCCATGATACCATGATAAGTGAATGTGGAGTCAAGGGAATCATGTCTCACTTGACATTGACCTCGAATTGGCAAGAAACGCCAACTTGTTTGGGCTATTTATGGTGAGTTTCGGGGTGGAAAGAAAGTTTTTGCGGTTTTTTGTGAGATCTAGATAAAATTTTGGGTATTTTTTGACCTGTAAAGAAAGTTATTGCTATTTTTGGTACTTTTTAAATTTTTTGTGTTATTTTGATTACTGGAAAGAAAGTTATTGCGCTTTTTGTTTTGTAAAGGAAGTTTTTGTCATTTTATGATTTGTAAAGAAAGTTCTTGCCATTTTTGTCAGTTTTCAAATGTATTTTAATATTCTGATTACTGGAAAGAAAGTTCTTGCGCTTTTTGTTTTGTAAACAAAGTTCTTGCAATTTTTTGATTTTTAGGTAATAACTGTGCCATTTTTTGAGTTATACAGTAACTCTATGACATATCTGACACTTTCCAACTATATTTTGTCATTTTTCTTTATAGCATCAATAAGTTTTGTCATTTTCAGGTACGTCGGCCTCGATATGCAGCTCTATTTAATGGCTCCAGTACTGCTCCAACTCCTCTACCGTGCACCAAAACTGGCCTTAAGCACTATCTTGGTACTGATCATTGGTTCCGCCGCCCAACGTGCCAACATTTGTACCAGCTTTGGTGTTTGCAACAAAAGCGATGTTGACATACCATTCATCTCGTTCCCGGGCCAGGATCCGGCTACAGTACGTCAAGTTTACGCCGGATTGTGGGAAATGTACGGTAGACCATGTACCAAGGCCGGGCCTTTTTTGATTGGACTAGTACTTGGCTTTGGTACCACCAAATTGGAGCTCCAACTGAGGAATGGTGTAGCCAACAGAATCGCGGCTACTGGAATCTCAGCTGCCATCATGGTGATCTACGCTATCCTGCCCGAATACTGGTACCCAGACGCCGGTACCACATTGTACAACACGCTATACACGGCCTTGTTTAGGACCGTCTTTGGTGCTGCTGTGTCATGCACAATATTCGCCTTGTTTTACAGCGAAAAACCGACCAAAGTAGCCAAGTTCTGGACTGTCCTAGCCAAACTGACCTTCAACGTTTACCTCTGGCACATGCCTATGGTGTACTTGTTCAACTTTGTACCATTCTTCCAAACTGCGACTTCGGCCATGGTACTAGTGGCCCTATTACCGGTACTTGCCTGCCTTTCGTTTCTGGCCGCTTTTCTGTTTTATTTGTTTGTCGAGGACCCGATTGCCAGAATCTCTGGCCAAGTCTTGCAAAAATTGTAAATATTTGGCGGGAAATTTGAAAATTTTCAAAATTTGGAATTTTTTCGAAATTTAAAATTTTTTGAAATTTCAAAATTTTCAATTTTTCCACAAAAATCATTGTCTTTTAACCATAGCCAAACATAATATAACCAATTCAACCATACTTTTAATTTTTTTTTCAAAAAAAAAATTTTTTTGCCATTTTTAATTAACATCTAGCCTTTAACAAACCTAGCGGGTACCATACTAAAAAGGGTTTTAATTTATGTCATTTTATATCTTATCCCCCATTTTTTCACTTTTACATCTTGTCATTTCAACGATTTTTGGCTTTTGCACTGTGCAGTTTATGTAATTTTCGACTGCACCGTGCAGTCATTTTTATAAAATTGCACAGTGCAAAAAATCCGAGAACTTTTGAAATTTTAAAATTGTTTCAAATTACTCTTACTATCATTGTACATCTTATTTTATATCATTTTTGTTGTTTTTTTTCAAAATTTTGAAGTTTTTTTTTTATTTTAAAAAATGACTGCACTGTGCAATTAAGGTTAACAAAAATTGCACGGTGCAAAAAAAATCTGAGGAATTTTGGAAAGAAAATTTTATTTTATATCATTTTAGATGTTGTTCTACGTCTATAAAGTACAATTGTAGTCTGTTTTACCTAGTTTATGTTATCCATAGAGCTTATATTATACTTGAAACGGGTAGTCGATTTTATTGTAGAGATTGCTTTATACGGTGGGTTTTGCCACTTTTAACTGATGTTAATAAACAGATTTATAAAATTTTTCATTTTGATTTTTGATCATTTTTCCTTTTAAAATTAAAAAAAAATTAAAATTTAGATAACAATTAACAACTTTATTACCTAAAACAAGGTATTTATTACTCAATAACAATATTTTTCTTGCCCTTGCCTTCTCCATTCAACCCTGGTACCCGTTTCATTCCAATCGACTGGTCGACGAATTGTTTTTTGAAGAATTTGAACCAAAACAGTAGAGGTTCATACCTACCATCATATACATCAAGTGGGTATTTTGAGGCATGAACTTCACGTACCGCGTAGTAAATGGCTTCTATCGTCGCTAGACACTCGTCGTTGTAGTTTTTCTAAAAAAGAATGGCAGTTTTAACTTGTTTTAGCGATTTTTGCACCGTGCAGACTGCGTGGACTTTGTTATACGATGAAAGGTGTTTTAGCTGAGTATGAAAACGATACTAAAGGGTAAAGTAAAGTGTGGAGAGGTAGAGTAAAGTGGTATAGAGTAGAATAAAAAAGCTAAAAAAATTTGGAGAGCAATAATCAGGTAGGAGGTATGGGGTAGAGCAAGCCTATTATAAGATAAAACAACTTCAAATTCTAAACTAAATCATTAATATAAACCTACCTGAGGCCTCCAATATTCGGTTTCATATCGATTCAACATCACACAAGGCACTCCCTTTAGCTGAGGCATGTTCTTAAGCTGTGACACCGCATTCCAAGTCGAATCCAGCATGATAAGTCTCTCCAAACCTGGATTCTTTTTCAAATACTCATCTATAGGTAATGCTGAAGATGATGGGAACACAACAGCACTTGTTTTTGGATCAAATGGGGGTAGTTCTGGGCATGGGAAGTGATGGAATGATGTTGAGGATGGTGCTATGAGAGAGCAATGAGTTGCCGTGGATTTGGCCGCTTTTTCAGCTGGATGTTTGATGATTTCAATGTGGACTGGCAGCTAAAATCATATATTTTTAAATTTTACTTCATTTTTTACCCTACCCCACCCCTTAGACCATAGAAAACTTTGATCTAGCCCAAAATTTCAAAATAAAAAAAAATTTTAAATTAAAATTTCAAACTCAATATAATTACCTCAATTGCATCAGGCACAATCTTCTCAACCCCAGGCATGTATATCAAACAGTCATAGCAAAAGTAAAGTCGTTTTTTGGCACATTTGGGACAATCTTGACGTTGCTTCATCTGTTTCACTGCTTCAAATTGATCTTCCTGTGTTCCTAGTGCCATTTTTGATTATAGCCCTGCAAAAATCAAAATTGTATTGACGTAACACCTTTCATTTCTTACTTCTTTCACATTTTATACCAAAAAGGATCAAAAATTTATGATTTTAACGATTTAAAACTTTAAAGTCTGCACTGTGCAGTCAAATTTTTAAAAATTTAAAATGCAATAAATCCGAGAATTTTAAAAATTTTGAAATATTTTTAAATTACTACTACTATCATTCTCTATGTTTTACTATATCATTTTTATACGTTTGATTTCAATAACCTACGAAATTTTAAATTTTTTAAAATTGGACTGCACAGTGCAGTCAAACTTGAAGAAAACTGCACCGTGCAGAAAGTTTGAGAACTTTTGGACCAAAAAATTACATTTTTACAGTTTTTTATGTTATTCTACATCTATTCAATACTATTCTAGCCTGTTTAACCTAGTTTATTACCTATTTATAAACACGACTCAATGATTTATGGACAAAAACGTCAAATTTTATGCATTTTTCACGTTTTTCGTCCATAAACCCTCTAAATCATCGTTTACTGCCATTCTTTTTTAAATATTCTTGTGTTATTCAAGGTTACACTTATAAACATCATTTTACAACATTAAACTTCGGTTCTAGTTCATTTATCCGTTTATTTGATATAGGTATATTATACATGAAGAGTTCGAGAAAAAATTGGTTTAAATTCGAAAAATCTAGAACATTTTACATGGGTTTTACTTTAGATACATGTAGAACTATAGTATAGGTAAAAATACAACTTTTATATAGTCGTTGATTCGTTAGAACGTTTGAAATACAAGGTTTTTACATGGTTAATATAATGTATATTATACAAGACTAATTTTGTTGGTTTTTCAGTGAATTCAAAGTATTAACAGGCGATTGTTACCTAAAAAGCTTCATTCTTTATCCACTTATCAATCTTTAAAGACCTGTTAATACTTTAAACTCAAGAAATGGGTCAAATCACAGTTGGAATATCATATGACATTAATGTATATATCTTGTTGAAGTTGACGTCAAATATGGTTTCGTGGCTACCATGATATACAATTGGGTAAAAAAGGTCCAAGAATCAACAACAACTCCTTTATAAGGCCACAAAATTCGTTGAAATACAAATAAATGGACAATGACAACAACAATGAGTATAGGCTTAACAATAAGAGTAATAGGCTTAGGTCGAAACTTGAATTTCATGACATTTTAAATATTATCCTACTCTACTTTTCAACATTTTTTTTCATTTGCTCCATTTTAATTTTTGCACCGTGCAAAAATATAATTTTTGTGAGTGCACCGTGCAACCGATGTCAAACTTTTAAAAATATCTTCAAAATGAAAATACTGTAACATCCAAGGTTTTGTGCCATAAATAAGGATACCAATCCCCTTTTATGACCCCACTTTCAGGTCAATACAAAAACTTCATCAAAAGTTATGACCAAAAATCGTAAATCGACTGCACGGTGCACTCACTAAAATCAAACTTTTGCACCGTGCAAGGTTAAAACGTTCCAAAACTCAAATCTCTTTGACACAAAAGCATTGATTACGAGCTACCAACACCATCTTAAGTCAAAAAACGTTTGTCATTTTCAAAAATCGACCAAAAAATTGAAAGCCTATTACCAGACCTTATTTTAGGTGACTAATGGCCCTTAAATCAAAATTTTTGTAATTTTTAGACGTTTTCCCGTTTGAAAAATGCATTTTTTATAAATACTCTACGCACACTGGGAATTACAACATTGGGTTGGTTTGGGGAGAAATATCATTTTATAGATTTGAAAACCATCAAAAATGGCATTTTTAGCTAAAAATCGGCTAAAAATGCCGTTTTTAACCTTATACTTAATCAATAACTGCCATTACTTAACAAACAATACATTAAAAACGTCATTTTCAACCCAAAAAAATGACTTTCCTCCCTCCCAACCCCATCAAAGCCCTTTAAAATACTTGAATATACTATAATATGAGAAGAAACTTGAAATTACAGTACACTAACAATATTAAAATTCTTAAATTCATCGAGACATAGTACAATTTGGTCATAAAAAGGACAATTTGGACATAAAATATATAAAATTTTGTAAATTTGCATCAAATCCACACCCGCTACATTGACATATACATCCCGTTACTATGGTAATTTCAGAGTTACACGTCCAGCCGATGACCGCAAGAACTTTCTTAACACGCCCATCTGATGACCTTTACACCCTCATTCGATGATCGCAAGCACTTTCTTTACACGCTCATCCAACCACCGCAAGAACTTTGTTTACACCCTCATCTGATGGCCGCAAGAATTTTGTTTACACCGCATCAGATGTGCTCAAATCGTGCTCCAGTTTGGTCTGAAGCTTCTGTCGGTTCTTAATACTGCCCGACTCTTCGAGGCCACCGATGGAGCCACTCATGGCCAAGACGGAAGCCGATTCCTCGTTATACGATTGGACTTCGGGACCGGCGCCTGAACATACGGTGTTAACACTCTGAAATTCTAAAACGATTATCATAAAAACGCATTTTTAAAAATTAAAAGAATTATTTTTTAACCTGGGTTTCATTTTAAACTTAAAAGTAATACACAAGCTTGAAAATGAAATTTAGTCTAACAAACTCAATATTAATCGCAAAAAACAAAATTTAGGCCTAAACAAGCATTTTTAAGCTTACAACTTAACTTTATGCCTAAAAATCAAGATTTAGCATAAAAATTCATTTTAAACCTAAAAACTCATTGCTAAGCCTATAAAATCATTTTAAGCCTAAAAATTCATTTTAAACCTAAAACTTCATTTCTAAGCCTAACAATCCATTTTAAGCCTAAAAAGTAATTTCTAAGCCTAGAAAATCATTTACAACCTAAAACGTCATTCCTAAGCCTAACAATCCATTTTAAGCCTAAAAAGTCATTTCTAAGCCTAGAAAATCATTTTTAACCTAAAACGTCATTTCTAAGCCTAACAATCCATTTTAAGCCTAAAACTTCATTTCTAAGCCTACAAATCCATTTTCAAGCCAAACAATTCATCTTTAGACTACACGGTAATCATAAGCCTGAAAAGTCATTTCTAAGCCTAAAAGTTCATTTTAAACCTTAAAAGTCATTTCTAAGCCTAGAAAATCATTTTAAGCCTAAAACGTGATTTCTGAGCCTAAAATTCATTTTAAGCCTAAACATTCACTTTATGCTTAAACATTATTTTTAAGCCTAAGAAATCATATTTAAGCCTAAAAATCCATTTTAAAAACAAAGTCTTCAATATTAACCTAGAAATTCAAAAAAATGTCATTGTTTCTCTCAAAAATTCAGTTTAAAGCCAAAAAATGAAAGCAATTACCCACCTTATTATCAAAATGATAATGTGATCCAGCATGAGCCTTGGTTGACGCGCATTCAAAGTTGCACTTCTCTCCCATACTATTAACACAACTCTCCACCGAGACCTTCCTTTTGCGCTGTTCATTCACTGCTAGACTTGGACCAGCCGAGAGGCTAGCTGATTGCTGTGACATTGAGTCGGTGGGTAGGCTGGTGGCGCCGTACTTCGTTGGGTGTGGGGTGGATGGGTTTTGTTGAGCGAGGAATGGTCCGTATGGGCCGTAGGAGCCGACGATGCTGGAGAAGCCTGAGTTGATGGTGACAACGCTGGTTGCATCGATTTTGTCATCACGAGACTTCTTCCCGATTAAGCGACTCTTCTCGTTGTTCGAGTTTGCCCGGAGGCTGGTCAAGAAGTTGCGACCCAATTCGGCGTCTTCGGCCAGTTCCAGAAGGCGTGGTGATTTGTCATCGTCATCGGAGGTTTGGACCGAGGCACAGCCACCGTTGCGGCACAGTGAGAGGGGTACGACACCGTAAACGTAAGCCAACATGATTGGCACACCCACTCCAACTGCCATTACTGCTAGCACTGGGCTTACTATCAAGGAACCTAAAAGGGTATTGGTTAGCTAAAGACTTTGGCCATTTTTTCTATTGTAAAGAAAGTTCTTGCCATTTTAAATTTTTTAAAGAAAGTTCGCGCGTTTTATCCCAAAATGACATTTTAGATCAATAGAAGCAAATTCCTTGCCATTATTTACCATTTTACGCAAAACAAGTAAAATCACCGAATAACTTGTCACCCGCAGGCTGCACATCTCTTTTCCTTCGAAAGATGCCATTTTCTGACTTTTTAATCAAAGTTTTTGCCGTTTTCTTTCTCATAAACCAAAACTCAAGTCATCTTTTAACTCTTGTATCCCTTCTTTAATCAAAAATCCCATTTTATTACCCAAAAACCATCAAAAATCCTTACCTGCAACACTCGCGGCCGTGACCAATCGTCGTTTTCCCTTCGATTTCAGCTTGAATCTTTGATATGCTTTTCGGCCAACGAACACTGGTACTCCACAGATAATTCCTGGTACTGCTAGACCAGCAATCAGGGCTATGCCAACTGGTGCTCCGATTAGGGTACCAATTTGCCAGAGGAGCTTCTTCTTCCTGGTCCACGGCTTCTTGCCCCAAAATGTGCAACCGGTTGGACTAAAACGGCCAAATTAAGGCTTTATATAACTAAAAATGTCATTTCGGATATCCAGTATAATATAAAATGTCATTTTCTAAGCTTTTTAAAAAAAAATTTTTTTTCAAAATTTTAAAATTTAATTTTTTTGAAATTTAGGTATTAAAACTCGTTTTCCTACCTCAAATAGTGTAGATCACTAATCTCCTTTAAGCACAACCAACAGAAATCGGCTTGACACATTGGGCAGACCATGTGATTACAGCTTCCGTCGTTCATTTTCACGATCAATGTGCCACATCTTGGGCAGGCTTTGAGGTCACCGGCTGAAAATACTCATACATTTAAATTTTATCAAAATTTCATAAATTTCACTTTTTTAATCAAAGTTATTACCAAGAACTTCATTTTTGCACCGTGCAGAACCTTTTTAATTTTGCACAGTGCAATTTAAAAACCAATTCAAAAATTTTAAAAACTTGTAAACAAAGTTCCTTCAAAGTCACAAAAATCTTCAAAAATGCCATTTTCTATCATAGTAAACAAAGTTATTGCCAAAAGGTTAATTTCTGCACCGTGCAGGCCATTTGCCTCTATTGCACAGTGTAAAAGCGCGATCCCGTCCGATCTGGCAAGTTAAGCGAAGATGCGCTTGATTATGAAAAGTTCGAAGAACACTGAGTGTAAATAAAGTTTTTGACAGATTATTACATATCTAATGTATATTTTAGCATTTTATGGTTTGTAAAGAAAGTTCTTGGCATTTTATTTTTTTTAAAGAAAGCTCTCGTCATCTTCCGCTGCGTAAAGAAAGTTTTCGTCGTTTTACGTTTTATAAAGAAAGTTATTGCCATTTAACCTCATAAAAACTTCATTTTCAATCAAAACACGACCAAAAGCTGCAAAAAAACAGCCAAAATTTTCAAAAACTCACGTTTAAAAAACTCTCCAGTAGTATCACCCGCCGCGCTAGTGTTAGCCGCTGTAGCCGCGTTGAAAATCCTCTCAACTGACTGTCCTCTAGCTTCATCACAAGTCTGATTCGCGTGCCATTCGCCTTTGCAGTGATAACAGAACAATGTTCCACAGCCGGGACGTTGACATTCCAATTGAGGACAAGCCGCGCATCCGCTGGCAATCACGGCGTAGTCACAGTCCGGGGCTGGACACCATCGTACATCGCCTTCCGTGATCAGCACTTTGCGAATCATGAACCGTTCGTACCTTGAGAGTAACTGAGCGTCGTTCTTTAGTACTGTTTGGATGTCGTTGGGGTGGAGTTCTATTACACATTCTGGGCATGCCAATGAGATGCGACTCTCCATGATCTCGATTTGAAGATACTGAAAAGCAAAAATAAGATGGAGAAAAAGTTTTTGCAATTTTATGTATTGTGTAGAAAGTTATTGCCATATTAGACTTTGTAGAGAAAGTTATTGCCATTTTCGGGTTTGTAAAAAAAGTTCTTTCCATTTCATAGTCTATAAACAAAGTTCTGTCCATTTAGTCTTTTGTAAACAAAATTATCGCCATCTCACCTTAATCAAGCACCCATGACAAGGTCGATGATCGCAATTACTCAATACCGGAAAGTTTTGTGCACTTTGTTGTACAAAACACACTTGACACTCCATCCTTTCCGCATCGCCACCAGCACTCATCAGCGTATCATCTAGAGACGAATAATACAGCGTTTTGTCATTACTCAATGTCGAATTGGCCGGTCGATACACGTCGGATAGGTTGTCGGTCACCTGACACACATCGAACGAGCTGCACGGAACGCTGGGGGGCTGTGTCGAAGGCTCGGCTGACGAAGTCGCCGCCGATCCGCTGATTTGAAGTTGGTCCGAGACGGATGGAGCTTGTGAACTGAAACAAACACATTGTTTTACTGTCTTTGGGGCCGAAAAACAATGTTTTTCAAAGAAATTTGAAGTCGCTTCTCTTTTTTTTTTACTTTTTATCAGAAAAACACTGATTTTGTTACTACCTTTAATATCTAAACAACATCTTTTAAAATTCCTAAGTTATGACCAGGTTTTCCGATATTAATCAACACACCAACATAAAGTTAGAAAATTAGTCCTCAAAAAGCTGTCTTTTATTTTTAAAACTTGAAAACTCATCAAAACATGTTACAAACTTTCTATTTTACTTTAGAAAAACAATCTTAAACAATCCTTTTCTTTTTCCATCAAATTTCGACTCTTTCCATTACCTACTCCATCTGATGTCCTCTTCTTCCTAAAAACACAAAAAATAACAAAAATTCTTACCGTTTACTACTCCTCTCCTTCTGAACTTTCACCTTGCTCTTCTTCTCCTTCCGTTTATTCGGTTCTGTGGCGGTCTTGGTCCGACGCATCGGCGCTGTGACATTATTCAGAAGATTCATGATGGAGAAGCGTCGCTGACCCGTTGTAGATGTGATGTCGGCTTTGGCTGAGGCCTGTGCCATAATATAGTCAAAGTTGGGGATGCGGAGTTCGGGTGTGGTGGTTTCAATCGAAACTGAAGCCGATTTGCGATGCTTGCGTGTGGGGGAGCGGGTACGCGAGCTGGTCGACAAGTTTTGGCTCGAGGGCGACGAGGCCCGGATTCGATGCTGCAAAACGGCCATAATTATATTGAAAAGATATTTAAGAAGATGTTTTAGCAAAAATCCGATAAGTTACGATCTATTTGAACCCACAAAACAGAGAAACTTCAAAATTTAAAAGAGAAAAGTCGTAAATTTCGAGAATCAATCCCCTTCCGATGCCATAAAACCACGTTTGCGGCCGAAAACAGGAATATAAATACAACTTCATGCTATGACTAATCTCAATTTCAAAATTCATAACAAAGTCTGTTCAAATATCAATCTGTAAACACATGTTTTGTACTTCGTAAGTCAAACAATTTCCGAAAATGACTGATAAACGGGAGGCCAAAACTTTTTGGCACGCTTGGTTTTCGTGGTGGGACTAATAAAAGTAATAGAAATTTTGGCAAAAAAGGTAAAATACGGGTTCAAAAGACAAGACAGGTAATAAAAATTATTAAAAATTAATTTTTATGTCCAAAACGTGAATGCTAGTTTTGTCGTAAAAACAAGCTTTTACTGCCCAAAAACATCATTTATTCGCTGAACTCGGCGATTTTACTAATAACAACTAAACAAGTAATAAACACTGTTTTACAATGCATTTGGTAAACAACCCGCCCTAACACAATCGTTTTCAATTAGAACTCCGAAAATATACTTGTATGCAAGCATTCGCGGCCCCATGAATAATATATTTATATTGTGTTAGGGGAGAACGTTGCAGACAAACCCAATTATAACGATAATAATGTGAAATTGAATTTGATTTTGGTTCTAATTTGGAGTTCACGTTATGCTTAATATAAGAAGGAAGAAAATAATTTCAAAAACTACAGTAACCTACCGTAATTTTGTCCACATTCTCCATGCTGAACCGTGACCCCACCGTTTCGTACGACGTTCTTCCTTCCTCACTCTGAGCATGTCTGAAGCTTCGTTGTCGACCAGCCAATGGGCTACTACTCGAACTAGCACAGGGCTCGGGTTCGATTTCGGCCTCGATGGTGTGACGATTGGGCAGATCGTCCACGTCCTCCTCCACCAACGTTCCCAGGTCGGGACGTGAGGCGGCCAGGCCTCGGCCCGACTTCACACTCATCCGGGCGGGGGCTGGTTGGGATATGAGCTGGAATTTTTGGAGTTCCAAAATTTTCAATAAAAGTTTTAAAAATTTAAAGAATTTCAAAATTAAAAAAAAAATTAAAAATTTAGTTTCACGAGCAAAGCAAAGCACGGTATGACACGTATACGATTAAGAATGGCGCAAATACAAAAAATTTTCAAATAAAAAAAATTTCTCCCCCCCCGCGCTAAAAAAAAGTTTTTAAAACATCCCCAACCTGTCTTTTTTTTTAAATCTACCCCCGCCCCTGATTTTTTTTATTTTAGAAAATACTCCCCCTCCCCCCAAATTTTTTTACAAAACGCCCTCCCCCCTCTAATCTAAAAATTTTTTTTTCGAATTTACTTTCCTTACCACTACTACCCAAACAGTACTACTCCCAGCCCTAGTAACCCCAACTTTGGTTTGTTTTTCCTTTCTTCATGATGCCACTTTAACGTGACATTCCCCCGCTCTTAATTAGATTTCCGAAAGTCACAAAGTTAATTTCGTTTTGCAACTGGACTGTGAATGATATTAAAGAACCGCGAGTATTTGTGGATATTATTCTTCGTAAAGCCAGTTTATTAAAAAGCTTTTTTTTAACTGTAGGTGCGAGGGTTGATTAGGCTTCAGCAAACAAACTTTTTTGAAGTGGGGGAGGGGGTAAAAGTAAGTATAATATTATGAAGAAAGAAGACTAAAATAGGTCTTGAAGAGCTTCTGGATTCTAATATTAAGATGTATTAGGTGCCGACATAAAGAACCCGTCATACTTTTCCTGTAATTTCCTGTAAAAAATGGCGGGTTCTTTATGTCGGCATATAATATAAAGGATTGAAAGGCTAGCGTAGACTAATGTTGATCTTAGTTAGGCTTAAAATGGCAAAGTCAGAAGCAAGGGCTTGAGGGTAAGTTATGGAACAGGTGGAGTAATAAGGTAGGGTAGGCAGAGTAGAGTAAGATAGAGTTGAATATCGTAAGTTAAACGCGTAAAAGGCAGGCCTATACGATAGCAATAAACAGCTAGTGCTATGTCTAAGACTAGCCATCAGCTAATGCTATGCCTAAGGCTAGCCATCAGCTAGTGCTATGTCTAAGGCTAGCCATCAGCTAGTGCTATGCCTAAGCTAACCAAGACTTAAACATAGGCTTAAGCTGGGCTAAGCCTAAGGCTCATGCCAAGTGTGTTGTTAGAACAAGGGGTACGGCTAAGTATAGGACCAGGCCTAGGACTAGAACATAGACCAATCCTACGGTTAGGGCTTACAATGCTAGACAAGAGAAAACTAGAACTAAGTTAGAGCTTGACTCTGGGGCTGAGGCTCAACCTTTGAGCTAAGGCTTTGGACTAGGGCTCTGGGCTAAAGCTCTGGGCTATTGCTCTGGGCTAGGGCTCTGGGCTAAAGTTCTGGGCTAAAGCTCTGGGCTAGGGCTCTGGGCTAGGGCTCTGGGCTAGGGCTCTGGGCTAGGGCTCTGGGCTAGGGCTCTTGGCTAGAGCTCTGGGCTAGGACTCTGGGCTAGGGCTCTGGGCTAGAGATCTGGGCTAGGGCTCTGGGCTAGAACTCTTGACGAGGGTTCTGGGTTAAAGCTCTGGGCTAGCGTTTTGAGCTAGGGCTCTGGGATAGCATTACAATTTTAAAAAAAAGTAAAAACGCGGTTTTCAGGCGCTTAATTGCCTTTCAAAGCCACAAACTTTTTTGCACTTGGAAAGGTCTCATGAATAATATATAGAAAAGATAAAGCTGTAATATGCAGCCTTTTTCCATGCAAAATATTATACAAGGGAGAAGCTATGGCACATTTTTTATAATTAAAAAAAGAAAACTCACTTTTTATGCAAAAACTTTATGCCAACAGAGGCTTGTTTTGATAGTATATGAAGACTAATGGAGGTCAAAAAGCATTCACATTTTTGTTTTCAGATGTAGGACAAGAGGCTTTACATTGGGAGATGGCACTGATGAACACGGCCACCCTACCCTACCCTACCCTACCCTACCCTACTCTACCCTACTCTACCCACAGAAAAAAATTTTTGAAAAAAGTTGAACGTGGTCCCCCCTGTGGATTTTCGAAAAAAAAATTAGCAAAAAATCGGCACAGTGTGCCGATTTTTTGGACCCCCGCCCCCAGGCCAAAAGTCCCCGCCCCGCCCTGGATATCATGCTTCATATTATGGCTTTAGGTTTGCATTTGAATAACATATCTAAACCATTATCTATTGTAGACCTCTCTTCCCAAAAATTGTGGGCCCCCTTTTTATTATACAATTGTGAACCCCTCTTCCTAATATAAATATAAATGTAAACCCTTCTTCCCGAAAAGCACGGCCCTACAGCTATATTGTCAAAGAGTAGTGCTTCAGATTAGAGCAAACTCTCTTTCGACCAAAAAGCGAGAAAAAAAAACTTTTGCAATTTTTTTTCGGCCGCCAAGTTTCGGCCCAATTGGTTCAGCCGATTAAGAAGGCCATAAAGCATGTTACACACGTTTTTATAAGTCTCGCTCGTTTCGCCCCGAGAATAGATTGTTTGAAACGCAATTGAAATGGCATTAAAAAGTGGCGAGTTAAGGGGAAAGGTGGGGCAGGTAGAGGGAAATGCAACTTTATAAGTTTTCTTTGTTTTGTAAAGAAAGTTTTTGCCATTTTATGTTTTGTTAAGAAAGTTCTTGCCATTTTTTGTCTTGTAAAGAAATTTTCTGCCATTTCCTGTTTTGTAAAGAAAGTTCTTGCTTATTTCAATACTTTTATGTCCGTAATTATATGTAATATAAATATAATTTTAAAAAATTAAGCTACATTTCAAGGCTTAGTTTAAACTATACACTTCAATTTTCAAAATATAAATTAAAATTTTAAAATTTTAGGCTTATTTTCTTATCAAAAATCTTATTCTTTAACTTTAGGTTTAAATTCAATTATAGACAACTTTTGAAGCTTTTAGACTTAGTTTTACTCTTTTAGGTTAATGACGCTTAAAAAATGCTGTACAAACTAAAAAATAGAAAGAACTTTCTTTACAGAACATAATATGGCAAAAACTTTCTTTACAAAGAAAAAATGGCAAGAACTTTGTTTACAAAACAAAAAATAGCAAGAACTTTCTTTACAAAACAAGAAATAGACAAAACCTAATTGACAACAAAGGAAATGGAATACAAAACAAGATATTACAGTACTATAATATAAAAAATGTAAATACATTAAAAATAGAACGAATTGAACTGTAATGTAAAAGCGTTTATAATTGACAGTAAACAATAATTTTTATTCAAAAATGACTTTAAAAGTTGTTTAAATGTATGACAATAAAGCTCTAGCATTGCTCTAGCCTTGCCTTGCTTTAGCCCTGCTCTAGCCTTGCTCTGGCCCTAGCCCTAACCCAAGCCCTAAGGCCTTATCTCACCTACTCCGATATTTACTTTATCATGCCTACTCTTAGCTTACTAACTATGAAAAAATAAAAAAGTTATACTTTAGTCTTCCCAAGAAGGCAATAATATAATAGAGGAACTAAAACAATAGGTGATTAAAATTCTAATACGTCCCATAATTGCAGGGTTTTAACGATATTCATCATGTGAATAATTACAACATAACGACTATACTTAGAACTGTTTATAGTAGCTTTTTAAAAGAGATTATTAAGGCAGTTAGGCCAGATAGATAATCCTAAATTGATTTCGGGACTAATATATGAGCCTAAAACTTTAAACGAATTTTAAGCCTAATAAATAAGCCTAAAACCATTTTAAGACTAATGAGCAAGCTTAAAACCCTATAACAAAAGTTAGGCCTAATAAATAAGCCTAAGACAATATTACGCTTAAAATGAGCCTAACACTTTTTAAGCCTAATAAATAAGCCTAAAACCATTTTAAGACTAATGAGCAAGCTTAAAACCCTATAACAAAAGTTAGGCCTAATAAATAAGCCTAAGACAATATTACGCTTAAAATGAGCCTAACACTTTTTAAGCCTAATAAATAAGCCTTAAACGCTTGTAAGCCTAGTTAATAAGTCTAAAACTGTTTTAGTCTTAATAAAAACAAGTTTAAGCCTAATAAATAAGCCTAAAACCATTTTTGGTCTAATAAATAAGCCTAAAACGATTTTACGACTGAAAAATAAGCCTAACACAGTTTTAAGCCTAATAATTATGCTTAAAACGATTTTAACCCTAATAACTAAGCTTGAAACCTGAAACGAAACCTAGGCCTAAGAAGTAAGCCTAAACCACAAAATTTAAAATAAATTTTTTAAGACCAGTACCACTCCTAATAAGGCCACTACTACCCTTATATATTACCGTACCCTCTAGTACAAAGTTCAAAAACCTGCCATTCAAAAAGTACTTTAGAGAGTATGATACTTTACTTTTACTACCTAAACATATTCTCAAGCCTTTTAACGAGTGTTTGTAACAATTGTACTTTCTATTTATTACCTTTTTTACTTCCTTATGGCTACAAAACAGGCATATAGCAAGAAGAGTGCAGCGACTATAAATTAGGTGTCATTCTTAATACGACATGGCAATAGTTCGTCGGAGTATGCTCTTTGGCGCTTTATATTGAGTATGGTTGTTACTCGTAAAAGGCACTGCTAAGCTAAATATTTTTTAGGCTTAACTTAAAGGTAAGAGCTATACAAAAGCCAAGCCTCAGCGGACTAACCAAAAAGCGACTAAAGATAAGCCCAAGCTTAAATCTGAGCTTGATGAGAATAAATTAAAGCCTAATTGTAAGGTTAAGCTTATAGTTAAGCCTAAACTTCCCGCTAAGCCTCTAAGCTTCAAAATAAGCCTAAGTTTAAAACTGAACCCAGTTTTTATGCTTAAGATTAAGATAAGCCTACGACCAAGCAAAAGCCAAAGTCTAAGCCTAATTTCAAACTAAAACCCAACCCGTAGCCTAAGCAAAAGCCTAAGAATAAGCGTAAACCTTAAGACTAAGCCTAAGCTGAAATTTAAGGCTAAGCGTAAGCTTAAGTT